ATACAACCATGTAGAGGCCACGCGGCAAGCTCGCGATAATTCTAACGGTCGCAGTTCCGCGCAATGGGGTCTCACGGGTCTGGTCACTGGAATTGGAGGATGTCTGCTGGTTTCACGATGGCAATCGTCAGATTCACCTCAGGGAGATTCACCAGAGGTCGAGGGTGCAAAGGGTGTGGAGTATGCGGATAAAGAGGCTATGATAAAGGTACCGATACCCTCCGAGTCCGCGTCTTCGTTTCCGTGTTGGATGCTGATATAGTCCATGGTAGGGAATCAAGATAATTGAGGAGACTCTAGGAGAGGACTCAGTGTCTTGGGATGAGGAGGAAATTGCAATTCATGGATATTCTGAATTATCCACGTCGAATTGCCAGGCGAGGCCGGTGGCTGTTGCTAGGCCGAAGAGTACGGAGGATGTGGCATTTATCGCGAAGATCTGTACTGCCTTTAAGATTCCAATGAGTGCGTATTCGGAACTCTGTCCTGCGAGGCGATTGAATTGATCTGGATGTCGTACTCACTAAACCATGTAGTTCCATTTGCTGGTGGCTCAAGCGTCGAAGGGAACTTTGTCGCGCCATATTCGGGGTTAACCATTGACTTTTCGGATATGAAGCAGATTATCTCATTTCACCCGGAAGAGTATAGTGTCTTGGTGGAAACATATACAGAACCAGCGCTAATGGTTCGATTAGTATGGACGTTGTAGTCCAACCGGGGGTGAATTGGGTTGATCTCAACAATCTCCTCAAAAACAGCGGCCTTTTCTTACCACTGGATCCCAGTCCCACGGTACGTTTATTTCTCTCCGGGCCTCATCGAGTGTTCTAATTGATTTACAGGCATTGATCGGCGGTATGGTCGCAACCAACTGCAGGTGAGTTTACACGCGTTCGCATCATCCGCAGCTGTTTCGAGGTTACATCTAAAAGTCAATGTATAGCGGAACAAACGCCGTGAGATACGGCACAATGAAGGATTGGGTCGTCAATGTCACAGTTGTCTTAGCGGATGGAAGCGTGATCAAAACAAGACATCGGCCGCGGTACGGATGCTTCTGAGATATGTTCTTATACAGGAGTAGCTGACAACAAGAAGGAAAACATCTGCTGGATACAACCTGACGTCCCTGTTCACGGGTAGTGAAGGAACACTCGGGATGATCACAGAAATCACTCTGAAGCTGGCAACCATACCGGAGAAGCAAAGTGTGGCCGTTGCCACATTTCCCTCCATCCGCGAGGCAGCGGCCACCGCATCCAAAATCATGCGTACGGGAATCCAAATTGCTGCGCTGGAGATGATGGACGAGACTCAAATGATGGTCATCAATAAGAACGGAGGAGCGGGGGGTAGACTCTGGGAGGAGAAACCCACGTTGCTCTTCAAGTATGTTTCCCCATGCTACGATGTCGGATATCGCTAAGCGAGAGACAGATTCTCGGGCACACTAAGAGCTATAGAAGAGGATGTTGAACGAGTTCGGACAATCAGCTCGCAACATGGAGGAGAGAACTTTGAGTTGGCGAAGAGTGATGAGGAAATGAACAGTCTTTGGGCGGCGAGAAAAGAGTCTTTGTGGGCAATGCTTGCGGTGCGACCTGAGGGTACCCAGATATGGTCTACTGATGTGGCTGTGCCACTATCGAGAATGGCAGAGATTATTGGTACAGTATCCGACTAGCTCTTTTAGAAGCTGATTGACTGACCGCTCCAGACCTCTCTAAGAAGGAATCCGGTCAATTGGGGCTCTTCTCAAGTGTTCTAGGACATGTTGGAGATGGAAACTTCCACCAAGCTGTGATGTATAATCCGAACGACCCAGACCAGAAGCAATCTGTTCGAGACTGTGTTCTGGCAATGGTACATAGAGCCGTGGAGATGGAGGGAACAGTTTCGGTCAGTAATTCTATTGTTCAATATTCAATGATCGGGGTCTGGACGCAACAGATTGGCTAATGGTCTCCCAGGGCGAGCACGGCATTGGCCTCGGGAAAAAGGAGTGCTTGTTAGAAGAGCTGGGACCTGAAACGGTCGGGGTTATGCGCACATTGAAGCGCAGTTTGGATCCTCAGTAAGTCACGATCGATGTGCATCTCACACTGTGCTAATGATTATTCAAGCTATTTGCTCAATCCAGGGAAAATATTCGACTAGCCGAGTCAGCGGAGTGCTATTCTCAACTCAAATTATGTATATCAAAGAAAAGCGACGGTGATTATGCGAGGTACTGGAAGTATTTAAATCTGAAAGGTCTGTTTTCCAGTCGAACAACTCATGTGAAGGAAGATATTGTCCATAGATTAGAATGCATGTCAGTCACGCTTCGTCATATAATCATACCCCCGATCAACCATAGCCTTCGTATTCCTGGTGTGCTCGTCAAGATCCTCCTGGGGAAGACCAAGTGACTCATTAGCCAAAGCATACTTGCTCTCATAGTCCCCATCTCCATTTGGAAACAAGACACGCGAGTACATTGCCTGAAGAAAGCCACCGTGGTCTCCATTCTTCATCCGCTCGAGCCCCGTTTCATATCTCTCACGACTGGACTCATACGCAACCGTCCAAGCCCCATCTTTCTCACCGGTGACCCGCTTCCAACTCTCAAACATCTCTTTCTGGGCGATCCGGAAGCTGGAGATATACACGGGTTTATTCAACCAACGACTCAGTGTCACACTCTGATCGTTTTCATCCTCCGGAAAGACCTTCAAACTCAACAACCTCGCAACAGCCCTCCCACACTGCGCAGGAGTACTAACATTAATCTTAGTCTCCCCATCATCAAACAATACCATCTTCTTCTCCGCAAAACTGAACCCGAAAGTAGGCGGCCCAAGGCTCACACTATGCTCATACCAGAACCCACAAATCAGGGACACCCACGACGAAACACCTGTCTTCTCGATTTCGTCGAAAGCTCTACGGAGCCGCTCCCAGCCTAGTCCGCTATTTACTAGGGCGTCATTCATGAGGTCGCAACCCCAGACATTTGGCATCACGTATTTAACCCCAGCCTTAGCGGCGGCTTGTATAAGCTGGGATTGTGTGTCCGGTGCTACCGTCACGGGTAATGTGATTATTAGGGCATCCTGACCCTGAAGGGCACTCAATAGGCTTGCCTCATTGTCGTAGTCGACTGGCACAGTCTGGATCCCCTCGGGTAAGGTGCTTTGGCTCCCGGTACGAGTCAGCGCGGTTACCGTGTGTTTGCCTGTTGTGAGGAGTTCTTGGGCGATGGGCTTGCCGACGGTGCCTCCGGCCTAGGTCATCTTCGTTAGTGAACTGGAACGGGCACCAGCAGGCTTGGGATAGATCTTGTATGCATGACATACCCCGATGACGGCGACACGCCGGATCTCATTCCTGAAATCTGCGCCTTGGTCCTTGGCGTAATTGGTGGCCATTTTGTTTCTGGTCTGATGATAGTATGGATTTCTGCTTTTCAATTGTGATATTCTAAATCTTCAAGAACATTTTCTGGCTCACTGCCCTTTCATGGTTATTTATACCAACATCATGGAATTTAGGAAGGTTCACCTTGTCGTTGCCTGTTACCTCCGGACTTGCTTATGTCCGGTTTCAAGTTGGATATAAAATCGGAAATCGGCCACAATGTAGCCCGTACCGCCGTAGCTATGAATTTAGTGGATCGGAGATAAGCAGCCATAATACCGACGTTTAGGTACGGATGGATCTGTTGGAAGAAAATCGGCCATAAGAACATAGTTGCAATTGAACTAATTAATTCATTTCCGTATGTTTTCTCCTCCCGCTCAGTTTGTGCAATATTCGTCTGATTTACATGGGTCGAAACTGGATATCACCGCGCTTGCCCCATGATGCCAAGTCGGAGTAAGTCAAGTATCCCGAATGAATATTATCCCACTAGAAGTTTGATTAGAATATTGTATATGAACCTACTCCTTTATTTATACAACGATGAAGGTCATCGCAAAGTAATAGACAGTTGGACGAACTTAATCGGCGGTAAGTTTTGAAGCCTACCTAATTGTCCGGCGAGGTTCGGATCGGCTAGGCATGAAGTTATGATATTTAGGTTCGCGACCCAGAGAATCAATCCTGGGGAGTCTGGGAAACCACTTCGAAAGGGGCTGAATAATGCTTCGTAAATAGGCAACGTTAGTGGGAAGCGATTAGCTCCAGTCCGGCGTGGAAGATTGCATATGTCGAAGTAATGATTCCGAGGAAACCTCGATAAGTGACGGGATGAACACGTACGACGATGGTAAAATGCCCCTTTGTGTTTCATGCTAGACGATTACCCTAATTATAAGATATGATCTATACTAATCTGAGTAGTCCGGATCATGTGTCATGTTAATCCGTGGGGTTTTGCACTCTCTCCCAACCAAAACTCCCGCATTGAGTTATCTATCTATAACCCAGACCCATTCAACAGCCGTCACAACCCTATAACGTGGCCAAAACATAAACTAACGTTGATCCAAGCCTCTAGAGGCAGGGTCGTGTATACGTGGTTGCTAATATTCTAGTCTATTTCTATATCATTACTCACTTGAATCCAATCGTAGACACTGGTTCCAAGGGGCATAGAGCAGTACAGGGACTATCGTGTAGATATCCCAAGGTCATACGTATCACCCCAGCTAACGTACGCACTGCCTCAAACCGCAGAACTCCGACCGTATCAGGTAATACAGCAGTTCGCAAGTCTACATCTAATTGCTGTACCTTGATTACCCCAGTATCAGCCAGGCCTAGATTAGGCGTGACCTAGGGCTCCGGAACTTTAATCCGGATGTACTTTCGAGCAGCGATATGAGAACCATCCCAAACGCCGTCTTTATACGCGCATCGGCCGCGAGAAAAGCATCATGACGATCCCCTTGAGGTCTGAGCCCTTGCCGAGACTACGCCTGCATATTCTGCGGGGCAGACAAGGCTGTGAACAAAAGTATTACCCCGCCGAAAAATTCTGTCCAATTCACGACAAATATTGAACTACAGTTACAGGGACAAAAGGTGCCCGCATTCGAACTTTTAGTCATCCGGTCACAAGTCAGTATAACTCAATTATCTATATCCCCATCAGCATGTCCGAGACCTTGTCAGCCAAAGAAGACCATGTCGATGTTCTTATTGTGGGGGCCGGACCCGCGGGGCTCATGCTGGCAAATTGGTTGAGCCGGTTCGACATCAAGACTAGAATTGTGGACAAGCGTGGCACCAAGGTGCGTGTCTGCCATATATTGGTCCAAAAAGCAGGGTTAACGGAGCTACAGATCTTCAATGGTCAGGCGGATGGCCTACAATGCCGCACCCTGGAGATTTTCGACTCGTTTGATTTTGCCCACCGGGTTTGGCGAGAATCTAACCACATGCTGGAGATTTGCTTCTGGAACCCCGACAAGGATGGCATTCTGCAACGTTCGGACCGGATTCCGGATACCATCCCCGGGATCAGTCGCTTTCAGCAGGTAGTGCTACATCAGGGTCGCATTGAGCGGTTCTTCCTCGATTCAATCAAAGAGCATAGCGATATCACGGTCGAGCGTGGCGTGCTGCCTACTATGTTCGAGTTTGATGAATCTAAAGCTGCGGATTTCGAGGATTACCCGATAACAGTCACATTGCGCACTTTGTCTGAGGAAGAGGCTACTCCTGCTCAGCGACAACAGCACCACCGGAGAGCTGATGGCACACAGTTAGCCATCAATGACGGGCTTTTTCGAAGTAACCTAGCTGCCGACGACACGGATGATCTCATTCGTACGGCGAAAGCGAATAGCAACACCAACTCCGTCGAGACGGTGAAGGCGAAATTCATGGTTGGTTGCGACGGTGCGCATTCCTGGGTGCGGCGCCAGCTTGGCTTCAAGCTCGAGGGAGACTCCACGGACTATATCTGGGGCGTACTCGACATTGTACCCATCACGGATTTCCCGGATATCCGCTATCGGTGTGCCATTCACTCGGCCAATGCGGGTAGCGTTATGGTCATCCCACGGGAAAATAAGCTTGTTCGATTGTACATCCAGTTGCAGGCGACCGAGAATGCGCAGAATGGAGGTAAGGCTGACCGATCGTGGATCACTCCAGATGTTATCCTGCAATCTGCGCAACAAATTATGCATCCATACAAGATCGACTATACGTACTGCGACTGGTGGACAGCATACCAGATCGGGCAGCGTGTGGGTGACCACTTTTCTCTACGCGAGCGTGTCTTTCTGGCTGGTGATGCGGTGCACACGCATTCGCCCAAGGCGGGGCAGGGTATGAATGTAAGCATGCAGGACAGTATGTATACCCGATATAATAACTTGAGGTCCACTACTCACCGCTTGCACAGCTTATAATCTCGGATGGAAGATCGCGCATGTAGTCAAAGGGTACAGTGAGGGATCGATTCTAAAGACATATCAGTCAGAGAGAAGACGGGTTGCGCAAGACCTGATTGATTTTGACCACCGGCTATCAAGACTATTTTCGGGTCGACCAGCAAAGGACGTCGCAGACGAAGGTGTCAGTATGGAAGAGTTCAAGAACGCAATGGAGAAGGGGAATGAATTTGCCAGTGGGATTGGTAGGTTTTATGCTTTCCTGATTTTCATTTGCAGGCTAATGCAAGCAGTGGTCAATTATGGTACTAGCGTAATCGTGGCAAAAGAAGGCGACTCTGCTGAGCAGGGAGATGGTACTGAAGTTGCTGCCAATCTCCAACGTAGAGTGGTCAGCAAGAGTCATCTGGCCACAAAGATCGACATTGGCAAGCGGATGCCAAGTTTCAAGGTACTTAATCAATCTGACGCCCGTCCATGGCATCTGCAGGAGCGCTTAAAAAGCAACGGGCGATGGCGGATTATCGTGTTCCCGGGTCAACTTACGATGCCCCAAAATATGCAACGCATGCAAAGGCTTGGTGACAAGCTAGGCAGTCTGGACTCATTCATTCGCCAATACACTCCATCTGGTCAGCCGATTGATAGCTTTATCGAAGTTCTCACAGTCCATGCTGGCCCGCGGAGAGGAGTGGAGCTTCTCGATCTGCCGGAGGCTTTCCATCCATATAATGAGCAGATGGGCTGGGACTATTGGAAAGTCTTCGTCGATGATCAATCTTATCATGAGGGACATGGACAAGCCTATCTCAATTACGGTATCGACCCTAGCCGCGGTGCCGCTGTTATTGTCCGGCCGGATCAATACGTGAGCTGGGTTGGCGAAGTGGATGATTATGACGATATGGCAAGATTTTTCTCCGGGTTTATGAGGTTGCAAGCCCCCTTGAAGCCCAAGACTAGAGTGGCCCAATAACATCTTCCACTGTCTGAAAACCGTGAAATGACCTTCTGCGGCTGGCTACCAGACCAGTGAGATTCTCAAGGTACGTACACCGCAGTAAGTAAGAAATATACAGATTAGGTTTAGCAAGCCCCTAGTTCTCAAATAGAACTTTCTAGTACCTTACAGTAATACTGCACCAGGCTATTTAAGCGGCATATATCAATATCATTGGGCATGGCTTCAGCCACATGGGTGAGCCAACAGAGCCTCGTCAATTACCGAAACTGGATATTGGCGCAAACTCTTTTCAACATTCAAGCCTTCTACCACAGCTGAGGTCTACGCTACGCACACCTGCCATCGCTCTCTCTTATTTGAGCTTTTTATCAGACCACTGAATGATTGCTTTGAGTCTGCTCGACTAGTGCTACGTTATCTCACCTTTCAGGAGCTGGGACTATCGGTGGATCATAAGCAATTGAGGGCTAGTCGCTGTGAACAGGTGCTCATGTTGTTATTCTTGTAAGCCGCATAGGACACTAGAACCTCTTTTGATCCACGGTCAGCTATCGCAATCCATGTTTAGATTCATTCTGGCGTAGAGCCTACGTTGGCTCTTCATCATCTACAGTTAGCCGGTGCATGAGGGTCAAACTCGAGTCAGCGAAACAACATCGCTAGCATTAGGCAGTTTGAGCATATGCAGGAAGCTTATGGCACGCAGTGACAGAGAAGTTGACAGCTTCTCAATCCAAACATGCTCCAGAATCTGAACTTAAGAAATAGAACTTTCAAAGTATTACTATAAGATACAACAAGGATATATATTCCATTACATTTATTCCATTACTAGTGCATAGCTATATAAATTATTAAACATTTTATAAATCAGGAAATTAAAAAGTCCAGTAATTCACGAAATAACTAAAATGAAAAAAGTCCACGGCATGGTGAAAGAATGACATGAAGCTCCCCAACACACATCCACCATCTTGTAATTTCCCTCTCACAAGCACGTACAGATGGTCTTCCTCCTTAGCCTTCGGTGACCTGGAGAGCAGCATAGCTCTAGTTGCAACTATTGGGACGGGGTCCTCCTACAGGATGTTAGTATCATATCTAGTATAGATACCATGAGGTGTCACCGTACTGCAATTACGGGGCTTGTCGCGGTCTTGCACCCATCCCTTGGGGGTCTTGTACCAGTTTCTGCATTTGTGTAAGCAGTGATTAATGCTTCACGCTTTCATAAAATACCTGTATCTGCATTGGAAATTGACAGTTTCGCCTCTGTTGGATCGACCGGTAATGTCACTGGAGTCGCAGGGGTACTTGCGGTAGGGAAATGGACGCTCTACTCTGCAATTATCCCGTTCTTCAAGAACAGATCCCTCGACCTCAAGGTCGTCAGGCTCCGCGGTTGGAGTCGCATTGACTAGGGGCAGAGTAAGGGGAAGGAGGGCAGTGAGAAGATAGATTGGTGACTTCATGTTGAAGCTCAAGAAAGCTAGATGCCTTTTATATGTGGTGTAGTTCAAATACCGTGAATTGGTTGTGATTGATGTTCTCCAGGATAGATATGGTGAGCGTATCACTGCTTTTATATGCGTCTATGCACTCCGCGATTATACATGGACGAAAGAAAGAGTTTGTTGCAAGCTGGCCAGGCCGATCGAGACAAGTTCCAGCTACTTGGCCCTGAATCTCATGACTAGGAATTTATGTCTCTATTCGTTCCCGGATGACCATGATACTTTGGAACCATAGCTATGGCCTATGCCGGCGTATACTGAAATATTCCATTTTCTTATTGTCTAGTATAGAGATGTGCTGCAAGATCGACAATAAGTAGAAACGGTATTATGGTACAATTCATCACTGGCTAGGGCCCGAGATCTGGGTGTATCTAGGCCCTGTTTCTGCGAGTGAGACTTGTTTCTGCTGAATGCTATTTACGAGCCCAACACCAAGGTGTGGCTTGTTCTCTTCGTAGGTTATCCGGTCACAAGTTCATTTAAACTTCCCCATATTCGATTGATTAGCGCCAGATATAGTAGCACGTCCCAGGGATGGGATTATCTTCGGTATGGTACACCCTAATTCATGGGGCCGTAGAAGTGCACAGTGTGTTGCCACCCATCAACCTTCACAGTTGTATAGTTCGTTGTAGCGATCTCTACCCACTAAAAACATCATGGAGACTAATAGAATGAGGCTGTGCTCAGGAAAGCCTATCAGCGCTATCTTTAGTGCTAGATGTTTCATGAGGCTCAGCTGTAGAACCGTTCAAAGCTAGTAATTGAGCTTGAACCATGACTAGAATGCGGTTTTGATGTACGAAAACAATATATTTGTCAAAGGTTGGGGTTCTATATCCTAACTGTAATAGTAAATTACATTCTAGGGTAAAAAGTGCTCTTTCTTGATTACATCACTAGCTGAGCCGTTCGTAACTACAACGCAAGCAACATTTGGTCCGTGCGTTTTCAATGCAAACCTGATATATTATGCCCACATATAATTCCTTTGAAAATTTTGGGGTAAAGTCTCGACGTCAATAGTGATTCGACGGCCTGTCAACCGTGGCAACGGAGGACCACTCGTATGACTTGCAAGTTGCAACACGATATGCACGCACTGATTCTTTGACGTCCATGGTTTGCCCGGTCTTGGCAGTGAAATCGCCGGAGTCAAGACTGGCTTGGCATGGCCAAGCCCTGGCTTTCACGGAAAGTCTAGAACGCACGAGCGGGACTCGCGTCCGCCGCAGCCCAAGTGTCACCTGAAGGGTTGCTCTCGTAAATGGTCGGCACGGATTCTATGGTCATTATCTTCCGTATGATTACCAAAGGACCTAAGATGGGCCCAGCCTTTCCCCAACTAATCTTTGCCAGAAAAATATGGATATGCCGTTCATTGGTGGTGGACTTGCTCATATGTGGATATCCTAGTTACCTTGCCGGATCCTACCAGATTCCCGACGTTGGGAGCTATCAGAACAGCAGAGCTGCGGCTTGTACTTCCATTATCCAAATGTGCTAGAATTGTTTGGAACAAAACCACCTGGGCACAGCTCAAACGATACGACCAGATGTTCATAAAACTTTGCGTCATTACCCGCTCTAGGAGCCACAAACCAACTTGTCTAAGGTGGTGGTCATAGAAAGTCTATGCTACCAAGCCCCGGCACTATTGAAAAGGTCGAATATTCAACTGTGGTTCACCACCATCAGAAGGAGATGCTGCTACCAGAACCAATACGGATTCTAGCAAACGTTGTAGGAGTTATACTATAGTCCCCCAAACTAGAACGCCTTGTCATATGATACATAATGTCTCAGAGCTGATTTACAACCGTGCGTGAAACATTGCCAAAGAAATCCTTCCATTTCCCTGTCTGATCAAGCCATAGCGTCATTATGCAAGCTAGGGAGCCCCTCAGCCTCTATCCCGGAGGCTATAGCTTTCCACTAAACTCCATTCCCACTCGTTCCCTAACCTCGGGCTTTTTGTTCGACTCTTTTCTCTGTTGGTGGAGATCTCCGGCCCGTACAGACCATCCAGGGCCCTGATCGGTGAACTACCATGGAAGCAACAGTTGGGCGTTCATGGATCGACATGTAGATCTGGTTCGTTTGGGTCCTGTACGAGCAAACATCCGACCGCTGCTATTGGAGCCATGGAATTCAAATTTGAGCAATCTGATTTCCAGGAATATCCTATGGATGAGTTTTCCCGGAGAAGCCGATGATTCTCCTACAACACCGGCATAATGAGGACTGAATCTTATTGGTACTTTCCCTTCCACTCTAATTATTTATCTTATTTTACTGAAAAATTACCTTCTTGTCCCGCCTCACATCGACATTTAGTCTAATTAGTGTGCTATAATTATACTGAACGTATAATCTTAGTAATAATAATGCTTCTTTCCGCCTTTCCGGCTTTCCTACGGGTGTTTCACCAACATGGTTCAATGTTGCATGGCACCTAGCATTCACTGGGCTTCAAGACTCGATAGGGGCCAAGTTATAGCGAGTTATTAAACCAAATTACTATGTAAATAGCAGTCGTTGAACTAGTCAAGGCGTTTCTTGACGCTATGTACCCAGCGATCTCAATCATCATAGGCAAATCCAATTTGACAATTGACGATTTATTCTTAGAAATAGCCCTCAGAGGAGCTCTCTCAGCCAGGCTTTCAATCTCTTCTCCTGTTGTGTTTCCTCATTATCTCCCACATACAGATTGTATATAGGGGCCACATGACCTTCCTGACGCCCAACAAATAGTTCAACAGAAGGGAAGCCAGTCTGCATTGTCAGCTTGTCCTCTCTGTTGACAAGAGTTGCGCTCACCTTGACTTTCTCCACGAACTGTCGAATTGAAGACAACATAATTTCATTTTGCCCTGCTAGAACCAGAATTTCCTGTGTTTTAAAATGTTGAAACCAGCCTGAAGGAGCTGTGCTGGCGTCGGTGTAGCAATCATGCTTCGCACTTCCTAGATACGCTTGGCACCAGGGTTTGGCAACGTCTGGCGTAATCACGTCACCGAGACAGTTAAATTCTGTGTCTGCTCTCACATCAAGGGATGTCCATGGTGCAATGAGGACGGTCCCCGCCAGTGGCTCCTGAAAATCCAGTTTGGCTATTGCTTCATGAGGCGATGTCAGGTGCGAGAGAACACCAACGGCCAGGTTGCGGCCCGCAGAGTCACCACCTAGCATAACATTGGCCGGGGCACGATTAGTTCTGGTTAGAATGTATCGCAATGCTTCGACTGATTGAATAAGCTGCATTGGATACTGCGCGTTTGGAGCTAGTGTGTATGCGACCGCGAACACTGCAAGGTCCTTGCTCGCAGCGGACGAACTCTGAATGAGACTTTCCCAGAATTTAAAGTAGCCAATGTTGGCAGGTAGACAGAAACCTCCTCCTATTTTCAGTTAGGAAATGGTGTGGACGATATCAATTGTATTTTGTGGCAGTCCTACCATGGTACCAGATCAATACATTCTGTGCATGCTTGTCTCCAATCCAATGGCCCTTCGCATCATACTCCAGTTCTATTGATTGGGACACAGCCCCGTGCGACTGCATATATTGCTTATACACTTTTTCCGTAGAAGGGGATATCCATCTTTTACCTATGAGCTTTGGGTATGAATATTGGGGAGAGAACATACTGCAACTGTAATGGAGAGAGGCGAGCGCTCGCCTTGCGCAGAATGGCGTACGCGACATGGAGATAGAAGGTTGGTGTGCCGGACTTGTTTCGCTTTAAGCCAGTAAAGAGGGCAGCAAGGCCCGCGACTAGGATCGAAGCTATAGCTGGGAGCAGATCCAATCTACTAGCTATCGAGAGTGACGGCTTGTCTGCCGGTCTCACCCTGTTTTTCGTTAACATCATAGTAGATACTATAAGAGGGAATGGTTGGATGGGGACATAGCAGAGCCGTGGGCTACTGCCGCTATTAAGGCCCGCTATCGCAGGGTCGCTCTATGAGTATATCTAGTTACGGTTTGATAGTGGCAACCTGATCCGCGGCTCCGGAACGGTTCCGGATATAGACCAGATGCAGAGCTTACAGATTCTGGGGAGATTAGGCCGACTGAATATTGTGCGCGTGATACATCTGAGGGCTATAACACCATATATCCAAGGACCCCTTCCTAATATTCGAGGACATGTGATGAACTGTAGTATAACCAAGGGATAGCGCAAGTCTACATTAGGGGTTGATGGTTGATACTGTTATCCTCTGTGTAATTGTACCAATGCAAAATAATACGATGAATAATTCAATCAGAGAATAGGTGAGTATTACAATTCACGGTGACACCTCACGGTTCTCACAGACACATAAGGGCGAGCAGCATCATCTGTAGATCTGCGACAGACAACCTGCCCAGCTGGGGTTTCGGATTCCGCGGGTCCGGTGGCTCCGAGATATTTGCCAGCTTATATCCAGGGATACTGGTGGGCAGGACTTGCCTGCGGTCGACAACGACGGGAGGCATCCAAGTGAAGACGCATATATCTTAGCTTTTGAATAACTCGAAAGGCACCAAATCCCAATAACAAAACTTCGTAGAACATCTTAGGCCTCATAAGTGTAATGCTCAAGGGCACCGGAATAGACTATAAATTCAGCTTAAAGAATCAATAGACATTACAATACTCAAAATTCCATTCTTAATAAAAGGACCACTAGCTTTAAAAGATAAATTTTAAGCATAATAAATCCTATCCTAAGAAGCTGCATCGCGAAGAAGTCCCGTACAAAAGCCATACCAACGAGCCAAGACATGGAGAATGCCTTTCACCTTTGGGAACCCATTTGTATGTTTGTCCTTTGAAGGGTGTAGAGGCATCTTATCATCCTATTAGCCGCTCTTTTCAGTGTAAATGTCAAAGAGAAACCTGGGCCCTGTCTCGGTACGGCTCAATCGTATCAAATCTGCCGATTTGACCTTTGAAACGTTGATCTTTTGCTCTGCCACTTGTTCTACCTCATCTGGGAATGTCCAAAAGACACTTTCTTCCTGATACCCAAAATCACCAGCTCGCTGGCCATTGAGACAGATATAGGATGAGTCTCGCCTTCCAAAAGATACTACCGAGGTGCCGATGACAGCGTCAAAGTCAAATGCTTTGAACTCGAATAGCTTCTCTGCACCTCCGTAAAGAGTTGGCAACGCAACTGCAAAAAGAAAAGGACCATTAGCCTGGCGCTGGGCAAATTTGGCAAATGGAATATCCATGCTTACTATCAGTGATGCTGCCGCCGTCAACAGTTCTCTCTTGGGCAATATAAGCCACTGTCTTCAGAGCCAGCTTTTTGAGACAATCAGTATCAGTATATATATCGATAATAGTAATGTCCAAAATACAAAACCGACAGCTGACTTACCAGGACCTTTCTCTGAAATTCATATGGCTTTGGATACGGAAGTGGCTTATCCACCTCAGTTGGGTCTTTGTCGATCGCTTCAACCTGTTCATACATTAAAAAAAATTAATATCGAGATGTTTTGTACAACGCTCAGATTCACCTTGTTGGAGATTGCCAGGTTTACTGTTGTCCCTTCGTCATAAAGATCGGCCTGCTGCTGCCTGCCCTTGAGGAACTTATCAACAGGCACTATATTAAACGTTGGTGTTAGCTAAGTTTGGGCATCAGTTCCAATCACTGTGCCGCGGATTGTCATACTCTTTTTGACGCCATTAATGTAGACACCGTACTGTGTAAAATCCTCGAAAAGGTTCCAGCTCTAGTAAAGTTATTCGATTGTCATGATGCTGAGCATAGAGGTCAACAAGGGTCTTACCCTTTTGTTTGCAGCTGTGTAGTCAAATGGATCGAATGCATTGTTAAAATCCGGGACATTGGTGTATTTCCACAAGACACCGCTGTCTTGGTCTCAGTACCTTATATGACCTTCACGGCAATGTTGGGTAGAAGAGAAAAAATATACTTACAAACGTCTGTATTTATGCTTCCCATCCTTCACCTCCTGATAGAAATTATCAGCCTGCTTTTTAATTTCAAAGAGCGGTGAATCTCCATCTTCAGGAGTTGCATCAATTCGCTTGGTTGCAGCCAACTTGTTTCCGCCGCCAGAGATATGGATCCAGATTGTTGTCCGAGAGTTTTTCTGAATTGACGACACAGCATTCTTGACTTCCTCCGTCACTTCTCCGGTGGCCCCGTACATCGTCAAAGCGACTGTGGCTCTAAATCTAGAGTCAGATTTCAAAGTGCAAAATGGCGATAGACTGGTAACCTACGCCTGTTTGACTTCTTCCGTGCTGGATTTGTTAATTGAGGATATGCTTACACGGGCAAGGAACTTGCCACCTTTGATAAAGTCTATAATCATATTGAAATGGACTCTAAATGAGACGTAATGTTCCTACCTGTAACAAACCGGTCCCCATACGTTGCATGTGGATTAGTAGTTGAGATTTTGTTAAAGGAATATGAGTTATCAATTGACGCTTGTTGCTGCGATGACACCTCGACTTGATAGGTAGTCGTGGCGCTTTCAAACTATGGAGAATTGATAATCAGCTAGTCAGGCACAGCGAAGAATCTTTAGTGTTAATTCCTGTATTCCCACCTTGGACCAATTGAGATAACTGGCATCCACCTTGGCCGACTGGCCCCAGCCTGATATGGCGGCCCCAGCGGTGATCTCCAATGACTTCGCAAGCTCCCTGAACGATGAGAGATCTGAAGTCAGCATTGCAGTCTGCTGAATGGTGGGGTGTACAGAAAGAGCAAACATATGTTTATCTTACGTGTAGTCCTGGATTTCGTCACTCTTATAGGTTAGATCATAGGTATCAGAAGGTGGTGTTTTAGACGTTATAGTAACAGCATTTGCTACACGGAGCTCTTGAAGGTAGGTATCGTATCTAGATGCGACAGTTATCTGTGTGTTAGCTTCGAAGAATCTTTCAGAAGAATATATCCATAACTCAGTAAATGGTCCGTATCATACCCCTGCCCTTGCTGCATCCCATCAAAGTATGGAACAAGTTCAGCAACCATGTTGGGCTGTTGTACAGCTATGTACGGCTTCCGTGTGGGCAAGAAGAGTGCAGTATAATAGATGAGAGAACCAATGCGAAAGAGACTGGCACATTGAACCTAATAGGCATTCCAAGGCTGTTGTTCTTATAAATACATAACTGTGACGGCGGTGATATTCGGCTTAGTTCCGCAAGTCAACTCATGATACCCTGATACCACGGTAGCCATGACACAAGAGTACTCGAATAGACAATTCCGTGACGGTAATCTGCATAACGCAGTTGTTGCATAATCGGCAGTATGCGGCATCCTTTGTGCAAGAATGTCTCAAAATCTGTTGATGGGTCTAGTGCGTGGCATCCATGGAGAGAAAGTTACCTGAGCCCGTTCCCCTAAGTTACTTGGCATTTGGGATGTTATTTTGGGCATCTATACATCAATTCGCAGCCTGGATGCATTTCTCTGGCAGATACAGGAACATGCTAGCAATCGTGGGCAAGTGTGTAGAAGGCTAATGAGATTCATTTACTTACGTCAAACGTCTACATGATCGAAATACTTCGACATGCAAGTGGTTTCACACCTACCATGTAATACGGGTTTACGAAGGCGGATCCACTTTGAAGCGAGCTGTAGGTCTAGTACTGGGGTAAGCGTAGAAAATATAGTAGTCCAGGCAATGGTGGTCATTCTCTGTACCTCACAATGCCTCACGTATTCATTTACGGTTCTCTACGATCACAGCAAAAGGCAGCTTTCTGTGCTCTGCCTTTTATTATAAACGATAAAAAGGCTTCGGAGAACTGTGGTTGGTATAACTTGAGATAAATCCTACTCCCATTGCCACAATACACATGTACAGCCCTCTGGTCACATTCAGCCAGCCATCTGCGTCAATCTCTAACATGGGGGAAACTTCCTGCATACAAAATGTGGTGAGCGGTGAGCCACTTGCCTGGCGGGTATTCCGGCCGAATCGTTTTTCACCACACTAATACATGCATGCATGTATCCAAAATACACATATGATAGGTTATGATATCCAGTTACGACGCAGTCATACAATCGGAACATCTTGGTGAGGTAGCAAATTAACTATCCTAAATCTGCAGTTCTAGGAGGATTCTAGTAGTATATGGTATTCTGTACTTCAGACCATCTTTAAGTCATCTTAAGGGGGCTATTTAGGTTCTTCTGTTTGTACCTTTTATATAATATATCCGATGTTTAGCGGGGAAGGAACCACAGTTACACGACGGTCAGTCCGCCCTCCCGTCCGTTGTTAGTTGACAACATCCAACTCTGCTCGTTGAGGGCTGAATTGCTGCGTGGTGGTGGAGATATTGCGCAAGCCATGCAATCAAAATACAGCAATCAATGCAGGCGCTAGGGCTAGTTCAAATGCCAGACATCAGCCTAATCCAGATATGTTCGATATTCGTATCCGCGCCAATGTTCGATCGAATAATATCTGCCGACGTCGATTGCAACTGCTCGGACCCCCTCTTTACCGATCACTCAAGGTGGTCTACTCACCCCGGTTTTCTGTTGTTCACATCTTTTTCGTTCTTGCAGTAGGCCCCTTTTCAGTTCCTCATCCATGAAACCAGTGACTAACCAACAGCGCTCTATATTTTATTATTGGCCACAACACTGTGACAACATGGTGGGTCTCTGTCTGGCTTTGCATAATACTTGTTGGCCCATGCAGCTTATGGTAACGTGGCAGACATGGTTGGTAAATGCTAGCCGGTATGTGCTCCACTGTTGTGCTCAATGTGATAGTCAATGAACTGAGGCATTTCTCCTACAGTAGTATTCAGTGGAAGATTCCATTCTATTGTACGTTGCTGAGTATCACATAGTCTGATGAATGCATCTGGGGAACACACACACACACACACACACACACACACACACAGATGCGGGGAGATTCTCGAATATAAGAGCCCTATAAATGACCCAGCAAGAACACAACTCAATCTCTCAAACATCCAAGCTTTCCTTTCAGCTGCTTTGGTTCCATTTCTATATAGTTATTTTGCAGAATCTAAACACCCACTTTTGAAAATGGTATCAGCGCAGTGGGTCACGGTCCATCTCATAAATAGGATGTCTTCGGATACCTTGAGTATCAAAAATGCTATACTCTACGAGTAAGAAGATAACCACTTTGCCTGTCAAGTGCAACTGGCCTCTCCTCTAACAGAGCACCAGTGGCAAGTGGTACAAGGACGGAAACCAGGATCACGAAATCTCTTACTCAGATGTGAACGAAAAGACAGCGCCTCCAGACGGCTCTGTCAATGTCAACTCTTGTGGCCGCTCAAATGCGCCTTCTGGAACAACTGGAGGTTTTGAGATATACGACGGTGAAACGAAGATTGGAAACGTCCACTGGGACTGTCCGTGGGGTAACAGAACCAACGAATTCGGCGTCGATGAATGGAACGAAAATTACTGGGTCCAGATTGGATCGTGGAGCCGCGTGGGTGGTGCCATTGGCACCGTCGATGTTGAAGTTGGAAAGAAGGGCTAAAGTATTCCTTTACCCATCTGGAAAAGGAGGAGCATACACCTTTGCCCCTTCCCTTTCTTGTCATCCTAGCTGGTTTATCCTACTTATTGTCATTCTTTCTTCATGTTACATAAACCAGACCTGACAATAACTTGTCAATACATTTCATTGGACGTCCTTTGGTGCAAGCGATATTATGCTTGAACCAGAAGAAATCAACAGCATACCGTACTGAAGGAACAGCGTGTGCCTAAAATGACCCATCGATGTTAGTCTTGATTAGTTATTAGCAATTTACCAAGAACAGTAGCTATAACAGGCACTTCCGTAAGCTTATACAACCTACTTACTGGCATACAAAAGGCCGTCTAATCCAAATAATGATATTTCATTTGGCGGGATGTTTGAAGTTAGGTGAGTATACTTAAGTAATTTAATTCAAGGCACCCACGGTCGGGGCACCATGATGGGATCATCATTGAGACTTCCCCGTAAGGAACTAGTATGAATCAAGTTTAGAGTTCTGGGTTCTATTTTCTGAGTCCAGATGGTGTGTTACTGCGTACTCATTGACCAGGAATATTGCCCGTTGCATGTGAGGGGCAGTGCCTGAGGGGTTCGGTGATGGGGCTCAACATGGGAGTACTGCTGTTGCCAGTCTGTATAGCATATGCCCCGTGCACCCTCCCAAATAGCGCCTGGCTGGAAATACTACAGTGTACTGTTGGTGTGCCGGTCTGCAGTCATACATAAAATCTCTCATACATTGCTGTATAAGTGATTGACAATGCGCAGATACCCAAGTAGACTGCAACAGGCTTCAAGCGGCTCTTATGCCGGTGAATCCGCCATTACTGGTACTCTGAAACCTAAATAGGAACATATTCCCAGCTAGACTCTGTTCTCTCCCTAGTGTTGTCCATTTTTTCCGCACTCTTCGTCCTGGTTCAGTTGGCTTACGACGTCAAGCTTTCCATACAAAATGGGCACGGCCGTGTATCATTCTGCTATAAGAATCATAAATGCCACTGGCAAGAGCATCTATACAGGCAATGTAGTGCTTACGTGGTACGTACTACCACATCACCATCAATATCTTGGCGCCAATATGTGAATTCATTATTGATGCCTTTACTTATCAATATATTTTATTGACATGCTCGGGTTTTGTTTCTAGGGGCAAATTCTTTGATGGGATCGACAAACGAACCGAGATCCCCCCTCATGACCTTGAGGGCAAAGAAATTCAGGACAAGGATTTTTGGGTTTATGTTTGCCGTCGTCCTGATATAGCAGATGGTGAAGAAGGTAGCATTGATCTTGTGGACGGAGATGGCAAACGCATCGCTACTCTTACTTGGGACGCACCTTGGCAGGACACGCGGCCAAATTCGTTCGATGTGATCAACAAAGCATCCGGATATTCTGTCGTTGCTGACGGGTGGTTAAGAGAAGGGTGGGAGTTTGGTACTGCAAGGGTTCAAGTGACTAGTGTTGAAGAATAGATGGTTGCGGCGTAAGGATCGTCGTGCTGTTGTTTGTCTCCTTAAGTGCTTCGTACGTTTTCGAAATAGCCTTACAAATTTCATTGGTGCTCAGAGCTATTTTTCTGCGAGTCGTACGGTACTCCTGAGTGTCTTCTGTTTTGCATTACGATAAGCGTTTTCTTGTGATGAAAATATGGGTAAGGATAGTAAGACAGTATACCGGGGGGTATCAGCTCGAGTCAACACAGCTGGTGTATGTTGGGCTCACAACTGAATGGGCTATTTCTCTCAGGCAATCACTAATCTGCATGCTAATGCATGTTCCTGTATGCCTCGGTGCTCTGTAATGAAGACCCAGAGACCTATCATGGATGGCTCCTCCTCCTCCTCCCTACGTAGATTTAATAGAAATCAGTCAGCAGAAGCCCGCATCTAATGGATCTGGGAGCTAGTGACCTGCAGGGATATTTTGAGCTAGTCTACGTATTGCTGTCTGTAGACTGTATTACCCTGGAATGCCTTTAGTCCTAGGTAATAATACACTAGTATGGATCCTGCGGATCAGCTGCAGGTAACAGTACTAGGTACTCAGCTATGCTAGATCTCCTTGTGGACTGTTGCTGGCTGAAGCGAATTGGTGCCAGTGGTACTAGGTCAGTCTTCCTCCGTCGAGGGTTTTATTTTTATAATTTTCATTCTGTTCACAACCTAGTATTTTTTTTTATTCCGCAAGATTTTGCATTGAAACTGAGGTCGGCATATTTCGTAATTTTGCTGACACTGCTAGACGCTATATAGCATGTCATTATCTCTTAAACCTACTATCAAGTCTATTACTTCGTCCCAGCCTTAGGCTTCTATCCACTCTGGCAAGCAAACATGATTTCTTATCTAAAGCTAATAGGTCATAGTCATCAGCAGCCCTTTCGTCTCTCTTCACGATGCTACCATAGTGATGGATGGAAATTACTTGTCGAAGATTCATTTATAACAAACGGAAGGAATGCCCCTGAGACATGCATCGAGTGAGATATGTCAGCATCTTCCGGGCTCTTACATCCCCGCGCAGCGGCCTTGTCGGCTGAATGGAAAGATGCAGACCTTGGGAGAGAGCATACTGTACGGCTACTTTATTCTGCGACTGATATACGTTAGTCGTTACTCCCAAGTATATCAGAGAGATAATACGCGTGCCTTTGTTATAGTCACCCGGCAAAGACCTCACAAGTAGGATAAATAACGATGTTCATTTACATGACCATTTGACATACCCCCATCTGAATACAGAATAAATACATCCCTTTCGCCTCTTTATTTTGTCCTTGACCCGCTTTCAGAATCACGACGTTACATCTCGATGTCAAAGGAAGTATGACCCTCAAACTGAGCGGGTAATGGCCCATAACCTAGCTACTATTATTTAGAACCGGCTGCCTGATATTCTAGGCACTTCCTCGGGTTCACGACAGATATCACAAGCGACGATCGGGCATAATCGCCCAGTCCACATTTCACTCCCGATCCCGATCCTGCCCATGACATGCCATTCTCTCGGGATCGTCGCCATATCTGCAGTGAAGCTCAGTTATTCTTCGGACCGTGAACTCCCTATGGTGCCTATTCACGTGGGTATATGCACTGAAAAATATGGCTCTGCCAGGATGTCCTGTTTCACCGTAGCAATTCCCAGTATTGAACAGGAAATCTACTCAGGTGAATCGGATACCGACGTGCCGAAGCCAATCCTACTACGTCACTAGTGGTGGTTGGTTAAGAAAACGATGGGTGTAGCAGTGTGGACTTTACACATGTGCTTGTTCTGATGTGGATGCGATAGTATGATTCTCATGTGGGTTCGACTCGTTTTGAGAAGCGAAAAGAACCCGGCCAGGCGGACAAAATTCCTTTAGGGGCCGCGGACTGGGACAATAAAAACGTCCAGAGTCGGCCTATTTGTCTACCAGATGGCAACCCGTCCGAAGGAACTATCCCTGACTATGCTTAATGGGGCATGCTAGGCTCATTCAGGAAATATACAAGTGAAACTTGAATTTAATCCATATCCCTGATGAGCCTCTTCAGGCACAGATTGGAACACTTTACGATTCCTTATCGTAACTAAGTCAGGGAGCTAACGTGAATTAGTAGGGCACAGTTAGGCACGACGTCGGGCGGTGATTGGTCCGTTTAAAAGATCCTCGGATCAGCCACGTCGATTATTTGATCAGCCGAGGCACAAGAGGAAGAAATCTACATCTCACTGGGCCATTGCTCAACTGCCGCCAAGCATCAGGCAATTTCATCATGTTATTATCTTCAATTGGAATGAATCTCGTTGATAATTCCAACTCGATGATCGTCTCCCTATAAAAAGTTCCCCCTTGAAATATAATCAACCCTACCGCCATTCGGAGCACCGGGCATAGCCGTAGTCATGGCAGATTACCTTTTATCCCAGACACTCTCGGCGCGCTACTACCAGCCCGATCGGTTTCCACACATATCGGAGGCAATCGGTGCAGAACCGGGATCGGACCATGGTCAGATTGTTGAACAGAGGAGCTCACCCGAGCCCTCTCAGTCGGCGAACCGAGTGAGGAAACGCGGTAGACCGAGGATAGCTCCTGGCAATACCTCACCTAATGTATTACTTACTGTTACTCTTGGGCGGATTAAACTTTTGGGCAATAGCTAATTTTCGAGTAGGATCGTCGGGCTCAGATCCGGGCTGCACAAAGGACCTACCGACTGAAGAGAGAAGCCATGTTTCAGGATCTGAAAACACGCGTGTCAGAGCTCGAAGAAAGCATGGGCAGGATATCTCAATCGCTATCCACTTTCTACCACATGGCCATCCAGTCTGATCTCAACCTCACTCATCCTTATCTCTTCCAGCAGCTCAACTACACCGTTTCGCAAGTAAACCGTGCAGGCAAATTATCAAATGTGAACTCATTAACTACGGCGGAGATCCATCATATAGAACTAGCCGCTTTATCCTCTGCAAAGGCCGCCAATGACGCCTTTACCTTTGGATACACCATGAATAGGAATCCCGGGGAAAGTGGGACATTCTACAAGCCACCAGGGAGTGACCGCATCAGAGTATCGCCTTCCACCAAATATGCAAACCGCTCATATCTAGGCAATCTCCCAAGAGACATCGAACGGCCATTAAACGGCAGCGCTACTTTTACATACAGTTATAACGAACCAACATTTGCTCGTCGTCTCCATCGGTACTGCATAGAGTACGCGTACCAATTGTTCACCGATCCACGGACAGATCCCCAAGACATATATCGTGTCTTCCGTCTCGTGACCTGCGTGCGTCAAGAGGACAAAATGGCCCGCTGTCTTACTTCCCTCCTCCGTGCAGGCCCAAAAGAGCCCCTGGAAAGACCGAAGGTGCCTTTCTATTGCATTGGCGGTGCGGGCACGCATTATCCGCAAATGCAGCCTGATGGAAAGCCTCTGTATCCTGAGAACATGCGACTCCCGGGCCGAGTTCTTGGCTCGATTCCGGGCAGCACTCAGGAGATGGACAATAGACCGCCATCGGAGAAGAGACAGGAGCTTCTTAAGATATACGGGCTGGATGGCACCTGGCTTGATTGCCGCGATGTTCAGGGTTATCTCGAAGAAAAAGGGTTCTGTCTTGATGATTCTCCGTGTATCTTTGCCACTCCTACGCTCGAAAATCAGGAGAATTCTCCACAGGCTTCACTGAATCAATCCAAGGGCACTGCTATGGACCTCGATGATAATCATGAGCCCAAATCGCCGCCCCTGCGCAACTACGATGGTGCCGATGAGCGCGTTTCTGGAAAAGCAGGCAATGCAGCAGGACCAGCGGCCTGTGTTCTCAACATCGAGGAGTTCGTTCAAGGTAAACACTCTGTGAGATATCATGATGGATTGTAACTTTAATAAGCTAATCTGTAACTAGCGCTTCTAAGAAAGATGGTCATTCTAGGACGAGCCCCCGGTTTCCGACTGACTGACGTCGAAACAGCCTTCAAGTCAGCCGCGAAAGTATCGTCGAGCTAGGTTTTGCTTGTCTTGCGATCGATCTAGAGGCCCAGAATGTGCAGCTCCCTTTTTGGTGTTCTTTTCTCCTCCTCCTCTTTTTTACCAGCGATCTTCACATGTCCGCTGATGAGCTTTCTTATCAACACCCGTGATAAAAGGGGCGGAAGTCCCTAATGGCTAAGGAAGAAGTCTTTTCTTAATCATAATGCTAATTCTATTTTAACGGTATCATGTATGAACGACTGAATGAGGAAACGGGATAACGGAGTTTATAAGCATGGGTTCTGAGAATGAAAGTCTATTCTTGCATTACATACTCCCAAATTGTTTAGCAGCATGCTAGATTGACAACGATCCCTGACTTGTATCAATGGCAAGAGCTGATAGGTAAGATCCGTTCGTCTTCTGAATCATGCAGGGTATGAAAAGTTAGGGGACACTTGTTCGTTACTTGAAGTAGGGTAAGTGAGGAATGTGTCCCGTCAGCACGCACTACCATTGGCCGACCGAACCCGGCAGACGACGATAGATGATGCAATGCATTACCAATTCAAACTTCAACGTGTCCGAGCACCGACTCAGTTGTCATTCTTCGTATTTAAGCACTACACTACGCCTACCTATATAACTGCTGTTGTCATCTCCGGAAACAATTACTAGTCTAAGCTCGCTCAAGTTAGTTATACCCCTCGCACCTGTACATACTTCTACCCCAGACTTTCAGGTCTCAGTCACCATGGTTGGCATCAACGAAGTCCGCCGATCCAACGCCGCTCTTCACATCCGCGATGGAGACTTCGTCGCAGTTTTCGTCGGGGGAACCAGTGGAATCGGAGAAGCAACAGCCAAGGAGCTAGCAAAGGCCATCAAAACGCCGACAATCCACCTCGTAGGAAGGAATCAAGCCGCCGGCTCCAAGATCTTAGAGGAACTAAAATCAGCCAATCCCGATGGGACCTTCTACTTTGTTCAATCGGACGTGTCACTTCTCCGGAACGTAGACGAGGCGTGCTCGGAAATCAAGCAGAAGGAAAAGACGATCGATCTGTTGTTCCTCTCGACAGGACATCTGGCAACCTCGAAACAAAGCAAGTAGAATCACATACATCCAAGATCTGGAATACATGTCACTAACTGTACAACAGACACAACCGAAGGCCTCGAAAACAACCATGCCCTCCGTTACTACTCCCGCATGCGCTTCATCCACAACCTTCTCCCTCTGCTTGGCGCATCTAAAGGCCCAGCCCGCGTCGTGAGCGTCCTAGCCGCCGGCCAGGAAGGCAAAATCGAAGAAGATAACCTCGATTTACAGAAGTCGTGGACCTTTATGAAAGCCGGCACGTATGCGGCGACCATGAATTCCCTCGCCGCAGAGCACTTGGCCACGCTGTACCCCTCCATCAGCTTCGTTCACGTATTCCCCGGCATTGTCCGCACCCCTCTCATGAACAAGACCATGGGCTCAGTCGCAGGTTCGATCGTTGGCTTCCTATCGCGACCGTTGTCGATTTCCTCGCAGGAGAGTGGTGAGCGGCACCTGTTCATCTCGACTTCCGCTGCTTATCCGCCCGCTACGCCCAAGGATCCGGCGAATGCAGGCGTACCACTTGTGGAGGGAGTGAAGACCAGCGTAGCTTCGACGGGGAAAATTGGCGGAGGATCGTATATTCTCAAATATGATGGTGCCAACGCGGCAAATGAGAAGCTCATGAGCGGATACCGAGCGGAGGATTTCCCGAAGAAGATCTGGGCTCATACCCTGGAGACGTTTAAGAAGGTGTTTGATCCAGCGCAGTAAAGATTACACTCACATCTCAATACGTAATTAATTACTTAATCCTTTGTCAGTCCGACGATCCCGAAGTCCATAGGAAGAAACAACCAATTACGCAGTCGCTGTACACAGCAATCAACCCTTCCATCCCAAGATTAATATTCATTCTATACAAACAACCTCCGACTACATTCCCGTCATCCATCAGGCATTCCGCCGAGATCCACACACGCCTGCCAAGAGGATCGACATATCCCCTTTCCCCCATGGAAACTGAGGGTCCTCGTTTTGCCCAGGCGGATTCCGTTGGTGATCTTATGACGTCATTTCTTCTTTGCAACCACAAACCACTCTGGAAATGCATCTTTTCTAGAACACTGCCACATTAGTAGTACACATATAACTTCAACGGCTCCCATCTCTATTCAGAGATATACACATCTCTATTCACATTCTCCCAAAACGATTCCATCGCCAAAGCCTCCAAGTAGAACAAAACCCCACTAAATTCACAAACCAGACTACAGAATAAGAAAATGGGCTGGAACCTCGACTACAGTGCCATAACCCCCGGCCCAGGGGGCACCGTCATGCTCGGCGAGAAAGGCGGTGCTGAGGCCGTCGCGCGCCGGGCCAAAGAGCGTCGAGCTCGAGAACGGGAACTTGTCATGCAGGAAGGCAGATTGACGGATGATACCATGTCGGAGACGACGCTTGTTCCTCAGTCGACGCAATCACGGTCCGTCGGCGGTGGTGTGAAGCCTGGGTCTAGTAGCGAAAGCAAGGCGCCGGGTGGCAGGGAGATGATGGCGAAGGCTGTGTCTGAGGGTGATGATGCTCCGGATCTTCACGGGGAGAAGAGAAGCGGGTTTCGGGCGAGGTGGAGGGAATTTAGGGAGAGGAATTTGCCGTGACGGTTGCGCTTTTGTTAAATTTGATGCCCGGTTCATTGCCTTTTAGGGATATCGTTCTTCTTTTTTTTTATCTTGGTCTGGTGTTTTTTTTTTTTTTTTTTTTTTTTTTTTTTTTTTTTTATTTTTTTTTTTTTTGTTTGTATATTATTTTGATGTGTTTATGCTATGGTACTATCCTTTTTATTCCCGGGGAAGGCCAGGTGGATTGCGATACTTCCCAGGATTGGTAGGATAGTACCATGAAAGTCAACAGGAATCCCTCGGACAAAGCATGAGAAAAGAAGCCGGAAACAGTCAGAAACACAATCCAAACCTGATATTGGGACTACCCCGAGGATACAAAATCATGTAATCCGGAAAGTAGCAGCAATAAATGTCTAAAAGTACGTCCAACTAACGTTGCTCAAGAATACCAGACAGCTTGGAGCTTACCATGTCCATTGTATACTAATAAAGCCAGCAGATCATGCACGGATATTTCCGCTTATTAACAAAGAGGCACTTTAATAGATAATGGTAGAACCCGTTAACAGGGGAAAGTTTCACTCGGCTTTTTGTCTCAAAGATGGACTCTTCGCCATGGTCCCAATGATCTCATTACACCATGTATGTACATACCATGTAGAGCAGAAGCCAATTGCCTTAATAGTCAATTGCTATAAATGGAGGGATAACTGTCGCTTTGTTCATTCACATCATCCTTTCTTCTCTATGGCCTCAAAGGCACCTCTTTGTTGATATCTTCCTAGTATTACATGTCAGGAACAACTATCACATCTCCTTTCCAAGACCAATGCTAACTACAGACAGACATGGCGGCATATTCACGAAAACCACTATTCAACAGATGCTTTCAAAATTCAATACCATCCGAGGCCGTCCTCGCAGAAAAGATGTGGGCGATAGAATATCTCAACAGTTGGTTTTCCAACAACTCTAGAGCAGGTATACAGTGTCCACACGAGGATCCCAATACACTACAATGGGAGACCATCTACCACCTGTGTATCAATTCCAGTAAGGACGCGGTAATACGGCTACTGAGTCTAGGGCTTACATTTTCCGTGCCCTGGGATCAAAGAACTCTCTTCCATGCCGCTGTCAGGAGACATGACAACGACAAGGAAATACTAGATCACCTGCTGTGCAATCTACCCGTCAACCAATATTTTCTAGTTTTCCAACCAGACGAAACTGGAGAAACAGCTCTGCAGTACGCCTTAAACCAGCCCTACTTCGGTGAGAAGGAGGCGACGCTATTGAGGTGGACACTTTATGCGAGGCAACAAGGGTGGGAGATGCAGTACAATAGAACACTCGCTATTGCTGCACGGAATGGACACATTGATGCCGTCAAAATGCTCCTCGGCGCTTTGCATGACGCGAGGTACGATATGAATACAGATCCACTAGTTGCGGCCATTCGTTACATGGCAGAGGAGGTTAATAATGATGCACACTTCGCCAATGGGTGTGAGATCGTCAGACAGCTCGCCCGGTATGGACATGAGTTTGGCTGGGGCTTTGGAGTGGGATACGCTTTCCAGGAGCTTGTTGGTCTCTTTAAATGAATGGTATATGCAACGATATAAGGTAGACTTACTGTCTGGCGCAGTGCTATACAAATGCCGTAGCGATAATGGATGTATAGTGATGTACCATATATGTCTGTGGTGATATTTTATGCTTTTCAAAGGCGCATACGAATATGGTAATTTCCATCTCATGTCTAAGACGCAAGATATGTGAATCAATTACAGCATCTCTTATCAAAGTGTAAGTTGAAATAGGAGAGAAGATGGACCTAACTACAGAAGGGGCCATTTTGGCGTTGCTTTGCTCATAAGTTAAGTCAAGCCAACACTTACTAAAAATCAACCCTTCAGGAGTCAATTCCATGTTATTTTCACTGTTCCTCGCATTGAAATTGTAATACCAAATAAATATTAGTAGGGGTAATTGAACGCCTTTGTCTTGTCACATTGTCTACTTTACTTTCCGTTCATAACGGAGTCGCCTACGGCCGCTGACTGAAATCATACGAGTTTCCAAATCCCCTATTCAAATATCGCGACATAGCTTCCGACTCCGTAACCCAGTCCACAGGAGTCTCGGTGCCCGTCTCTTTCTCCACCAGAGGCCTCAAATCCTCCGCAAATTCCAGCCTCATGGAGTTTCGATACCACGGCGCGAAATGAACTGCGATCGTTAGCCACGAATTCGCCCTACAATAGGCATCGGAGACTTACTCATTGCCAACATAACCCTAACCTCATCGGTTTGGTTTCCTATTCCCGCATGCCACAGCCTCAAGTCCCTCAGAACTAACGCGCCCTTAGGAACAATAGGTTGAGACGGCGGCCGGATCATTCTCCGCTTCTCCAAGGCATCCAGTTGAATTCGCCCACTGGCTCTCTCGCCGTGCATTCCTTCCTGAACGTGGAGTCCCGAATCCGCGTGTGTTCCTAGCCACACCTCTGTAGACCCGTTTTCGGGAGTCATGGTGATTAGTGGGACGTTGACGACATAGGCGAACGGGTGTGTGGGGTGGGCGAAATCCGCGTCAGAGTGGACAGGCTGAGACATGGGTGGGTTTTCAGCTGTAGGGGGCATGGCTGAGTTTCCAGAGCAAAAGGTCCATTTTGGACGGGGCCCTAGCGCCGTCGAGGTTATTTGGGTAGCGATGGGATCTGAGCCTTTATTAGTACGTATTCCTATGTATTAAACCAAGGTCAGCCACCTACTCAAGAAAATATCAGGGTCGAAGTATTTCCGTACAGGTGGAGGATCCTGCTGAATATTCCCGGGATTATAGTTATAGGGACTGTTTTCTTTCTTGTTCCGCAGCGTCCATGCATCCTCGACCATTTTGTGGTTGAGTCGGTCCAGGGCATCGTGGGGCACAACGTTCTCCACTACGACTAAGCCATCATGGTGGAGACTTCGAATTGCGATCTCTAGATTTTGCGGAGAAAGTTGCCGACTCTTGATTTCTGACTGTGAGGGGGAGATGCTGGTTGGGAAACTTGACATGTTCCGATGTTGCGTACAGAACCTCGCAGGCTTGCAAAGCCTAGCTAGGGGCGTAATGCGTTGCATGTTCGTATAGACGAAAGCCTTGATGGTGTGTTGTCAACTGAACGTGCTATATTGTATGTCTGGGTGAATAGATACAGAGGAATATGTTCTCGATGCATCTTTCAGGGTTAGGGGGGTTTTTTATAGCCCTATCTGCCATGATGTTCTCCATCGATTGTCGATCAATGGTTCGGCTTTCGCACTTCGCATCTCGTTTTTGAGTGGGTCTGGGACGCCGTGTATTTTGGACAATGGTGCGTGGATTTTATAATATCAATATGTCTTGCTGGCCTGTTAACGCAGAGACTATAGAAACTCTGTGGCAATAGAAGAATCCACTTTGAACTAGGTAATCCTATTGGCGCTTGGTAAGAAATCTAGTGGTGACGCATTTAGCAACGGCGAGGATAATGCGAGCTCCAACCCGTTCGCTACTCCATCATGCCCCGACCCTTTCTAACAAACAGTAAGTCTAGTTCATTCTCTGCGAGCTACTCCAGTACGCTAATGCAGTGCCACAATTCCTCGATTACTAGGATGGTACCTTTGACCCCACTCGTATTCAGTCAGGCACTAGTAAAGCTTTCGATTAACACAAGGTAGTCAGGAATGCAGATCCAGAAAGATTAAATGTGAGCCCGGCGAGTTAGCTCCCAATAGATCTACAAATTAATTTTCAGAACAGGTGATGGACATCGACCCGTGTGTCTTCGCTGCCAACAAGCTTCTCGAGATTGTCAGTGGAGCAACCGTTCTGCAAGAGGGCAAGAGACCAGATCGCCCACTAGCCCAGATTCAAGCTTAACCTTCCGGTCGCGGTGCGCCGAGTACGTATCGACGAAAGATCCCGAAAAGGCACTCCGGAATCCCCATATTGCGGCAATCTTCCGTTACTACATCGAGCATCTAGCTGGATGGTATGACCTCAACGATGTCAAGAGGCATTTCGGTGATATAGTTCCTTCTTGTGCACGGAAGAACTCGCTCCTTCTCAGCGCCATTCTAGCGTTTGCCGCCGCGAGTCAGAGCTCGAGCTTCCTAAAGAAAGACCTCTGGGACTTGGCAGAGTCGTACCACCTCGAGAGTGTTCAGACACTGCTACAGCTCACGGAAAATCCAGATGAATTTCGGACCGGCGAGACACTAGCCGCTATCTGTCTTCTTCGGTCTTATGAGATCATATCCCGTGAGTATCTCTCCGGTCTTGCCTGTGGTGTGCTAACTTGGCCGAGAAAATGTCAGTTGTCAGAATCATCTTCAGGGGTCATACTCCTTGTTAGCGAGTCGGCCTGCTGGACTTGAAACGGGGTTACTGAGTGCCGGCTTCTGGAATTACCTCCGAGAAGATATTACTGTCGCACTTATAGAGAAACGGAGTCTTATGATAGACCTCTCGCAGGAACATCTCCCTCCAACTGTCGAAGGCGAGGATGACCTTGCCAACAGGGTAACATACTTACTAGGGAGAATTATCAACCGATGCCTCGATCAAAATGCATCGCCCTTGGAGCAGCACGAGTGGCATTCGCTCAACGACGAGCTCGATACCTGGCGTGCATCTCTACCTGTCTCGTTCGAGCCTATCGGGACTCCGGGGCTGTATGGACAAAGCAACTTCCCCTGTTTATGGACAGTCAGTGGGTGGCATGGTATAAACACTCTATGATACCCACTGATGTATGAGGTATGTGAGCTGACGATATCAGCTGCGAGCCTGCAATACTACCACACGGCCCTGGCAATCCTGAGCGTTGCTGAGCCGATGCAGACGGGAATGAATACGATCCAACAAATTGAACGAATCAATAACTTTGAGAAAAAGCTGGAGCGTCATGCAGTTCAGGTCTCCGCTCTTGCGATTTGTAGCAATTCTGCGCCCGTGTGGGTCAATTCGTTTGGCCCTATTTCCTTCTGTTAGTCTTACCCATAGAACATCCAGGCTTACTGCTAACGGAAACAGGCGGGCCGTGGTTGAGAGACTCACAAATGGTTCACGAATTAATCCAGGAAATACGGAAATGGGGAAGCAAGACCGGCTGGCCAGTTATGAGTATAGTCGAGTCGCTGTCACGATCGCGAACTGAAAAATAAACATCAGAAGTGAGAGGAACTACCATGGGTCGTAAAGAGCTTATCCGAAAGTGGAACCCGTAAAAGGGGCTTGTGGTTTAGTGGTATAACGCTCCATTCGCATTGGAGAGGTCCCGGTTTCGATTACCGGCGAGTCCACGATTTTTTTACATTCGACTTGCGTTTGATATTTTTTTTTAAGCACGTTAGCGACTCCTTCTGCGTGGCTTTTTTTTTTCGGCCTACTAACACCAGACGCACCCTACTATTTTTATCTATAAATCGGTTCAGATGTGTCCAAGTAGTATGGTTAATAGGCTCTGGTACGCGTGAACAATATTCAAGTCAGTGGTGACAGAAATATATAACCACAACCTGCAACAAGAATGACCTCCCAGCCCCAACAATTACAAGTTAAATCCAATACTTTCAACCATACCTATACGGACGTTAAGGGATTAGGTCATATCCGATGCCTGCTAAATACTCTATAAAGATCTGTAGTAAAGAAATACTGACTAGCTTGAAGGCTCATAAGGAATTTGACCAGGAAAGAACAAGTACGGGCTGGGATCTTGCGCGGACATTAGCCACCTATAGCCTTTGCACTATAGAGCATTTAAAGGTTGAAACATTCAACAAATGGTCGCATAACTCAGTTGGTTAGAGTGCTGAGCTAATAACTCAGAAGTCGAGAGTTCGAGCCTCCCTGTGACCACTTTTTTGTTTTCTTTTTATGAAAACATCACCATGATCATTGGGCTTTCCTTTTGCTCGGTGGGTCTAATAGCCCGTCAGCACCGGGTATCCACACACATCCTCCTGGTACTCAGCAGAGAAGCAGGACGGACTCTGAACCATGTGCGACCAAGGTAGTCCTCCAAGCGCGTGTATTTGCCCGCCACGACTTAATGGAACTCAGATATCCAACCCATAAATACTAGATTCTGTCAGAAATACACGCCGGGTGAGTGTGTGATATATGGAATCGTAAAGCCAACAATGGGGCGGTTCAAGGTCTCTGTAGAATATCATGGGGCTTGGACCTTAGCAACCATAATCATAATTTGTATTCTGTGACAGTAACAAAAGCGTATGCAGTGTCTCCTATGTTATCATATTATTTCTGCAAGCCCGTATTTTTTTATGTATGCGATGGTGAGGTGTATACGTATGGGTAAGCCTTTCCTCTCGTCATGGAGACAACTGTGATTGATTTCGCTTTAAAACAAACCATGGAGGCCATTGACGCCTAATTAGAAAGGATTAAATCGAGTCATATTGTATAATACTGGACTGTGATACGGGGATTTCAAGATAAGTCTTCGACTGCTTACACGTATATGTACACTAATTACTCTTAATATATACCCTGAGACGGTGAAGCAATCATTGAATATGCCAAAAAGCTGTACTTAAGCTTCTGCTGGCCATAAGCTAAACTAGAAGTTAATTCTTTCACCAAGGGCGAGTGGTTTAGTGGTATAACATCTGATTTGCATTCAGAAGGTCCCGGTTTCGATTACCGGCTTGTCCATTTTTTGTTATTTTTACATCCGCATTCCCATCTGATAGATAAGATAGCCGTTGTTAGCGAAGCAAGCAAGACCATCTTTGGTACTTGCTTTGGGATTTTTTATTTAATAAAATAAAAACATAAGATGAGAAACGTAATTAGCCTTCGTTTCTAAACATATAACGACTGTCGTTCTTAAGTCCCCAGGCAAGGCCAATTAGAGCTACACGGGTTACCGGTGGCATGAACATTTGGCCCTCGGAGTCTCTCATAAGGCTCTCGCAGGGTCTTTATTATATTACGGCATCAATAACAAACGAACAAAAACAGAGCTTCGTGGAACTTGTGTGGGCAATTACCGAATGGACCAAGTGTGTATTGTTACTTTCAGCCCTTTGTTCGCTAGGGCAACTCCATGGATTGGTCTGTAGTGGTATGGGAGCCTCTGTGTAAGGAAGGGCCTGGCTTTATAAAGCCCTCTCTACAAGAGCATCCTCTTAGGGCCCTATAACATGCACGGCCCAAAAATCGTGAAGTAAACAAGTTCCACAAATAAGTCACCTCCACATCGAGGAAGAGTTCTGGTACCTATTCTCGGACGAAACCAATCGCACTTCAACACCAAAATGCCAAGCAGACGCATATCGAGGACACCTTTTCTCTCAAGTGAAGAGGTCAATTTAGGCAGCCTGATCACCAACTTAAACCAACCCGAACTGGGCGCCCGTGGATGCCCCTGGCCTCTGGGACGAATTGAGGACTTTGCCGTCAGATCTGTACCCGACATGTGCGCTGCTACTCAGCCTACGAAAGAAACAGGACTATGTGCTTCATTCACCCGTCTATTCAAGTTTCCTATTGGCAGTTGTGCAGATAGCGACAACATGCGTCCCAGAGGCGGAAAGATATATACACTCAAAAAGCCAAGGGAACTATTCCATGATCTCAGCACAGACAAGGGAGTTAAGAAATGGCTGCAACAACAAATTGGTGACAAGTTGGACATGTACTTGGTGGAGGGACTTGCGACGTTAGAGGGAAATCCTTCGAGTAGCTGCATGGATAGTGAAGAAAGTTATCCAGCTCAGGGAGAATTGGTCTGCGCTATGCGTCTTATGAAGCTTGTCTTTAATCCCTTCAGGACGAAGACCATAGAGTCTGCACGGTTAGAGAAGAATAGCTCTTGGGAGGTCTTCTCGGACAGCAAGGCGTTGCACACTCAGGCAGCAGAATGGGCTGAAGTGTCCTCCGATGGAAAGGAGAGCAGCCCGGGGGACCAGGATAACCAGGTTACGGAAGATAATGACCACGGTGGGATGTTTACTTTCGATGAGGACCTTCGCGAGCAGCCCAGGAGTCGGCGTGACGAAGTGAGCTGCTTCTCGGATGATTCGTGATAGTTTTTTTATTGTCCTTAGTTTTTTTATTGGTAATATCTAATGCATACACTGGACTTTCTGACCTCTTTCTGACAAGTAGCCTAACTCGAACATTAAGCAGGGCTTAAGTAGAGGGCTCAAGAGCATAGTTACTTTCTTGGGCAGTGTTTAATATAAGATCCTTTAACCTGTTCTAGTCTCCAAGTCACGGCGCAAGTGATATCTATCAAGAGCAGTCACTGGCAATTGGGATGGGCCATACATCATTCCCAATAGAGGGCTACAGCAACCGAGGCAATGTGTTAAGAGAATAGAGTAGACAGAAACATTACCCGGCGACAGTAAGACCAAGACTTCTCCGCACATCCATGCTGACGAGCTATCCGATTTAGTGCCAGAGGGGTGATGAGTCAGTTACTACAGTACCATAAGTTCTAACAGTGTCTACTGCTCCACAGACAACGAAGCCTGAGCTTTCTTATTGGCACAGCAGCGCGAGGCTGAGATTCAGCCGGCGACAGCCTTGTCACCAATGCCCCCAAATATATCGACCGCACCATGCCATCTAACAAAACACATGCATGATTGCTTACAATTGTTTCTTTCAAACTCAAGTCGTCAATAAGAGATGGATGGGATTGGGACAGCATCGGCGATATTACAAATTTCCGGGACAGCATTCAAGGCGTCTTGGCAGCTTTACAATTTCATTGTGACGATTCAAGATGCCCCGCGCGAGCTTTGTGTCCTCAGAGATAATGTATAGGCTTTAACTGCCATTTTATCGAATTTGGAAGGATCTCTCAAGTCTCCTGAGACACAAAAGATTGTGGACCAAGACTCCGAAATTCGGAAAAGCTTGGATAGTCTTCAATGTTTCATTACAAGATGCGAGGTGATGTGCCGACAATTAAATGAATGTCTGCGCTCATACATCCGAAATGGAAAACCCGACAAAGCCTCAATCGAGGGTAAGGAAGGAGATAATAGTCTAACCACCGAGTCCCCAGTCTCGATGGGATCGATTAATAAGATTGCGTGGTACTTCAAGCGAAAGGATGTATTCCTCCGGGTGTCTGAGCTACAACGCACAAAAGAGCTCTTTTCGGATGCCATGGGCAGTCTGACATTGTATGTACTTCAATTGCACCATTCCTTACTAGCTCACTATACAAATCTCCGCCTGACAGTTGACAGGCTCCTTACTATGAGGATATCGAGGGTATCTGCGGGGTCTGATGATTCGGCCCTTCCTGTCAGTTCGAATGGGCACCCATTCGATGACGACGCAGGGTCAGCAATTGTTCTCTGGGCGAACACGGTCCAGTCCCAGAGTCTGTCAATAGACAGCACAAGCATTTCCTCGACTCAAACTCTATCGCGACCGGGGACACCCAAGCCGGCCGATCCCGAGCTCGCGCGGGAGCTCTTCGAAGCCGTTAAACGCAATTCTATTCCCCTTGTGGAGTACCTGCTGGATCGTGTTGATATCAACACCCGGCGGCCTCGAGATGGACGTACTGCACTCTCATTCGCCGCTGAGCTGGGATCTGTAAAAATGACAAAGTTTCTTCTTGATCACGGAGCCCTAGTCAACATTCGCCAGTACACTCGTACCTGTGCAGACAGTAAGGGCCCGACTTTCATTGGCGGGCGCACATCACTACACTGGGCAGCAGATTCGAGGGCATTAGCAAAGGGCGACATCATTAAGCTCTTGCTGGACCATGGGGCAAATCCAAATGCGGCCACTAGTGCAGGCCGGCCGGCACTGCAGTTTGTGTGTATACAAGGTGATTGCAAGTCAGCTAGAATCCTCCTAGACGGAGGCGCGGATGTGAACTTTCGAAGCTTCCATCATGTACGCTACTCGTCCCGCCCGCACCACCATTTGATCCATCTGACCTCTGTATAGGGCTGGTGTGCTGTGAACGAAGTTGCACATTTTAATCACACCGAACTACTGAAGGTCCTCTTGGAGTACAACCCGCTACTTGACGTCACTGTTGACCTTAAGGGTGATCGAAAGGCGCCATTACATAGTGCTGTCTGCAATCACAATCCTGAATTCATGAAATTACTCCTCGAGAACGGCGCTGATCCTGATATCGGCATGTTCGAAGGTAACAATCCTCTGCATCTTGCTGCCGCCATGGGCTGGTTGGAAGGCATCGATATACTTCTGGATTCGAACGCTTCGGTGGATGCTCAGGATGACTTTCTCTTTGAGACACCTCTACATAAGGCGGCACGAAACCGGAAGGTGAAAGCATGTCAGCTTCTATGTCATCGTGGCGCCAATCTTGCAATTCAGAATATCGATGGGCTGGATTATCAGTCGATTTTGAATTGCACGCAGCGGTACCCTGATGACTGGAAGGTGAACCAAGAGAAAGTTTATTTTCTGTCTTGACGGGCATTTTTGTTGTGAGCTAAAGATGCATCTTTTGCATGTGGAACTCTCATAATAGATGATCGTGCTATTCACATTTCATCGTGACTTGTATGAAAAGTATCTTCCCCTTAAAAATGAGCCTAAGAGGGTTTCTTTCGTCTCATTTGTTAGGTAACTCCCGACACTCGAGGTTTTTTAGGAAGAGAACCTAGGAAAGGTGCAGAATCAGTGCTACACCGATGAATTCGGTGATTGGCTCACGCTCTGCTTGAGAACTTTACAAGACAGGGACTATTCAGACATGCTACGGGCAACATGAACACTGTCATGATAGTCTCATGCATTGTGGTCATGGAAGGCGAGCTATCGAGTCTACCTAGAGGCCAAGGGACTTTGAGGAATCTGGAAGAAGATAAATGAAGGCCATGAAGGGATCTGGTTTCCCCGGTGCCTCCAGCCTAGTTGCAAAGTAACAAACGCTGTAGCCCTCAACGGCCTAGCGCTGATTCTTGGGGTGTGCTTCTTGGAATGGAAATTGTTTGCGAGGTCTGTCAAATACTCCATTATTGATTCTACATAATAAATCATCTGATAAGTAGCCAATGCTGTTTTTTATACCTATGAGATAGCGACTAGGTACTGGAAGCATGAATATGCCTTTATCGGACAGCAAGGACTACGATGTTTGGTCGATGAAAAATCATGTTCCCGAAGAGTAACCCAAGGGAACGTTGTGGCGTGACTGTTTTAATCCAGATGGAAGCGATCGACCTTCAGGATCATATACTCCTCCCAGCGGCTCTTCTGACCCAAGTAGACCTGAGGCTGCATCTTTTCCGAAACCGAAACGGATGAGAAGGCCTCCGTTGCTTTTGCTGGAGGCAAGATCTCAACCTGTGTCTTTACAATACCAGTGGAAGCCAGGGCACGACCGTTAGCACCGATAGCTTCAGCAGACACCGTGCGAACACCGGAATTGAGGGAAAAAGCAGTCTCGAAACCAGTGCGTTCGGTCTCACCAAGGTACTGCCGGGACCCATATTCATCCGTAATTTGGTAAAAGCGCCAGACCTTTGTTTCGGTATCTCCATTCCAAGAGACGTACACAGTAGTACCTTGATCATTCTCGAGAGAAACAATGGCAGGCGTCTCATTGGGAAGACCGGTCCAGTTATACCGGAAGCCTCGGTAGTTCTCAACGCCCAAACCCAAGAACCCCGAGTCCATGTATGTGTGAAAGATAGGGGTGCCATCGGGACGAAATTCAGTTAGGGCACCCTCGGAGCCCCAATTAACGAGCACGTTGCCGTTGGGAAGGAGTTGGGTACTTCCCTGAGATTTTGATAGGAGGCCATCCGGAGGCTGGAATGCTTGGACAATCGAGGCCTTCCACGTAGCCGTGTCGACTTCGATGATTTTACCCTGGGAGAAGGGATGGGTGTGGACTTCACGACCACGCCCGTTCTCAGTCCCATGTGCGGAGTTGTCATAGAGCGAGATAACCTCTTTGTCACCGTCTCTGGAGACATAGCGCGCGTGATGCTGGAAGCAGAACTTGACGTTGGGCCCAAGATCGAAGTCGGACTTGACACCACCCAGGCGCCAGATAATCTTGCCGGTGGTGCCGTTGATCTTGTGGACTGCGCAGGCATCACGAGCAGAAATGAGATAATTACCCTCGGAATCTTTGTCGACGGAGTTGATGTGGAAGTAATCCCACGCATCCGACGAGTTGTAACCGGAGCCGGCTTGACCGGGGTTGATGGGTAGGATGGCCTCTGTAGTAGTTTAGTCACTTGTTGCTGCTCAAGAGACCGAAGCAACACTCACCGTCAGGGAGCACATGGTCCAGACTAGACCACTCGAAGAGAAGTTCCCCGGTTTCTATATCGAGCTCTATGCCACGTTTAGCTTCACGGACAACGGGGTTGGAATACTGGCGATTACCTTGGATGATAGCATCCACGATCCATTGTTGTTCAGGGCTTGCTCCCCATTGAGTGAGATCCTTCGGAACAGGCTGATAAATCTGAATGAGAGCGGTTTCCTCATTAATGATATGGAATTCATGCTTATCAGTCAATTTGTGGTTCCCGGCGCGCAGCTCACGAATGGTCTCGTAATGCTGGTCCAAGATAGTAGTATGGCCATGACCATGACCGTAGCCCGCATTGTGGTCTCCTTCAAAGCTGAAGAGAATGTCTTTGCCTTTCCAGCGTGCCTTCTGAAAGTTCGTCGCCCAGATAGAGTAATAGCCGTAGCCCGACCAGACTAACTCTCCGTCATCGCGAAAGATGTAGGGAGCTGCCTGGCGAGGGCCATGCATTTCCCCGGCATCATCCGGGAAGCCTGCAAAGGGAGCAACAAAGAGATATCCCTTTTCGACATCCGGCGCTGCCGGAATAGTGATGTTCAATCTGGGAGGCGCCAGATCAGGACGTGATTTGAATTGCCAGTCAGCAGCTGCCAGGGGCAGCACCGCAGTAAGCCAGAGCGAGCGCATGATGCGTGCTGAGGGCACAATAATCAGCCTCAGGTCGATCCATATTGTTCAAGGATGGGTACATTAACCTTTGCTAAATACTCTGCACTGAATAAATATCTAAACTCAATATCCTGATACTGAATTCAGTCAACGGGTTGTCAGTATGAAAGTTGGTTTAAGAAAGAAATTTGATATGGTTCGGGTGCACATTCGTCTTTTATGTTAGCGATCGATGATGGCACTGTTGTCGGTTCTTGCGTGATTCTCTGCCCCGCATCTGTCCCGAAGGCCATATAGAATACCCTAACTTCCTGCCATATTATTTTGGCTACGGCAGCAGAAGCCCAGTCGCTTACAGGTCAATTTGACGAGATCCTGTCGATTCTTACCCGATTCGGTGCCCGCTTTTTGCCAAGTCACTGCCCTGTTGAACCCAATTCATCGTCTAGATTGTTCTCACACAGGGCTTCTTAGGGTCGTGGCATCATTATGGCATGGTAAACTTTCGCTAATTCTATCCAGCAATATGTGCGAGGCCTGGGCTAAAAGGTGTGTTAAGCTGATTGGATGATCGGAAACTGTCTGTGCTTGGACAAAAAAGCTAAAGCGTGCGTGGATGAATATTTGATACGAAGGCCTACCCGAGTTAGCACTTTAGAGAGCTGAACATGTCACTGATGATTTTCAGTGCTTCATGTGACTGTCATTGAGGAACCTCTGCAAAGTTGAGCTAGCGATTAAGCCGCACTGACTCTGAATGTAAATTCGTATGATAACACCAGCAATGTATGATCATTTTCACTCAGGGGTAGCATATATGATCATATGGTGTGGAAATAGGGCATCCCGCCCGCCCAGTGAGCTCATAATCGAGAGGCTAGCAGGAGATAAGCCTGGGTGAATGGAATATTATCAATTCATATGTGGAAATCCCTTCCAGATGTGTCGGTGACATCGTGATACCATATCATCCTCAACTAGGTAGATTGGATAATTGAATAAGCGCATCCGACTGCTTTCCCTATCAGTAAGTTCCCTGTGGTAGAATATATTAGCAGTTTGTTTGGGCAAGCAATAAAGGAGAAGTAGACTACTTGTAGTCAGTATCGTCACAGCTAGACTTAAGTCTTTTTGATATATTGAACGCGAAAGTAGGTTTACGTACAGTGATACCGCGGCTTTAGTGGTGCAGTTGGTACATCGGTAGGCTTATATTACGTGGCTAGGAAAGCCATGGCAGTTCTATTGCGCCTTGTTTTTCTATATGTGTCTTGTTATTGTAAGGGGAGTGGTGCTCCACAGTGGTTGCTGCAACAAGCCCATTCGTCAACCATTCTATACTCATAACACACCCTTCCACCGAGATGGGCAAGTTATTTCCTCAAGTTTGTAAGGAAAGCCTGAGACATTCTTCACTGTATTAAACCAGGTTTGGAGCCTCGTATAGAGCAGATTATCGGGAAACTGATATTCCAGTCCTGCAGCAATTGACAAATGGCACTGGCGTTGAATTGATTCACACATATCGCCTCCAAAGCGACCCAAGCCTGGTTTAAAAGATCAAAGTTCTCATTTTTACATCCGTAAATCAAATTTAAGCCCTACAGGCAACGAGCCTGAGGCTATTCGACTATTGTGATTACTTGGACCGCCACAGACATTGGCTAATTAAGTCTAGTGCCATACATCTGCCCTTACCCTCAAGCTCTCAGTTTAGCAGTCGTAGAGGTCTTAGCATGGTATCCTTGTTCTGTGTGTGTATGGGGTTAGGACTGAGAAAGTTTTTAGCCACTCGTAGCATGGATTCAATATGACATCATATCTCATGGTCTGGCAATCCGGAACATAGCTATTCCGGGGGGATTTCCAAGGGAATAATCTAGCCCCTGAATCAATGAGTGCTAAGTATAGATACGTGCGCAAGCTTTCTGCGGAGAGAGTCCAAGTCTTACGCAAAAGTATTTGCCCAATGCTCAAAGCCCAAAGCCTCGACCGTTCTGTGACGATCATGGGCTCAATGGGGATGATATATGTACTGATATAGGCTGAGGTCATGATCAGCAATTGATCGACCGGGATTACGACAAGACGAAGTGAAGAAGAGTACTTTGGGCGACTAATAGTAGTCATTAACAGCTTCCATGGAGATAATGAGCCACCTCTGCCACGGTTCTTGAGAGGTTTGAAAGAGTATGCGAACCGGGACGGATTTTGTGTAACATGTTCCCGACTTTGATGGTTGAACAACGCTATTTTAGTTTCGATCAGAACGTGAAGGTCAAAGCTATACATGGTCTTGACTATGGGAGGATATGGATAGCCAGTCAAATCGATCACTAGTCAAGAAGAATAGTGTTGCCTGATTGGATATACTCTGCGGGTCGTAATTCCACCGATCATTGAAGAATCCATATTCCTAAGATACGCTGAACCAAGGCTCTCCAAGGACAATGACCTCAGCCATGAAACGCCCAAAACCTGTTAGGGTTAATGAAGCTTCCCTTGCATGAATACGTGGAAAGACAAGGGATGTCGTCATAGGGCGGCCCACCAGCCACAGAAAAACGGGAGCGCCACACCTGCCCCACCAGAAAGACATAGGGATCGGCGGCTATGATCTAATCCAGTATCATTTTGAACAATGCCCTATATTCACCTTAATTCATGGTTACCCCAGACAAGCCCCAGCAATGCTACGTCATCTGGCTGTACAATCCGACTCCAGGAACGCAGATGAAAGCTATATAAGCTACTGCTCAACCCGCCCTGAATGAGTTTGGACCAGAGATATCCAACAGGCTAATATTACTACAACACCACAACAATCACAACGAACCCTTACCTTTTGAGTTAAATACCACCAACAGATCACACATAATGTCTGGAATGTTGCACAAGGTTAAGGAGGCCGTCACTGGCCATCACGATTCTACCTCCGACACCACCCACACCACCCACAACAATACCAACACCACCAATACCGCCAACGCTACCAACAACCACAAGTCCTCCAACCACGGCCCTCACAGCTCGTCAATTGCCAACAAGCTTGACCCTCGTGTTGACAGCGACCGTGGTAAGTCGATTTTAGTTCCTCATCATGGATCAATTGCCATAGAAAACTGACCAATTCTTTATAGACAACCGCGCTGGTCATCACACAACCACAACTACCGGCCCCGGTGGCACGACTACCACCCACTCCAGCACCCATGGCCCGCAGCAAGCTCCTGTTGGCGCCGCTGGTGGTGTAGACGCCCCATTCGGCACAACTGGACATACTAGTTCCCACTCAACCAATGCTGGCCCTCACAGCTCCAACGTCGCCAACAAGGTCGATCCTCGCGTTGACTCCGACAGAGACAACCGCGCTCGTCACGAGGCTATGGGCGGTGCTCATGGCCCTCATTCGTCTAACTTGGCCAACAAGGTCGACCCTCGTGTTGACAGTGACCGAGGTAAGTGACTCCTCTTTCTCCGTGGGATTACCATGTATCGTGCTCGGACTAAAACATTATTAGACAACCGCGCCGCTGGTCTTGGAGCCACTGGCGCCATGGGTACTCCTGGCGCCTACGCCACTGGTGCAACCCACGGCACTGGCACTGGCACCGGTGCTAGTGTTGGCACTGGAACTGGCATTGGTCATGGCACTACTACCTCCACTGCAGGTCCTCACAGCTCCAATCTGGCCAACAAGGCCGATCCTCGTGTCGACTCCGACATGGACAACCGTGCCCGCCATCAGGGTCTTGCCAGCAGCAGCTACAACACCTCTGGCGGTAGCACCACTGCAGGCCCTCACAGCTCTAACGTCGCTAACAAGCTCGACCCTCGCGTCGACTCCGACTTGGATAACCGCCGCAACGTTGGCACCCAGCGCCATATCTAAGATGGTTGAAAGGGTTTTGTAACGAGCGATGTTTATGATTCGAGCGAATTAGTACCCCTCCTGTCCTTTTCGAGATGAGATTTCTCTGGCGATGATTTCATATGCGATGTATTTTAATGTTGCTACTACCATAATCCGATCAACACTGATATTAAATCCACCTCCACTTAAAAAAAGATTTATAGATAAAATCCTTTCATCCACACTCAAGCTCAACTCATAGAATTTCCTCAAAATATGATTATACTACAGACGAGTAATCTGTGGATGGGACATAGTGAGGATACAGGACGAAGGCTGTGTGATCAGCACTAAAATGAAATTTGAGGAGATGTCTGGCTTCTACATTGCCAACGACAATATCCTAGGCGACGATGTGCAAAGCGGCGCAGTAATTGTTGTACTAAAATAAATGGCCACGTCTAGGCCATGTGATATTGTGAACCCTGCTACTGTCAGATACCACTCCACCCCACTAGTTCTAATCTCGGCGCTTATATTGTCCAATCCAAACAAGGATCCAGCCCATGGGGCACTATTGGCATGCATAAGGGGGATTGTATGGACAAATCATTGGTGGACGTAATTCCGAAGTCTACGCTTAGTTGCAGTGAGCACGCAGTAATTGGTGACATAGAGGCTACATCAGGCGTGGTGGAATGCAGAGTGATCACATCTGTGAACATTTAATTATAGTCTCACTCTCCTAAGTGGGTACTTCAAACTGGCTACTTCAAACTGGCTCACCAAATTCCCACTACCTACAAAGAATTGTTTCTTGTTAATGGTGTTGTCGCCATAATTTCCATTTAGTTGGTAGCTATGGCTCTGTTGTCCCACTAAAACGGAATTATAGCAAGAGCATTTATTTGCGCGTTTTTATCTGTACCCTTGCTAACACATCAGCATGCCTTTCAAGGTAGCATAGTACAGCATATCTTTTCCAATCCCGTCTCTCAAATGAAATGAAGAAATTAGACCGCAAGCCCCATTCCCAACAAACCGGATCCCGTGTTCATGTAGTCTGCAAGTCACTCACATAAGCAAATCCGAACCAGAACAGCAACTACACAGTCGGAGCACGAACAGCTCCAAGTGTAACAATGCCTCCCCAGGACATTAGCACAAGAGTAGATATGACACTCACCAGAATTTCCTACTCCTCAACAGGTGGTTCGGGAACACCTTTCACTGGGATCCTGATGGCTCCATCATCCCGCTTCTCGGGCTCAGGGACACCTTTCACCGGAATGCGGATCGCACCGTCATCGCGTTTCTCAGGCTCGGGAACACCCTTCACTGGAATCCTGATAGCTCCATCGTCCCGTTTCTCGGGCTCTGGAACGCCCTTCACGGGAATTCTGATCGAGCCATCGTCTGGTGAGCGGACAGACAGAGGGACCGCCGTTGCGAAGGCGGCGAAGATAGTGATGCCTTGGAGGATAGTAGAGGAGAGCTTCATAGTTATTGCTTAACTTCAAGGGATATGGTAATGGCAAATGATTGAAAGACAAATTTGCTGGCGGATTGGGAAATTCCAAAGAGCCATGAGGGCTATGTATATACTCAAGTTTTCGTCCTTCAATTAACCGACACCCCTGTATAACCTAGTTACTCGGATACACGAAACTTGGAAAACCGGTCTTTCCGGGCCATTTTGTCCAGTGAGCCTGGACGAACTACTGTGCGTTCTACATGGATTTGAGATAATCGTGAGATGCCCCTCTTTCCTATCTGGAAAATGAGGGGTAGCATTTCGCTGAGGGCAATTCCCGATAGGCGTACTCTTGAACAGGAATGTGATCCAACATGCCTGTGACAATGTAGCTCCACTAAAAGGGAGATATAGACACTTGTGCTAAGAAGAAACATGCCAGTGATGCAAGAAAGAGGAAATGCAAGTATCTCAAAAGGGAGTTTGTATAGATACTAAAAGAAAAGCCCCAAGAAGTATATGCAGGTGTACGAAAAAGGGATACGTATTTGTACGAAAAGGGCTGCGGCGCAGATAGAGTACAGATTTTGGGCTCAGCTGGATTAATGATGACGTGCTATTTACAAATTCTACAAAATATTTCTATTTTTTGATTTTTTAGTAAAATGGGACTGACAAGGGTCTTGGAATGATAAGTGGTGGACGATAAGAACTAAGAGCTAGTCAAGGATACCAAAAGAGGTAAACCAGGGTACACTGAACTGAGGGGAAGTCCTTTTGTCCGGTTTGACTTATCTGTCGGCTGATTTCTTTGCCTTCGTTTCCTTCCTTGTATAGAATCCTTCTGACATATCCGAAAAGCTTCATAGTGCACTCCTATTCAGCGAAGGCTGTGGCATTGAGAAATGGGTTTCGAGTACGAAAGGTAATAAGGCTCTGACAGCAACATATTCGCATGCTTATGTTCTGAAACAGGATCGACACGAACACTTCGGATCCTGATCTATCCACATCCAACGATACAGTCGAGCAGGAAACCTTGTTGCAAAGTGCCAATACAGAACAATCCAAAACCAATCAAAATATCTTCATCAGAGGGACCAAGCGGCTAGTATCCTCTCCTAAGACTCGTATCGCTCGAGATATCTTCATCTGCCTACTCGCTCTATGGGGCGTAATCAGCATTGCCCATAGCATTGTCCTCGCAGCGCGCCGCAACGCGCCGCGGAAGCACTGTTACTGCGGCAACTCAACGGCTGAAGCCATATCCCTTGGCTGCAAGTTCGACTCTCTAGCAGCTGCCTGGCTACCCCCCTACTGTCGTGACGATGAATTGACAGCCGAGTTCGAGAGATCAGGCCCCGGACCTAACGGGAGCTGGGATTATTTTGCCGACGACTATCATAAGATACCTATGACGCTCGAGGAAGTGGCAGCTCTGGGAGATAACCAGAGTGCAAAGGTGATGATGACACGGGAGTGGCATGTGGTTCACTGTCTTTTCTACTGGAGAAAGCAGTTCCGCGTGCGGTATAGGGAGGCACAGGGTGGCATTGTAGAGCCGAGCTTTGATAGCGAGACTCATATCAATCATTGCATTTCGGTTATCTTGGAGGATAGTTGGGGGACTGAGGCGAGGATTGCGCTGGACTCTTGAGCATAATCTATCTAGATTTTTACTAAAGCTGATCACTGGAAAGGTGTGTTGCTGCGCCTCTCAGTGGAGATCTTACATTTATTTCAAACATACAATAAGCCCACATACTTTGATATAATCGTAAATTAGTAGGTCTGACTCAAAGCGTGCCGCCTAATCTATTAAACTATACAGCCGCTTCAGATCGTGATGTAACAAGTCCACCAGAAGAATCTCGCAACTTTACAGTCAATATTTCAACACCGTTCGCTGTTATTAAGAGAGTCAGTCTGACCCATCAATATCTGATATGAGAAGAGAACTAACGAGCCAACTGCGCAGTCTTGCTATCACGGGTAACAGCTCCTTAATTATCAGGCTACATCGTTTCTCCATAGGTACCCAATATAACTATCCATTCAATCATAAAGCAAATACCTTCCTGCACAATATCCTCGACCTTATTGCCTGGGTAATGAAGAATAATAGGCAAACAATGGAATACCATGTTGATGTCATGCCCACAAAAACACCGGATAACTCTACAACAACTCTTCTACTTTGGCTGTCTTCCAATAACGTTTCCGTGGTCCTTAAAGAGCGTACCAGGCATCACAGTCTTGATGGTCCTGTCAAGACAATCTTGTCCTGTTTAAACCACCTGTACTGAATCTGGATTTGCCTTGGCCTTATCGCCAATCTATACCTGACGTGCTTGACCTGTTTAATCTACCCGAACGACTTGAACGGCTTGAACGACTTGAAGAGGCCGAATAGTATAAATATGTCGAGTAGGTTAAATAAGGCAAAATTATTGGAATGGTAGATGAGCAGCTATAATATTATCGGAAAGATATATATCTACAGTGTACGTCATTCCTAAAGTCTTGATAATAAATAAGAATAACATGCGTGGCCGTTTGAAAACCGCCCATGTTGCAACCTCTTTTTTTTTTCATTTTGACCGGGTCGTTCGATTTATCCTTCTCGAAGCTTGGTCAGATCAAGTACGTTACAGACACTTTACCAGTGATTAGAGCGACCCAACAAATGCTTGGTCGGCTTCTTCCCTTCACTGTTCGAATCGACTGTGCCCATTTCGCCTGTTCGAACCCTGGCCTTCCTCCCGTTAACGAGTTCCCGTGAGAATTACATTAAACGCAAATTTTATATTTGTATCAAGCAGCAATATCTGCCACTATGTGCGTGATATATACAATGATGAGTGAGGACATCAAGCAATTACTTATAAAGGTAACATAAAATAGAGAGAGAGAGTGTGTGTGTGTGATGTGTATTATACCCGAATACAGCTCCCTTTTTTGGGGCTCTTCTCGGGTCGCCGACGGCCAATTGGCCAGCCGGTAGGACTAACTTAAGTATGTGCAGAGTTATTCTAGCTAGATAGTGGAGGACTCGCTGCCTTCGTGTCGTATCATAGAATATATTTTAGTTCCCTTCCCCTGCACCCGTTCCCTTGTTCTGTCCCTCCGGCTCAACCAAGTAGCTCGCATCGACAGTTGTCTCTGAAAGTGGGCGTAGAAGCCTGAGATAGGCGTTGATTGGGAGTACCAAAGGGGTCTGAGAATAGTGACGATTATAGCCGGCTGCTTCCCCTAGTCTGTCGCCTCACCCTACCGCTGGTGAGGTTAATCCGCTTCCACCGGCATCATCAGTATCGCTGCTGTCCCCATCGTCGTGTAGTTGTAGAGGTACCAGGTAGTCCAGGCGTTTTGTTTGTAATAGGGACCGAGCGGTGCGCATAACATAAAACATACAGCAGATAGCGAACCGGTGAGCCGCTAGGGACTTATGCCTTTGCTTGATCAAGTTTGCTAAGGGTAGGCTACGCTTCCTTGACAAGTATCCTACGTGCGTTTCGAGCGTCTGTGTTCCCATCGGGCTCAATAGCATCTGCCCTAAGGATCACTTGCGCTAGAATCATCTGGCTCAACTTCTCATTCTCAAATTCACGCGATTTAGGATCGATTGGGGCATTGGCAATATAATCATCGCAAAGTGGCAGCAGCCCTCTTTGAAAGTGTACTGAAAGTGCTTGTACTTGCTCAAGTGGGGTGCTGAAGGCTTTGAAGTTGGGAGCCGGCGCTGGCAGCATAACACCGGTTATTGTCATGACATTACCATGGTCATTTTACACTTCATTTTCAGGATTTTTAGAATCTACCCTACGGCTACTGGGGCCGAGGCTTCTCTGTGTAGTGATTAATCGACTGTTGTGACTTCCAGTGCCACTGCCAGCCCCTGACTGCAGAGCAGTATGCACGTTCTTTATGACGGGTGAAGAGCCATCGTCGTTGTATTTTTGTTGATGGAACGCTCCTTGCACATCAGAAGTACCACCACGATCAAAACTGGGCGCCGCAACATTATCAGTACGTTGGTGATAAAGACCTTGGTCGCATTCACAGCATGTGCCCGGGAAATCCCGTTCGTATGCTTGATGTAGTCGCGGATTACCAGACTGGCTGTTTTTAGCCTGGACTGTCGATTCATTGACAGGCAATTCTTCTAACGATACATCTTGGGATGCGCGGGGCCTCCCGAGGTCCAAGACCTCATCATTCTCATACACCGAGGGCGGACCGTAGTCAACAACGGGTGGCCAAGAAGGAAATGGGCGCCATTTCCCTCCTCCATCCTGTGTCCTCCCGGAGGCTGACTGTTCTTGGTGATGGGGCGGAACATACTCGGACATGGCGGTAAAATGCGGGGACGGCTGGGTGTAGAGAAATGGACGATGGATTGGCGCATTGGAGTAGGCGTATGAAGATAGAGGGGCCCCATGTTCGTAGGGGTATGGAGAATAATCTGGTGTAGTAGTGTAGGCGGCTGAGGCTCGAAGGGGCCTATGCTCGTAGGCGTATGGAGAATAATCTGGTGTAGTAGTGTAGGCAGTTGAGGCTCGAAGGGGCCTATGCTCGTAGCGATCTATATTACTGGGAGGATACATAAAGCCACCATCTATCCCGGGAATTCTACCACGAAAGCTTAACGGTCGGTTGTTCGCATGATAGGTGCACGGGCGACTGCTGCGAGGCTTTTTGCTGCGGGAGATATGGACTTCTTGGAGGGGTACCTCGTGAGTAGATTTGGAAGTTTCTTCTTTTACGGGTGCCGTTTGAGTTTCTAGATGGGAAACACCCTTCCCTGGAAGATCCCTATCTGTCGACGAATGAAGAGAGGCTGGCTGTCGTGGCTTGTCGTCAACAATCGAATCTCGTCTTTCCTCATCCTCGATGATACCTGGTTGCGGACGGCTGTCAATATTTTGAGCTTCCTGCGAACCTTCCGGGGGAGCGAGGTCATTCTGCTCTACCCTGATTTTGGGACTGTCGCCAAACTCTAGAGGTAGGCCGTATTCGGAATCTTCAGCTATTGTGCTACGGCTTTCCATGCCAGCGCTGGAATGCACTGACATATCTGAGGCCTGGTGCTCATGATCATCATCCACAAAGGGCAATGATTTAAGAGCAAGATACCGGAGATGAGCTGCAATATGGTCTTCCAACGAGATATTCAATTGTGAGATCCCACACAATGGACAGAATTCAAATATCGGACCAGACGATCGGCTACTAGGATCAGCAAGAAAGTGGAGCTGGGTTTCAGTCCCTTTGTGCTTGCTCCGAATGTGATCAAGGTACTCTTCCTGGTTTTTGAAGACAAAAATGCCGTGAGCCCTAGCTGTGCAACGCCAGCGTATCTTATGCTCGCGCATATGTGCGAGCCACTCCTCACTGTGGCTGTAAAGGGTGTCCCCTTGATTGCAATTTTCGAACAAGCAGACATATGCGTCCAAGTCGTGCTTGACATGTCCTCTATAATTAGATAGTCCGTAAGCTTCAGGCCAGGGAAAAAGAAGAGTGAGTACTTCTACTCACCTCCACTTATGATCCGTCATGACATCAGTTCCTGACAAAGTGCAACAGCAATAAGGACAAACCACCTCTGTGCTCTCAAGACACTTTTTCGTTTCAATTTCGATTTTTTCCTTTAGATGACTCTCAGCATCTGAAATGCTGCTTTTCAATTGGTCTAGGTCATCGGAGTCCAATGGCGGTTGGCCATTGTGTTGCATGTAGAGATCATAGTGTTCAAGAGACATCAGATGTGCCTTGTGACTTGCTTCATAGTCATCCCTGACATTTTTGAGCTTTTGAAGTATACGCCCCTTAGGAGCGGGAGGAAAGAACGCCTCCTCCTGACCGCTGAGGCGGATGGTCTTTGGCCTTGCGATAACGGAAGGGGAGGATGCCTTTCTGAACTGCTCTGAAGTTACGGTTGTGGCCGTAGTAATGGCTCGAGATCCAGATTCACTTTGAACGGATTTTCCCTTTGAAAGAGCGGGCTTTCCAATTTTTTCAGTTTTGTCCGCTACAGGCTGTTCAATTTTCGGTGGGCTTCCTGATTCTTTGTTTACTAAGGGACCATATCGAGATCGTCGATAGAGAATTCGCTTCCGACGCAGCAGCATTGCGGAGGCGAGTCTATCTCTAATAGTTTCGCTGCAGTCTGGAAACTTCATTTGAATCAACTGACTGGCAAACAGATCCCGAAAGACTAGTCCCACGTCGTTTCCTTCTTCATCTGTAATTTTGAAATTTGTCGCGGCTCTGAGATTCTGGCTGTTGCGACTGGCCTTTCGAATAGTATTTGAAAGCCGGTGAAGAAGGTTCAGATCCTTCGAGATTGGTGTTAGATCGATATTTGCAATCTTTGAAGCCTTAGTCGAGTTTTCCGGCGAGGATCTCGATATTGGAGATATGTCTAGCCACGCTTGTTATAACCAGTTCGCACTCGAAACGGGTCGAGAATTCCATATGACATACCGCTTCGAATATGATCATTCAGTGTCTGAAGCAATCCTCGAACCAAGCGCTGTACATCCGGGGCCAATCGAAGTCGATGGTCAAGAGATGCTCTGCGCGGCGCAAAGGCTCCAATGTTGGAAGCCCATATCGAGAACCGTCCAAGTTGATCTTCCAGTAATAATTGCTCTCTAGCATCGAGGATCTTGAGCTGTCCTAAACATTCGTTGAATGATCTAAGGCATGTTTCTGCGGCTTCTGCAATCGTGGGAACCCTTCGCTCTTTCTCCATTTTCATGGACCCGGGGCTCAAGTTGCTCTCCCTTCAAAGAATAGGCATAAAAAAAGGAGCACTCTTCAGCTCTATATCGATTTCAGTTCATGTCTTCCGGGTATCTTCTTTGATCAAGTTTGATTGTTTTAGGACGCTGACGAGGCTGTAGCGCCAAGACTCGTTACCCCGCCAGGTTATATGCGAGTGAGATTGAGATTCAGCTCGTCTTGACGGAGAGGAACTTGCAACTTCTATCCCTTGGCTCTTGTGTTACTCCTCCTAGTTTGGTGGTCTTTAAAATCCCACTAACCACCTGTATATCTCCACCGGATATTGCGAGCTCCCCAGGAGAACCACGGTGACATTCCCACCACGACTATTAGTGACCGTTTGTGGGTGGATAAACCTACTATGAAAGCTGTAAATATTCCTTCAAGTTGCATAGTGGGCCTAGAGGAAGACAGAACTCAAGTGGGAATGCAGACCACAACTACTTGCAAGACTCATCAATCATGGACAATTTCGGGGTATGGGAAGCCCGATACCTCGGTAGGATAATCAGTAATAGCTACACAATAGTCCAAACAATTAGCTGACGATACGCAGAGAAAAGAGCCAAGCGTTCCATTTCTGTTGAAAACACTCACTCTATTCCAGGAGATTGCCGACTGTCTGGCAAGTGAGGAAGAGGATCAGGAATTCGCTGCCATCTATCGATATCTCCACGGCAATGCCATGTTGATGGTGGAACGAATCGGCGGCATCAGAAACTCCGGTCCTTCTGAGAACGCGATTGCAAATATGATCCTCAATCGCTTTTCTACCCTCATTCAAGATCGCAGTGTGCAAGAGCGACATACTCCATGGCTTGGACTTACTGAGCTTCACCACAACTGGAGTAGTTTGGTCTCCTGGGAGGAAAGGCTCCCATACCTTCGATCCCACTTACGATTTGACTCAAAGCATCGATGGAATGAATTGGTAACATTCTTGGAAGAATGTGTTGATTCTCTAGATGCACCTGTTCCACATGACTTGGAGGAACCACAGGCTCGCTTTAGGAAACCCAGGGAACCTCCAAGGTTGGTTGGATCTGAGGCCAGGACGGTATTTCATGCCCTCAAGGTCAGTTCGAAGTCGTGCACTTGTAACCCTTGCCACGATTATGCGGCGAGGTTGAAACTAGCCACATACCGAGCACGTAGCGATATTGACGACAAATGTATCTTTGACCTCCTTCTCAGTTCTACCAAGCAGTTTTGGCAAGAAACTCACATCCATGCTACACCACCACAAAAGAAAGCAAAGGTGACAATAGCAATCCACGAGCAGAGCCAAAAACCGCGAAAGAAACGATGTTCCCACCGCGTCCTTGTAAGCCGACTATGTGACCATATAAAACCCCGGCAAATCTTCTGCTGTCTCAACCTGGGAGTGGAAGATGGCCAATTGTGGAAGTTTCGGTCCTCCGACAACCGATTTCCGATAGGAGCCATGGCCATATCTCTTGAGAAGGTTATCGAAGCGCACCCCACAAGTTTAGGGGACAAGATCAAACGCGTACTGGCTGTGCAATTAGGGTATTGTATCGTACATCTACATGGGACACCTTGGCTCCAACCTTCTTACTTTAACTCCTCGAATATCCTATTCCTAGCCACGCCCACATCGGTTCCCTTGAGACCCTTCATTCATACAGAGGTTGAGGCCAATAGTTCACCATCCCAATACTCGGATGGGTTGGATGAGTCGCATGATGGGGTTGACCCCGATGATTTACCACTACATTCACATCCAAGTCTGGTCATGTTGGCTATCCTACTCATGGAGGTGCACATGGCGATGCCAATCCTTTCGCTTACTGGCTCCCCAGATATTACGTGGGCCCCATTGCAGTCTGTGGACGAAAATTCACGATATCGCATTGCCACAGAAGCATTCAAGAAATGCGGGTCTGACTTCTCTGATAACTACCGCGGGGCTGTTGCGAAATGTCTAGATCCTGATATTGGATTTGATTCGGATGACAATGAGTTAGATGAGGTCGATCTCAAGCGTCTAATATACGAAGAAATTGTGCAGCGTCTCGAAGATGAGCTTGATCAGGGGTTTAGTGAAACTATTTCGAGTGACAACCTCGACGAAGTTGCGCCCACGTTGAATCTGAACAGCTGGGGAACAATGGAACTGTCCTTTCCAGGCCAAACAGATACCTACACCAATCATCGTCACACTATCACCATCCCATCTCGATCCACAATACCAATCTCACAGCTCTCTGTTTACGGGACAGCTTCGCAGAGTAGTGTGGCCGTATGTAACGACATACCTCGCTGGGAACCGCAAGTATCCCAATATAGGAGCCAGTCCGTTCCGATTCACCTCAATCCCTCTCACCCATTGACATACCGGAGCTATACCGTTGGGTGGATTTGTGCCTTAGCTGAGGAGATGGCAGTTGCGAGGGCTATGTTGGATCACGTGCATCCGGGACTGCCCCGAATCTACACGGCAGATAACAACAACTACATTCTAGGTTCCATAGGACCGCATAATGTCGTTCTTGCCTGCCTTCCAGATGGAGTAATGGGCACTACTTCAGCAGCGATCGTGGAAAATCGGATGCGTTCTACCTTTCAAGCAATACAGTTTGGCTTGATGGTTGGCATTGGTGGTGCTGCTCCAAATGCAACGGATGATATTCGGCTTGGGGATGTTGTGGTAGGAGAACCTCGCAGAGGCAGCTCTGGTGTCATTCAATATGATTTCGGAAAGACAGTGCAAGAAGGAAAAATGACAATAACCTCGTCCTTGAATCGACCTCCAGATATCCTTTTAACTGCGGTCAATAACCTGAGATCTGAGCACCTTCTACTGGGCCATAAGATCAAGCTTTACCTCGACAAAATGGTAGACCAATACCCGCGACTCAAAGCAACCTCATCTCACCCCGGTCCTCAGTATGATAACCTTTACCAGTCGCACTACGAGCACCCAACAGACCACCCAACATGTCGTAACTGCGACATCACAAAGCTTGTCCCTCGAACCCCACGAAAGTCACTCGAGCCACGAATCCATTACGGCCTGATTGCCTCTGGAAACCAAGTCATGAAGCATGGTCTCACTCGCGATCGCTTAAAAGCGGAATTGGACATAAAGTGCTTTGAAATGGAAGCGGCTGGTCTAGTCGACGATTTTCCATGCCTTGTCATACGTGGTGTGAGCGATTACTCGGATTCTCATAAGAATGATAGTTGGAGAGGGTACGCCGCGGCTACTGCGGCTGCCTATGCGAAAGAGCTTCTCAGCTCTATATCTGGATGTCAGCCTTTACACGGAAATACAGATTTGAGTGATTATCTAAGTAAATAAATACTGCTAGTAATAATAATATAAGATATAACTATTAAAAATTTAATTTAAATATTTTAATATGTTGTTTTTAGAATAGTCCTTAGACTTCCCAAGTAATGTTACGTGTCCCCAAATCACGAAAATCACCACATCTACTCCTAATTACTACTGTATATAGGTCTACTTGTTCACTAGGAGGGCCCTTCGATCTGGAATACCGTGGCAAACGGCTCGGTTAAGAGACGTGCATACTAGTTCCGGGAAGTGGTTGCAATTTGGCGGCGAAGGGTATGATTGTGCATCGTTGTCAGTAAGTCATACCGTAAGACAGGACAAATAGCGATATATCGCGCTCTAAACAAGCCTTGCACATAGTCTCATCGATGCACTCCGTTGTTACCCTGCTGCCGTTGCAATATCCGGACCTCTTTTGCAAGCCTACAACATATCATTGTTACTCTTGACGCACCTTGTCCAGAATAGTTGGTTTCAGATCCTCCACTGAGAGTATTACTAGGAATACCACTTCTCGAATAGTCAGAGTACGTTATCAACTTCGCTGCATACATCGTTCTGTTAAGGGATACACAGGATGCAAGGGGCCGGTGTAGGAGAGAATACATGGAATGGGCTGTACAGCGTCGTACCTGGAATTTACGTAGAGAACATACTATACCTCAAAAATCCCTTAAAGGTCTTATATCTACTCTATTGTAACAGATCGTATGCCCTACTGCTGTGAAATACAAGATAATCCAGGGCTGTAATTATCCACCGGAATAGCTTAGCAGTATTGGCAGAGTTTAATATGGACTGTCCTCTCAAGTATTGCATTCATAAGCACTAATGCACATGTTGCCCTAGTGTCACACTTAGCAGCTAATCTGGCTAACCGAGGGGGCGGAAATGCCTTGATAAGCAGTATTTTAGAGCTACCTAAGATCAAACCTCTAGGGAGCGGGGCAGTGCAGAAGCAATTGAAGTTGCTTCTTACGGTTACCACCAACGCCACGATTATACTCTGGATTATAGAATGAGAACAAACGTACCAACAGACTCCTGAAGCTTTAGTTGTTACATATTTAAGAAAAGGCGATCAGGAAATTTTACCTCTCCTGGCGAGCGTGTGTCTACATTCTACAAAAGTTATCCCTCTGCCACTTACGGTTTGGGTGCTGCAGTAGTCGGCGGTTACAATTCTTTTGCCGGCTACTCTTGCATCGGGGCTCCATATTCGGACAGGGCGTAATCGCATAATTACTCTACTACTAGTGACTAGTATGCTTGGTTACAGTAAGAATTAGGAAAAAGTATCCAAGAAGATTGATAAATAGCAGTCCTTTGTCCGACGGTGTTTAAGCAAAAAAACAAACCTACCACATGTGCTGGTCTCGATTGAATTTCTGTTTGGCCCTTTATTACCTTGACTGATGGATAATCATTTTGCACCACACATCTCTGGAAGGTCATTGCTAGGCTGCTGAGATCCATGGACAGGCCCACCCTTGTTTTCCCTCGCTTGAGAGGTGATATCTAGGATGGGTACTTCTATTTCAGAAGTCTGACTTTGGTTTTGGGGTTTTCTATGGTAGTGGATACATCCTTGTAAATAAGGGTATTTGAAAGGCATACATGGAGAGAGTAAGGAGTAGAAATGAAAGGATCTGGATCTTACGGATGACGATGGGCTCTTTTACGTATCAGACGCTAGCTATGTACAAAGCAGCATTTCTGTGAGCTATTTTCATAGCTACATCCTAGGCCGAACTCATTAAGGTTTCTTTTGAAAGCACCAATCATATAAAAGATCAAGATACAATATGTGTGTGCGGCTCATTAGCTTTCTTTGTCCAGCCAGGATGGGGCGCTGGGCACCAGCTTTGGGGAGCAGTAAGTGGAGTAATTCCTATAGAAAATAGTCTAGAGCTAGGATAGTGGATCGGTTTGTTTTTGAATCGAGGTATTATAAAACAGGGTATTAAGAGCCGGCTCTTGGGGATCTTGCCTGACTGGCATCCTAAAGGTCTATGATCTGAAAATAGCGCATGAAGAAATACACAACAACCCAGGCTTAGAAGATTCACCTCGATAATATAACACTAGATTGCCTTGCAGTACCTAGCTGGTTGCTTTGTCTCTACCTTAATCGCTAGTCAAAAAACATGCGTATGCTGACTTAGTATCGACGTATTATTAGATAGATATCCGTGCACAGGAATTTACGCAATTGTCTCAAACTCCAACGATATCAAAACAGCGAAAGCGATTGTTTTTATCAATAGTTATCACACCAGCTAGTCTCCGTTAGTTAGGAAGCACTTACGATCTGTCAATCACTTACGTTGGGTGAAGTTCCTTCTAAGTGGACTCTCCCTACCAGCAATATATTGCCTTTGTGGAGTGTTTTTGCAAAGACAGGTGATCACAAATTCCCCAACCCCCCGACCCCTTTCATATTGACAGGTATGACAATCGCCCTTCTCCATTCCCTTACCACTAAGTCTTGTCAGTTGTCGTCGGACAGAAACAACCAATCAGAGCGAAGAACTATACATACTATCTCTGAGCGACAAAGGAACCTCCATTTGCTGGATTCCACCCAAGACAGGAGTCCAAAGAGATTGACGTATAGCGGTCACTGCACACCCCCGATAAGGCTGGTTTTCGCTGCTCTTGATTCCATCGTCGGAGATTGCGTAGTGTAGGTGTTCCTGGTGGTGGTGATGGGAACTCTACAGTGTCAGGCGTCCCCGGTCTTGTTTGTGGTCTGATGACAACCGTATCTACCGTGTCAGGAGTTCCTTCTCTTGAAGGCGTATATGATGTGTCCGAGCCGGATTCAGGAAGCCATCGGTTAGGCCCGTTGGCTACCGCAAGCGCAGAACATCTTTGGTGGATGGCGTCTGTATCGAGTTTCTTTGAATCAGCCATGGGTAGGCCTTGACTAGAAACCAAGACTGAGAGGTGCAGAAATAAAATCAAGAATAAACGCATTCTTAAAAGATAAGAAGGGAAAATACAAAACAATACAACAGAAGAAAGATACATTGGGATGAACCTCCCGGGGCCGCGCGCATGCTATATATGAAATTTGATATAGTATCATCGTTTTAATAGATATGAGACACGTTCGCCTCTTTGTCTATGCTTTTCCCACTTAGAGATAATGATAAATGAAGATCTGCCTCTTTGTCTAATTACTCCGGGGCGCTGGGCAACTATTTAATGTCCAGTAAATATTCAAGTGCTATGGAACGCCAAGAATAGTGTAGAGTTCAAACAATGGACTAATATTCTCAAAAGTAAATTCACATGACACGGAAAGATTTGGGACAATGCAAATACCCATATCGGGCGTGGTAGGCTGCATGAGCAGACTCCATAAAAGCTATCACAATGCACCCTCTAGAATTATGGCAGCAGACTTCCAGCATTTCAACACAAGTAACTTTACCAAATGAGTAGCATGTTACACCAATCGGATACTCGATACGTTTGTACAAGCTCTGTAGTTGCCACTATACATACGTTGTACATATCAAGGGCCTGCGCAAAGAAGAACCTTTTCGAACCCTTATTTTTCTCAAACTATAGTTATAGTACATTCCTCTAATCTAACTAATCAGTGTCTGGATCTTCTAAGCAAGTATTTATCCAGCTTGCTGTGCCATCTCCTCACCATAAAATGTGCTCATCTTCTGCTTCTCCTTATTTGAAGATCTTCCATTGCCTCATTCGGCGCTCGTAGCTTTAAATCTAATTATTCTCCTTTCTGGGTTGAGCCCGTTCCCGCTGCCGTAAACCTCGCGATAGCAGGAAGGGGCCAGGCGAGATGCTCTGTGGAATCGCTGCGCACTTCGCCAGATGTCAACAGGTCGATAATAGCGACAGCAATATAGCCGCCAATGGCAGTGAAGACATGCCACCTGTAATCTTATTGTCAGCGATGTGAGACCCCAGGAATGTGAATTATGTATGTGCATACCATCCATGCAATTCGAACAGAAACGCCAAGGGCAAACCAACGGCTTGCCTCGTGCTGGTCAAGATCCGACAGGCCCAGTCGTCAATCAGCCACACTAGGTAACCAAAGATAAAACTCGCTGGGATGGGTCAACAGTTGCTCAGAGTATTCACCGGCTTCAATGACTTACCACATCCAAAGAGCGCTACGCATTGAATGTTCTTGCGGGTTACCGGATCGGGGATTTGTCGGGGAATAATCTTGAGCGTACGTGTTGCGATCAAGTAGACTGCCATGCCGAAGGTAACGGCGTGGAGGAGAAATTCATCCATCACCATGTGGACAACCATCACGATGGTGAATAGCACAGAGAGAATAATGCCCACCATCCGGGTACGCTCCGGGCTGGCCTGGTAAGAGAGAATGCGATACAGGAGGGGTGTTGTCAACAGGTGCATGGATAATTCATCCGCTGGGTTTTCAGCCACGTGAGAAAGATGGTCGGAGAAATAGAGGTTATAGAGCAAGACATACACATTTGGGTATGATATTTCAATGTCATATGGTATCCAGCCGAGCAAACTCCTACTCCGATCAACCCGAAATACGGAATCGAGCGGGAACCGGCGTTCGGCTTATGACGAAGCTTGGATAGGCCATAGATCCCGTAAACAACTAGAGAAAGGGGTCAATTACAGGCTTTACAACTAGGCCTTCACTAACGCACTGTATATGAAGCTGCTCAGGGTATTGATAAACTCCGCGATGTACCGGGTGATTACATAGTCCTATGAAGAACCGGCGGTTAGGCTGGTTTTACTGGGATTTGTTATGCAGTACGTACTTCCTCGCAAAAGCTGGAATTGGTCATAAGTCACTGGCATTCTCGACAGAGTCAATTGCAATTCATAACATACTTGAGGTAAGAGGTTTGGGGACCCCAGAACGGTCTCAGGGTCGAGTGCTCCATCGTTGAAATGTATGTTGACAGGTTGGAAGTTGCGGAACGAAGGGGGTGAAATAAGTGGGACTTGGTTGGTTGCCGTCGGAGACAATTTGATGGATTAAATCATTTATCCGGACCCACCAGAGATATGGCCCGCTTTAGCCAGGGGAAATGATATGCGCATCTTGGGACGTGCGAAGAAACATGGTAAGTTAGTACCTTTATCTACTATCATGGACAGTTAAGTTCGTCAATGTTAGGGCAGGTAGCGCATCAGCTGATCGCGATTAGCATGATCGTCAACTCGTGATCTAGTTCGGTTAGGACAGCCCTTAGGGACTTCCATTGATGCTGGTCGACGTTGTACTCTTGTCCTACGTCGGCAGTCAACCTTAGGAATTACTTCGATAATAGCCTTGGGTAGCAGAGCCGGCAATTATAACCTTCAAGACAGGTCACTCAGCCGTTGGGAGAACGATCTATGTATCTCACGAATAATAACTGAGCGCGAGAGAAACGATTAAAGCGTTAAAACCGAGAAAAGCAAAGAGCAACCGGGGGGCTTGTAGATATTGTCAACTGTGACCTCATAACTAACAATTGTGCTGATGATTGTTGGTATCTAACTGGTAACTAAAAGTTCTAAACTGAACATGAAACTGATTAGATGGAAGGATGGGGGCCCGAGAGGTAGAAGTAGAGAGAGGTGTCTGGATTCGTTCCTGCATAGAAAAGAGGGCAATAGGTATTCTTAGAAACTTCTAAGGGAATATTGTCGCTAAAATGCCGATCTTACCTTCTGCTGGAGTTGTTCAGTGTTGTTTCTGCTACTGAGTGGGTCCGGCCCCTTCGTAAAGCTGTAGCGTCAGACGCCGGGTGAGACGATCCTACAGCCACCCCAAATTTGCCGAGGGGCTTTGGTGATCTTGATAGAAAAGCTTAGTGCTTATTGCTTATTCGCGGGGCGCAGTCTCGCGTGTAAGGCTGTAAGCATCCCAATTCTTCTGTCGTGGAATAATTCCCACGTGGTATCTTTCTATGTTTTATTTCCCTTTCACTCAGATTGGAACGTTATTGTCCGATCCTGCTTGTAGGTTCTGATGAGGATACCAAGCATGTCTAAAATCATTCAGAGGAAGCTCTTGAAAATGCGAGTAATCATAACTAATAGCACTATATCCAATTGGCTACAACTGTTTCTTCTCAATTGAACGTAGTATGATACTCAACTCCGCCTAAACGTAAGATACTAAGTGCCTTTCGCGCGAAAGAACAATCCCACCCCCAATAATTGGGGCGCTTAGCTAAGTTGCAGAATATGTTGGGTAGCCCAATGGTCATGAGGCGTGGCAGGGTAATGCTCGCGGCATCACGAACCTCCGTAGCTGGACGTTTTTCGTAGAGTATGGCCCCATTCACCAGCTAGTCTACTCAGACTGAGAGCTCTAGCGCCAAAGGTCCCTAGTGATGCTAAGTAAATTCTACAAATCGTCAAGAATAAGCTGACAGGGGACAGGGGCCAAACCTCTCACTGAGATAGACTATCATGCAAGGTGAGAGTCTGCCATTCAAAATTAACATGGCCAGTATACAGGATCTCACCTTGCAGGACATACAACGTCTATTGACTCTGCAACAACTACAACTTTCATACATTCTGCAAGGCACGAAAAGTCTATATAAGGACCTCAATCATCGTCCCAAATCACATCTTCATCAACACAACACAACAACACAACAACACAACAAAGCAAACAAACAACACTCCAACACTCTAACTTCCAAACAACACCATTCAAACAATCTCTTCCAACAAACTCTTCCACTTCACTATCAAAATGCAGTTCCTCATCGTCGCCGCTTCTTTCCTCGCTGTTGCCACTGCCATCCCGGCTTCCAACGGCATCTCTGCCACCAACATCCAGAGCGCTGCTGACATCAACAACATCGCCTCTGCCTGGGCCAAGGCCAAGGAAGATGATGGATGCAGCTGGCTCGGTAAGTAACTCTCGAAGACTTCACTTATACAGCTAACTGACTCTTTTCAAAGCTTGCATCAGCTCCGTCGTTGGACAGAGCGCCACTTGCGCCGCTGCCGCTGCCGAGCTCGCTCTCAGTAAGACTCTTCTCACCCGATACTTTAGGATTATTCACTGACTGGATTACTCTAGACCCCATTGCCGATGCTGCCTGTGTCGCTGGACTTGGCACCATGACTGTAAGTCTTACATCACTCTTCTATCCCAATGATAGATTTCATACTAACAATTGAACAGGTTGCTTGCAAGCCTTGCGTCTAAGCTACTGCTGGTCAGTGCTTTGGTAATGCAACCAAAGGCTAGGATAAAGGATTGGGAAGGGGGGTATGATAGAACGATGGGAAAACAATTATATCAATTTGCTTTTTATTTCCTTTGTTGCTTAGACCATCTGCTTTTCGATTTCCTTGTCTATTTCTTTATATATCTGCATGTTTGTTTGTTTGTTTGTTTGCTCGCTTATTTGCATATCAATTGAAGAATTTCAGGCCTGAAATACTCAGTTCACTACTATAACCGTAGCTGGTTGAGCCTAAACTGATAAATTCAGAGTGATTAACAGAATGGGTTGAATGATGGAGCAACGCAGTTCTCTATATATCTATAGCGATGATTTGGCATAGTATGAGTGTGTTGATACATCTAGCATGAGGTATCTATAGGGTGGAGATGCAGTTACGTTCCAACTTTATAGACAAGCCATGAGGCATTTTATGTACATATCCTTCATAGTATTTGCAAGTAACATCTAAATGTTTATCCAGTGGCAGGCCTTCTTTCATTCACTCTGCATTTAACCCTTTAGTGATCACGTTTTACGGAGTAAATCGAATAACAATCATTCAAACTGTCATGACACCAAGTCGTCACCCGGTCGAGCAATTTGCCGAGAAAATGCCGAGCACTTCGAAAAACATTGATATGCATAATAAGTCCCGTTACACCCATAATACTACGTGTAAAATTCTTAAGAAAACATGGAAAAGATAGTCCATTCAATTGTAAGCTTCTAAGAACATTTTCAGAAATTTTTGACGAGCTTTCTACCATGGATTCCAATTTAAATGGAATTAGCGTGGAGAAGTTGCTGTGTAGATATATATACAGCTCGTCACATCTAAACTACACAAGAATACTTACATACATTTGCCAATGGCGCATTATATATAGCCTAAAATTCCAAAGAAATCCTCGAAAATACAAAATTAGTTATAATAATAATTTTCAACAATTTTTGTAGAATTTTATATCCGATTTTTTAGCAAGCCCAGGGAGCCTGCCTCTCGACAATCTGGAAAGGACCGAAAGCTTGGCCCCCAAGGGGGTTGAACCCCAAATGTTATTACAACCACCAGCCCTAAGCCCTAGATCAATCTAGCCTACTGTACTTATTCTTTTAAATTCTTGGCACCAAGTAAGCGCTTGCCAGGTAATTTTAAGCAATGATAAGCACCCTCGAAGTGAGTCAAGGAAGAGGGTGACTGAGTTTTCGGTCAGCTTGCCGGATGCTATGATTCTACTGTGAGCATCACATCTCTTTCATGGCTAGTAACAGACAAACGAAGGTCAAAGAAAATACCAAAATGAAAAATGGAAAACAAAGGGAAGAAGAAACATCAAAATAACAAGAACTAGCGGCGGAGTGTGTCGAGATGCTCATCCCAAGCTAAGACCTACATACAAACACAAACCTGCCATTGAGACTCTATCCATGCCTGGTGCGCGTGGATAGTATACATAAACATGGACGATTTTGAGAGAGTAAAATTAGTCCAGGCTGGAATGGCAGGGATGCTGACAGGTCAATACGACTCTGGTCCCTGTTTCTCCACTTTCAGGTTCTGAATTGGCATGAGAGTTCACGTGAGATTTATTAACGTCCCTCATGCCCCCAAAGCGCTGTAAAATTAATTTGTAAACGAAAGCGAGTTACTAAATACGACTACTTCCGCAGGACATTTCTCAGGGGCTCTGTGAGGCCTGTTAAATCGTGTTTGGTTAGGGTGAGCCAAGACGGGAACAGAACAAATGGTGCAGAGCTTCCCTATCTGCCATTTTGTATAGAGCGTAATACTAGTGTTTAAGTCCTCACCACCAAAGGACTAGCGGTGGATGATGTGTAATGGTAGCTATGGCGTCTTTTCAATTCCGATTATTTAATATCGTTGCCGATCATGTATTACTTTGGATAATAAAAGTTAAGATTAGAGTCTGGGATCGGGTTCTACTCCAGCGAACCCTATACTGATCCAGATATAGTCAAGGAGCACAGCAACCCATTCGAGATAATAAAATTCCTTCGGAGCACCTTACGAATGAGCGCACCCCTTGTGGATCCACTGCTTAGACCCTGTAGGTGGCCTTCCCAGGATCGACAAAAACGGACCCAGCCCCGACCGCAATGTTTCGTAGTCTACACTAAATCCCTGCTGCTATGCATCAATTTAAGAGTACCTACCTCCAGGATAGTCTCCCCAGTTAATTTAATAAGGCGAGTTGGGTTACAACGGGCTTCGATGTGGGAAGGTAGCGAAGGGAGTGCACTGAGGAATTTTCCCCTCACTAAAATTATTGTACGGCAGGAAGTCTCTTGACAATCTGAAATCATTATATCTTTCTTCGCTGCAGATTCCTGCACTTGTCTGTGCCGGATGCCCTGATTGGGAACGTCTTTCAATTGAATTGAACACCCCTTCGTATATGCATCCTTGCAGTTCACCTATTCCGAAGTCACCAAAACTACGTTCATCGCCATGGCTTTCTTCGACCTGAAACAACTGACACCTCCTGGGTTATATGAAATTGAGGAACGGATATCATACCAGAATGCGGATGATACCCATTTGACCCGCCTAGGAAAGCGTCCTGTTTTGAAGAGAAACTTTGGTCTGATGTCAATGTTGGGATTTAGTTGTACCATCCTGATCACATGGGAGTCTGTAACGACGTAGGGCTCTACCATATCACCTGCCTTTCGTGGCTCTACTAACTCAAGCATCATTTTCTGAAAAGGCTGTTTCTCCAAAACTTTCAAAAGTACATGAGATCCCGTCTATCAAATTGCAACCCAGGCTGATAAAAAAATAGCGGTGGTCCTGCTGGCAGTGTCTATGGTTACATTTTCGTCTGGTTCGGTATCGCCGCGACATTTGTAGTAATATCAGAACTTGTGTCAATGTGAGAGATTCCTTAACGACATAAAAGACACACCGTTCTAAAGAACAACCTTCAGGGCACCAACATCAGGAGGGCAGTACCATTGGTGCTCAATGCTCGCACCTCAGTCGACGATGAAAATTTTCAGTTACATCACAGGTGAGTGGAATTCGTGAATGAACCAAAAGAATGATATTTTCGGAGTGTACAGATCTAACCGAAGATATCCCTAAGGCTGGCTTACGGTAATTGGCTGGCAGGCCACTTACGCGACCGTCTGCTACCTGGGTGGAAACTATATCGAGACGCTGGTGACGCTCACCAACCCATCATACCAGCCTAAAATATGGCGTCAGGTACTGATCGGCTATGCAATTGCACTTTTTGGTTTTATCATCAACATCGCTGGAGGAAAGGTATTGCCGCGATTTGAAGGCGCAATTCTAATTCTCCATATTCTGGGATTCTTTGCGATCCTGTAAGTACAAACCATGTCCCATGAACGTGTGAAGTTTTCTGCTTATCCAGGAAGAATTCCAATGGTCTACATGGCGAATCACAACACAGCCGAGCAAGTCTTTTCCCAATTTCTAAACGAAGGCCAATGGCCCTCTCAGGGTCTTTCTTTCTTTGTTGGCCTGATTGGCCCTGTCTTTGCTTTTGCAGGGGGCGATGCCGCGGTACATGTACGAACAGAGTCTAAAAATTGACGGGTCCGATAGTTAACACGTTCCAGCTATCTGAAGAAATTACTAATGCCTCCATTGCTGTGCCCTTGTCGTTGATGCTCACGGTGGTAATCAATGGCACACTCGGCTTCAGCATGCTGATCGCTTTGCTCTTTTGCGTCGAGGATATCAAGGGGGCCCTCGAGGCTCGAGTCCCCTTCCTGACTATATTCCACCAGGCAACCGGGTCTGTCGCGGGCACCGCTGCAGCAGGTTCCATTATAGTTGCAATGGGCAGTTGTTCCTCAGCTGGTATGCTGGCCTCGACATCGCGGCAGTTCTGGTCCTTTGCGCGTGACCGGGGCATCCCTGGATGGCGAGTGTGGACGAAGGTCACCCCTCGTACCGCAATTCCAGCATATGCTGTCACCATCACCACCATCATTACGTGTCTGCTGAGTCTCATTGGTATCGGCTCTGACCTAGCATTCAATGATTTGATGTCCTTGTCCACCTCGGGCTTGTTTTCATCATACCTGATTGCGGCTAGCCTTCTACTCTGGCGACGCTGCACGGGTGGAATCAGTGGGTCTAAGAGTGAGCATACTCTAATCAATACAGCCGGAGCCCAGCTTGTCTGGGGTCCCTTTCATGTTCCGGGAATTTGTGGTATCTTCATTAATACCTTTGCTGTGATCTTTATGACTATCGCAGTCTTCTTCAGTTTCTGGCCGCCCATGAATAATGTATCGGCCGAGTCAATGAACTACAGTGTAGTGGGAATGGGAGGTGTTATTCTGCTGAGTTTGTTGTATTATCTTGTCCGGGCTAGGAAGGTATACAAGGGTCCTGTGGTGGAACTTCCAATCGGTTAATAGGTGTATTTGACGTGCCAATGTAGATATCATGGGTTAAAGAGATTTGCCAGTATGGATCCGATATTCCGTAGAGAGGAAAAGGAAGGTGGAATTGTGACCTTTTTTACGCCTTTCTGTTGACTTGGCTGGGGATTCGTTCGCTCTCCTCATTTAGCTAACCAAGGTGCATTGGATACGATTTTAAGCTAATCATAAGTAGGCCCAAGTTCTGAGGAAATACTTGGAAGGATGGATACACGTACAATACTTTCATCGTTTGGCTTTACGGATCACCTTCAACAAGAAGAGGTGATAAATAGGCGGATGATACCCTACAGTTACCAATTGATCTACAGCTAACTCTATGAGAACTTCACTTGAACCGATGATTTGCCGACAAACTGTAAAACAAATTGAATGTACGAGTGTCCGAGTATAAGATGAAAACAACACACCAGAAATAGCAACCCGGGATTGTGTGCCGAGTGCTGACGGGACCACGGAGTTAAGGCGATTTGATGACACGACCATCCTTGTCCTATCCGGGGATAGGACATATATTGGATGTCAGCCTTCGGGCGCGATTTCGGTCACCTTGGCCAATTATAGACCATAATGCAAGCCTGACCGATCGTAGTCTTGGCATATCGCCCGGATAGACTGCCGGCTGAGCAGATTTCCTAATAAATACCCAGCATGGTTCCCATCGTGGTTCTTCCGCGCTGAAGAACGGTTTTTGCGACAGAGTCAACTCACTTGGCTAATCGTACGGACCATGGGAATGGACCCAGAAAATCAATTGGAATGGACCAAGCCAAACTGTGAGCGACACATCCCCTTCTGGCGCCAAGTGCTCGACCAAGGAGCAATTACTTGGGATGTTCTGCAGCACAATTATCCTGGGTCAGGGACGGAAACAGATCCCTTCCTGGTATCCTGGCTGCCAAATGACCCCAGAAACCCTATGCTCTTTACGACATTCAAGAAGGTCGGTATTACGGTCGTTGTCTCCACAGCAACATTGGCCGTTGCCCTCGCTTCCTCAGCATATTCTGGATCTACAAAACAAGTGATGGAAGGCTTGGATGTCGGCACGGAGATTGCAACACTGGGACTATCGCTTTTTGTCATAGGCTTTGCACTCGGACCATTGTTCTGGGCTCCGCTAAGCGAATTTATTGGCCGACAATATCCCTTTATTGTGTCATTTGGCGCGATGACGGTTTTCCTGGCTGGATGTGCTGGTGCGCAGAATATACAGACCTTGTTGGTTCTGCGTTTTCTAGCAGGCACAGCGGGATCATCACCCCTGACCAATGCCGGGGGTGTGATTAGCGATATGTTTCGAGCTGAGCAACGGGGACTTGCCCTATGCCTTTTTGCAGCAGCACCTTTCATGGGGCCTGCCATTGGACCAGTTATCGGTGGTTTCCTGGGAATGAATGCTGGATGGAAATGGGTGGAGGGCTTCCTAGCTGCGCTCTCAGGAGTGTTGTGGGTTGTGTTGACATGCTTCGTTCCCGAAACCTACGCACCAGTTCTTCTTCGCCAAAGAGCAAAGCGTCTCTCTCAGAAAACTGGCATGGTTTATCGATCAAAGCTAGATGTCGAGAATGAAGATGGCGTTTCTTTGAAACGGATGTTTGCCACATCGTTGCTGAGACCTTGGGTCTTACTGTTTCGAGAGCCTATTGTATTTATGTTATCTATATACATTGCGATCATTTACGGCGCGCTCTTTATGATGTTTGCCGCGTTTCCTATCGTGTACCAACGTGGTCGGGGATGGAACCAAGGCGTGGGAGGACTCGCCTTCATGGGCATTGCGGTGGGTATGATTGTTGGAACAATCTACACAATTCCGGACAACAGGCGTTATATGCGAACGGTCCAAAGGCATGGAGGGTTCGCGCCTCCAGAGTCTCGCCTGCCACCGGTGATGCTCTCTGCAGTGTGTATTCCCGTCGGTCTCTTCTGGTTCGCGTGGACCAACTCACCCTCCACTCACTGGATGGCTAGTATAGCAGCCGGCGTTCCTTTCGGCTGTGGGATTGTTCTTCTCTACCTTGGCATCATGGGTTATCTTATCGATTCTTATACTATTTTCGCGGCGTCGGTCTTGGCGGCTAACGCTGTTCTGCGATCTCTGTTTGGAGGAATTTTTCCGCTTTTCACGACGTATATGTATGATGGACTAGGGATTCACTGGGCCTCCTCAATCCCCGCATTTCTGACGGTCGCATGCATGCCTTTTCCGTTTATTTTTTATCGGTATGGGGAAGCGATTCGCAAGCGATGTCCATATTCTGCTCAGTCAGAAGTGTATATGCGAAAGTTACAAGAGGCGGCGCGACAAAGCGAAAAGTAGAGACGGCAATTGGACATCGTACCAGGGGGAGATTTAATCCAAACTAATAACCGAAATATATGACGCACTGGGGAAATTAGGCTCTGCCATTGCGTTATCATAAATTAAAAAGTCGGGGTTCGTGAACAACCCCACAGGAGTGAAGAAACGCCATGCGGGGCTCCGACACAGGAGACCAAATTATGGATTATCGAACCAATTTAGCGCAATTCAATTGTCCTCCGATCGGCACTTCAATAGCCACTCGGGGTAATTTACCGTGAAGCGCATCCTGAATTAGAATGGCCATCGTCTGATGCGTGGTCTCCCCGCCGGAGAGCCAAGAATTGCAGTTGAAGCTATAAATGGCGCCCTGTCCTCGGCATATAGTGTGATGCGCAGGTACAATCGGCGAAAATGAACTGCATGAAAGGCCTGGCTTGGGCCAGCTTGTTTTTGCAGGCTGCTGGGTTGGATGCAGATGCTCTTACAGCTCAATATTTTGGTAATGATGCACCGTGGTATCGCGACCGGATTCCGCTCTTCGAGTCCAGTGCTTCCGATATCCAGGATGTTTATTACTACCGGTGGAATATCTTCCGTGCCCACCAGCGTGACCTGGGTGCCAACGGGTACATCTCCACTGAATTTCTGAATGATGTCGGCTGGCAGACTCAGCCGTCAGCTTTGCTGATTGATGCCGCCAATTTCCATCTGCGTGAAGGTCGGTGGTGTCGTGATCGTCGGTTCAAGAGCGATTACGCAAGTTTTCTCTATGGCCCTTATAAGAACCCATACCAGTTCTCTGAGAGTATGGCCGACGGAGTGTGGCAGGGGTATCTGGTCGATGGGGTAGCAGATGATGCTACCGCCCACTTAGACACCATGCAGGAGGTCTTCAAGGGATGGAACACCACCACCATGGACACGGGAGGATACGACACTTCTAAATCCCTGTACTGGATACAGCCACTTACTGATGCGACTGAATACACGATTGCTAGCATCGACGCATCTGGTGGCGCGGATGGTTTCACAGGAGGAAATGCCTTCCGGCCCAGCATCAACAGCTACCAATATGCGAACGCGTTGGCGATTGCCAACCTGGCTAAGTTACTGGGTCAGGACGATGTGGCCAATGAGTATCAGCAGCAGGCGGCCGACATCAAGGGGACTGTTCAGGACACATTGTGGAATAGCACCTTCCAGCACTTCATTGATCGGTACAAGGTGGATAATGAGTATGTGACATACTGGGACTTTATTCGAGGCCGCGAGCTGGTGGGCTACGTTCCCTGGACACACGATTTACCCGATGACACGGAGGAGTTCGCTCAAGCGTGGAAACATCTCTTGGATAGCGAGAAGTTTGCGGGCGCCCACGGCCTACGCACCAATGAGCCGAGCTACGAATACTACATGAAACAATACCGCTATGAGGGCGACAAACGCGAGTGCCAGTGGAACGGTCCTGCCTGGCCTTACCAGACCACTCAAGTCCTATCGGCTCTCGCTAACTTGCTCGACCACTACAACACATCTGCTGCTGCCAACCTCGTCACGAGGACCGACTACACGAACTTGCTACAACAGTATGCCCAATTACACTATAACCCGGATCGAGGTGGTATCCTAGACCTGGAAGAAGACTATGACGCCGATACAGGCAGTCCGATCGTCGGATTGGCGCGTTCCCCCCACTACTTCCATTCCGGCTATGTTGACCTCGTCCTCTCCGGACTTGTTGGCATCCGTCCTCGCGCTGACGATGTGCTTGAGGTGAATCCGCAGGCAGACCCAGAAGTCGTGACATACTTCCGCGCCGAGCGCATTCTCTACCATGGCCACGAAATCGCCGTTCAGTGGGATGCCAATGGTGACCGCTACGGCACATCGGGGCTAGTAGTCGAGGTGGATGGCAAGGTTGTTTCCACATCACCAAGCTTGACCCGTATCACTACCAGCATCACCCGGGAAACTCCGCCGGCAATTAACCGCCCTATAGCTGTCTCTGTACAGCAGAATTCAACCTCATATCCCCAAGGCACTGTCTCCGTCGCAGATGCAGACACCGACGCCGTCCACGCCGCCATCGACGGACGAGTCTGGTTCTTCCCGGAGTCCGACGTCGCGAACGGATGGGATACACCCGCTGGAAATGGCAGTGAGCTCTGGTACCAGATCAGCTTCGAGTCTTCAACCAAGACTGCCAGCGCAGAGATTGCCTTTTTCGCCAATAGCACGCAAGGCTTTGATGCTCCGGAGAAATACAGTGTTCAGGTCAACGTGTCCGGCGAGTGGTCCGAGGTGTCAAACGCCAATTATAGTTCCCCGGTTGCGAACGGAATTACCCGGGCTACTTGGGACGGCGTCGACACGGATAAGATCCGACTTGTTTTCGCGCCACAAGACGAGAAAAAGGTTCGGCTGGTGGAGTTCAAGGTCTTCGGGGAGGTGTTGAGCGATAGCTGAATATGGTAGCTTAGCTTCACTTTATATTTGCGTTTGTTCGTTTATATGTAATATGTGCTGTGTTTTAGTAAGTCATGTTTGTATCCATCTGCATCCTGATACACAACATATTATATCATTCATAGTTATTGTGATATATAATTGTATCTCTAACAGGGTTTGCATATAGGTTATCTCAATGGGTCATACCTCCAGGTTACAGCTGATGATGGAAATCTGGAAAAAGCCGTAACACTCCAAAGACAAGGTAGTTGTGAACTTTTCTCGGAAATTGTATATTCGGCTGGCCGATGAAAACTATAGCAGAACCCTTGAAAGCCTTTCATCAACGGCAACCCCATATTCTGTCATGGATTTCTCTACCGGAATGGACAGGAGTCAGAAATTGAAAAGAAGGTGGACCCAAGCACGACCTACGATCATCAATGGTTCCAGGAACGCCCCTCTTTCTACCAACTGCCGTGAACTTTATCCGGGCCCATCTCGAGTCATTTTTACATCACTCCAACGCGTGTGCTCTATTTTCTTACAATATGAGCCATAATCAGACCAAAACCTATTCCCCACTGTGGACCTTCTATCGAGTGTTAGGTTGTCGATCCTTTGGATTAGGGCACCCTCGGCATGCCGAAACCCGTCTTAAAACAGTCCCAAAGCGGTAAGATGAATGAGGATCACGTGGTGATAAGGTTCCGAAACCGATTTGATAGGGAGCATATTGCCGTCTTTGGAAACCTCTCCCGGGAATTAACCGACCATGATATCAAGTCGCATCAGCTCCACACTGCCTCTGCGTAGCCCTAGCGCATCTAGATCGTCAATTAGTTTACAATTAGGCATTCTTCAGATGAACGGGATCTCCTCTCGGCTTTGCTTGTGTTGAGTTAAGCTTTGTGCCAAGTAGTATTTCCCTGGGACAGACCTAGAGAGACTGAAGTATGTAACTTTGAACCGGCACCAGGTTCATAGTGTAACTATTCATGATGAAGGTCTAGATTGTACATAAGTAGCCTCCACGGCTTCGTTGGCTTCATTGATCGATAGTGATTTGCCTTTGGTTTTGAATGCGTCTTTTCTTGCTGCCTGTACTTCGCCATCTCCCTTGTATGAGCCAGTTGGTCTAGGGTCTCCACTTTTGCCTTCGGGAGCTTATGCACCGACCACCCACCATAACAGCGCACAACCGCTAGTGCCACAATCTTCGCGGATAACGGGTTGGACGGAGTATACCCGCTGGATAACCGGCCCAGAGCTGTTTCAAAGGCAGGAGGCAAGGAAACAAAAAAATTTTTATCATCTTTGACGAGATATAAATCGACCTAGATGTCTCCCTGTCGACGTACTGTGAAATAACAACAGCATTGTTTTCTCTCAGCGTTTCTCTAATATCCATCTTTGCATTACTTTCATCGATTGTTTCAGCTCGCATCATCCCAAAGTATTATTTCTCTCACAGCAATGGAACACCCACAGACTCCTATCAACGCCGGAAAGCGCCTTCTCACCGACGTCGTTGATGAAGTTGCTCAGTTCAACCCCGAGAAGAAGCTTGGTGTTATCCCTAATAATCTAGAGGTATCACAAGGTTTCCGGGATGTGTCGTTCGCTGATCTTGCCCATGCAGTCAATGCACTCTCATGGTGGATTGAGGAGCAGATCGGAAAGGCCCAGAACAAGGAAACTGTGGCATACATGGGTCGGAATGACATTCTCTATCTGATCTTTATTCTGGCATGCGATAAGACAGGCTATAAGGTAAGATTACCAAAAAGTCGCTATGTCCTGATATAATCTGATGTTCATTTGAAAATAGCCTTTACTCCCTTCAAGTCGACTTTCTGACGAAGCCTACCAACATATCCTGGGTGTGACCGGGTGTCGGAAATTCTTCTACAGCCATGACAAACAGCAGCAGATATCAGGGATGAAGCACTTCCTCAACGGCACAGACTTTTACGAGGTACCAGCAACAGCTGATATCCTCAACTGTAGCAACGTACCAGAGCCATATCCTGTTACTAAAACCTTCGCTGAGGCCGAGGACGATGTTGCCTTTATCATTCATAGTTCCGGAACAACAGGTATGCGAACAAACAATACAGCTTGATTGAAAGCGAGCCATTGTTAACATGTGTGACCACAGGAATGCCAAAGCCCGTTCCCTTGACGCACGGGTTCGTCGCAACTCTAGACTCTGTTGGCTTTCTACCTACCCCTGCAGGCCGTCGTGTAGCCGCGCCAAACGATCCTAGCTCTAACAATCTTGTGCTTGTTACCACTCCTTTCTTTCACCTCATGGGCCTATACGGCCTTACATCTGCTATCTTCCATAACACCCCTTTTGTCACCCTGCCCGACAAGCCGGTGTCGGTTGACCTCGTCCTGGGTACGATACGCGCAACCAGTCCAACTATTACCTTACTCGCCCCAGCCATCCTGGAAGACATAAGCCAAACCCAGGCTGGATTGGACTGCCTTGGAACACTAAATGCAGTCATTTATGCGGGCGCTCCTCTGGCTGCAGATATCGGCAACCGACTCCTCCCCTACACCAATGTAGTGACCCTCTTAGGCTCGAGTGAAATGGGCATCATCAGCTCTCTGGTCCCAGAGGGAGAAGGAAACTGGGGCTATTTCGAGTGGAACCCTGCCTACGGTGTGGAGATGCAGCATATAGGCGAGGAGTTGTATGAGCTTGTCATTCCTCGGAGACAGAACTCTCGGGCTATCCATGGCATCTTCCATACCTTTCCTGACAGGACAGAATATGCATCGAAGGACTTGTTTGTGCAACACCCATCTAACCCTAAGTTGTGGAAGTACCATGGTCGCTTTGATGATGTGATTGTGCTCAGTAACGGTGAAAAGCTCAACCCGGTAACTTTGGAAAAGATGGTTGAGTGTCACCCAAAGATCTGTCGGGCGGTCCTGATCGGCCAGGGTCGGTTTCAGACTTCGTTGCTGGTTGAACCACACTGGAACGAACAAGGGAAGACTATCGATGAGACTGCATTCATTGATGAAATATGGCCTGTGGTTGAACGAGCAAATGAGACCGTGCCGAACTATGGACGTATTACGAGAACTATGATCAAGCTGTCCTCCCCTGAGAAACCCTTCAAGACGACGCCCAAGGGTACAACACAGCGTCAGGCTGTGAACAGAGATTATAAGGAAGAGATCGATGCTATATACGCTTCTGCCGATCAACAATTGAATCGGTCACTTCCTGAAAGCATCTCGTTGGACAACATCGCACAATACGTCAATGAGACCGTTTGCTCTCTGCTCGACCGGGAGACAATTGACAACGACGAAGACTTGTATTCTGCAGGTCTTGACTCCTTACAAACCATCCAGCTTGCCACGATACTTCGTAACGCTGTCTCTTTTCAAGTGCCCGCTGGCGATCGCCCACGGATCACAGCTCAGCACATTTATGCCCATTCAACAGTCACCCAGTTAGCGCAATTTCTCGTTAAGATTATCGCTGGCGACTCGCTCGTGAGAATCCCCCGTCACGAGCGAATTCAGAACATGGTAGTGAAATACACAGAGGACATCCCAGCACGCCCTCACACCCGGGCTCAACTCCCTTCTACATCGACAGTCATCTTAACCGGATCGACAGGCTCTCTGGGCGCCTATCTCCTGCATACTCTCTTGACCAATGAGAATGTCTCCAAAGTCTACTGTTTCAACCGATCCGACGCCCAGTCACGCCAAATCCAAAGCTTCAAGGAAAAGGGCCTCAATGCAGCCCCCCTCTCCGACCCATCAAGAGTCGAATTTCTCAAGGTTTCCTTCGGAGAACCACATTTTGGGATCGACGATACAAAATACGCCACCCTCCTAAACACAGTCGACCTCATCATCCACAACGCCTGGAAAGTCAATTTCAACCATCCCCTCGAATCCTTCGAAAACCCTCACATCAAAGGCGTCCGAGAGTTCATCTCCTTCAGCCTCGAAAGCATATACAACGCACACCTCTCCTTTGTCTCATCCGTCGCTACAATCGGCGCCTGGACCTCGGAGATGGGAGCCGTCGTCCCCGAACTCCCACTGGAGAACGACGAAGTGGTGCTGAATCAGGGATACGGCGAATCCAAACATGTCTCGGAACGCATGTGTGTCATTGCATCCGAGAAGGCTCGCGTGCCTACTACTATCTTTAGAGTTGGGCAGATTGCTGGCCCAACTACGAAGAGTGGACTTTGGAATCCCGATGAATGGCTGCCGACTATTGTTGCGACGTCTAAGGCTCTCGGAAAGGTTCCGAGTAATCTTGGTTCGATACCTATTGATTGGGTTCCTGTTGTAAGCCTTTAGTTACCTCCTATTATACCAATGTCTTGCTAATTTAGTCACAGGATAAATTGGCCCAAATTACAGTTGAAGCTCTTCAGACCCGCCGGAGATCTCTCGCCGAGACACCGAACGCCTTCTTCCACCTCATGAACCCTAATCACGCGGCGTGGTCTTCGCTCATTCCCGCCATCGAGTCTGAATACAACACAAAGACAGTTCCCTTTGGCGAATGGATCAGCGATCTGGAATCTATCAAGAACCCGTCCGACCAAGATGTTCGGGAAAAGCCAGCTCTGAAACTTCTTGATTTCTACCGCGGCTTGTCAAGCGCCGAGGGCATGTTATCGGCCGATGTTAGTGTGGAGAGAACGAAGGAGGCAAGCGAGACTATGAGGGGATTGGGGCCGATTTCGGCCGAGCTGATGGAAAACTGGATTGCGCAGTGGGGGTTTTAAGTATTTAATTTTGCTTTGGGATGAGCGATTTGCATGATATAGATTGCGCTGTTGTTATCCTTTTGTACCTATGCATGGGTTAGCGGCGCTATGGTTTGAATATCATTAATAAACTATTTCACTCGATCTTGTAAATTCTTCCTTTACGCTCGTTTTAAGATGTTGTTTCTTCAATGCTGATAGGCATTGCTTAGTTTCATATATAAAGGGCAGCAGGTCGTGGGGTGGCCTTGGCTATCTTAGCAAAGTAAACGAAAAGTCATGAAGGCGCATTAAATGGGGAAGTTATATTATTATTGCGGATTTCTCTTGCTCTTACTACATGACCACCATACATATCTGCTAACCACTACCAACTCCCAAGTTCCCAGTGTGGAGGGGACCATACAAGCAGCCTAGCACAGCATACTTAACATCCTCACATATTGCGTCCATCCCCTAGAAACGGAACAAACATAGCCCTTGACAGGACGCCCTAAACCTCCTCATCATGACCCTTTCTACCCCAAATCTCCAATTTAAGAGCCAATGTGCTTGTGGCAATTCAAACGACCATCCTTCGACCACAACACAGAATCTATAACCACTTATTAGAATATAAAGCCCCTTCAAGCCCAACTGAACAGGAAAACATACCAAGATCAAACTTAACCTTCAGCGACTTCTCCTTCGAATGAGGTATCTTATGCTTCGACTTCTTCTCCACATTATCACAATAACACTCGAACTCCCCCTTATGTGTTTCACCCATGACTTCAGTAAAATAATCACAGCTCCAGCAATCCCCCTTCATGAGACCCTTACCATCAGACTCCGGCGTGAACTTCTGTGTTTGTGGATTCCAACCGACACACTTGTCCAAGTCCAGTCTTGTCTCCCGCCAGTCTCCGTCCGGGAATGCTTTCTTGGGGTCTGATATGGGTCGACGACAGTCAGCTTTTAATAGGACTTGGCGATATGAGTTTGTTATTGCGGTGGGTCCTTTTGTAGTCCCCTTTGTGGTATCTTTTGCTGGGCTCTTTGCTGACGATTCGGCTGAGGTTATGTGGACTTTGAGGTAGCGGCATTCGTCATGTAATGCTCCTCTTTTGGCAGCGTCGTTCGTTTTGGATAAGTCTCCGGAAGAGCCGGGGTTCATGTCTGTCATTGGTATGCCTTCGTCAGATGGAGGTTCCTTGGGTTTTGATAGGATTCCGCCTCCGGCTACCACGGCTGCGAGATATAGAGTAATGATAATTATGAAATGATGCATTTTGCTTTGACTAAGCAATGAAATTTTTGAAAAGGCAAGATGCTGGGAAGAACAAGGGTTGGGCCTTAGAATGATTATGCTCGGGCCTAGCAAAGACTATTTATGTGAATCTAGACATCGCTTCTCTCAGCTTCAGGGGAGGCTTATATCAATTGTATTGCCTTTTTTCACCCTGAGAATTCAATTTTGCTGTTATGATTAAGATTCTTTGTGACGCCAAGCTGGGGCGCAGGGCAACAGCTTCTCTCAGGATTTTAAGTTGGGGCAAACGGGAAGGGCAGTTTGAGTTTTGCTTCAGGGGTTGCAAGGTACAGCCAATAGCTTTAGGGACGGAGGTCTAAAGGGTCATGATATGATTGATAATCGATAGATGCATGCAAGCTATAGATAAGTAAGAGTTCAAAAGAATTGAAAATTCATCATGATGGTGTCTTGGCTGGATTATTTATCAAACATCCTCTGCAATACAATATAGCTTGACTGGATAAAAATCTCTATATAACCCAACTAGAATCCATTTTGTAACACAAGGAAGAAAGGAACAAAGACTGTACCCACGTATGGATTGTCACTTGCCATCTAGATGCCTCTAGGTACAGAGGATCTCAGGTTTTGTATCTCCACTAACATCAAGGTATGACTATTTGTCCAATATGGTTCCACAAGGTCCTTTATCTGACCACCCCTGACTCCTGACTGTGATGCAGGTATTTTTGTCATCCGCGAACCTTGTCTAGAGCCTTTCCTTAGCTCTGTAAGCTCCACTGGTCTCATACCTACACCGGCTTTCTTTTAGGAAAGGTACCATCAGATAAGGGTATTACTTCAAACATCCGGCTCGTATGACCTTTCTGCTCTTCTGTCTCTTGTCATTAGAGTTGTGGAAATGATTGTCCTTGCAAACTGTTGGGTAATAGGAAGGGTGGACGCGGGTTCCAGACCAATCTTCTGTTCTCCTCTTTTCTTACTTTCCTTTCTTTACAGCCTCTTTAGATTCCTGACAGCATGCTGTTGCACACTTGATCTTAACTTTATACATGTGGATCACATACCATTCTTATTTTGCCTGTTCATTCTAGCAGGGGATGTAGATACGCACCGATCGATGAAGCGCAAGTTCTGTGTTGACGCGTAAGGATATGGATACATTTAGCCAGTTAGCCGTAGAAAGCACTAATATACCTCCACCGGTATACCATTTAGTAGTGTTAGTACCTCTAGAAAGCAACTGTATTATGATCCTATACTATCCTAAACATACCCGGAACTGAAGAACAGGAAGATAGGAATGCCAGCGACCATGTCGCCGATCATAGAATTAGACAAGCACAGGATCTCCGATCCCAATACCCAAACTGCAAGCAAATAATCAAAACAACAAGACTAAGACCAAACCCTCAACCAAAAGTCCAGTAACAAACACACCGACCAATTAGGTATCACTAGCACCTACGCATCTCAAACCTCTCAACTAGTAGCCCACTGATCCAACGAAACCTGGGTCCCGGTATGTTCAAAGCAAGCCAAAAACCCATCATGAGTAGCCTCTACTACTTTATCTATACCCTGCCAGTTAGTAACAACAACAGTCTCCACTACCGAACATGAAATGCTGGACACTCACCCAAACTAACAGCGATCCTATCATCCTCCTTCTTCTTAACCCCACACACACACTGAAGGTTAGGCTTCGCATAAAAGCAACTGGAACAGTCGCCCTTGGTGATTCCGTTTCCACGGGACTGCGGGATAAGTTCTTCGGTTGTTGGATTCCACCCCAGACATAAATTCAAGTCTAGTTTTGAAGTCCTTGACCCCTGAATGCGACGGTCGCATGTAGCCCAAATGGACTGTGGGGTGCTGGGAGGTCGAATGGCCATGGGTGGTGGTTGGCCGTTTGCGTTGACAGGGCGCTGGACACCTTCGCCCGCGATTGAGGGTTTTTCGCCGTTGATGTAGATGCCGTGGCATTTGGTATTGATGTTGCCTCTTTCTGGCTTGGAATCCTCGATTGGTTTTTTAGATGGGTCTTTACCGGCGACTACTACGGCTGATAGGTAGAGGGTGATGAGGGTGATCAGGCTTCGATACATTGTGCTTGATTGAGTTTGTGAAAAAGGGAGTAGGGCGATGGTGTCGTGAGGATGATATTGAAGGTACTGAGAACTGCAAGGGGAAGTAGCTTTGTGCTGGGCTTGAGCGGAATATTTATCTTATTTTTTTATATCGGGGCTCTAGGTTGGTTGTGCACGTCCGTCTGAGTTATTTAACTTAGCTATTATATGGGGTTTCTTTGTCGAGGTAAGCTCTAACACAAAAGTTAGACCAACGCTTGGACTAGGATGTGATGGCGCGTTGGCTACGTTCCTGTACAAGATAGTAATGACAGGAAGCGCTGGCTTCCGGTCGAGAAAGAAATTGCGAACATCAAAGTTGGGATCCTGGGCAACAGCTTTCTATAATGACTCGATCGGGGCACACGGGATGAGCTTGACAGTGAACAAAAGGCCAAGCCTCTGTTCGGCTACGGAATGAGCTTTTGAAGTTTAATGAAGGGTGCCTGCGTCTGGCGGAGGCTCAGAGGCTGTTTAGAATAGATAGCTTGTTTTTATAGTATTAAGAAAGTTCTCTGCTAAGTTCATAGATGTAGTACAAGGGAGATTTGCAAAGGGTCTTCCCTCAACCACGGAATAGAGACAACAGACCGTCGTCGGGCACAGGAGACAAGAACTCCAAAGTTACACCGGGCTCCCATCATTCTTTGAAAGTTGTATGTCATGGTGCATGCTACTGATATGTCAGGAATCAGGTCGCGGTTCTCAGGTCTACTACATTATTTCATTGAACACCGACTGATGAATCAGAGCTGAAGATTACCAGCTTCCAGCGTCCCGTTGACTGTCAAGAATTTGATTACCGTTGCACCTTTAATTCAGGTAAGTTCTGCCTAGATAAGCCAACTTCCCCCGTTGTCACTGTCGACGAGGCCAGTCCTGTCCTATCCCCATAGACACCTCTCCTGTCTTGTTCCATGGTTGTCCCCGAGTCCTCCAAATCCTCGTACACCGCCACCTGCGTGTGCCGCCAAATTTCCAAAGCTTTGTCTTCCCGTGTGATGTGCTCCGTGCTTTCCGACGACATGGTGGGTTTCCTTGACCGACTGACCGAGAATTGGGCCAGCTCGTTCGGCGGACCGCTCGCACGGGAATGGGTTGGTTTCCGACGAAGTGCTATGTAAGTGCCGAAGATGGTGAAGCCGTGCACTTTTAGGATACGGCGCAGGAGAGTATAGCAGTTGGGCGCGTTGGTCACAATGACGGCGGTGCTGGCCTCCCTCACGTACCAGAAGATCCACAAGATACTATTCGGATGAGTGAAACAGTAGTATCGACTTAGTGTCGCTGCGACCACGACAAAGATCCCTAGACCGAATACACACAAGAGGGCTAGCTTTCTGCCCCGATGTCAGCTTCTGACTCATATGACTGGAACTAAAATTTTGGTTTGGAGCATACTTCCTCCAAAGCAATTGTAAGCTGAGAAACACTGGTATCGGGATGCAAAGCATGGCCAGGTCTGAGGTTAGATTGAAGACATAGGACATGATTAGATGATGCTGGGCACCCTCGCATTGAGCTATGTATGTCAGCATGCGATCTCCTCCGGAGATATCCATCCTTGCTCACGGTCATTGTCCGCTTTGACGGCGAAGTAATTGGAAAATGGCCGGCACCAGACGCCATAGTAGAATATTTCTACTATTGCGAAGCTTACTGCAATGTAAGCCATCAGGATCTTGACTGGTATGGCCATCTTTGTTCCTGACCTACAACTATTATCAGCATGGGCGTCTCAACTATTCAAGAGCCGCTCGGAGAAAGCGAGTCGCAGAGATATTCCACGTACGTTAGTCGGTAGTACACCAGGATCATACAGGCTTTGCACCCCCATTGCACCAATACCATGGATTGTTCTAGCACAAATGTGATTTTGCTTCCGTATACGCGGTCCTGAATGTCTTGTTCGGTAAGGCCCTGCATTCCTGTAGGCGGCAAGATGTTCGTTTTGGGGTGTTTTGCTTGAATGTTGACCCAGACGATGAAGTTGGTGTAGAAGCCCTGTCTGCATATTCAGTATTTCTTATGCGAATGATCTAGCCATAGTCAACCTACATAAGTCAAAAACATAAGATAGTCCTCCACCATCAGCCCCTTCACCCCACCCAAGAGCATACCCCTGGAAATACTGGAGACGGATGTCAGATCGAGCAACGGAGCGAAGGTTACCGCTTACTATCGCCAGATAACCACAACACTGGTGACCGCAAACCAGGTCCATGATTCCACCAGGCGGTCGTCGTGCATGCTGAACTATCCGGTCACATCGGTCCAACTCACCTGCCGACAACGGGGAAAGAAGGCCATGTTGTGTTATATATGGGGACATGCTGTCAGCATGTCTTACTTTGTCAACGCTCCCCGAGAAAAGTTTTTCTTCCTATGATAACTTAGCCTGGATATAGACAGGGTTACGTGCAAGGGAATTAAACCTGGTCTCGGTCTGCTTAGTTTACATCCCAACGCTCTTAGGCGGTTGTAGCGTTCCTTTAGCTTATTGGGGCCCACCTGAATGTTATGTTGATCTGCAGAAAACTGGACCTGCGGGCCGAGGCTGCCGCTGTCATCGCCGTGTCAAAAGTCCTACGTCGTATCTGACTGTTGTCCACATGCTTCTTATGTAACATTAATTCAATTAAATATCACTATCAGGATGCTATTGTATAAACCCTGAGCTGTCTATGTGACGGCAATCTTTGGGATGAGAGGTTACAATAAGTTATAGGAATCTCACTGGCGTCTATGCCCGGTACTGATGCAATCTTATCCTAGTCCATATAGGCCCACTCATCCTACTTGAAATTACTGGTCTCACCACGCCAGCTGTCTCAGCGCGATAATATGCAAGCATCATGCAAGGGATTCGCAGGAATGACGCTAGCCAGGGTTGAGGTCTCATTCGGAGGATTTCTTTTTCAGATCCCCGCCAACGGAACCACAAACCGACCGATAAGAGTGCACGTCTAATAGAAGAACTTCTTGCTTGTTAATGTCCCCATGCCCCGCTCTATTCGTGCTACCACGCTTTCGCTATTCTTTATTTCTCTGATTCCCCTCCTCTTGCCTTTCCTCACATCGTGGCCGGATCACAGAAATGGAGATTGAGCGCGAACAAAAAAGCCTCTGGCATGTGGGCATCGAGTCGCACGAGGGCTCCCTCGAGTCACCCACCGAGCACACGAACACTGCAGTTGACCCGGGCGATGAGGGTGAGAAGCGTGTAAGGCATATGCAAGAAGGCAATGGCCTATTGCGATCGCTGCGCAATTTCGAGACGTGGATCGACCGCAGATTGGGCGTGGAGGCCATGGGAGTCGAGCGAGTACCAGAAGATAAGCGACGGCCACCACAGAAATTGAATGTATGTACCTAATAGTGTTCAGAGGTGAGCATGGAGGTCATTCTCTTGTTCTTGTCAAAAGCATGAAGCTCGACTGACGCGCCCGACCCCACTCAGATGATGTTCTTTTGGTTCTCCGTCCTGATAAGCCCAACCCTGATCCCGATCGGCTCGCTGGGCCCTATCTTCGGCCTCTCGGTGCACACCTCAGTCATCCTGACTATCTTCGCGGCTCTCCTCGGAACCATTGTACCCGCATTTACTGCGACGCTGAGTCCACCCAGCGGCCTGCGCCAGGTGGCCGTTGCCCGCTATGCATTCGGCATCTGGGGAGCGAAGTTCTGCGGCCTGCTGAACATCATCGTCAATGGCGGATACGCGGTGATTGCCGCGGTGGTCGGAGGCCAGCTCCTCGTCGCCGTGTCTGGCGGTTCCATCCCACTGGCAGCGGGGATCGTCATCATCGTCGCGATCGGCTTTCTCGTATCCTTTTGCGGCTTTACTCTCATCCATCACTACGAACGATACGCCTGGATCGTTGCCCTGGTGCTTATTTGTGTGACATGGGGTCAGTCCGCCCGATACTTTACTCCCACCCCCGGGCTGAGCAAACTCAGCGGCATCGATTACAGCGGGGCCTGTCTGAGCTATTTCGCCGTTGTCTTCGGCGTCGCCTGCTCGTGGTGTCCCATCGCAGGCGATTACTACATCCACTACCCAGCGGACACCAACAAGTGGCTCGTCTTCTCCCTCACCTACTTCGGCCAAGTGCTTCCAACCGTCTTCGTCGGCACATTGGGGAATCATTTCGGGGGCATCATCACTTCCAACGACGAAATGTCAGCAATCTACAACACAAAAGGAACAGGCGCGCTAATCCTAGCCACACTCCGACCATCGGGCTGGGCCAAATTCGCCTGTACCATATTCGCCCTAACCTTCCGTAAGTAACACGACCAGCTGCCCGCTACCAATGGACAAAAAAAAAGACAAGAAAGATAAACAAACAAGACTTAACTGAGATACCACAGTCGCAAACGTAATAGCAAACATTTACTCCAGCGCCCTCTGCATCCAGCTCTGGGGCAAACACTTCCTGGCCATCCCGCGCTTCATCTGGTGTGCCCTAATGTCCATAATCGTGCTCGCCCTCGCCTGGGGCGGCCGCAACAAGCTCGAAGCCATCATCGACAATTTCCTCGCCATCCTCGGCTACTGGACCCTCGCCTTCGGCCTCATCCTCGCCATCGAGCACTTCTGGTTCCGGCCCCGTCTCGGCGGTTACGATCTCAGCGCCTGGCAGGATCCGAAGCGTATGCCTGTTGGGATTGCGGGTACGGCGGCTTTGTTGATTGGAATCGGGTTCTCGTTTTTGGGGATGTCTCAGACTTGGGTAGGCTCTTTCTTTCTTTCTTCTCTCTTTTTCTCCTTCCATCTTTGGTATTGGTTGTTTGGGAGTGATTGGGGTCCTTAAGGGAGGGTATAGCTAATTTGGATTTTATTTGTTGTAGTATGTGTCGCCCGTGGCGAAGAAGATTGGGAAGAGTGGTGGGGATGTGGGGGATTATCTCGTTTTTGCTTCGGTGGGGGTCTTTTATCCGATTTTGAGGACTTTGGAGATAAGGCTTATGGGGAGGTGAGTGTGGGCTTGTGAGCCCTGGTGGTGTGGACGTAAAAGGTTGTGCCTTGGCTAGATCCATAGTGTATAGTACTGCCAATGGGTCGTTTCCCGGTAGTAAAGCAGAGTAGTAGGTTGTCTTTATAATAGGGAATATGGGCTCCTTTTAGTCTTATGAACAATTGACTGTACTATCGCTTTGTGTCTTTTACCTTATTGAGTACTAATTAATGGTGTTATACCAGTCCTCCTACGAGCTACTTCATATCTACTTAGAACTTGTAGAAGATGTATAATAAGGCTACTAATGCGCTCAGCAAGGTTCTTATTGAGGGTTTCGTAAGAGATGGTTATTATTGCTATTCATTTGCTTACCACAATTCGGTCTCCTTGATACCCTCTATTGGCCCCACATGATTATATAGTGGTCAGGTACAGAGTAGAACCAGGAAAAAGGATTTAAGATCCTAGGTCCATCGGTACTTCCCAACCCTCTACACCTGATTCGTGGGTTTGTCTACTAGTCAGATTGGGCCCAGAGATTACTGCACCAACGGTCCACTGCACTTACTCCACTGAAAATTTCCCACCCCATATATATGACTCGTTATGTGCGCTATATAACCAAATTTCGTGGGATGGCTCCTCTTCCATATGCCGAATCCATTATATTGAGGAACTACTTGAACCCAAGAGGGATAAAACCGTACTTAATTAAATAATTTTGAGCTCAAAGTCACCTCGCCCATGATTAGAAGGGTCCCAACTACGCCTAGTGCAACCTCAATAGCAAGAGCCTTTAGCGTGACTTTAACGTAGCGAATGCGAGCAGCCCGATCAAAGCTAGTCCAGGCATCTTGCAGGCTGAGATGGCCGCTGTCACCACCCACCGTTGCGGGTTTCACCTTGCCGCCAAACGGACGGTCGAAGGGCACGATCGGGTCATCCTCCTCGGGCAGCATCGAGGCAGCCACCCGAGTGAATATGGCCCTAGCGGGAATCGAAAGCACTAGGAAAAGTATAGCTGGGAGGATGCCCTTGACTAGGAAGCCGAGAAGCTTTTCAGGGTTCGGGCTGGTAACGTTCATGACGGTCCCATGAGAGAGCTCTGCAGCGGCTATGGGTAGAGAGAAAGTCGCACACATGAGGGAATTGTACAAGGCAGCTGCAGGAGCAATTCTAAGCCAATACCGGTGGCCCAGCATTCGCCGGTAGGAGCTCCTAGGAGATGGGTCGGCGATCACAAGATGAACCCAAGCCATGTGCCAGGTGGCCAGGAACATGCTAGCGACAAACCTCCCAAGAAATACACTGATCGGAGAGTGGGTCATCACAGGAAGAAAGGCTGGAAGTATAAATCCCAAGCCCATATCCCACCCGGTGAAGGCCACATACATACGAAATCCACGAAAGCATGACCTGATGCCACCACGGGCGCGTAGGTGCTTAACGGCCGAGCGTAACCCCCTGGTGATAGGCTTAGTGGCTGGTGCCGCCGTGGGCTCGGCCCCATTAGGGTCGCAGGAATCATTAGAAGCTTCGCAGTCGAGCCGAACATATATATCTGGGTTCGAGTCTTCGACAGCGGCCAGAGTCGCAATCACATGATTGCAGGTATACTCCACCTATTCCAGATCTTCAATCAGTTTAAATAGTTCTTATTCTTGGTCCGAATACCGACTCACCCAGAAGAATGCCAAACCAAATGCAAGGGCCGTCACAATGACCACTGAGTGGCCTACCCATTGCCATAAATACGATGAATTTTGAGGCTGTCCGCGGGATTGAAGCCGAGCGGAAATCAACTCATGGCCCTGGCTTATGAGAACACTACCTACAGATGCCATGATGTTTGACTGAGGAGACTGTAAAAATTTTGAAGAGGCCGGGTCGAAACTCGGAGTCGAAGTGGGCGACCTAGTGGTTTAAAAAGTCCAACAAGTTCATTATAAACATGGCCCTAATTGGTTGTGGTCCGGCGGACTAAATCGAGCGAACAAAAGTGGCGATTTGGTGCAATTTTACCGAAATCTCACTGATCATTATTGGGCCATAACCTTCCAGTCTGCAGTTCTTTATTATCTACTGAATCCCTATAAATTTGATATGCTATTCGATAACATCTTTCCTGTTATAATCATGAATAATTAATCTTGTAGACTAATCGTAGTTGTACATGAAGCGGAACTTCGTGGTGGCGATTGTCTCAGAAAACTGATATAATTAGGACTACTAGCGTATGCTAGCACGGGCGTAGGGAATCTAGAATATCCAGCCATTGACCCATAGCTCATAGCTAATCGATGCAGACAGTCGTATGGTCACCGAGTTGCAGGTAATTCATAAGATTGCCCATTCCCTGATACCTCATAGACCTGCTGGTCGTGACCCAACTCTGCCCGTGGTGTTTTCGATACCACCAGTGCGCCTGAGCCAACCCTGTGAAATACAGGCTGGGACAGCGCCTGCCTCGCACTTCTTCTACCCCAGAAAAATCCAACTCCCAACATTCCACATGCCAGACATGCCAATGGCACTGCAACCCCGACTCCAATCGCGACCTTTGCAGATGAATCTGAGGAACCCTTGCTGGTGTCTTGCGGGGTTGCTGTTACCGTGGTAGTGACAGTCGCATTACTACCAATTGTGACCAGAGGTGAACCCAGGGTAAATCCTCCGCCATTCGAACAGCAATCATTAGTATCGCCACAGCACCATGATCCATCTCCGCAAGATGTGACTCTCGCCGTCCAGTTCGAGTTTCCTCCGGCCTGTCAAGTTCCAATTTAGTCAATATGGAGCTGGAAGATGTTGGTTCTGGGAACGAGGTCGTTTTTAAGGGGAGAATGGGGCTCCTCTATTATTATTCTTTTCTTGGGAAACTCACTGCATCATCGCAAACAGTCTTCTTCAAGCAATTTGGAGAATCCCAGTTCTTATCGGTACAGAAATCCCTCCAGTATCCCGTCAGGCTCGAATAGCAGAGACCCGTGCTGTGACATGTGTCTGGCATTGTATCATTGAGTTTGCAGCACATCGAGTTTTCGCCGTCTATCGCTATGCATGGTATATATCTGGGGTCGGTCACTGCGTATCCATCGGGTGTGTAACAGGTCGCCGCTGCAATCCGATCGAGGCGGAGTACGAAGAGGGTCACCACCCATAGTGTACCGAGGGACCAGTTCATGGTTGTGGCATGTCAAAATGGCGTAATTGGTGAGGGAAACGATCCAGGGTAACCGGGGCGGCTAAGATTTTATAGCTGATCCATCGGCTGTGGTCGGCGGTTTCACAGCCTGGCGTACTTGCAGGGGACCCTTGAAGCAATGGTCCAATTAGGTGATCTGGTGCACCATGGGAAATGAGGCCCAAATTAATATGATGGTTTACTAATGTTATCCCCTCGCCCAGTTCTTCATAATATCCTCTGTTGTATATATACTGCTCTATCAACACCTAGTAGGGACTTGGGTTTATCAACCCGCCCTAGGAAGAGTTTGTTTAGGCTACCTGCTAAGCTTTGGGTCCCCCCACCAATAGAACCCGAGGCCAAGTCGCGGGGGTTGTTTATATTCAATTCCAATCTTTCCAGGCGGTTTATTTACATCCCAACGCTGGTTGACGGGTGAAATAGCGCCCAAAAACGGCAGTCCGTCGATGCCGTTTTAAGCCCTCTTTTGTCCTCACCCAATAGCATCTGGCATTCATTTATACTAGCCAGCTTCGATCACGTGGGCGCACTCACCCTATATCACTGAATGCTCAGTTAACAAACTATCAATTTATTATTGTACATCCATCACTCTAGCTAAGTTTAAATACATAGCGTTGGCCCAGTTCGACCAATTTCATCCTTCGCTCGCTCTCATATCTGATTTCGCCTGTGGCCACGCGCCTCCCCTCTAGGATAAGAATGCATCGGTTGGATCAACTGCCCTTCGAAGTGTTTCTCCTGGCCACACGTAATCTAACCAAGCAAGCCAACATTAACGCTCTCGCCCTTCCAGCCGTGCATTATATCTTAATGGGTGGAAAAGCGCACTTTTGTATTCATGCTTCTCTTATCTTCTCTGACTATCTGAGCTCGCTACCTCCAACTTGCCCGGCGTTGTGGGCCCGCTTACTTGGTTGATCCTGACCTTCATGATGAGGATGGGAATTGTGCGCACCAATAAACTCACTCACTTAGTCGACCACATGGATCCTTTTGCAATGGTTCCACCCATGATGCACTCATTCTGTGTCACGGATGTATGTCCGAAGGCTCTTGCATTCTACCCAATGCAAGGGGGGGTATCGATTCGATTGAAGCATATCACCACATTCAATATCCGGGAATCAACATTTGCAAATCCCTGAGAGGGCGGCGCTGCAATACTTTCTTTCCTAGCCAGCTCAGAACAATAGTAGTCATCGTCAGGCTATCCAGATTGGCTCAGGCTGCTCTGGGCCCACTCAGAGATACCATCGGCGGGATTATGTTTACTGACTCGATCTGCGTGGGTTGCTTGACCTATTCCATGCTCATTTAGATTACTCGATACAACAACCATCTCACATAGCTTACGGAACAGCCTTCTCGTCTTTAGCCGCCTCATCCAGAAATTCCTCAACACTGCGAGCGCTCAGACCCTCCAACAAGCCCGTCCCCCACGCCAAAGCCCTATCCTCCGGAACCCTGTTGCAATTGGTAAAACCCATAAGTCTAAAGTACTCCAAGTCGACCTCCTCACCGGCCAACTTCCCCGACGTAATCTTTTCTATCACCACAGCAAATGGCAACTTCTTCAATGTCCACGATGGGTCCCGTCTCTTGATCAACTTGTATAATTCAAGATACGTGACGGTTTGCCCGCCAAAATGAGTAAATTCGTTCCACTTGATATCGTCATGTTCCAGTATCGACAATGCCGCCCGAGCAACGTCTCGAACAGACGTTACCGTAACCTTCTGCTGTCCATCCGCATACAACTCGAACACCTTATCTTGGTGATCCATCACCCATCCCACGCCGACGTCTCGTAAATACCGCTGCGAGGCGGGGACAACATAGTCCATGAACCACCCGTTGCAAACCATGGTCCATTTAATCTCATGTTGTGCGCGGAGGGCTTTCCAAATTGTGTCTCGTGAGTGTGCGAGCATGATCGGTTGGTCACCGAAGTCTTCGATGTTGGTGGTCCAGGACGAGGGGAGGAAGCGCTTGCATTTTGGGGACCGGGTGCATGCTTCTAGGATTGCCAGATGGGCAGTGATATATTTGTCCTCGGGCCCGCAGAAGGTGGATACCACGGCATCGCAGTCGTGCAGGTGCAGTGTGAGGCTCTCGACGCTGTAATCGGTAATCCGTTGCTCAATGGGTAGGCGATCTCGGAGGCTTTTGGGTTTGCTCGTGAGGAGGACGAGTCCATGCTCGGATCTGCTGAATTCTTCGATGAAGTAGGTGCCTACGTCTCCGACGCCCGCAATTGCGATTTTCATATTTGCGGACTTCGGAGGGTGCAATCAAAGGATTCTAGTTGTGTGTTTCTTGGGTTGCGTTCGTAAACGCCCATATTGATAGGAGCGGCGGCTTCTTAAGACTGCCCTGCTAGGAGGGGCAGAGCAACGTGAGGATCAGCCTTTTCTTACCCATTTAGAGAGACACCGGGTTGCTCGATGTGGTCCAATCTGCATATTCAACCCCGCCGTGGATGATCAACCCCACTTCGCTTAAGAAGCTACACTCTCTTATGGAATCAAGTGTCGGCCTAAAGAGAATGTTCATCACGAGGGGGGCTTTACGCCCAGTAGCCTCGGAGGACAATCATAATTCATGACAAGATCTTTAATCAAAGCAGTACTCCTCTTGATAGATAACAGTTCTCAATTAGGGTCTTTAAAAAGCTCCCCATATGCACCTTGAGCACTGCGATCGAGTGCTCTCACCACACGACGTATATCGTCGTCAGTAGTCCGCGGATTGATGGTACACATCCGGAGACCAACCACACCTCCTAGATGAGTGGTGAGTATGCACGCGATATCCTCGGCGGCCAAATCTTTCGAAACGCCAGTATTAATCTGGTCCAGAAGGTCTTCACTGGGACCATGTGGGGCAAAGCGAAAGTTCACAATGGCCAAAGAAGTGGGGGCCAAGATAACCCAACCTGCCAGCCTTTTTATCTCGTCTTCAGCAACCATTGATAACTCAAAGCCTCGCCCAATCATCTTGTCAATCGTGTCCATGCCAAGCACCTGTAGACTGAACCAAAGTCGCATGTGTCGCGCGGGCCTTGTCAGCTCAATCCCATAGTTCCAGGGATTCTGGGGTTCCTTTTCATCTTCAAAGTCGCGGCAGAAATGAGCTGTGGATGCAAAACTCGTCAGAGGGTGAGACCTCTCACGGAAGAGGATAGTCCCACAGCCGTACGTTTGGAAGAGCCATTTGTGGGGATCCCAGGCGATACTATCCGCTCGGCCAAGTCCGTTCACGAGAGATCGATGGGTGCTTGAAAATGCGGCTGAGCCGCCGTAGGCCGCGTCGACGTGCATCCAAAGTCCATGTTCGTCGGCTATGTCTGCAATTTCGTTCAGAGGATCAATGGCACCGGTGCTGGTTGTCCCACACGTTGCGACAAGAAGGAATGGCTTAAGGCCATCTTGGATATCTTCAGATATCGTACGACGAAGATGGTGGGTATCCATGCGATATTTTGAATCGCAGCGGATGGTCCGGAATTGAGAGTCCAGGAAGCCGGTGATGCGAAGCGCCTTGATGATACAGAAGTGCGAGTCATTCGAGATATACACGGTCGCTTTTTGCCGTAGCTCAACACTCAAGCGTTGGTCTCTGGCAACGGTAACTGCCGTCAAGGTGGCCATCGATGTCCCAGACACAAACTGCCCCCCCGCAGACGAAGGTAAGCCGAACTGTTCAGCAATCCAGGCGATCATGGATCTTTCCACGGCGCAGACGCCGGATCCTGACTCTGAGCTTCCCGCATAGGTATTGTAAGCGGATGTAAGGGAGTCTCCCAGCCAAGACACGGGAGAGACTGGTGACGGAATGAACGCGAAGAATCGAGGATGCTTTGTGCTGATGCGATATGAGAAGATCTCGTCGGCCTCTCGGAGTACATCTTCCAATGGCCTGCCCGTGCTCGACGGAGTGCGTCTCTGAATCTCCGATAGCCATTCTTCACTTGGATAGTTGGTAACTCGTACAGTTTCAAGGGGCAGGTTGCGACATCCGACGCGTTCAGATAGCTTTTGAAAAGCATTCGTGACCTGGTTCATGTCATGGCTGTTCACTCTCTCCTCTAGATTTTGATGAGGCATCGTGTATATTGTTGTCGAGGAATACAGGTATGGACCTTTCTAGAGAATGGGTGGGATGGATGTCTAAAACAGTAAATGTGTGCAGAATGGACAGGTACATCACGCAATTAATATTTAGCATTTAGTCTGACAGAAACTAAAACTGGTTGATGAACCTGCTTGAGAAAACTCAGCGATCTCATTTCCAAGGAACTTAGGGTTATAGCAGGATTGGTGTCGGGATATGCTTTGGTTCAAAAATTACTGCAAGTCTCGTGACTTCACCAAACCAAGCGACACTGCAGGCCTAAGGCAGCTATATTCATTACATCTAATTCGCTCCATCCCGTAATTATGGAAACTGTGAAGGGTATTTAGAATACTAAACGTTAGCCATCCAGCAGTGTCATGTTTCGTGACCCCATATGTATGTACATGCATGCAGCTAGTCATCATTACTATCATAAAAGCTGCTCACCTCCCATCCATTGACCGAGCTATAATCAGCAAGTGGCGTGGTACCGTGAAGCACTTCATAGTGTTTCCTGGGAACACAAGTCGTAGAGTTGCCTTCCTTGCACCCATTCAGCAACCCAGCAATCCGTCGTCCTGCATCGCGACCTTCAAACCATGCCCCGTGCAAGAAACCAAAGTAGGATGGACTGGTAGCTTCACCCGAGAACCAAAGTCGGTCGATGTTGGCCCGCAGATTCTCATGCATTTCCAGGGTCGTGCCCATCGGCCAATTGGAGTAGCTTCCGTAGGACCACGGCTCGGTGTTCCAACGAGGATACAGAAAGGAGGTAGGTTCAGGAACTTCCACATCAGGGAACATTTTTCGCAGGACCTCCACAATTTCCTGCTTGGTCTCCTCGTCAGATTGGCGTTCGGCCCGCTGAGCAAGCTCGTCGGTAACGGTCACGAAGATGATGTTGGATTCCGGGTGGAAACCGTCCATGGATAGGGACTGGAAGAGTGGGTAGTAACCACGAGTGGCGGGGTCGGCATATAGAAAGTACTGAGTGTCCGTAGGCCAGAAGGTCTCGTTGAACTGCATAAAGATCTTCGTATATGTGCCCATGGTGAACATATGGATTGCTGTCTTCTTCCACTCTGGCAGCTCCGGGGTGAAAGTGACAACATCGTTCTGCAGGACGCCCAAGGAGAATGTGCAGATGGCGTATGCGGCTTGGACACAGCTCCCATCGCTACTGTAGACAGTGACGCCTTCGGGTCCGTAAGTGATATTCGTAACTTTCGTATTGAGAAGCAAGCGGGGGTCATCTTCAGTCAGGAACTTGGAAGCCATGCCCTTGATGATAGTGTTAAATCCCCGCTGATCGGTGACGAAGTTGTCATGGTCGCTGAACTGATTCGAGGTCAAATTGTCACTTGCCATACCAAATACTAATGAGCTTTCTAGCGGCGTGAAAGATGCCTCAAAGTCTACTTCTACTTAGTATTTGTACCGATGCTATCAGGAACAAGAAACTCACCCCACATCCACCAGTCAACTGCCTGAGCCTCCGAGTCATGCGACTTTGGCTTCCATCCAGCCAACGCCAATCCGGCCTTTGCCGTCTGGTCCTGGAGGTTTTCAACAAGGATCTTGCCAGCCGCTAGGTTTGCAATATCGTAGGCTTCGTCAAACTCGTCCAGGAGGTGGGAGTAATCCTTGTAGCCATCCTGATTGTACGTCGAAATATTACTGTAGTTCGAGTATGTCGTCTGCAAGCCAAATTCCTTGGCTAAAGTCCAAATTGGATTCTCAGGACCTCCTGGATTTCCGAGACCTTGAACCTAATCAACTATGTCAGTCGAGTGCGGTCAAGGAAAGGGATACATTGTCCGCACCCAGTTGGCACCCATTTCAACCACGTAGGGGTTTCCATCTTTGTCCTGGCCGAAATTCTCGTGCCAAGCACGGCCGCCAATTCGGTCGCGATATTCCAGGATAAGGAAATCATCCACGGACGCTTTCGACAGAGTTTGCTACGAAAGTCAGCGGTATTCTTCACCTCTCAGTCTAGAATCCAGAATACGTACAGCAGCCGAGATACCTGATATCCCTGCCCCTCTGAGCATTGTCAGTAAACCCTCGGAGATAATCGCCGATAACCGATTTGATAGACACGTACAGAATCGCAACCGTAGTCTTCTGACATGTCCCTTCCTGGTCCCTAGGTTGAGACACATAGCCCACCACTGGGTGGACAGCCCAGGCTCCGAAGGCAATTAAAGAAAGACGGCCCAGAAACATCATGAGCAATCAGAAATGAGCAGGCTCCTCGTCCACAGCAATTTGTCGAAGCCGTGCAGGAGAGACGGGGGCCTCTATAAATATTGTTTGCAGTTACCCACTTTTCCCATTCCGGCCCCCGGGCAAGTCCAGCCGTACGTTCGGGGAATTTGTTTATGGACTAGTGTTGTAAATAATTGATATAGACTGATGGAGTTTCTGCAGACAAAGCTCCACCATTATTGGTGGTCGTACTACGCGATTGGGCAAGTCCATGCGGGTCAGACTGATCGACGTACCCATATCACAGTGTTTCGATAAGCATTCATCGTTATCCTTGCCTCGGTTTCCTCGATTAGCTTGGTTTCCTCCTCCCCCTCCCCCTCCCCGCATCGTGGATGCAACTTGTCGGTAGCTTCCGATTGCCAGCAAAGCAGTGCAGACTAAGGAATGAGATATTTTCAGCTGCCTTCCAGCATTTCATAAATCTTCTTTCTCTTTTGTCCCCTTCAAATTTGGATCGTAATGCATAATTTTAAGTGAATCGGAGAAGCTCGCTTGATTAGGTAATATGTAGCTAATTAACTGGATCAACTAGGGCACTGGCAACCCTATCTTAGTAAAATTAATCGAACAGTAGTATTTATTACCAAACCATATACATATACATATACATATCTTTGCCTTCAGTCTACTGCTGCCAAATAGAATCACTATCCCAAGCGTACCTTTCGGGTTCCCCGTTCCCGGCGCTGGGTTTTTGCCCTCCTGAACCCGAACAACCCCGGCGCGTGTTCGGGCCGGATTATGAAATCAACTTCTATCCGTAGTGATCATGACCTCCCAGTTGGGGATTCGGATAGTCGAGCTAGGCAAGGCACCGTTAAACATGCATCCCATCCGAGAAACGCCGGTAGAGATAATCTTATCAGTCGTGCGGTGATAACACGGAGAAGGGAAGCATTCTAGAAAAAATCTCGGATTAGATCCTGACTGACCGACTCACCCTTAACCCTAAATAGCATGTCCAAGAGAAATTGAGTAATGCATGGAAGTTCCTGTTCGCCGAAGTTTTCCCGTTTCTTGATGAACAGAGTAGTCTGTTCTATCCTTTCACTCGCCCTCTTTCCCATGCTCGCCTGGGTATTGCTAAATCGATTTAGCTTGCACGGTTGATCAAAACGACACAGGACAGATAGTATTATCTGCATGCTACAGAATATCCATTCATTTGCTAATAAACTTATCTAGACAATCACGTCTGGACCACTGAGTTAAATAAGCCTAAAAATGTTGCCCGGGTGTCATAGCTTAGCCTTATTACTGTCGAGGGCCGAGATCATTTCTTTCGCGAATTCCTCCGCATCAGTAATAAATCCGTTATGCCCACCAGGAGCAAACACCAGAGAAGTCCCAAGCGTGTCAGACAAAGTAAGCACCGGGAGACTTGCGAGCTCCGGCGATATATCCAATCCTTTCATAAGAACTAATTGGTCTCGATATGGCCGAAGATTTTCGGGATCGAAATGATAGTCGAGTATCATGTGTAACTCAAACTCGAAGAAAAGCGCAGTCTCATCTATCGGTTGAGCAATAAGTCGTGCGTAATGCGGATCCTGACCCAATCTCCGTTGGTCACGCCCGCCTTGTACATAAGCGAGTAACACGCGTCGAACACTCGCATTCCCACGCCCCCCGTACTTTAAGGCCTTACTAAACATCCCACCTTTGATATACGATTTGAATGGAGTAGGAAGATGTTCTAAAAGAAGTGGCTCGTGCAGTATTAGATGCTGTATAAGGTCGGGACGAGACTGAAGGAGTTCAATGGCCATTACCCCACTGCCGGAAGTCGCAAAGACTGTCGCAGGTTTCCCTGGGGATAAGTATTGAATCAATCTAGCGACATCGTCGGCTTGCGCTCTCAGATGGTTCGACGTATTCGGCTCTCCAGGAGTGATCAGGAGACTGCTTCCGAATCCTCGGCGGTCATATAGCGCAACTTGAAAGTGTGATGAGAGCGCAGTGGCTAGTGGCTCATACACCATTCCGGTACCATTTGCCCCAGGCATTGGAATAAGAAGTGGCCCAGTCCCAATGATTCTATAATAGAGACAGGCGCCATCAACTGCAATGCAGGCTGCGCTAGGGCTCTTGTTTGTTCGCATCTGTACTCTGTAAAGCCTTGTGTAGGCTCTGAAAGGGTCAACACAAGCATCCCAGAATATGGACATGGGCTGGTCCACGTACTTATAGTTCAGTCAACACATACTCCCCATGATTATCCCTTTCAAAGTTAAATCGATGCTTCAGAAGCTGTAGAGTCGGATCAGTACTGAACGTGTACGGTCTAGAGCTTCTAGCAACAAACGATCCATGCTTGCAAAGGGTATTGCCTATTTCATACTTACCTTGGATTTATAAAGTCTCGGATAACCCACAATGAGCTCTGCCTTTGTCATCTTGACGATGCTCTGTCTCAAACACGGACACGGGTTTGTTTTCTCCGTCACACGATTTGCCACCATCCAGGTTCATCGGTCGGAAAACCTGCCATTGCCAGGTGGATAGCTCGTTGCCTCGAATCTGGAATAACAGACTTTAGGCCCCGACATTCATCCTTCGTCATTAATAACAAAAGGATAACAGCGGCACTTGCTATCCTATGAGATGTATATTACTTGCATTTCAACAAACGTTAACGCGAGGCAAAATGTGTCCACCGGAGTACGCTTGCCGTTGGAAGCTCTCGAGGACCTTCATCCATCATATATAGTATCGCATTTGGTTACGATCGGATTAATCACGCAATCAGGGAACTTGGAAGAAATCAACCTGATCCGTAAGGCCATGAGCAAGTCACATGGTCCCGGTGCCACATCCGGACTAGACCGACGACTGGTGATTTCACCGGCAGTGAACTTCTTGGCTTTTTCTTCCGATAAACAGGACAGGACTTGATTTAACCTGGAAGCCTGTCGGGTGCTACGATGGTTACTCGCTGAGGATTATGTCAAGCGTTACGCGTCTTGCGATGATTCCCACCCACTCCGAACTATCGTGACATTAGGCAACCACATAAGATCTTCTTGGTATATCATCTGAATCTGGTTATCGTTTGAAAGCGGTTATGCTGACAGGGAAACAGAGGACAAATCTATCTACTCTGACTGACTACGCGGGGATGAACCCCTCTCAAGATCCCGCCTATGCATGCGGTAATGCAACCAACGTACAGATCTCGGCCAATGTTGTAGATGGGCGTTCATAGGAGGGGTCAAAGAAATGACGAGAGATTATGAAATCCTAACCGTGACCGTGTCGGTTGCTAGTCTCGCACTAATATCGAATCATCCTTGTGTGTGATAAGGCGGGTGATAGGGCCACCGCACAACTTAAGCGCTGTGCTGCATTTTGGCGCTTATATGCACTATCCTCTGCCCTGGTGGACTATGTGCTCCCCACTTTTTGTGAAAAGTCACTAGTTTCCAACGGGAGCTTAGGTAGGGCGCCGTTCAAGGCACTAGCCCCAACCGTAAGTGATCCCTCTGCATGATGGTGGCGGATCATCCTATCTTTGTACTCGGTTTAACGACGGCAGTGCGGAAGGCGCCTGATATATGCATCAGTGTCCCGTAGTAAGCGATGCACATGCAGGAATAAACTGCTCGAGAAGAATGCTCCTATCACAGACACTATCTAACCTTTGTCCCTTGAAAAAACAGTCTCCAACAAGTTGGTCAGACGTGTTAGACCTGAAGCCAGAGTGGGGAGTCACCGACTCCCCCAGAATTAAATCCAAGCCTCTCTTGAGCTGTCGGGGCATATAAATATTTGTCAATGGCCCACACGAAATGCTACGATAGAATAGAATCAATCCTATTCTTGATTCTTTATGACGACAAGTCCACAGCGTCCGAACGCTCTTCACTTTCCAACGCCAATTCACAACATTCGGGCCTGCTTTTATTTTTGGTTTCTGTGACCTTACGTAAATATTCCTGTTTGTCAATATGCAGTCTCGAAGGTCCGCTATAGAAAAAACCAACGGGTCACGCCGACGAAAATCGTCATTGTGCTGTGAGCCATGTCGCGAACGCAAATCTCGCTGCGACGGAAGGAAGCCCATCTGCGGGCCTTGCACTCAACGGTCGCATGCAGCTAACCGGTGTCTTTACAGACGCAACATTGTCAGGCTATTGGACACCGATGAGTATGTTTCCATTGAAGGGTTAAAATGTGACCATTGCTCACAGGCATACAGATACCTACAAGTACTTTATCGTCATATTCGGGAATTGGAAGAGGTGTGCCACGAAGCTGGGATTCCAGTGCCTACGTTTAATCCAGATGTTTTATCCAAGGACTCGGATGGGGAGACACCTCAGATTGGCTTGGGAATCCAATTCGATGCTCAGACAACTCTTCCAGATCAAGGGGATTCCCGCGCTTTCCCCCCGCCAATAAAGCCGGAAACCTTTCCCTCCCTTCTGACAAATCCACAGGAGGGTGATTTAAACTTGCTGAAGGCTAGTAATTTTATTGGTGGTAACGACGGGTTTTCAAATCAACCGAATAAATTTCTCGGTAGCCCACCTCCTGCCTACCTCATACGTCTTTTGACACAAGGGCCTCTGCCGAGAGATATCCCCTACGGTCCTACTCATGCTCATTTGGATGGCTCCCTATTACCACCGCGGGATCTTGCCGACCATCTGTTAGGTTGCTTCTGGGATCGGGTTTACTGCCTTTATCCTTTCTTTGACCGGTCCAGTGTCCAGAATGCCTATGAGGGTCTCTGGATATCCGGCAACGCTAATGACAAAAAGCCCAGTAAACTCAACATCGGCCTAGGCGGCAGGTCTGACACCGGTCGTCAGTCACCAGTCTTTATTTGTGCACTGAACATTATGTTTGCACTTGGGTGCCACTTTGCCGATTTATCGGTTCCAGATCGGAATGCCATAGCCCATACCTTCTTCCTTCGGGCCAAAATGAATATTGGCCTGGATCTGCTGGAGATCCGAACTTTTGGGGCTGTCCAGACTCTTTTATTGGCGTCACTGTATCTTCAAAGCATACCCGATACACATAAGTCCTGGGATTTGGTAGGAGTGGCGTGTAGAATTGTCCAGGCGCTTGGGTTCCACGACAATCAACCGGAGAGCTTTAAAGACCCGTTCGAATTAGAAATTCAGCGTCGCACATGGCATGGGTGTGTTATGATGGATACGTAAGTTCGTCACTGACTTATTCTACTGGCTCTGGTAAAAGCTAACGGGTGCAGAATCGTGAGCATGGCTTGTGGGAGACCTAGCACAACGTCTTCCTTGCCGGCCATTCCACGGCCAGGGGCAGTAGGTCTTACCCCTACAAACACCAAGGACCCCTATTTGACAGCCTTCTACCCCGCTAGTCTAGAGCTGTGTAGCATTCTAGACACTGTCTTGTCTGCTGTCCACATAGTACGGTGCGACCGATCGGGCACCCCGGCTAGCTCAACAACTGCACAACAGGACGGATTAGATGCCGTGGATAAACTAGAAGCAAAGCTATTTGAATATGAATCCAGCCTTCCCTCAGTTCTCAGTTGGAATCGTCCATTTAATCCAGCGACTGATGTGACCCAGCTGTTGACTTTGAGGCGTCAGAGAAATGTTTTACATGCAAGGTGCGACCCACGGTGCAATACTCCTTCCTGAACATCCTAATCATGGTTCTAGATTTCTTTACCTGCGTCTCCGCCTCTACCGTGCCGCTTTTACCCAGCTCTGCTCTGAGATGCTGGCTCAAGAGGATTCTGAGACCGATCAGCATGACCCTGCCCTTTGGACGCTCTATCCATCGATGTTATTCAAGTGTGCTGCGGCCTGCGTAAAAGCAGCCATCGACTTGGTTTCCCTAGTATATGACAATTACCAAACATCCGCCACCGACACCTGGTGGCACAATGGTTTCTGTAAGCTCCACCCGATGCGATAAGTTTTGGACGAGGCTGACCAACAGACACTTCGGTTGCGGGTATGGTCCTCGTAATGTCCTACACCTGCCTGCCCGCCCTGTCCGACATCGAGAAACCTGCCGTTAACGAAGCCTGGCGCAAGTGCGAACAAATCTTGCAGTTCATGATCCCGTATAATTTCTCTTCGAGAAATACGTTGCTCTTTTTACGGGCCGCTCGTGATCGGATTCTATCGTATCTCGAAGAAGAAATTGAGACGGGCGCAACTGACATGGGTCCTGATTCCAGCCTTGTAGATGACATGGAGAATCCTTTTGTCGATGAGGCAGACGGCTTGTTCAATGGAGCGAACTGGCTGGGCAGTGCCGTGGCTATGGTCGGACTGGGATTCCTATGCCCGGCCGATTTCAAATGGTTTCAGGACTGGTTGGCAGAGGAGCTGCCGTGATTCTTTGGAGTGCGACTGCGTGGTGTTTTTTTTCCCCTCTTGGTATTGTTTAATTGTCACGCGCTTGTTTGATTGGTTCAGAATGGATTAATTTTACATCGTTCAGCCTCGTGGTGACTTGTCCATCGTACTAGAAAACAGCCACTTAGCGCCGGCGGCTATGCATGCGTTAGGCTGCGCTCCTCGGCCCATAGTTATAACATCCCCATTAGTCACCGTTTTGATCCCATTCTTTTTCCACTTCATGTTGGGGTAAGCTCGGGGCTTATTAGCAGAGCAGCTCTCACGATGGAACTCAGCTCCGTAGACACGCCGCAGCCGCCCGAAGTCACCATCTTTGAAGATGTTGGTATGACCCGGCCCTAACTTTGCATTTACCTTCTGGAGAAAGTGCTAATAGGCATTAGGCACCGATATATTGCGACCGCAAGAGGTGGTCGACTTAGGAGCATTTTTGAGTGTTTGTTTACCTTCCTCCTACCTTCAATATTGGCACTTGACCACTAACAAACCGCAGTCATCTCAACGCTCCTCTACCCAGGTCATGTATGTATCTATAAAAGGTCAAACTGCTCATCGAAATACGATAGACTAATGCTCGTGCTATATTATAGCTTTGCTCAACATGAATTGCTGGAGGAATACGACTCCCATCTCAGCCTTCCTCCTGATTTCCGGAACACTTTCGGAGCGGACCTGAACTCCTCGTTTCACACTGAATATGGCTTTACCGGACACGCAATCACCCACCATGGTGAGTTCTACCTTGTAGCTACGACCCCCAGGTGTAAGAGAATTAATATGGAATGCTAGTCTCATGGTCCTTGTTCAAAATCAAAATAGTCGAGCAACCGGGCGAATATCACTGGATTCAGGCATCCGTCTTCATCAATTGGGATCTGCAAGCTAATCAACAAAGAATTGTCTTCGTTGATGTCCCTGATAATGAACGCAAGCAGCTTGAACAGAACTTTCCCACCCGGGATATGAGAGATCGAAACCCGTACATCTGGCATGCGGTATTCGGGCACATCATGGCGAGTTTATATAACCGGTCTTTTTGGAAACAACGAAATGTCATCCGGGAAACAGAAAAGGTTTCTTTCTGCCTACAGTCCCTCCAACCTTCTTTACCCGACCCTAAACTAAGGAAAACAGATCCGAAATGCTTCCAGCGAGAACCTGCCCAAGTTCCTCAAAAACCTCAACGATAGCGCCCGCCATGCTGTGCATCTGAACGAGACCATGGAGGTAGCGGAGCATACCATGAACAGGTTACTTATCGAGCATTCACACTGGAGAGATGAGTTTCCGGAATACGTGCTGGGACAGAATAATGTCGTCCGCGGCACGTATTTCCAGACGAGGCAGAAATTGGCCTTCGTCGCGAAAGAAATCCATTCGGCTAGAACTAGGTCAAGGACTCTAACTGATCGATTAGCTAGCGAGATTCAACTTGTATGTTATTTACTCCTCTCTCTCTTTCTTTCTTTTTCTCAGCCCCCTTCCCTCATTTATTCATCATTTCTTATTTTTTTCTTCCCCTTCTTGTTCTTCTCCTTTGCCTTTTAATGGTGCATCTGATTTAACATACAAGGAAAGACCCATAATGCTTCAATCAGATGCTAACTAAAAACAGGCAAATACCCTCGTCTCCCATGAAATGAGTCGTAACACCCGCTACGACAGCATGGTCATGAAAACCCTCAGCTTCATGGGTATGATTTATCTGCCGGGGACATTCGTTTCCGTACGTTCGATTCGCCTTTTCCTCTCTCTCTCTAATCCACCCTTCCAACCCCTCCCCCGAAAACTCTTTCTCTTCTAAATGACACTACAATTGTAGCGAAAGAAAAGAAAAAAAAAAAAAAAAAAAACCTAACAATGACCTAGGGCATCTTCGGGTCCAACTTTTTTGACTTCCAATCAGGCGCAAAAGAATCGTGGGAGATGTCCCACGAGTTCTGGCTCTATTGGGCCGTGACGATTCCGCTGACGCTGGCGACCTTTGTGGTCTGGGCGTTGTGGCATTATCGGGCGCAGTTGGGGTTCTTGGGGAGGGGACGTATAAGGGATGCTAGTGAGCAGGTTTGATTGGGTTGATTGGATTTTTGGATATTGGATTTTGTGGATATCGGGTATTGGGTATAGAGTATAGTATTATTGATGATGTTATGAGTTATGATTTTTCGCTTCTACACGTCTTTCGGTGTTTTATATTTTTTTTGTCTGGATATAACATGTGTTTTTTCTTTTCCAAGTTATGAAAATTGCTATATAGGAATGTACTTTAAACGCTCATGTTATACATATATTAAATATAGAATGGTATATATCATTACGCGGTCTCTATCTGTTGCGATGAGTATCATCCCGGGCCTAAAACACCGTATACCTTAAAAGAGTCGATCATGAATCATACGTCACCGCTTGTGGTATCGCTCGTCTCTTCTTTAATCCGCACCGGATGCAGACACCATTGACCATCTATTTCGATGAACAATGGAGCTACCTCCACTGGTAAATTAACCCTCAACTCTCGAGCCGCATCCTGGAGCGACCGTAGGAGGCGCTTGGCCTTCTCGAACCGTCGCGAGAATGCCTTCGCTGCAATACTGAGGATGATGAACGCTTCGCAGTTGTCGGCCTTCTGCAGGTTTTCTAAGAGGATGAACAGTGCCGCTTGGATCCACTGGATGTGGAAGATGGGCATGTGTTCAAGGCCCCACGTGGTTCGGTACATCTGTACCCAGTGGCCGATACTACGGGCGGAGGATAAACAGGTGGTGAGGGCTTGTGCTGGGTTGATTGTGTCGTGATTCGTGTATGGCATAAGTTTTTCGCGGGACAGCCTGTGAGGGCTATAGATGGCGATCAGAATGGCGTGGTAATACATACTACACGGGTTAGGTCTTGCTCTGCCTAGTTCCGGGCGGTAAACAACTCACTGTAGACATAGAATGTGCGGGATTTCGGTGTCCTTCCCTATCTTCAGGCATTGTGGTAGCCGATCCGCCCATTCAGTGAGACGTTTGTGGAATTCGGAAGTCTTTTTTTCTATGTCTGTACGGGAACGAGGCGCCTCTTTGCGAAAATAAAAGTCGGTGACGTCATATGCAATTAGATTCAACGAACAAAGCTCGTTGAACAGACAGGTCTTGTGCGACGGCGTTCCGTCCGCGGGTGTTGGATACGGATGCCACTCGTCCTGATTCAATTCATGATTCACCGGTAAGAAAGATGATTGGTGCGGCGGCTTTATTGTCGGTGTCTTCTCGTATAACAAGGCGTGGGTCCTAGCTTAGATCAGTCATCGCTCTCCACTGTTGTAGGAGTCTGGGTTCCTACGTGGCGTTATTGAATAAACCCCAGCTGGTGTTATTAACTACCCGGGCCATGCGAATTTCGTCTTCGTTGACTGTCGATGCGAGCACTGTGTACTTTTGCGACAGTTCGTGGGCTGAGTAGGCCAGTTGGCTTCGATAGATCCATGCCTGGCGGTCTTGGCCGATCATACAAGCACTGCTTATTTATCAGTCTGTCGCTCTGCGATGGTATGTAGCGCAAGTACTTACCGCGCCCATAGCACACCGATACCTTGAACGGTGGGGAGACTGATTCTCCCTTCCTCTTTGTCCAGTAACCGTTTGGCCTCATCGTAAAAGTGGGCACCTTTCGTCGACACATCCCTAGGCACAGCATACGCTTCGGGATAATCTGAGTATGTCTGCGATCGTTATTACACAGAACACAACCCCGGACACAGACGGGGGACAACGTACACATGCATATGCTAGAATTGCATTGACCAAGAACGGAGAACAATATTTGGCCCCCAGCAACCCCGCTTGCATATCGTAGATAAACCGATCACGATCAACCCAATTAGAGAAAGGATGGAACCAGGTGAGCCACAGGGAGATGAGATGCGAAACAAAATCGTTGTCCGAGACGACGCTAGTCCAGGGCTTCGCGGGGACCTGAAACAAGGGTTGACCCGACAATCGCTTCGCATCCAGGATCCGACGCACTGATCGCGAGTCCGCGTCTTGTAATCGCTGGACCTCATGACTCACCTCAATGAGCTCGGGCATAAGGGCCAGTTCAGATTCGGGCACCTGATGGTTGAGATAGTATTGGATCTCCGGCAGCGAGGCATTACTTCGAATCAAATTGAGTAAGGGAATCGTGCTCCGGTTGCCACTTTCTCGTAGGACACTGACCAGGCGAAAAAGAAGATCCTCCTTCTCCTCGAGTTGGTCAATCTTGCGTTTTAAGGCTCCGCGGCGACGTTTATCGAGAGTCTGATCGAGGGTACATTCGAGGCGGCTTTTGACGCAGTTCGCACAAGGTGCAGTCCCGGTGCACTACGCATGTCAGTACCGAGAGCTATTATTACAGGGAACGAAATAATACCTTGAGCTTGCGAGCCTTGCAGGCTGAACACGCTGTGCCGACATTTTTCCTCCGTGGGTGAGCATCATTGCCACCCGGGGTACCGGGCGGCGCGGGTGCCAGCCGTCGTTTGGAGTCTGTCATGATGTTCTACAGACATCAATCCATGATGAGAGCGGAGAAAAACGGCCTTGAGGGCGAAAAAGGGAGAAGAAGCGGGAAAAGAAAGCAATGAAGGGATGAAATCACAGAGCATGGAATTGGATACCAGAAATTCCGCCTCACTCGCGCGTCGGCGTAATTGGTGGGCGGAACTGCACGCACTTTCCCCGCATAGAGGACGTTTCAGGATTACCGTAAGTTACACAAGTGTCGGGTGGCTCTGACACTCGACTATACCACATTGGGGTAAATTGGGACGCGTTCGTACGAAAATACTTTACAATAGTCTTACAAGCCATTCTCGAAGATAGTTTCCGCCAATCAAATCCTTTCCCTCGACTGGATCCAATCGCCAATTCTTTTGGTTCTTCCCAACAACTGTTGACGGGATGCCGAAAGCCCTAAATATAAGACAACAAGACCGACAAGCTTTGATTTAAGTTACAAAGTGATTGTTGTAAGTTGAATAATGACCTATATTCTTAAAACACTTTTCACAAATACTAGAAAGCTAGTGCCCTCGCATGAACCATGATCAAATTAATTTAGACGGATGCTCGGAGGAGCGGAAGTACTCCACACCCAACTAGATAGATATATATATATATGCTCTACTATACACGATGAACGATTCTTTATAATTCAGCCGATTAAACGACACCACTCTTGCTCTTAAACCCGGACTTCTCACCACGGTCATTGCTGGACAAAGACCCATCTGGCACAACACCTTCATTTTCCTCATCTGGCTGCCAGAACTTCTTTTTCCCCCTCGCAGCTCTCTTGACCCAAGGTGGGAAGAAACCACCAGGGAGTTTCCAGGTCCATGCATCCTTCTCATCCTTGTTCGGAGGCACAATCCGTCCAAAGCTCGCTTTTTCAACGATCCACACCATCGTATTGATGCAGATGTAGCTCAGGATACCAGCAATCAAGCCGTACGCGATACTGTAGGTAAAAGGCATAATGGCGATCGTGAGGAATGCTGGAATGGCATCACCGTAGTACTTCCAATTGATTTCGGCGGCAGCCTTACACATGAGGGCACCGACGATGACGAGGGTGCAGCCGGTCGCCCAGGGAGGAATCGAGGCAAAAATCGGAGCGAAGAAAACAGCGATGAAGAAACAGAGGCCGGTCACACACGAGGTCATACCAGTTTTACCTCCTTCCGAGATACCAGCACCACTCTCGACGAAGGCTGTCACGGGAGGACTACCAAAGAGCGAACCGATAGAAACACAGATCGCGTCAACCATCTGTAAACATCTGTCAATATCAATTCAAGCGGAGACGGATACGGTTATACGTACATAGGCGAAAGCACTGCCCTCAAAGTCCTGAGTGCGCTCATCAATAGCGCCAGCGAAGCGCGCCATAGAGTAGAGGGTACCCGTAGTGTCAAGAATGTCGACATACTGTTGATTCAATCCAGTTAGCCCCGCCTGCGCGACACGTGATAACAGAACCAACTCACCAAGAAGGTAATGAACGCCAATCCAAACTGCGAGCCATGTCCCGAGAGGTCCCATTCTTGCGCCACGAGCGTATGCTTAATCGGGTGGAAGGTTACCACTTGTTTGAAGAAATCGAAATTGCTGTCTCCCAATTCCGTGTGCGGGAAATACGTGACTGGTGTCGGACGGGGCCACGAGATGATCGAAACCAACAGGATACCGATAATGACTGCACCCTTGACACGGTACAGCATCAACATTGCCGTCAAGACACCACCACAGAAGATACCAACCCACATGGCAGGGTTGCGCATCTTGTCACTAGCAGGACACATGCCGGTGGTAGCATCACGCATGGAAGAATGGCATCCGGCAAGTTCCATCGGAGTGTCCGTCGAACCAGTGACCAGACCAATTCCAGCGCTATAGCTCAGTCCGATGAGCGTCAAGTACAAGCCAATACCGGTACCCGTCGCCAGTTTAATCGATGCAGGTAATGCTCGGGCCAGCCACTGCCGGATTCCCATGAGTGTCAGGGCTAAGAAGACAAATCCTTCTACAAACACCGCTGTCACCGCGACGCGATATGGGATCATTCCAAACCCGTGATGCCCAACCACTGTATATGCGAAGTATGCGTTCAGGCCCATTCCAGGTGCCAACGCTACAGGCAAATTCGCCAACAAACCCATGAAGAACGTTCCCAGAGCAGCAATGGCTGCTGTGGCGGTGACCAGATCCCGTTTAACTTCCTGCACGCATAGCAGATACTCGGTGTTCGAATTGCACTTGTCGGCCCAGCTCTCTGGAGGACATACGCACGTGCCGCCTGAATCCGAGGTAATGGTGGAATTGACGCTAATAATGTACGCCATGGCGAAGAAGGTCGCCAATCCAGCTCGAATTTCGGTAAAGAAGAAGCTTCCCTTTCGTTCTTGGGGCTATGTGCTTGTTAGAAATCACCCACCGGTCTCACCTCATACCGAACACAAGATCATGACTTACATGGCCGGAATTCTCCAGACGGAACCATCGCCCAACAGGCGACCGCGCCACCTTGAGATTGGTACGATGTATCCAACCCATATTGACTAGGTTTGAAGTTGACGGACTAGAAAAGGCGTCTCAGCCTGGGGTATAGTTGAGGCAACGCCTAACACAAAAAATTCAAGAAACCTTGCGGAGAAGGCGGGTTTTTATTCCACCCATGGAGGGGCCCAATCCCGGCCAAAAAAAAAAAAAAAAGGAAAAAAAAATTGCTACGTAAACCCTTCATTCGCCTCAAGTGCTTATCAGTGGCTCGTGTGACTGTCATCTTGGCAATGACCGTATAGGAGCCACTTAAGGGACTGGAATGCCAGTCAGATGTCCGGTTCTCTTGCCGACCGGTCCAAGGATCGAATCAGCAATGCAACTAATGGACCCCGAGCGGTTGGACCATACCTATTTGGTGCTGGAGTGGAGGTTTCATGAGACACACGCGGGTCTCGCCGATTTTTTGCGTTTCGGTCCACAGCTCTGCAGCTTATCGCAGGAAGTTTTTTTATCTCTACCCGTGCGGGTTTCTCGAGGGACGCGAGATTAATTCTCTTGGCGCCACGGAAATTTTACCGTTTTCTTTACTGTGAACGGCAAGTCCGGAACGTGCCATCAGAATGATATTGCCCTTGGGATTTTACCGTGTTTACTGTGCGGGGTGCATTATGCAGAAAACATCTCATCCAGACATTCTCCTTCCATCTCGAACTCCTGCAGCGACTACCCCGACTTTTCCTCGAAAACTGCCGCGGTCGGCGCAAACTTACTCTTCCGTCGCAACGTGGGGCCCCAGATGATGAATCCCAATGGAATGGGGATCATGATAGCGGCAAGACAGCCCAACAGCGTTCCAGCCCACTGAACACCCAGGTTCACAAACATCTGACGTGAAAAGAGCGGAAAACACGCCCCGACGGCGGACCGGAGGATGGTGTTGGCGGCGAAGACCGAAGCGGCACTTGTCCTATCAGCCTTGCTGCTTACTTGGCGTTATCGGGCTTAGATAAAGGGAAATGCTTACAATTGCAGATACGAGTCGATCAGATAGTTGAAACATTGCAGGAAAATGCAATAGATACCGAACCCCACCAAAAGCCCAGATGCCGTGGGAGCCATCCAGTGGATGTTCTTCGTCCAGCCTGTCCAACCGAACCTGTTTCTGTCAAAATGTTGAGAAAACAATGGGCAGAGTAGGTGCATACCAAAAGAGGCCTACTGTGAAGGCGATTCCGCCCACGATTACTGGGGGTAGTCGCCATTCCGGCACGGGGATATCGTTATTAGCCATTAATTTCTTCGTATATGTAGACTGACTGAGGAGAGTGTAAGCACCCCCAGCAAACTCGCCGATGATTAGCCCGATGAACGGCAGGCTCCCGACTCCCAAGTTCATCCCGTGGATCTGCTGGAATACGACGGGATATGCCCCCAGCAACGCATACATCAGCCCGTAGATGAAAGACATGTACAGCGTCACCAAGAACACAATAGGCTCCGTGAACAACATGCGGAAGGGCCGACTGAAGTTAACTGTGATCAGTTGGTTGAAATCAATCTCGACCTCGTCTTGTTTCGCATGGATTCCCCAATTGTGAGTTTGGCGTCGTAGTATGGATGCCTTTTCCACCAACACCATGGGCGCATAGGTTTCTCGGAAGAAGAAGAGCAACAACGCCGATCCGAAGAAACCCATAATGGCGGCGATATACATGGTCCATCGCCAGTGGAGGTAACTCATGGTGATGAATCCGCCCGTAAATGGGGATGCGAATGGCCCGACAAACACCGCCATGGCAAACATGGCGATAGCCACGCCGCGATGACGATTATTGTAAATATCGGCGAATACTGCCGGGACAAGGGCCAACGGACTAGCGGCGAAGAACCCAGCGAAGAACCGGGTCAACATGATCGTCTGGACATCTTTAGCTGTTGCTGTCCCAATGGTGGAGATGCTCGCCCCAAAGGCACCCGCAGTCAGTGGCCATCGTCGGCCGGCCAGCTCTGAAGTTGGGGCCCAGAATGTTGGTCCGGCAGCGAAACCTAAGACATAGAGCGTCACACCTAATGTCGTGACTTCCGTACTAACGTGGAATTCCTCACTGGTCGCGGCGACTGTCGAAGAGAAGATCGCGCTGGCGAAAGAGGACACGAAAGTGACATACGCGAGAATACAGGACAAAAGAATCCTACTCATTCGGCTTAGACGATCGACTCGAGCCCCTGAGCATGGTGTTTACCTACTTGGTACTCATACGCCAGTTATGCGGATCCATTGGGTCCTCTCCCGTGAATTCTACGACATATTTCTCGGGGTCAGGCAGCAACGGAGGATAATCCTTTCCGCCGCCAAATGGTAGCCATTGATCTCTTGGAGCTGGTCCAGCTGTCGATCCAACGGTCGACCGCTGTGTCAGACGAAGCGACTCGATTCGTGAGAGCTCAACATTGGTGGAGCGTCGGCTCAGCGTTGATGGTCTAACGCATTCGAACGCCGGACTATGCTCTGGATGGGCGGTGGGAATCTCAGACAGATTGCTACTTGAACTGCAGGTTGATGACATCTTTGGATTGATCGGCTTTATCTCCCCTAGAAGTCGTATGGTGTACAAGTTGTTAATGCGCGAGGGGTGGCCATGAGGATGTTCGTCAATATATATCGATCCATGGGTTCATTAACCTTCTAAACCATTGTGGTTCCAGCACTCATCTATCCACGCTCATCAACTCTGGTTTGATGGGTGCGTGACGTCATCGATACAACTGGAGACTGTTGTAAAAGATGTACCCCCAATGATATTCCCCAACATCCCTACAACATTGACGTCCTCTTCGCTGCAGCTGTCTAGCAATATCGCCCTGTCAACCACAAAGAACGTTCCTAAACACACCCAGCTTCCACCGGAAACCCCACATGGTGGGGTCCAACTTTATGGAACCTGCGAGGGATGAGGTTTTTAGTCTATAATTGCATTAATCTACTAGAAGTATATATGCTGCGAGGTTTAGTATAGAATCTAACCAAGGGCTTGTAGGTGGGTTAGCGTATTTAACAGGGTTCGGGGCAGGTTTGGGTTAATTCAACTAAAGAACCCGAACTGAAAATCTAGTCTAACATCGATCTATAGTCCCCATGATATCGCTTAGAATATTCAACTTGCAGTATCGCCAGTAGCCCGGCTCTCATCCAGTTTTACCACAATTCCTTTTTTCGAGTTCACCCGCCTTTGCTACTGAAGGTATAGTGGCAGCACCAGCTAGGGTACATGCGGGGCATTGTTCCTGGAGTATTCGAAGTGATATTTCCATTCGGCGGTTTCATATCCCGTACTATTATTAAGCGTATAAAAAGGTGGTCTGGTCCTCTGGAAATCACCCTATCATACAAAAGAATCGGCATGTTTGTTTCGAGTCCAGAGTCAGTCATAAGAGGTTGCCGAATCTAATTCTAGTTCGCGTGGACAATATCATAAGCATATCTCATCCATGGATATGACGATCTTGACCAGCAGTTTAGGTCGTTGACCGATACCTATATTACAATCTCCAATCCAGGACCAAATTAGTGGTGAAAGGCTGGTACAGCTGGTGAGACGCGGTGCATTGATATTGGCATTTGCCCCATACCAGAGTTGCTCGCTTTACATACATGGAGAGTGCGAATAACCTCAACAGATAGCCACGGATAATACATCATCTTATCTCCTCCAATACTGCAAGATGCCAACGGTTAGATGAGACTCTTTGCATACATTTACAAATAGATCTCATTTAAACCTTGATTAAATATTCTATTAGACTTTCTGGTTCGTCTGTATTTGGGAGATTTCATTGGTGCATAGCCTTGTCTCCTCGTTCGACCTTGTCAGAAGTTATACCACAAAAGTAACCAATAAGTAGACTGCTGATACTTCTCTTATAATAGGAATCAATCTGCTGGTCAATATTATCTTCTAGTGCTTAAGTGTCAATACGATGTCGTAACTATTTGATATGTCAGCTTAACAACTTCCGAGATAGACCGTCAAAGAATATGAATGGTCCACTTACCCACCCAGTACGCAAGCATGACTTGAAGTCTCGTCCGCACTGATTCATAAAATAAGCACTAAACGTTTTAGCTCCTCACAATACGAACCTAAACCCCTCAACGAGGTCAAAGAAAAGCATAAATACTACCACAGCAGCATTCAAAGAAACCATACCTTGCAACCAGATTCTCTTCTGTTTCTAGTGATCTCGAACATTTCATACAGTCATTACGAGTCATGGCTGAGGTCAGTGGCATATGCGACCCGGCGTTCGCGTCCGTGCGCGATATTTTGCAGCAAAACATCTCCTCCGACAAAGAGCTTGGCGCCTCCATCTGCATCAGGGTCAAGGGAAAGACCGTCGTGGATATTTGCGGTGGCTACGCGGACGCAGCGCGATCGAAGCCATGGTCCGAGAATACAATTGTATCGGTCTGGTCAATGACCAAGGCGGTCATGGGTTTGGCCATGCTACTTCTCATCGATCGTGGCCTGGTCGATCCAGATGCCCCGGTTGCTAAATACTGGCCGGAGTTTGCTGCTAACGGTAAAGAGGGTGTATTGGTTCGACACTTTATGAGCCACACGGCTGGCCTGCCATCCTTCGATCCCCCGATCGACGAGGCCACCCTGCTTAATGTGCCCCAGGCGACCGAAAACCTAGTTCAACAGAAACCCTGGTGGACACCCGGCACGGCACACGGGTATCACCTTTGCTCCCAGGGGCATCTCATTGGGGAGCTAGTCCATCGCATAACGGGGAAAACGCTGGGTGAGTTTGTGCACGACGAGCTGGCTGTTCCCCGTAATGCCGACTTCCATCTCCCCGTGGCAGAAGAAGAATGGGATCGTATCGCAGAAATGGTTCCTGCCTCGGCGAAGATGGACCTCTCCGGGTTAGACCCCAACAGTATCATGTATCGTGCTATGACTGGTAGTCCTGCTAATCCAAACGCGCCCAAAGAGCCTGCGTTCCGTCGCAGTGGTCTTGGATCCATCGGTGGCTTTACCAACGCACGCGGGGCCAATGACATTTTATCCATCATTACGCAGAATGGCACTGTGGACGGGAAGCGGTTCTTGAATCCTGAGACAATTGACAAAATATTCGAGGTGCAGGCCAGTGGCCCAGACCAGGTGATCGGATTAAGTATCGCGTGGGGACTTGGTTTCGGCATTGATATGCTAGGTACCGTGGATTGGATGCCATCGGGCAAGATGGCCTTCTGGGGAGGATGGGGAGGGTCCTTTGCGCTTATGGATCTCGATCGTCAAATGACTTTTACGTATGTGATGAATAAGATGGGCATGAGTATCCTTGGCAATGAGCGGACGGGGGATTATGTGAAGGCTGCTTATGCGGCGTTGGAAGGGTATAACGCGTGACAGTCGACTGTATGGTCGTCGATGTAGCGTGCTTGGGGATGCATGCAGTTGCTGATTCAATTATTATTTCAAATTGCAGATGAACATATACCAGTTGGCCAGTCCAAGTAGCGTTAGTGTACAGCTTATTCTACAGACAGCGAAGTATTCGTCTAACGTATGTACTTGAGGAATTTTGTGGCATGATTACTATTCATTTTTTTTTAGTCATAATACTTTGAACATATGTATGTGAACCACACGAGTTCGGGGTCATATGTTAGTTCCGAAACCTCGGTATACAAAGTACAAGAAGCCCTATTTATGAGATCGACACTTAGTTCCTCCGCATTATTCGCAACAGCTACCGTATTAGGAAATAGATTTGGCACATCACGTATTCACATTTAACTAAATATTGTAGACATAAATACCCTCAACCGTTCACACATTGAACCCCCCCCAATTCAGCACTTTCCAGCATTATCCATCACCAACTGGAGGACCGCAAAAATGGCCGTCGCCAAAGTCCTTCTCCCCTCACTAAGCCTCTTCGTCTTCTACGCAATCTTCTACTACGCAGACATAAATGGGCTCCGCGCACTAGGCGAGCAGTACATCGCATCTGGAGCCCTCCCCGGAGCCAATGAGCCCCTCCGCACAATCTACACCGGCATCGAACCACTCGACCATCTCCTGACAACTCTAACGGCCTTCTTCTGGCCAACAACAGATGGCAGCAACCCATCACTGCTGCTCCACTCAATCGCCTTCTCCGGAACATTCGGCTCAGCCTGGGTGCTTATTACCCTCGAAGCATGGCGAAAGGGCAATGCATGGACGATCGCAGCATTGTAATACTCACCCTAACCGCTCCTCTACCCAACTCTCCTCTCATTGAGTTCCAAAGCTAACAGAAACAAAAAGCCCAATGATCTTCGGCCTAACAGCCCAAGTTCTCACCTTCGCCTTCGCAGCCCCCCTCTACTGCTTCTTCCACCTCACAACCTCCAAAACAGCCAAAAACCCAACCCCCGACAACCTCCGCATCCCGCGCGCTATCACAAACACTCTTCCCTTCGTCTTCATCCTAGGCTACATGGTTCCCACCCAGCTCCTGATCCTCCCAATCTCAGAGCACGTCACATTCGACCTAAAACAAATCTTCATCGCCATCTGGCAGCCCTGGCCCGCCTACGTCTCCATCCTCCTCACCCTCATCTACACCATCATCGCCCCCTTCACATCCTCAGATAGGATAACCCCAACCAGCGAGCGCAAGTCCCTCAGTTCCCTGAGATGGGTCTACGCATTCGCATTCGGTAACACAGCTCTTACACATCTCGTCTCGTGGATTATTTCCCTGGGATCTGTTCTCGTCCCTGATATGTTTAATGGGGAGTTTGTCGACGCCCTCCATCCTGGACGGGTGTTTGAGGTCCCGATTCCATGGGAAGATCCTGTTCGGACTGTCGCGAGTGTCGGGCATGGGGTTCATGCGTTCCTTAGGTGGGATTATATTATTGGATCCCTCGGAGTGCTGGTTTGGGCGGGCAGTCTTTATGCCGCTGCGCAGAGGGGGGTGTATGGTAGCGTTGGGTGGTTAGGGCTGTTTGGGAAGGCGGTTTTGTTAAGTGTTTTTGTAGGGCCTGTGGGTGCTGCTGTTGAATTGATGTGGGAGAGGGAGGAGTTGGTTCTGGCGAAAAGGGGTTTAATTGAGAATCGGAAGAAGGATTCTTAGATCTCAGGTGAGGGTTGGAGTTGGTTGGTGGTGAGTCTGTGATGTGGGGATGGGGATTATATAGTTACTATTGTTGGATTTTGATAGTTGTTGAAGAAACCAGTTATTCATTCTCTGTACATACTCTGTGCATACTTATAGTCTTGTTGATCGTCTCACGTCAAACTGAACAGGAACTGAAACCACCTTATCTCGGATATAATCCGCAAATCCCTTCCCGTACCCGTCCAGCCGGCTGGAACTACTGACCCCACGGCCCAGGATGCCGTATATGACAAAATGCACTGCATGGATATGTGCGAATTCCACCCTCTCGATCGAGAACGAGTCATCCCAATCATCGCCGAGAAGATACCGCATCCGCGAGATAGTCATGAACGACCGGAGCCACTCCCAATGGGCCGGATTGGACACAAAGATACCAAAGTTGAGGTTCGCGCCTTTGTCGCCCGATCGAGCAAGTGCGATATCTCCGAGGCGGATCTCCTTCGTTGGGCCGTTGAATACAGTTGGTGATACAGGGTCGTAGCTTTCGCGTGGCTGCAGGGGTTCGTATTGAATTGGGCGCGGGATGTCGAAGGATGTGGTTTTGGATTGGCCGTCTAGAATATTGATCTGTTCGTTGATGTCGGACTGATTGATTATGGCGGGATAGTATGCAATGAACGGGCGTGGGAAGGCTGTGCGCATGTCTGAGGATGCGTGGAAGCCTGTTCATTGGTGAGTTTGTTTGCGCATTTGATGGGATATGGGGTACATACCGGAGAAGTGTTTCAGTGAGATTTGGCCCAGTGCCTTTGTGACGGTTGATACCGCTTGTGCTGTGCGAGCTGCAATGAAGATGCGTATATATGTGGTACTCTTTAGCTGGGAGGATGGATTTGGATCGGGAACCCCGACTCTATGGGCTGATTCAGTGGTCTGCTCTCGCAAAGCTATGGCCAGATGGAAACTGCTGCTTGAAGTCTGCTTACCTCTGGAATTCGAGTGTTTCAAGGTCATTAGCGGCACCTTCAGGGAGGAAATGACGGATTTGTTTCTCGAGGAGGTCCCACTTCTGCGTAGTAGCATATCCAGTTGCATTCAAAAGTAGCTCTGCCTCATACCCGCCAGGGTAGAAAACTGCAAGCTTGGTAGTGGGAGGCGGTGGTGACCCTGTGACGCCGGATACACGGACTCTGTCTACTGTTAGAGCCCGTATAAAACGAGGGGTTATCAATAAGTACCTGTCCTTGCCAACATCCTCGACAGCGATATCACCAATATGCGCACTAACATCACTGTTCAGGTAGACGTTTCCCTGCAGCTCATACAGGAATTGGCATTTCACTGTGTCAGTGTTCACAACTCCTTGGGTTCCCGGGTGTTTGGTGATGATGCAAGTACCGTCCTTCTCAATCTCAGAAATGGGAAATCCAGGAGCGATAAGATCTTCAAGCGGATATTTGTCAAAGCCAGCGAAGTTGGCCCCGGTGACATATGCCGAACATTCAATTAGGTGACCTGCAATAAGTGCCCCAGCAAGTCTATCATAGTCCGTTTCGCTCCAGTTGTACCAGTACCAGGCCGCTGCAATCACGGGACTGGCATCAGCAACACGCCCACAAATGATAATCTGTGCGCCACGCCTCAAGCCCTCGACGATACCACGAGCCCCAAGATATGCATGAGCTGATGTCATGGGGATTGGCTTTTCATCGGCTGTATCCATAAACGCATATGTCAACCTCGATGGGACAATAGAGGAGTTTCCAGAATCCAAGTGCTGTAATTCCTCTTTGCTGGTGGGCATGTTAGGCCCGACTTGAGAGTATAAATCATCCCCTGATACATAAGCCACACGTATATCAAGTTGCTTCGCAACCGTCTGCAGCGAGCAAATTAGTTGCGCTTCTTTGCTTGGTGATCGCAAAAGCCACTTACTAAAGCCTCAACCTTCAACGCAAGAGCTCTAGGGTCTAAAGCCCCCCCGTTGATTACTACGCGGATGCCCTTTTCTGCGATAACGTCGATTGTTTGCTGTAGTCCCTGCCAGGCTGTTTCCTCGTAGCCCGGATGTTTACCGGCGCGCCAGGCCTCGGCATTCTTGGCCAAGTTGACTTCTGTTCTCACACTTAGCTTATGACAATCACCTGTAATGGTTACTGAGAAGCGTACCCGCAAGATAGTCACCGGTGATAAAATCGACGTCGCCCAGTGTCGCTTGGCGGTACATCTCATACGCTGGGTCGCCTAGTTAAGCAGGCAGTCAGCGTCTGTAAACTTAGTAAACTAAAAATCGATGAACACACCATGGTAGCCAGAGCAGTTAGCTACTTTCACAGGTCTATTTTCAGGATCACGCAGCATCTTTAAGTGAATATAGTTATCTCTGCGATATGAGTGATAGGACCTAGTTGGTGTTATATATTATAGTGTTCTGGTGATAGACTTGGACATCACGGTACAGTAATATTTTATAGCTGCCTGAGCGGTCTCCCACAAACCGCTAGAATACAATCCCAAATCGTTCAACTAATGAAAGCTTGCCATGAGGCATTTCCCCGCAAAAGTTATCCACCGCTGATCATTGCTTTATGCTTGGCCAATCGAAGTTATACTTCCCGGCAAGCATGGGCCACGGGCCACGGGATTTGTTTACCGGCACCGCGGAGGCGCGGAGTTCCACATCTACTGCGTCCAAATTAAACGTCACAAAGATTATGCTTTGGCGGTCCAGACAACTTCCTTGGTCGCACTGACGGAGCGGCCCCCAACCCAGGGGGAAGGATTATCTCAGACAAAGGACCCATGGGCCGCCGGCTTACTGTGACAGGCTGCCCTTCTCTGGTAGTGGTTTCTCATCCTGGTCCGTTCCCTTTCTAGTGTCCATAGTCAAAATCAAGTATTACTCTGTGGACCAATAGTGGAACCCCACGGCACCGAGGGATTTGTTTCCAACGGTTATCTAGGCAACGTTGTATGTTAGTGGATGATATAAAGTGAGGACCGCGCCTCGTTCGAAGGTAGTAGCCACCTGTGACTTATATATTCATTGTACGGGTTTTTTTTTAATTGCATACATCTCAATCGCATGTCCACTATGGCCTTTTCTCACGAGACAACCCCAGGTACAGATGTCTACGGACCTGGAACTTTCATCGATAAGAATGTTCTTCCTGTCCCCGATGACACTCGCCGAGTCTTCGAATTTCTAGCCTCGAAGACGCCTGGATTCACCCAGAACAAAGAAGTATGGGATACCGTGCATTTCGAGGGAGAGCCGGACCCCATGATCCCTGGTCCCATCAAAGCACCTATTGTTGCTGCCGCTCTGCACGCGATGTGCGGTGTGGTAGGGAACGAATTATTGGAGCTTCGCGATAGCAGACCGGTGGCTGAGAGCAGTGTCACGGTCAACACTGACCAGGCAGGAATATGGCTTGGTTCGGTAGTGACTACGCATATCAACGGATCTGACATCCCAGCTAGAGTGCTGTCGGGCAAATTGAACACCCTCTTTGACCGTGACTTTGAACAAGGCTTCGGCCAAGGTCTCGCAAGTAGGACAACAGCGATCTACCAAACCAAGGATCCGAACGTGTGGTATCAACTTCATGGCTCGCTTGATGCTAATCGAGTTCTTGACTCGATGGGAATCGACACCAACGTCACCTTCAATGCACCGAACGAGTATTACGACTACATCCAGAAACATATCCGTCAATGGAGCCCGGATGAGCTTGAGATGCACAACGTACGTCACGGTCTCTGTGGAAGCATATGCTATAAGCCGGAATCATGGCGAAACACGGAAATGGGAAAACAGCTCGCCAAGCATCCATATGTGAACTATACACACGAAACTTATGCAGCTCCTACACCTCTACAGCTCTTGCCCAAGGTTCCTGGAGACGAGAGACCATTGGCGGGGATCAAAGTGCTGGAGATGGTACGCATTATCGCGGGCCCAACTATCGGTGTGACTCTTGCCGCTTTTGGTGCGGACGTTATCCGAGTCAACTGTAGTAAACTGCCCGATCTCAATGTAAGCTCCCTCGTTCCCCTTGATTCGTATAGACCCAAAAGCTCACTTATATAATCAAAGGTCTTGCAACTCGTCCTGAATGCTGGCAAGCGTACCATCGACCTGGACATTACTAAGCCTGAGGACATGACCCGTCTCCGAGAGCTTATCGCAGATGTGGACGTGTTCATTCAAGGATTCCGGTATGGATCGTTGGGCAGAAAAGGCCTTGGGCTGCGGGATATGTTAAAATTAGCTGCGAACCGAGGAAAAGGCATTGTCTATGTGGATGAGAACTGCTATGGCCCAGATGGCCCCTTTGCTGAACGCCCAGGCTGGCAGCAGATTGGCGATGCTGCCTCCGGTTCTTCCTATGTTATGGGTAGGTCATTGGGATATGCGGATGGGAAGTGCGTTTTACCTCCATTGCCAGTGTCAGACATGACTACTGGTGTAGTAGGTGCATTGGCGGCCATGATGGCTATTCGCGACCGAGCAGTTAAAGGAGGCTCGTACCATGTTGTTAGCTCTTTGGTCGCCGCAGACAACATAGCACTGGCAGAGGAGGTCGGGCTGTACCCCCTAGATGTGGTTCACGAGACGGCCAAAAAGTTTGGATTTGTACCATCAACTCCAGATCAGTTTGTTACTGAAATCCTGTTCCAAGTCATCGCTGGTTGGAAAAAGGGCCGGCCTGGATACCTGGATGAGGATTCACCATTGATGACCACATTTGACCAAGGGCCGTGGGGACGACAAACCTTGCTCAAGCCAATTGTCAGGCTTGGTGACGAGGCAGTAACCCCCCGGTGGACAAGCCCCCCGGTACCCAATTGCTACCACGACCGGAACATCAACTGGCATTAGAAAGCGGTTCGAATTAACAAGGAATGACGGCCATTGTATTGTTTGATTATACTAATCGATTTGTAATTCATCTTCCATTCTCACCTAAGTTGTGGTTTGAGGACTGTCACCATCAGTATACGACTAGATCGCCCGTCCTCTAAGCGTGTAATTTGAAAGCCGTTGTTCTGTACAGGCGTGGCTAGACCGTTTCCACAAACCACCCAGATGGAAACTATAATAATTGTCCATTGTCTATCCCCTCATCAGATGTGCCAGTCACCATGTCGCCCCAATTCCAGAAAGGAGCAACAGGCCATTGAAAATTCATGGCCAAGTCAAAAGTTGGATCAACCACGGGCATGTCATAATGTTGTAGAATAGAACTAACCTCCCCGGGTTGGGATGCAATGAAGCCTGGATGAGGAGGTACAGCAAGTCCGCTTGCTGGATCCTCGGTCTCGTTTGTAGAAGGCTGAGTGTTGTTGAGATGCCCCATCGATCGCTGGGAGTTGTTTTGATCGGCTCGGCTTACAGCCTTCTTGGCTGCACCCTTTAGCTCTGAGCACAGTTCGAGTATATAATCAACATATGTGCCTGGCTCTTCAGATGAAACTTTAGAGAGCAGGTTTATTGTTTCTTGAGCCATGGCCAGATCAGACATAGCGTGTTGATGAGAGGTGTTCGTTAGTAGATTCGATAACAAGGTCATTGATGCAGCGGCAGGGAAGTAAATAACGCCCCTTTAAAGGTCAGCACAAGATCGAACTTATTATAAGTGACTGGTTCTGATAACCATACCATACGAAGCAAGGCCCAAATACACTAACATGTTCTATGAGACGAACTGCAGACCTCGCACATTCCAGAGACCTCACAAGGATATCATTTATTACCTTATCCAAAGCTGAGAAGTCTTCTAAGCCTTGTGCAGCTTGCGCCATCGATCGCCTAGCAAGAATGCAGAGTTGGTAAAGCTTGGCATAACAGCAATGGTAGGCGAAGTCCAATCTTAGGATATGCTGAAGATGATAATTAGATGCATTAGAGAACGCCATTTGCGAATCGTAGTGCTTTCCAAAACATGCCCTCCATTCGAGAAGATCCTCCTCGCTTGTCCTAAGTTCTCGGATCAGATCCCGGGTGGTCTTTGTCTGAACGCTGGCGGTATAGAGACGGTCGTGTAGTCGTCGTTGGATTAATGAAAACCGCGCCAGCAGGTGGAAGTAATCAAGATGGACCCCACGGACATTTACAATTCCTAGTCCGTCATGAGGGAATTTCGAAGGTAGCGGGGTGTCGAAATCGTTCACATCCTGCACCGGTGGTCGCCCGGTTCGATGAGAGATATCCGCGTCTAGAATGAATGCGACCCAAAATGTTCTCCTCCTTTCCTCAATGTGAGATGGAGATAGTCCCAATGTCTGGTTGCGATGTAACCCAATCGACTGTGAAAGACGCATGGCCGCTGCGGCAAACATGAAGAGGGGCTGAGGGTTTGGTGTATTTTGGAAGAGGAGCGCAAGTCCTAGCATTGCTTGGACAGCAAGTAGATCCGCGGCACGCATGAAGAATTCTATGACCACGTTTAGGGCATTCCTGATGTGTCCCATTGACTTCTTCCATTCCTCACTTCCATCAGGTAGCTTTTGTGCCCTTTCCCTGTACGCGGATGCAAGCACAACATTCAGGGATGCCCACCACGAGGGGTTTTCATCGGGATTCCAACCGAACTGTTTATCCACTAGCCTCGTAAATGTAGCCTCGTCGAACAGTGGGATCATTCTATTGAAGCTGCCAAAGTATTCGCCTACCAGCTGTAGTGTGGTTGCTTTGGGAGGTAATTGCTGGAAAGTGCGCTGCCCAGGATCACCTTGCAGAATGCGAGGATACCAACTGGACAATTGCCATCTAGATGCTGATTTTTGACAAGCAGCCATCAACCCTCCGGATCGTTTTTCGCCTTCTAGCGAATTCAAGTCTTGGGCTGAAGCTATTGAGAACCCAGACGATGCTCCTTAGACGAGGTCAACTCATATCCACTCTAAGGCATAGGGCCATATTACCAAAAAATCGCATCTTTGTCCCCTCGGCGTTAATGACATACGGAGCCTGATTAGCTTCACGGTCCGCATTCGGCTGAGCATTACCTTCCTCCGGCTGAGACCGGGAAGGTGATGTAAGATAAGGCCGACTCTCTATTGCGCTAAGTTGAAAAGTAGCGCTGTCACTGGTGCCAGCGGCTGCCGAAGACGGGTCGGGAGAGTTCCTCTTGTTTCCTGATACGAATTCTGGCCTTGGGCCATCTAGAGTTCGGTCTTGTAGCTGCATCTCCATGTCTTGAACGCGCTTCTCCAGCTCCTCAACATATGCTCTGGCAGTAATTGGGTCAGAGGAGATCTGACATAAAGTGACCTTGGGACTCACCGGCTAGTTCGACTGGAGTGCCTCAGAACATCCTGGAAAGCACAGGGTAAATTGAATGCTTTACATGGTGAGCACATGGGGCGCCTGCCGTCGCATTTTGTCTTTTTACGTCGGCAGGTAGTGCAAGCCTAGGAAGACGTATACAACGATAAGCATTTTCTTTGACTTCCGAATAATACTAGGCCTAGTTTGATGATCTCGCATAGGTTAATCAAGGCTCACTTTTGCACGCCTTACAATCGTAGCACCAGGACTCCGTGCTTGATTCATCATGTTTCATTCACGCATGCGCTAAAATTTTAATTGATCCAAATGTAAGATGAGGGAATATTGAATGGATGGGACCGGAAGGCCAACGCAACCCTGGATGGAATGAATGGAGATGCCATGAAGGCTTGAGCTATTGCCTATTGGACGGATTCAGCCGAGGCGCCCATGGCCTCTGCCTGAGGCTGGTGCAAACTTAACGTGACTGTCAACCCCACATTGAACAGCAGGGGGCCACGATTCACCGCTTACTATTTCAGGCAACTGCGCATCAACCCACCAAAAATAACATCTTCATTGTTATGTGGCTTCTCCTATCCACATCCCTCCCAGTCGTGCAATACCTCGTATCTCCTGCATTGTTGCTGTTTTGCATGTTTGTGGGCTTGTAGTAACCTCCACCGTGAGTGCAGCCGCTTATGGTTGCTTATCAAATTTGTTTGTTACCTCGATTCGAGATAACAGAGAGCAGCATGCTTGGAGACGCTGAGATCCAGGCCCTCGATGATCATCTGGGTAATGTCTTGCGCGAGAACCAGCAGCATCATGAGAATCTCCAGGGGCTCTTACAGCAATTCCATCTTTTGTTGGATAACTACAACCGACTGAAAAGCGACTATGAGGAGGAGAAAGAAGCCCGAGAGAAGTATAAAAAACTAGCTAGGGGACAAGTATGTAGTTCCCGTGCATTGACAGCACGCCGTATAAAGAGACGAGCTCTGATTGAAACTAGGAACGTAATCCATTCGTGTTAGTATTGGTGGATGGCGATGGCTGCCTTGTTAGCTAAACCCTGGCCGCAATGGTGACTGTTAGTACTAACGAGACCAGTTCAAAGAACACCTTGTGAAAGCAGGGGTGGATGGGGGAACGAAAGCAGCTCAACTCCTGAATGATTCCATCAAAGAACTTCTCAATGACCAACTCGGAAGCCAGGCAGATCAATGTCGAATTATGGTTCGCGTATACAGCAACATTCTAGGACTTTCGAAGACCTTGGCCCGCGCTGGTCTAGTTGGTAATGAAGCACGGTCCCTTTCACCATTTGCCTCCAGCTTTACCCGTTCTCAGGACTTGTTCGATTACATTGACGCGGGGGATAAGAAAGAAGGTGCAGACTACAAGATCAGAGGTAGGATCTAACTTGAACTACCGCTGCACCAGTACACTCACATTATTTAGAAATGTTTCGCTTGTTTGCGGATAATAATCAGTGCAAGCATATTTTCTTTGCCGGTTGTCACGATGCTGGCTATCTCTCCTTGCTGACCCCCTACCGTGGCAAGGCTGATCGTATCACCCTAATCAAAGCGGCTTCCTTCCATCCTGAATATGATAAACTAGACCTACCAGTGAGGGAACTTTCTGCGGTCTTCACATCTACCTCCGCTTCGCCGCCTGTGGGTGGAACCAATACGGCTCCTGCTACGAGACCAGTTTGCAGGCATTTCCAAAAGGTAACCTAGCAGAATCACCTAGCGAACGCCATCTGACTGAGAAAATAGGGTATCTGCCGATATGGCAAGGATTGCACAAAGCTCCACGTATTGCCAAATCAACACTTCCCTAAACCACTTTATGATAGCCCGGCACAACCGTCGAGTTTAACCGTCAAGCTCCGGGAACAAGAATACTATTCCCGGTTTCTTCCCAGGGTGAACTCAAAACCTCAGGAATATATCGCAATCAACAAGGATGGGGAGCGAATCGACACCTATTGCCCCATGCCGTCTCAAGAAGAATGGGAGATGTATAACAAACGCTCCAAACGGCACAAACTCTGCAACAAATACCACCTTGGAGGGGAATGTGGGAACCTTAGTTGCGAGTTTGACCACAGTCCGATTGACTCGGCTTGTCTCAATGTTTTGATGAATCTCATGCGACAGCACATGTGCACTAGGGCTGCAGGCTGTCGTTCGACTAAATGCTACCTTGGTCATCATTGCCAGAAGGATAACTGCAAGGGCACTAAACCTTGCAAATTTAATCGTCAGGGTCATACACTTGACCTACAAGTTGCACAGTGGGTCATATCGATCGAACATGAAGAGGAATCACCGGTTAGTGAAGAGACCTCAGAGGCGAACTCAGTGGCGGACCCGAACAACACTTTAGCCTTCCTTATGGGAGACATGAACCAAATGTAGGCTATAGCCCTGCACTATGATCTATGGCCGCTATGTGAATAAGGTCATTCAACTACCTTGGAATTTAACTACGCAATAAGCTAGTGTGTCACCCAACTTTGGCTCGGTGGCGACTGATAACATTGTACGGAATCTATGGGAATTTACTGATATCATAAAATAAGTGAAGGAAGGATATTTGATGGTCGGATTTATTGACCCTTGTCTGTTTTTTTTTTTTTTTTTTTTTTTTTTTTTTTTTTTTTTTTTTTGGTTTACTTTTTTCGACTTGGTGATCCTTCTATCAGCAAAAAGCTATACTGCGGAACGACCTATGGCAGTGCTTACTCTCCAGACTACTGGGAGTAATCCGGCTGACAATAGCAGTATTGGTACTATCTGATAATACACTTTTTCTGTTGGACAAGGTCAATAGATCTTGGAAATGCACATTCAGTTTACTATAGCCTTGTACCCATACGGCACTTCTATGTTTCTAACATCTATGGAATTTCGACCACATGCACTCGTCTCTCAGTCGTAGCCAACACATTTAATGTATAATCCTCGTGTCTGTTGACAAGGTTAATCGGGCTTGATGACGTCGCCCTAGGACTGCAATGAAACATAGTACCAGGATACCAAATTGAATGCACGATGACCACACTGATTGTAACGGTTAGAGCATTAAAACAGAAAATAAGTGCCATTGGATTTTCGAAAGATACCCTGACCCACGGTGCATGTCCCGCGAGAAGAGCGCCCGCCTCTGTTATGACTCATGTGAAGATGTAAATAGTCCGGGTGGATCAAGGAACTCCGATCTGAATAGAACGGGAGTATCATAGACTTGTTGCATGTCTAGGAACATGTCACTCCAGTTCCAATGCTAGCTGTTGGATACGGGAGTGGCAGCCTGTGGGGCCTGATATGAAATATGAAATGCCACCTCTAAAGGTCCTGTGAATTGAGGCAAACCGCGTCTGTCATTCCATGCTTCCACAGTGCTACCAAGACCGGGGCATTGCTCGGCTGGCCGGATCAAGGATACGGCTTATACGAGGAGGCGTTGGTGGAGAGTGAATTGCATCTATTAATAACGCAATCTCGGGTCAAACGGTCGACTAACAGGAACATTGGGCGGAGTAATCCAATACTAGAGGATGCTTTCGACTTGCTTTGGCTCTGCTTTTGTTGTAATAGAGCTAGAGAATTTTATATAAATATCTATTAAAAGTGGAAACTTGACCCTAGCCCTACTATAAATCTACCAGCAAGAATATTTTTAGTTCAGGGTTTCAACACCAAACACTAAACCCTACGATCACTGAGCGGTATGCCATTCATTATCTTGGTTATCAGCTACCTGGGCTTGTAGATGTAGCCGAGGAGCTAAAAGATTCCGTCATACGCTTCCAGCATCTAAGTCAGTCATATGGCGATAAGTGCTGATCGGCAAAATACTTGGTTCGCAAATAGACGTGTCCTTCCTTGTTATTAAGGTGTACAGACTCCTTTGAAGCACAGTTCTCTCCTGAACGACCTGTTAATAAACCAGTAGCCGAATTATTAAATCACAGGCCCATACTTTAGATACAACAGGCTAATAAAGTTCAAAGCTCTCGGGTCCTTTCGCCTTGGCAGGCGCAAAAACATGCCATTGATCAGATTTCGAAGCTTATCTCCTTATCTTGGCTTATTTCCCCGCATCCGAGATATCAGACTGAGGTCACTAATAACTAAAACGAAAGAGCTGATAGAGTTCATTGGTCGTTGCTTCCAGTTTCCCTTCTCGGACAAGAGTGCTTCTTCCCCTCCTGCGGAATTGCTCCGTGTTAACTATGTCTCCGTGCATGGGAAAGCCAATTGGTGCACAGTATACCAAGGCGAAATGTAGTAGGCAACGAAGGGCCAAATATACTCTTCCCGAAGAATCGAGTTATCGGCCTAGTCCGCTGTCTCTCGTCTGCCCGATGTGCATTGCCACCAAAGGCCGTTGTATATCAGTGTCTTGTCTCCCCGATATGTACTTCTCCGTTAATTGACATGTGCCCTGCGGATTCGACGTAGGGGTCCTGTCTGTGAGCATCTCAGACCAGCTAGTAGGGCATATAATACGTCCTTTGAAATGTCGCACCAAGCTCAAGCGTCCGATCCAGCTTGGCCGCCCGGGACGGTTCAGCTTGAAGGTGAGTCTGGTACTTATTAATTCTTATTATGTCTGACCCTAAGCTAATGTCCTTCAGACTTTCCACAGGATGGTCAGACGACTGATATCATTTTGCAGCCCGCACCTAGCCATGATCCTAACGACCCCTTGGTAAGCGTCGCTGAGAGCTCAACCACTAACACGAGGCTAAACAAAGCGATGCAGAACTGGCCGACATGGCGTAAACATCTAAATTTCGGCTTAGTCTCCTACTACGTCATAATGGTATTCGCAATGTAAGTTGCTTGTGAGCTATCCCTCGAAATGTGACACGGAGCTGAGCAACCAGAATCGACGTGGCGACTGTAACCTGGGGCCCGCTAAATGCGGAGCTGGGCTTCAGCTTTGAACTCCTGAATGATAGCTACGCCGCGGGGTGCGGATCCCTTTGTATCGGCGGCGTGATTCTAATGCCCTTCGCTCTCAAGTACGGTCGACGACCCGTCTATGTATTCAGCACTATCGCTCAATGTGCCTTTTGTGTTTGGCAAGCCAAAATGCAAACGGTCGCTGATCTCATGCCGGCCAATATATTGAGCTCTATGGTTGGAGCTCTCGCGGAAGTGCTTGTACAAATGACGGTGGCTGATGTCTACTTTGTTCACCAACGCGGACTCATGAACAGCATTTATGTCTGGTTCATGACGGTCGGAGCTACACTGTCCCCACTGGCTGGTGGGTACATTGTTACCTCGCAAGGCTGGCGCTGGGTTTGGTGGTGGATGGTCATACTGATGGGCGCTGGTCTTGTTGCCTTCGTCTTTCTCTACGAGGAAACAAAGTTTTCTCCTACCCTCGAGGGTGTTGCTCCCGCTGTTGCTCCCGCTGAAATATCCTCATCTTCCAAAAGTGGAGATAAGAAGTCTCCGACCGACCCAGAAATAGAGGCCAACGTAGCACATAAAGAGGGAGAGACTCAGAGATCTCACGCGACCCACTGGATAGACCATTCAATTCCAGTAAAGCCTTACTGGCAAAAGCTGGCTTTATGGTCAACATCCCCGGGGTCGTTTGCCAGCATGGCTCGACACAGCGTCGAACCGTTTATCCTTCTTTTCACAGTCCCAGCCATTTTCTTCATGTCCGTCGTTTACGGGGCCATGACGGCCGCTGTGACTGTCTCAGTGACTACTCTCTCGTCGTACATGACCCTGCCACCTTACAATTTCAACGCCTCACAAATCGGCCTCATGGGACTGCCGCCATTCATTGGTACAAGTATAGCAGTTCTGATATCCGGACGGCTTAGCGATTCGCTTGTCCTATATCTCGCAAAGAGGAACCGGGGTGTCTTCGAGCCTGAAATGAGACTCTGGATTGCAATTGCTTTCATACCATTCGTGCCAGCCGGACTTTTCATGTTCGGCATTGGATTAAACAACGGATCCCCTTGGCCGCTGGTGGCCGTTGGGTTGGGGATTGCCATATTTGGAACTATTCCAGCTAATAGCGTAGCCTTGACATACCTTACCGATGCATATACGGATGTAAGTTAATAGAACATTGATTAATCCAGGACCAAGGGTACTAACCGGTCCCTCTTTGATAGATAATCGCAGATTCCCTCGTTGGGGTGACCTTCATCCGCAACCTCATCTCGACGATCTTCGTCTTTGCTCTGTCCCCGTGGATTGCAAGCGTCGGATTGAGTGGCTTTTATATAACCTTTGGGCTTATCCTTACTGTAATCCTGTCGGGAAATCTGGTCTTTATCTACTTTGGAAAGAGGTTCCGGGTTATGACGACAAAGAGATATCGATACTACGCCGAACGCCAGATGGATCTAAGAAATTAATCCTCGCCTCTATATACAGGCCATCACATCATCTAATCCACATTTACTCTTGCTCTTACATATCATTTACTCAACTATAGTTAGCTTACTGAATTAGCACCACAAATATCGACATTCCCTAACTTAATCCTAGTCACAGAACTTTAGTACAAAAGTAAATATACTAGATTCAGCCATCTAATCAACAAATCGGCACCCAAGGTCAATCCTTCCTCATCTTGTTAAAAGATACGCCCGGGATGACTCCACCAACGTGTTTTCGGTGTTCCGCGGACCCCAGACCCCCAATACAACCTCGGAGCAGGCAACAAGTAACATCCTCTCCCTGAAGCCGTCAAGGTTCATGCGAGTCCCTCGGCGTACGGATAGGGTTACATACGCCGCCGACGATCTAGATCCAGCGCGGAATCTATGCGCTTATAAAAGCCAGAAATGTCCATACAACAACACCCTATAACAAAAAAGCCACACTGCTCATATACACACAATTCAAAGATAAAGAAAGCCAAAAGACAGAAACAGAATCAAAATGGTTAAAATCGCCCTCATCCAACTCCACCCGGAGGTATGTCATATGTCCAACCCCTCACCTCACCCCTCAATCCTCTCATTCTCCATCCCCTAACCCTAACTCTTTCTCAACCCAGCCCCACGACATAGAAAACAACCACGCCCGCGCAAAATCGTACATCCAGAAGGCCGCAAAGGCCGGCGCCGAACTGGCCGTCCTTCCTGAGTTCCACCTGGCAGACTTCCACCCAACCCACGACCGCAACATCCGACAACGCTGCGCAAACTACGCAACCCACCTGTCCTCCTACAGCGCCCTCGCCAAAGAATACAACATCAACATCGTCCCCGGCTCCATCGCAGAACTACACACCGACCCTACCACGGGGGAGGAAAAACTCCTGAATGTAGCCTACTTCATCGACAACACGGGGAAAGTCCGCGGCCGGTACGAGAAAAAGAACCTCTGGATCCCGGAACGCGAGTTCGTGGACCGCGGAGCCACGGATTCGGGCCATGTCGCGTTTGATACTCCGTTGGGTAAGGTCGGGTTGCTGATTTGTTGGGATCTGGCGTTTCCGGAGGCGTTTCGGGAGTTGGTTATGCAGGGGGCGAAGATGGTGATTGTGCCTGCTTACTGGAAGTTGGACGATGCCGGGGTGGTGGGGAGGAAGTGGAATCCGGAGTCGGAGAGGATGTTTGTTGATGCGGCTGTTGTTAGTCGGGCTTTTGAGAATACGGCTGCGGTTGTGTTTTGTAATGTTGGGGGTGGGGAGGAGGAGGGTTATGCGGGGGCTTCGCAGGTGGCGGTGCCGTTTATGGGGTGTGTTGGGAGGGTGGAAGGGTGTGGGGAGGGGATGAGTGTTGTGGAGGTTGACATGGGGGTTTTGGATGATGCGGAGGGCGTTTATAAGGTTAGGGAGGATTTGGGGAGGGCGGATTGGCATTATGGATATCGGAGGTGAGATTAGTTGTATTAGGGTTGGGTTCTGTATGTTGCGATAGGGTTGGGTATATATGATATATAGAACACGGAATTGAGGCCGCGAGATAGGGTTAGAGACCGGCCGCTTTCCGGAATGCAGCATTCGATATAATCCATCCACCACCACTGACTCCCTCTCCTGTAAGTGGTTGTCCGTTTCCCTTAGCCAGGTCTGTCAAGAAGCGCCCGAGGTCCTTCGTCGGTGAGACACCTTTGGAATAGCATTGTCTTGTGAGGGGACCGATAGTCCCTAAGAGCATCTTTTTGGTGGCAGTGAAGTCCGGCCGCTGCATGACAGATGCCAGTGTCGCCGGGTCGTAGGCCGGGTCAACGAGCCCAGGTCTGACGGAGTAGGGCTTCAGACTAGGGTACTTTTTGGATAGAGCGATCAATGCCGCTTCACACTCGCCTTTTATCCGACCGTAGAATGGAGTGAACATTCCTGGTTCTTGTGTTGCCTGAGTCCTTGTTAGTTGCTTGATGACGAAGCCAAACACAATGCGATATATGGGACGTACTCCTTCTCCTGAAACATATACGAAGTTAAAAGAATCCGATAATCCCGAAAAGGCTTTTGCTGCTGCTAATGGATAGTCCATGGTGATTTTCACATACTCACTGTTCCATGAACGTTAGTATTGTCGGATCAGGTTATTAAAATAGTATAAATTGTACTCACTCTTTCGATACTTGTGTCTGGGAAATTCCCAACGCCCAAATACAGCCATCGGCTCCTTTTAACTTCTCTAACAATTCAGGACTGTATTCGTTGAAGTTCTTATGCTCGATCACAGTAACGTCGGGCCGATCCTCAGCGATGGGCACAGATTTCCGGCTCAAGATATACAAGTGCGATACTTCCCCCGGCGGGAGAGAAAGAACATGGTTGAGGGCGGCCGATCCGACCATGCCGGTGGCACCTGTGAGAATGAGACGCATGTTGTAGGTTAAATTGTGGAATGTAATGATAGAGAAATATAAGTAGAGGTTGAAGACCTTTGTGGGCTAGGGGCTATTTATACATCTACGGCTTACCTCGTAATTAAGTCCTTGAGCTTAATTCCGATCGATGCTGACCCGGAATTAACACCTACCAAGCCGAATCTTGAAGGCTGCCAACTGATGACGACTTCGGGCTTCCTACAACGTCACCCATTCCACGGTCGGAATATTGAAACTAATTGAGCTGCCAGATAAGCAGTTCGGCTTTGCCACTTCTCTTTTATTTCTCGGTATATAGTAGAATGTTACCTTATGGAATTATAAAACGTCTTCAAGCGTAAATTGCTCACACAGCATCAATACAACCCAGGCACCAACATCAGCGACCCCATGGGATAGAGACTTTGATGAAAGAAACTTGATCAAATGCCGGCACCAAGTAGCTGAATGGCTTCCAGAACCACTTTTTTGGACTTCTGGAGGTCTTCCGAGTGTTGGTTCCTGTCCTCTGGTGTCAGGTTCTCAAGCCACCAGGGCGCTATGTTGTCTTCCAATCGAGAAAGCGATGTTGCCTCTCTCCAACATTGTTCTTTAATGCCTTTTCTTGAAGTTTTCATTCCGCAGGCCTCGAGCCTACTCAAATATGCTTCGTAAAAAGCATCAGGCCAGTCGCCCTCATTTGCCACAGTATCATTGACAAATTCATCTAATTCAGGGAAAAACCCAGAGAACTCAAAGTCAATAATACCAGTGATCCTTGTGTGATCCGCAGACATCAAAACGTTGCGTGGAGAGAGGTCATAGTGTGTGAAAAGGAAACGACTTGTCTCATTACATATTTCGAGCTGCGGCAATTTAATGGCGATAAACGCTCTGATTGGAGCTATTAAAGGCCTATTTTCAGCAAATATATCGAGTTCCTGAAGCCTCTGGAGCCGTGCCTCAAGCCTCACTCTGTAGTACTGAAGTTGGCTTATGATAGGCTCAACAACTTTGACACCAAAACCAGGCATATATGAAGAAGACGCAATGCGCAAACCGGCAACTTCTACTGAATTTGGAGCTTCTCCCATCGTATGAGGAATTCCACATTCGAGGTTTCCAGCGCTTGCCCAAGTAGGTAGTGACTCTCTCCAGTGGTAGACTATGTCCGCTAGTTGCTCGCCGACGACCTTGAGCTTGTCCGTATCCAATTTCAACGTCGACAAGGGAACTCCAGGAAGTCGAGTCATTAGGATCCAGCCCTGAAGTTGGCCATCGGCTTCGGAATTAACCTCAAATTCCTTTTTTGCTAGGGTCCCCGCGGAAGTCAATCTGTGGATGATGGAATTCTTGCCATCAGACCATGCAAGAATCCTTGGTGACGGTATCTCGGGTACGAAATATTCAAGAAGAGACAAGCAGGACACCTCATTTTCGCTCTTCGTCTGGTCAAAGAACTTCCCGTTCAATTTCAACACCAAATCATTAACAGCCCCGTGTTTTAGACCATGTACGAGCAGGTCTTCAGGAACATATATCTTCAAAAAGTAGATGCGATTGTTGAATGATTTGCCATGCGGTAAAGGATCAATAGCCAAAATGTTGCATCCAGGAATAAGGGCATCGATTATGCCGACGATGGTTTTGCGTGAGAAATAAACCCCTTGGGTTGGGTGAGTTTCTGGGGTAGTCTCACGCGACCCTATAGTGCTCTCCATGAGGGCGGTGTTTCAATAGGAACAAACACTTAGAAAACGTAGCATCCGCTTTAGGAGGTGTGCAGTGTGTGATTTACAGCAAGGGTAGTGGGAGTTTTAGAAAGAAAGAAGTTTGTGGGCTTTACAGTAGTTTTCAAAAACAGTTCAATATAACCTCCTGCATGTTCTTTCTTGGAAAGATGCGCTAATCTTCTTTGGGACGCCGCTTCTTAATCCCAGCTGCAATAACAAAATAAGTCATTGGTATAATACCCTGACGCTTCATGGATTCCAGTAGAATCGACTGGTAGTTCCAACGATCTGGCATAATCGGCGATAGGCCTCTGAAACAGTCCGGGTTTTTTGAGAACTAAGCCCCTGCCTATCACCCTGACCCCAGATGGACCCTGAGAGGCACCAAGCGCTGCAGTAAAGCAACTGCAAGATGCAGAAGGGTGTAGTTGACACTCTGCCAGTTCGGACGTTGCTTTGTTTGCACTAACCTGCACTGTACTTGTGACATATCCCCATTGTTGTCACAATACAGAAGTGACGATATCTTGAAGATATGCATGTATACCCATTATTCATCTATTTAATACATTGTGACTCTATCATGCGTCTCCAGGCTGCTTTAATTACGTAGCTTGGTGGCGAGAGAAGCCCAATTAACCAACTTACTCCTTGATTACACAGGGTAACTAGAACATGATACGTGGCATTGATAATCTTCGATATATAGTTTACAGGTCAAGTATGAAGCACCGCTTAGGAAATGGTAGTTGGTATTGTCTGTCTTTCTATACATGAATGAACGCAATAGAAGTCTTCAGTCCACCAACGCCTCCACAACCAAATTCAAGTCCCCCTCAATCCCAATAGCCAAATTCTGCTCCTCCAAATCCCAAGGCGCACATCCAGAAGCCCCTATCCCCACCCTGATAAGCCGGAAACCAGGATTTGAAACGTCTTCCACCAGCTCCTCATTCGGCCACCTCAACACAGCCGGCGTGTTGAGCCCGACACCCAGCTCAAGAATAACAGCCCTCCTACCCTCCATATTCCTGGCAACGTCATCCATATATCCCTTCCACTTACGCTCCTGCGCACGGAAGGGCGCAGAGTTGAAATAATCCCCTCCACGCACACAGAGTGTTAGTTCGCCGCCGCAGTATTGACATGCAGGGATTTTTGTTTCATCCGTGAGGACTTGAGTTTCCGCATCAATGAAAGGTAACGCAGCGTCTACAAATGGGTCGGAAGAAAATATGGCGTCGAGTCGACATTTAGCGAAGCATTGTAGTAATCGGTATTGGCCTTGTGGGGTGGATACCTTCTCTGCTGGGAATCCATTCGCCACGAATCGGCCGTCTGCATTAGATGTACGGACGAAGTATCTGTTATCGAAGCGGGCCGCAAGTTTACGCAGGGCTTCGTAGAGTTTCGATGCAGGCCAGTTCCGGACCATGTTTAGGTGGAGGAAGTAGTAGCCCCATTTTTGGTTGGGGCTGTCCCAGTCGTTGAAGCCGAACACGTCGTATAACCGTCCTAGACCGAGGTGGAGAAACCCTGGGAAATGTTTTTGGAAAAGAGAGGTGGAGGTATAGTCAAGGCCTATGGCTGCTGAGAGACCAGCACTGGCTGAGATAATCAGGTAGTCTGCTTCTTGGAGCCAGCTTCGCGCCTTGGATATGGTAGGGGTGATGAGCGCCTTGTGTTGAACAGGTGGCCTCAGTGGGAAAGATATTTGATCGTCCAAGGATGCAAGGCTAGTCTTGAGTTCGGAAATACTCGCTTGATATAATTCGTAGTCTCGCTCCAGGAATGTGTCAAAAATTATATCGGTCACTGATGTGGTCGGGTGATCCAAGCACCATTGCACCACGGTCTCCAGGGCAATTTTGGCGGCTATGTCCGGCGGAAAGGCAAACAATCCTGTTGAGATGCAGCAGAAGGCCACGGCCTTACGGCCGTCCGGAAGTGCAGGAAGTGACTCGGTGGCATCCAGGCAAGAACTGTAACAACTTGCTAATTGTTGCTGCTGCAATATTCCAGGGCTTTTCCTAGAGTTGACCTGCGGGCCAACCGTATGCAGCACCCATGGCGCTGGTAGATTAAAGCCCGGGGTAACCTTAGCAGATCCGACCGGTTCTGGATACCCCTGCTTAAGCATTAAAGAGTTGCATGCATCGCGAAGACGTGGACCGGCAGCAGAGTGGATGATATTGTCAATACAGCGGTGGTCTGGACGAAAACAGCCGAGAAGCTGAAAGTTTGCAGCGTTAACAATTGCTGTAACGTCAGTTAATGATGTGATATCGCCTTTCCACAGAGATATGTTGATCGTCTTAGAGCTAGATTTCCCTGCTTCCATGTGATTGTTGGGCTTGAATATAATGCTCGGGGTGATCGATATAGCTGAGGTCAGCGTTGCTTTATTATTCCGATATGTGATGACTGCATCAATGTCGTCGAGGATTTCTGTGGGTAGCTCGGGGATCGGTGGCCGCTGGCACAACAGTCGTCTCATTGTCTCTAGCTGTGGCCAAGTTTCCATCTGAGAAATATAATCGGGGTTCAGTTGGTGCGAGCATGAGTGACATGATGGAGGTTGAGAGACATGGCCATGAGCCTCCTGTATGAGGTGCTGAAGCGCCCTTATCAGTCGAGAATTCATTTTGAAATACCCGATAAACGTCTGTATTCAATATTGTATCGGAGTTGGCTTGTACACTGCGGAATTGTATCAAAGTGAAGATGATGAGTGCAAGATATACACCAACACAACCAAAGTGGTCTTTTGCCCCGGAATGCAAATTAAGCTGCTATACAAGTTACAAAAGTCTTCTCTGGGAGAATTTAAAGAGGAAATTCAAAGAAAACTTCCTGACAAGATCTAGCATCGTCTATCCTTGACCTAGGGCTCCGCATACCTCAGTTTGTAAGCTTTATCAAACAGCGGAATTACGGGGATAGTGGTGTGAGCCAATCAGAATCGACAGCCGTGACAGTGCAAACAGTCAATCAAAGTGGCTTCAGCCAATAATAGTACATACCAAACATAACATACAATGTAAACATTCCGCGCTAGCCGTCTCTTAGGTCAGCAGACCCACCCGCCATTTGGTGTGTTGGAACTTGGTCTGCCTTATCTCAATATAAATTCCTATTTTAACACAAAATTTGAAGCTATTCAGAGATTTTATCTACCAATACTATATCTAATTTTTATTCTGATATTGAGGAATAAATTTTAGAGATCTATCTAGTTATTTAAAATAAAAAAAAATCAAATATTTCTATATTAATATTAGACTGGTGTAGAGTGGCATAAGTTATAACCTAACCGTTGTAACCTAGCCATAACCTAGCGGTTAGGTATAACCGTATAACTGACCCCATTAACCTAACCTAACCTGGCCAAACGCCAGTCTACTTATGTTAGAGAGGCTAAGCTCTACTGTATATAAGCTCACCTTTCACGGTTCACCTACCTTTCACCATTCTCCAGTAGATACTGAATCACTGATTAATGGCTCAGCTGTGCGTAAGTCAAGGTAGTTAGTATTAGAATAGAGCTCCCAGACCTACTATAGAGTTTCCCAGTGCTTATAAGAAAGATAACCCCTTATTCAACTTTAGTATCTATAGTAGCTATAAGGACTATCCTATGCCTGGTCCAGAGGTTTAGACGGCTGGGTTGGCCATAGGCCCATAGCGCCTCTTCTAAAGTGGTTAACACTACTACTCCCTATCAAGAAGATGCGGGCACTTGCAGCAGCAGCCTCCATGTTCGTGAGCACGCTTGTGATTTTAGGTCCTGAAGTGATGGGGAACAATTTTTTAGTTCTATTGTTCAGAATTTGGGGCAAGATTGATCCGAAATGGTATACCTAGTAGTCTCTTGATAAGGTCTATATCCTATGACTGAGCTAGAAGACCATGTCACCTAAAACTTGTAATAGTTAGTTTAGGGCTTATATTAGACTGATTAAATGTTCCAGTCAAATAATTAGTTATTTTCCTCGTGCACCGTCATCTCACATTAAGAACTATAAGCGATCCAGGGAACACTACGAATGGAAAGTAACTAATATAGAAAATAAAAAGATAAGATTTCCAGTGTGTTAAACTGGTGCTATAAAAGCATTCCTCAAGTGGAACTTTGGAAGCGACCAGGGGGGTTAATAATAAAGTAAGACAGAACGCTGGGCGTCCTATAATTAGTAATGATAAGTAAAGGATACTTCTATATCTTATTCTTTTAATTAGGGCTGACTATAAATAACCTCGATCAATTTCTCCCTCTCCGCATCCTCATCCACCATACCCCGGAACACTCCATTCCGCATCTCCATCAAATCCCTCGGATGTCCGAATTCCACCGCCGCCCCATTATCCAAGACGAGAATGCGATCAAAGTCAGCAATCGTACTGAGCCGATGCGCAATGACCAGCAGCGTAGATGATTCCCAACCAAACTTTGCGCGCAACGCCTCCTGGATCTGCGAATCGGTCGTGTGGTCCACGGCGGAGGTGGCCTCGTCCAACATGAGGATTTTGGGGTTGGCGACGATGGCGCGGGCAAGACAGAGAAGTTGGCGTTGGCCTTGGGAGAAGTTCAGTCCGCCTTGGGAGACGGGGGTTTCGAGATAGTCCACTGCGGGGGGTAGAGTGGTGGATCCGTCGTCGCTGGGTTCTGGTGAATCGAACGGTTCGGGGGTGAAGCGAACTTGTGACAGGGCGGCGAGGAGGTCGGTATCGTCGACTTCATCAAAGGGATCGAGGTTGGAGCGAATGGTGCCGGAGAATAAGACGGGGTTTTGAGGGATGATGGTGAGTCGACTGCGGAGGTGAGCCAGCTTCACCTTTGAGATGTCGATGCCGTCTATGAGAATCTGGCCCTCGCTGGCTTCCAGGAATCGAAATAGAGCAAGAGCAAGGGAGGATTTGCCTGCTCCTGTGCGGCCGACGATTCCAATACGTTGACTACCCTCAACGACAAAGTTGAGGCCCCTGAGAACGGGGGGTAGACTGGGGGCGTATTCCACCGTCAGATCCGTCACTTCGACTCGGCCGTTCGTGGGCCAGGCTGCGGGTGGGTCGATTCCCTCGTAGTTTTCGGGTTCAATGTCCGAATATTCCAGCACACGGTCGACGGCGTTCATTCCGAGCTCGACATTGGTGTAGGACCGGATACAGGGGGTCATGGCACCCGTCAGTTGGACGGCAAAACTGATCGTGAAACCAGCGGTGGCGGCATCGATTTTCCCCTGCGTCGTGACCAGGAGAGCAACGCAGGCCGCAAAGATGGCTCCGATCATACTCACACGGAGTCCAAGCCATCGGGTGAGTAGCCATTGGGTCCAGAAGGCGCGAGCATGACGATCGATGCGGTCCTGCATCGCGTGGATGTAGATGTCTGATTTTCCATAGGCACGGATCGTCCAGAGACCGGTGAGAGAAGTGTTGATCTGCTCGTAGACGGGGCTGCGACTGATATTCTCGATCCGCTTGACCTCTCGGGAGGCGATGAGGTATTGCCGGGCAAAGAAGACCCAGCAGAACGCAAGAGGGATGGTGAAGATGATCAGGAGACGATTAACAAATAAACCAGCCACCACGATACTCACGCAGACCATGCCCGTGTTCAACATGAGCGTCAAATCGGCACACAGTCTGGAATCGACTTGGTTAAAGTCGGCGGAGAATCGGTTCAGAATCTGGCCCAGAGGGACGGTGTCCAGCCACCGCAGTGGTGCTCGCAAGACGGCCTGCAGGCATTCTTGGAAGAGCGATTCGGATGCTTGGAGGGTGGCCAGGAAGACGAAACAGACCCGCAATGAACCCACGATCCATTCACAGGCGGCGATGGCGATGTAGACCGCAAGGTAGAACTTCAGACTGGGATCGATGGTGCTTTGCTCGGAGGCACCTGTGCCTTGGCCACTCCAGGTTCGCAGCCACCAGTTCTGCTCGATTAGTAGACGCAGACCAAAGGAGTGGAAATACTTACTCTACCGAGAGTCAGTGCGGTGTATGAAAGATAGCCCAATACCAGCAAACCCCATCGATGCCAGCTGCCACTCGCGGAAATATACTGATGGAAGAGTTGCAGGACAGGGACGCTCGTCCTTCCCTTTTCCTTTTGAACAAAAGCCTGTGCTTTATGCTGGCTTTCAGGCCTACTTTCTGCGCTTCGAGGTCGATCCGATTCTTGCTGTGGCATTGTTACTTGTGAAGGTTCATCACCATCTACACTCTGCAAATTCAACACAGTCTCCAGGACCGCATTATCCTGCAGTTCACTCGGTTTCCCAGCAAACTCCACCATGCCATTCTGTAGGTGAACGATATACTCCGCGTCAGGCAGACAGATCCCGACGTAATGTGTGGCCAGGATGCGAGTTCGACCTGTAGCCAGAGGCCCGGTCAGGGCATGTTTGTACAGATGCTGAGCGGTATGCACATCGACCGCGCTGAAGATATCATCCAGAATGAGAATACCCGCGCGAGAATACAGCGCTCGGGCAAGGGCGATTCGAGCTTTCTGCCCACCGCTCAGGTTGACTCCGTTGGGTCCGATCTCGGTGCGGTCTCCGTCTGGGAAAATTTCCAAATCGGCGAGGAGAGCGCAGGCGTGCAGAACTTGCTTGTAGCGCTCTGCGTGGACGGGGAGTCCGAACAGGATATTCTCTTTCACGGTTGCTGCTTCAATCCACGGTAGTTGGGCAGCATAGCCAACCGCCGAGCCGACAATCCACCGCTCGCTTGTGGTGGATACACTCCAGATGTCGTCGTGATGGGGCTGGACTGGAGCTTTGACCTCTCCGTGCAGAATGTCGCATTCCCCAAGAGTGGCAGCAAGTAGCAGGCTCTTCCCTGAACCTGTACGGCCGGAAATGATGCTCAGCTCTCCGCGGGGAAAGTCCAAATTCAGCTCTTGCAGAGTCCAAGGAAGGTAGTCTTTGGTGGCGGTTCCAGGCCATGCAACCGTGGCATTGTGGAAGCCAATGTCGGTCGATGGTGTGAGGTTGGGCTGTTTTTCAGGCGCCATGAAGAACTCGTCCAGACGACGCATACTTCCCAGAGCGTCCAGCATATTCGAAAGCAACTCCGGTATCATGCCCAGGGATATTTGAATGGTAGCCAGCACGGAAATGGCGGTAAAAGCAATCGACGATGTCAAGCCATTGTGGCGGATGGCATAGATGCCGAGCGAGCCAATTGCCAGCAGGATCGGGCCCAGCAGGTATAGCGACATGGTGGTTGCGTTCCACACAAACACCCGGCCTTGCGCCGCCAGTTCGTCCTTGCGCAGCTCGTGGATCTTCCTCTCCCACTTGCTTTCCAGGGCGGCGAATTTGACCTGCTGAATGCCCTGCAGCACCTCGGAGAGGATGGCCATCTTGCCATCTCGGGCTCCCATCAGGTCTCTGCCGGCGGCGGCATATTTCCTCCCACACAAGACAATCAACGGCGTCAGAATGACCAGATTGGCAATGCCCGTCAGCAGACTCTGCCACCCAAGGAGACTATTCAACAGCACACAGGCAACGACCAGTTTCAACGGCGCCAGCAGTAGGTTAAAGCAGAAGGTGGCAAACGTGGCAATGCGTTGGCCATCCACGGCGACCAAGTTGATGGCATTCTGCGTGTCTGCGTCCTTCTCACCCTCTCCATCTGCGGTGGTATTTGGGCTGCTGGAGCCAGTCAATCGCATCGCTTTGTTGTAGACGATGATGGAGATCTGCTCGTACACGCGCACCGAGATCTTGTTCCACGCCACCCAATACAGCCAATTCTCCATAAAGGCCGAGAGCATCATGGACGCACCGAGTGCGACAGCAATCACCGACATTTCCGCGATTTGCAACCCATGCTCACTTCGTCCTTCGAGGAAACGCAGGATCGCCAGCAGCGACAGGTTGGGCGAAAAGGCCACCACCGCCTGGATGAGACACAGCACGAATTCCAACAGGAGGTAGTGCCGATGTGCGTGAAGCAGAATCTTCCACATCGGGGCCTGGATGGCGGCTGTGGGAGCTGCCTTCCGTTGGACGTTCTCCTTGGCCTGGGAAAACGATCTCTGCAGATTCTCTGCTCGGCTGTCATGGTCCAGCTCAGGTAGTTGATCCACGTCGACATCCTTTCCTCTGCCCATGAGGATCATCACTGTCGCTGCCCAGCTGAAGGTGATTCGGCCGAGGAAAGAAGTCGAGTTTTCCCGATCGACCACGGTGCCATTCCGACAGACATCTGGACGGCGGGGGAGAAGCAGACCCAAGAGGGAGGTGAGAATCAAGCAGCTGCATTCTACAGCAATAAAAGTGGCATATACAGAGCTGGTCGGTGTCTGTTGTTGGAAGAAGAATGTAATGATTGCAATCAAACCATTGGCACTGATCTGTAATCCAAGCGAGAAACGAGCAACCGCGTGCGGTTCCAGCAGCAGAGCAACACTCTGGACCACCAAGAGAGTCTAACGCCATCAGTAAAATGCTTCTGAAACTGGTATAATATTATAATATGCATCACACCGAAATCCCAAAATGAGTCCATCCATCCTGTGTCGGGGTGACAATCGCCCGTGCTAGAGCAACACCACACGTCCCAACGAGGATGATAGCAATGGCAACCCGATGCCTCCACCGAGTGACAGCCTGGACCGCATCTGCTGCCGCTTCACCATCTCGATCTGTATAGAAATTGGTCGCAAACTGATCTTTTGCGTGAGAGAGTCGACCGAGACAACGGACAAGACTGGATATGGCTGGCAGAGCGAGTAGAAAGGCCAGCACTAATGCAGTGATGTTGCCCATCAGCAAGGAAGGGGGTGAATCCAGCATATTGCGAGTGTCATCATCTGAGATTGAAATGTCAAAGTCATGAATTCGGATGGCGATTTATGATTCTGAGCTGAACAATCAGTTCATTGCGCATTGCGATCGTCCGAGCCAAGTGGAATGTCTGTTTGAGATCTGGCTATACATGTATTACCGTGTATTACTATCTATTACAATACATTACACTAACCCTAATATACACTGCTGATCTGTCGAATTTGTCCGATGTGGAGTTCGAATACGAAGACTTACATTGCAACTAACGAGAACTGGTCAATGTGCGAAAATCGCGGCTGAGAAAAGCAACAATAGTCATGAATGCGGCCCGCGTTTTCGACAGGTTCCCTCTTCTGGAAACACTCTTGACGAGTTTATAAACATCTTCCATCTTCAAAGAGTGCCATCTTAGAGCCATCAGACAACATGCGACCACCATCCAATCGCCTTCAATCAACCTACCTTTCTCCCGATGGAGAAGATTATTACCCAGTTCCCCCAGAAGGGCTGGACGTGGATCTTCACAACGTCAACTGTGACCGGTATCAAGTCCCGCTTGAGAACCGCTGTGGTCCATGGCCACATGGTTCCGTCAAATCTCTCTGTCCACACCAACTCTTGATGACCAAGGAGCATCACGATCAAGGGGCCAAGTTACATGAGGCTTTGGCTCTGGCCCTTGAGGATATCATCGAGCGGTGGTGGACGGATGAGGAAGCACGGCTTCCGCAGCGGATGCCTTTGGAGCCTCAGGAAGAGGACCTTTTGCGGGTGAGTTGTATATCTACATTCATAGCCCATGCTGATCGAATAGTGGATGAATCAAAATCCATTGTTGATCCCCCCGTATCGAGAATGCCAAGGGTCCTGGCGACCAGACTTTCTCTTGGAAAACGGGGAGGACTCGAATGCAATGGAGAGCTTTCGCATCTGCGAAATCAACGGCCGATTCTGCTGGAATGGCTATGTGCAGACTGCCTTGGCCCAAGAGGGGGTCGAAGTCTTCAATCTCGACAAAAAGAGGCTACAACACGGCGCAGAGCCGGAAGCGGTATGTGATGCGATTGCTCGATGCTCGATTCCGCAATTGCTAATCTTCCTTAGATTCTAGGTGGATTGTTGGGGCTTTTCAACCATGATCTCCCACTGCATCTCCTCAAAGGCGAGGAACGTGGAATGGATATCCACATGTTTGTGGCCTTCATGGAGGAGCGTCTGGGTGTCCGGCCCCGGCTGATCACTCCCACCGAGCTGCGCTTGATCCCTGATAGCGAGAGCAAGACCGGCTATAAATTGTGCTGTCTTGCTGGTCCGCAGACTCCGGCTGATCGGATATTTACCCTTGATTCTGGCGAGGCCGTCGAGGAGATCCACCAGGTTGGTCTGGAGCTGCACCAGCGGGAATTCCGGGTCCTCTCGCCCGAGATGATGAAGGAGCTCAGCGTGCGCGGCTTCAACGACATGCGGACCATCCTGCTCACTCATGATAAGAGAATGTTGGGAATCGTCCTGCAGGAGCTGAGTTCGTTGGTCGCCAGAAAGGTCATCTCCCCCGAAGACGCAGCGAGACTCGAAAACGGCATCACGCCCACCATTCTTCCCGGGTCCGCAGAGCTCGACAACCTCATCGGCCGCTCCGCCGCATCACCGCAGCTCAAGGACGGTTATATCCTGAAGCCGGTTCGGAGCGGAAAAGGCGCAGGCATCCTCTTTGGCGACCAGCTAAGCCACGCCGATTGGCAGGTCAAGCTGGAAGAGCTGACTTGCCCGCAGCTCAAGCCCGGCAGGACTGTCTACGTGGTGCAACGCAAGATCGATCAGCTGTACTATGACATTATCATTGGAAGGAGTGGAAAGCCAACAGCCTGTCATATCGTCGGGACTTACCATGCGGTCAATGGCGAATTCCTGGGGCTGGGAGGCTGGCGATGTAGCCCAGGGAGACTATGTGCAGTGGCTGATGGAGCGACCTGGACCTGTTCCGTGCGATCTGCCGAATATTGACTTTTTTGCTAGTGAAATACACTAATACATAAGGTTCCATAGTATAATACATAATATACAATAGTTTGGTATTTCTGTGAAGATCCATTGACCCACAGACCCACAGACCCATAGCTCAGCTGAAGAACTGAATCCAGACCCACGGCAGATTCAGCTCAAGATCTGCTGTGTTGACTAAGGACTGGATGTGATTGGGTCCAATTCAATTTACCTCCAAGCTGCTAACATCCTTGAGTAGTCAAATGAGAACCTCTCCCTCTCTTGCTAGTTGATAGATTATTTCAATTGACGGACATGAAAGGGCAGCCCCCACCTTCGATCGATTCCCTTCGGGGCCGCCAACTAACCCTATTCTTCTCTTTCTGCTCGATCCTTCTCTGCCTATCTTTCTATCAACACCTCCCCCGCTGCATTCCACTTCTCCAACGACAGCATCAATCACATGCCCATTTCAACCTCGAACAACTGCTGCTCTCCGTCCCTGACCCGGCCAAAGCCCGTCAATGGAGCTCCTACTACAGCTCTGAGCCCCATTTCGCAGGCCAGTGCCTTCCCAACGGCCTCTGGACGCAGGCAAAATGGAAGGAGTTTGGCGTCGAGACGACTTCTCTCCACTCCTATCCTCTTCCATACCCAATGCCGATGCCCGTGTCTTCTCGTCTGGCTCTTCTCAACCAGGCCAACGGACAGGTGCTGTATGAGGCCGAGTTGACTGAAAATGTCACCGATGTCAACCCTCTCACGGGCGAGACAGTGGCATTTCCTCCATTCATGTCCTTTTCTCCGAGCTATAACACCACTGCCTCGGTTGTCTACGCCAACCACGGCACGCTCGAGGATTTCGAGGATCTGGCCCGGGCGAACGTCAGTGTTGCGGGGAAGCTCGCTATTGTCAAGTTCAATATGCCGGCGGAAAAATTCTACGGCATCTCTCAGCAGACGGGGGTTGTGGGGTGGGTTGTCTATATGGATCCCCAGTATGATGGGGAAATCACCGAGGAAAATGGCTATCTCCCATATCCCCAGGGTCCGGCTCGGGCTCCAACCAGTGTCCTTGCACTGAGTAGGGTGCAATTTAGTAAGATGATCTCTTTTCTCTTTCTTTCCTTTTTTTATGCTTGTGTGTTATCTTGCTCACTCGGACAGGCGAGGGTAATCCACCGGTTCCTATCATGCTTATTTCCTTTGCGGATGCAGTTCCCATCTTGAAAGCCTTGAACGGGATTGGGCCAAGAGCGGATGACTTGGGCGTGAGATGGCAGGGCGGGCAGCTTGGACACCGTGGCGTGGAATATAATGCTGGTCCGTCATCCGCCGATGTGGTGTTGAATATGCAAAACGAAATAAAGGACACCCAAGCGACTCTGTATACCGTGATTGGGGAGATCCAAGGCGTAATCACCGATGAGGTCGTTATCATCGGTAACCACCGTGATGCATGGGCATCAGGCGCCAGTGATCCCGGCAGCGGCTCTGCCTGCTTGAATGAGGTTATCCGCAGCTTTGGCCAGGCTGTCCAGCAAGGCTGGCAACCTCTCCGGACGCTCATTTTCATCAGCTGGGATGGTAATGAACCAGGCTTGCTGGGATCCACAAACTGGGTTCAGGAGAACCTCCCCTGGTTATTTAACCAGACAGTCGCGTACATAGAAACTGTCACCGCTGTCTCAGGCCATGACCTCTATATTCAATTCAGCCCATTACTGGCTCCGCTTGTGCGTGATGTGACGGGCCAGGTTCAATCTCCCAACCAGACTATACCCGGCCAGACGGTGCTGGATGTCTGGGGTGGCGTGCTGCAGCGAGAAGGTGGCGGGGATGCAAATCCATTTGTACAAAAGACCATCACGGCCGGCCAGTTTGGCTTTAGACGAGGGCCCCGGGACGCTGTCTGGCACAAGCATTCCGGTTTCGACACTGTCCAGTGGATGGATAGATTTGGGGATCCTACCTGGCAATACCACACTACAGCTGCCCAGATCTGGGCGCTGCTCGCGGCTCGACTGGTCGATACCCCGGTCTATCCATTCAGCGTCACTGAATATGCCGTCTCGTTGCACCGGTACCTCGCTAGTATCCAACGCCTGGCGGATGAGAAGAGTTTCCACTTCGATTTCCATCCGCTGTACGAGGCTCTCGTACGCCTTCACAGCATTGCGCTGCAGTTCGACGCAGAGGCGGACATTCTCAGGGAAGACCACGCTTCTTGCAAATCGAGATCGAACGACCTCGCCACCAAAACGCAAGCCATCAATACCAAATACCGCCTGTTTGAACGCCAATTCTACTTTGAGGATGATGTGGGCGATCCAGACCACAATCATGTGGTTTTCAACCTCATCTCACGGGGCAAGAGATTTCAGGCCGAGCTTCCAGACCTATGGAACGCGGTTGAAGCGAGGAATGTGACTGAGACAGAGGTAGGTCGTCTATGAGAATATATGGATAATACTAACAGTGGCAGAAATGGCACAGCATTGTCAGGTCGAAAGTGGAGGATGCTACCGCTTATCTCCAATCATAATGCCGATGATTCGACTACATGAACGATTTCTTTCCAGTTTGACCGGTGTAGCCGTAAGAACCGTTATATCAACTGCATTAAACAGATCGCATTATATATTTGTCAACGGCTCAATCGTCCTCTGAAGTGTTTGCTTCAGAAACGGAACCAGATCAGTCCCTCCTGTTCCTAAAAATGAAATCTTCTCCTTTTCCTGTCTGCAATGCCCCGCCGTTTGTTGCATCCGCCTCTGGAAATTCCCCTTTCGAGACGGCGAGATGATATACTTGGCGACGATCTGCAGATGCCTCCCTCGTAATGCCCCCAACATCTCCAGGCAGCCCGCATATGCCGTGTACACATCCGGATGGGAGTGCTGCCTCGCCTGTGCAAATCCCCTGATATCCGCGACCTTGGCCACGTCTTGGAGGAAACGTCGATGCGGGCCAGGCATATACTCTCTCATTTCATGGATGAAAGTGCCCTCGCCACCGGTGTGTTCGATTCCAAGCACGATATCGAAAAACTGAATCAGCGAGCTCTGCGCATTGCTTCCCCCGCGGTATGACCGCGGCTCCGTCTGCTGCCGCCCATCGTTAAACGTAAACGTAATCCCATCCGGACGACCGAACTGCTCCATACTTTTGGTACCAGCCAGGAAAGGACGGAGTTGGTGGTAGAAGATGGCGGGATCGCAGCGCTCGTCCATGCGGTCTAGCAGGGTGACTATTTCTGCTACTTTCTCGCGGAAGAAGAGCAGGGATTCCATCACGGTGTGTTCGTCGCCGGACCGGGCGGCGTGGATGGCTTGTAACATTACTGGGATGATGGGTGCGCCGTGAGCTTCGATTGCGATGGAGACAAGGTAGAACCATTCTTCGTCGAAGGTTCCGGTAAAAGAGGTGATTGACATGAGGGTGTCGAGTTGGTGAGTAGGCTCATCGCGGCTGGGGATATAGTTCCATAGACAGACGGCGGCGAAAGTGGCGATGGGCGGGAGCTGCAGATACTCGCAGACGTCGAATAGGGGGTTGCTGATGCAGGGGGGGATATTCTGATGGTCAGAAAGAAACTACAAATACATATATCCCAAGTACGACTTACTGTCCGCGGTTCTCCTCCCCACATATACCCATGTAACAGAAAAGCAAGACACACATATGCTCGTCTCCATTCGCGGATCTCTCTCAGCCGAGACGTACTCAGAACCGGCAACCGCTCTATCTGATCCTGAAGAACCCCGTGATGCAGCAGTGGGATGTCGGACACCAGATCTTCCCAGGGTGCATAATAGTCATCCGGGAGTCTTTCCAGCGGGGCCTCGTTCGGCAGAAATCCCAATTCCGGGGAGAGGCCGTAGTCGGATGGATTGGGGATGGGAAGCGGATGATGCATGGTATTGTGTCAAACCGCCTGCGGTCTGAAGGTTCTGGAAAAAGAAGAGATGGATGAGAAATTCGAGGCTGAACCATTGGCCGTATACTTATTTATTTCACCGGGCTCTTGTTGGTGGAGCCGAGCTGCCGAGTATTCCAAGCTGATGGCTTGACCATTAGTACGTATATGTACATAGTAAATTACGAGCGGAATACTTTTCATTATCTGTTGATCTGCATGGCTGATCAACTTAGTGCCGAGAGCTGAAGGGATCAGACCAATTGGTTTTTTGTTTTACAATACTAGCTGTAAGTACTAGCTGTATTGATGTAGCCAAGTGGACTAGGTTCGTTTATCATGGCTGATCTTCAACCCAAAAAAAAAAAGGCAAATCGCACGGCTGGATGAATCAAAACCAGATATTTTTACGTACAATGAGCGAGCCATAACATCCAGGCTGAATTTCGGCCCCGCTCGAGCTTTCAGCACTTATTAGAAGCTGCAACCGTCATGGTGACTTGGTATACCTTTACTTGTTAATATTCCCAAACATAGAATACACCATGCAGCGATGCTTCCGTCCACTTCACATGGTCAGCAGGCTGGCTAAACCGCGCAGTATGTCCATTCATATGATTCTCAGTATATGCAGCTCATGATTAGACCAATGCATGTCCACGGTCCCATACCTCGCAGTCCCAAGTCCAACGCACGCCTCCCAAAGAACGCACATCAACGCCGTCCATCACATTCTCGAAAACGAAGGAATTCTGCACGTGCAGCTCGGCTTCCCGGATGACAAGAGCTCTTATATCCAAGAACTGCTGCTAAACCTGCACAAACACCATGGGCATGGCCTTCCTCTCACACACAGTGCTGATCGTGGTTGGATGTGGGATATTCGGCCCAGTTTGGAGGTTTTCCAGAGCAATAACCACCAGGCACGATCAGAGACCATGGAGCAATTTCCCTGGCATACAGACTGCAGCTATGAGAGGAAAGCACCGCGATTCTTTGCACTCCAAGTCCTGCACCCAGATCAGTGTGGTGGAGGCACATTATCTGTGTTGAATGTTGACCAGCTCCTGACTCTTCTTTCGCCATCTGCTAGAAAATGGCTCTTCACACCGAACTACCGGATCAAGGTCCCCCCAGAGTTTGTCAAGAACCCAAACGAAAAGGCCATCATAGGCAACCTACTCACCATGAATGCCAATGGCAAGGCCCAACTCCGATTCAGAGAAGACATCACCTTTGCCCTATGTCCCGAAGCATCAGAAGCATTGCGAGAATTAAAGAGTGTCCTCGGTGCAGCGGCGAAGCGGCAGATCCTCAATCTTACAGCGGAACGTTTATCCCGGGGATCGATTATCATGATGGACAATGGACGATGGTTACATGCTCGCAATGAAGTGAAAGATCCGAGTAGGCATCTGCGACGGGTTCGTTGGGATGCACAGGAATTCGCCAATCCTCCGCAGCTGGGTCTGTGATCATGCAATAAGGCTCTGTAACACTTAGCTTAAAGATAATTTATAATAGTATTGTCAACATCAGAAGTTTTAAGATAGACAGAAATTATAGAGAAGAGTTAGATATAATAGATCACTAACTATATATAATATAAAATACTGAATTACTAATTATACAGAGATAGAAAAATTACAGGGTCTTAAATAGATTAGGAAAACAGGAACTTTAGGATATAATAAACTATTATAACAGGAAAATATAGGGAATCTGCCTATTATAGAGACCAGTTAGGTAGATAAGGAAGATCCTAAATTATCTTATTGGATAGATACTCAAGGTGATATTGTATAGGAGTCTGAATAGCTTCAAATTTTGTGTTGAAGTGGGAATTTGCGTTGAGGTGAGGCAGACCAACACGCCGAATGGCGGGTGGGTCTGCTGACCTAAGAGACGGCTACATACCAAACATAACATACAATGCAAACATGCCGCGCTAGCCTCACAGAGCAACAGCCCCACTCTATTGCCCAGTTTGCTTTATTTGCAATAACCTCCCTGACGCAAGATCCACACTTCTATACTCCCAACCTACAAGTATACACACAGTAGAATCACCAGGTTCGCTGACACATAAGCTCCCAAGTAAAAGCCGATTCACGTATATAAACCCGTAGCAATCTCCAAACAATCTCCAAACAACCTCTCAACCCCCTATCCCCAATTTCAAACCCACCAACACCATCCCAATCTCTATACCAAAATGCCCCCCAAACCAACAATAGCCATAGCAGGCGGAACAGGCCACCTAGGAAAACACATAACAACCGCCCTTCTCAGCAAACCCTTCATCACCTCCTTCAACTCCATACTCCTCCTCACCCGCTCCGAAGCCAACCCCTCTACCTCCGACATCCCCTCCAACCCCAAACTCCAACTCCGCAAATACACCCCAACCAACCTGGCCCACACCCTCGGGGACATCGACATCCTAATCAACGCAATCGGGCCCTCCGGCCACAGCTTCAAGGAAACGCTCCTCCGCGCCATCCCCAAAACAGATATCAAATTATACATCCCCTCCGAATTCGGGGTAGACCATTACATACACGACTTCCCGCATTTGGAATGGGACGCTAAGAAGCGGCATTATGATCTCGCGCGGGAGATATTGGATCCCGGGGTGAGGATTTGTCGGGTGTTTTGTGGATTGTTTATGGAGGATAGTATTGGGCCTTGGTTTGGGTTTGATACTCGTGGCGGACGGTATGAGAGTGTGGGTTCGTCTGGGGAGGTGGTTTCGTTTACTGGGTTGGGGGATGTGGGGAGGGTTGTTGCGAGGCTTTGTGGGTTGTTTGCTGAGGGGGGTGTTGGGAAGGTACCCGATGTCCTGCATGTTGCGGGGGATACGAGGTCTATCTCTGATGTTGCGGGGTTGGTGGAGAAGGAGGGGGGTGAGCCTATTGAGGTTACTGAGGTTGCGTTGAGGGAATACAAGGAGAGGGTTATCAAGGTGGTGGGAAGTGATCCAGCGCCTTATTTGAGGTTTCTCATGGGGGAGGGGAAGATTAATCATTCCCCGACTGGGTTGGGGTGTGATAATGAGGTGGTGAATCCTAGGGAGCGGGTTTGGAAGTGGAAGTCTTTGGGAGACTTGGCGAGGGAGACTCGGGGGAGGCCTTGGGGGGATTTTGAGTGGCCCAGGAAGTAAGTGAGGGTATTACTGTGTCTCTGGTATTCTGTTTCTCTTGGCGTATGAGATAGAAGTATTCGACAGTATATAGGTCAACAGTATATAGGAATCGTGATTCCGACGTTTTATGGATCAGCTTCACTACGTTCCGCATAACAGATAACATTCAACTGTAGGATATGATATATACAATCGTGGACGATTCAGAACCCACTCTAATGCCTGTAGGTAGATCCAATGTCTCCCCACCGAATTTTGGAAAACGTCACATGAGTATCCGGATACAACTTCTCGATCAACGCTGGATCTCCCTCAGTCGCGCTGCACGGTCCTGCATTGCCACCATCAAGCCATTGCATAAACGAGCTTGCGTCGTTCCAGACACTTAGCGCAAGAACCATGCCGCGGCCCAAGGCATGGCCCATCTCCTCGAGGCCACCAAGTCGGTTGAATGCACTTCCTTCGCCGCTGCAGAAGTCCTTGGTGATTGAGTCGACAGTTTTGCCTCCCGAGGTGACGACAGCATTTTGAATGACCTGGCCGTTCTGGATATAAAGACGGCGGATCTCGCTGAGCTCGCCCGACGTTGTGTTATCGGTTGTGAGGAATTGGGTTACGACAGTAAATGTCTGGTTGGTGTTAACCTTGAGGCCGTAACCGTAGTAGTCCTTTGCACCTAGGCCGTATGGGTTGAATCCACAGCCAGATTTGTCACAGACACCGGAGTCGCCGCACCCCGAGCCACTGCACTCGTACAGACCAGTTGTGTTGCAAGGGTGGGGTGTAAGCCCTGTTGCTCGGGCGTTGGCTTCCCAAATATCCATTTCCTGACAGCAGGATCCGACACTCTCGGTGTTGCCTTCGCCGTTGATCCAAGGCGTGGTGTAGCATTGGGCATCACAGTAGCCGGTTCCGTATTTGGCCCCGGCTTGATTCAGGGAGCTTTTTCCGCCAGAGGCCTCCATTTCAGAGAGATATAAAGCACCGTTCATACCGCAGACGAGAGTGGATGCGTCCACATCGAAGGTGAATTCCTGATTCAGGAGTTTCAGCATGGAATAGTTCTCTCCGTCTTCGGCAAGGAGGTAGACGCGCGGTGACACTGACTTTATGTCATCGCCAGTTTGCAAGTACTGGTGAAGGGTCAATGTGTCATTTTTTGTCTGGACTCCGTAGCTGGCGTAGTCTGCGATCCCATCAACGACACAGTTATCAGCACAGGTCTGCTTGTCCGGACAGATGGCAGTGTCTAAGCCGTTGCTGTTGGTGCAGGACGTTTGTGTTCCTTTTTGGTGGATGAAGTGGGTTGCCGCATCCAGGACGACTGAGGTGTTCTGCTTCGTGCAGCCACTCTGCGAAGTACACTTATACGTGGTGAGTCTGGGATGGGCATCCGCTGTAGTGCCCACCTGCTGGCCCGTTACTAGTGGCAGGAGTACCACAAAGGGAGCGAGTGTCCAGATCATGCTGAAAATCCTCTCGTTGCTGGTGTATAAAAAAGTATTCTTGTTCGCATCTCTGCGCCGGGGCGAAGCCCCTATTTAAGTATCATGTTAACACAGAGTATTAAGGCTTATGGAAGCTTCAGAGCGCCTGATATGGGACTGCGACCATACCGGCCCGACGGTCCGATCTGATTCATGCACTTTTTTTCCCGGATGTTTCATCTCCATTGTGATCCGGTTTTGATTATATTAAGATCAACCGGCGCGAAGGATGCGCGTCGGCAATGTTGCCAGGTTTAGGGTTATGAAGGGGTCTGATCAACAGCTTCGCATAGTAAAAGTACCGTCAGACTGAGACCGGAAAATAAATAAACGAAACGTTTAGGCTGCAGGTTTGCAGAATCGCGGGTTTTGCCGGTCCTTGAACGCCTTAACCGATGCGGAGTGATCTCCGGATTTAGCCGCTGCAGATTGCGTTTAGATCAGGAACCCCGAAGAAGTCAGTCTTTTGCCAAGGAACGCGGCAATGGATCCAGCTCAAGAAGTTCCCGTCGCCCCTTATCTATGTAACATGGATCAATGTCTCCTGTGTCCGGCGGGTTCAGGTTCATTCGGTGCAGCGGGACACGTTCTTGATTTTCAAGGTGGGTGAAGATATTTCCAGGGTAAAAACATGCGAAATTTATCCAAAAAGCAGATATAGATACAGTCGCGTATACAGTACACCGTTGACAGTCCATATGTAATTAGATCCCAAAGACCTCCTTAACAAGTGTCTTTTTGTTCACTGCAAGCCGGGTAAGTATATCATCACCATGACAAATGAGAGTCAGGGGCTTACCTTTGCCCATTGCATTCCTTGGGATCGGTCCGCTGAGAACCTTCATCTCCTGGGGCATCTTATAAGTTGCGAGGCGATCTTTAAGGGCACGTCGCATGTCAAGAGCACCCCATGGTTTGCCATTGCGACCAGTTCTTGCAGCCTTTTCCGTATCGAGAACGACCACAGCAGCAACCTTCTGGCCCCATTGCTCAGAAGGAAGACCCACAACAGCTGCTTCGCTGACTTGAGGACTACGGCAGATCAGTATACAGCTTCCCATGCGTACAAGAACACCTACAGGGATAGCAGCTCTCTTTCCACCTCCAATGCGCTGACCTTTTCTCCGCCGGTCTTAATGATGTCCACACTCAGTCGGCCTTGAATGAAATACATTGGTCCCTGTGCCCAATCCCCACTTGTTCCCTTTCCGGCATGCTCAACAACTCGACGGGTGGCAACGTCCCCAGTCTTGAACCATTTGCTCTTGCCATCATCACTGTCGACAAAGGCTTCGTTTGTAGCTTTCTCGTTGGCCCAGTACTCACGGAAAATGGTAGGGCCACGGAGTTGGATTTCGCCTTCACGCTCGCGTCCATTCGCATCATATTCCTCTCCGGGCTGAATGACTTCGTTTGTCTCCGTATCCACAAGTCTAGCTTCCACAGACGGTAGTGCCCACCCGACACTACCATCAACCCGATCGGCGAAGTCGAGGCCGCAGCTGATAGCCATGCCGACTTCTGTCATTCCAAAACGCTCGAGGAGGACATTGCCATTGCTGAGGTCTTGCCACGCTTGCTTAGTAGGAGTGGGTAAAGCTGCCGATCCAGAGATATTCAGACGTAGATTCTCGGGCGCAATGCCCTTCTTCGCTGCCTCTTGCACATCAGGGGACAGGCTGGGGAAGGAAGATAACAATCGGTTGTAGATCGTGGGGACAGCCGTAAGGAAAGTAATCTTGCTCACGGAAGATGCGGGCAGAAACGGAGCCGCAAGCCTCTCCCACACAGCATCAGTGTTAAAAGGGAACATGAACTCAATAGACGAGCCAGCTAGAATGGGCGTTACAATGGCATTCACAGTTCCATGGATATGATGCAGGGGGAGAAGATGGAGTAACCGATCCTCCGGAGAATATTTCCATGCTTCTAGCAAAGATGCTGCTTGCGCTGTGAGTGCCGATTGCGGAATCAACACGCCTTTCTAGTGCGTGTTAATACGGGTATGTTCCGCATTACCAGGAGAAGGTATCCTTACCGGTCTATTGGTGGTGCCTGAGGTATACAACATCATTCCGCCACGAGACTCCTGCACAATGTCCTGCAAACTTACTTGATCCGAGATGCTTGCCCCTGTTTTGATCTTCTCCTTGACATCAAGGATGGGCTCCCGTTCAAGACCCGCCTTCAATATATCCTGTGCCTTAGCCGCATACTTTTCGGTAGCAACGAGCACTTTGGCCTGGGAATTATCCATAATATATTTCAGTTCCCCGACGGGAAAGGCCGGAGAGAGGGGTAAGGCGATTGCATCGCTAGCAAGAATGGAAAGGAGAGTCACTGGGACTACAATCAGCAACCAGCTAGGCAGGGTACACCGGAGCGAAGAGAAACAGTACCTACGTAATCGTAGCTATTCTCCGCCAGGAATGCAACCCTCTCCCCTGTAAGCCCATCTTGCTGACCTCCCGCACACTCAAGCAGTCTTTCCTTTGCACGAACGACATCGGCAACTAGATTGCCGTAGGTAAAGGAGCGGGACGATGCGCTGTGAACGACAGCAAGGCTAGATTGGTCGTGATCCTGAAGAGCTCGGAAGAGAGGTAGATTTGGCAAAGTTGAGAGCGACCGACAATTATTTAGTTGGAACCGATGTTGGTGGCGAGCATTGCATGGTAGAAACGACTGAAATGCGCGACGAGCCACGGGCGCGGAGCCCCGCGAGAGGGCGGAGATCAGCAGGCGTCCTTGCATATTGAAGTTAGCAGGATGCGTATAGCATATCTCCCTTCTATAGGAATAATAATCAGCGAGCACAATCCGTCAATGGATGTCCAACTGCACAAGTAGATTGGATTGATGTCATTGTTTAGAGTCAAAAGTTGGGAGCTTTTGGTCGGAGTCGGAAGCTTTGCCGATCGGCCACATGGAGAGGCCGTTTCACATGATGACATGAAATACCAATTAAATCCATCAATTTATCCATTACTTACCTACCTTCCTCCGCAAATCAACATCTCCCACTTCTGCAATTCAACCACATCCCATGCTCTCCCTCCTCCGCCACAGCCGTTCAGGCCTTGTTCCTCGTCGCCTGTTCTCAACAACCTCCAGAATGGCTTCCAATACTCCCGTCGAGGATACCATCCGTGAGAAAGTACGAAACAGAACATTAAGGCCGTCTCCAATCTACATATACTAATATGTCCCAATCTACCAGATCACCACTGCTTTCTCCCCCTCCAACCTTATAATCCGGAATGATTCCCATCTTCATGCACACCATGCGCCGATGCGTGGGTCAACCTCGAGGGAAACCCATTTTCAGTCTGTCTCCCGACCGTCAGCTCCTTCGAAACAGTGCATGACTAATATATCTTTTCTTAGCGTAACCATTACTTCGGAATCGTTCAAGTCGAAGATGCAGCCGGCCCGTCACCGCATGGTTTACGCTTTGTTGAAGGAGGAGATGGACCGAGAAGGAGGAATTCATGCGCTGCAGTTGCGGACTCGGACGCCGGAGGAGGAACAGAGGGAGAAGGAAAGGCGGGCCCAGGCATAAGACATGACATGGTGAAATCGCGAGCGATGTTACTGCGTATTTATGAATACTATTATGCGATACCCGATAATGCGGCTGCACCGGTCCGGTGTTGAATCTCTAGCAGAAATTCCACACGGATGCACTCTGGAAAAGCGTGTGGGCCACTCCTATAGTAGAGCACATTTGATCTACGACAGATTTCCAATTTCTTGTGTCGCGATGGCTCATTAGATTGATTAGTGGAATAGTCGATTATTACATAGATCTAGCGCCAAAGGTCAAAGCAAAGCGAAGGAACTCTAGTATATACACGTGCAACAGTATCATGCGCATCCTATCCAAGAGCAGCAGTCATCAGGCCGCATTCGACGAAGATGCGGAAACTATACACGACCATCAGTGAATACAAAGACCACGGAAACAGGAAACACAAAGGTAGAGACACTCGCAAGACAAGCTTTTTCAAACACGGACAAAACGCGACAGACAGCAATCAAGTGGTATAGCAGGAGTAAAAGTACATAGGAGATCAAAAGCAAATAGGGAGTGAAATTGGCGGTTGAGCTTACCGTGGTCATAGAGATAACACGGAGATCATCCTGCCGGTTGTAAGTCGCACAGGTCGAATAAAAAGAAACAGAAGCAAAAATTCGTTCCAGCCCTTGCATGGGTATACAAGGCTCAAGGCAACTAGACGAGAAGAGGGAATCGAAATATAAAACACAGAGGTATGAAAACGCATAGGGTCGGAGATAAGAGTCGAGCGAAGTTCGCGGGGAAGCCAACATGAGCACAAGGATCACGTTCAGAAAAGTCATGAGTCTTAAGACTTGTTTGCCTGGGTGACACCGACAGCGACACCAACAACGATGGCAATGATGAGAACTATGCCGAGGTCAGTTTTCTGCTCCCAAATACAAATGGCGGTACCTGTGATACTTACTGATGATAAGCAAGGCATACCACTTCCACTTTCTTGCCCGACGCGCGCTGTCAATGGCATGGGTGATCTGAGTGTTGGCGTTCGCGACGTTTCCAGCGACTTCTTCGGCACCCTGGTTGATCTGCTCGACGGCGGGTTCCTGCTGGTGAACAAGCTCTGCGACTTCTTGGTACAGCCGACCAAGCTCGATCATATCTTGCTCAATCTTCCGAATTGCGGCCGAACGCTCCAGAGCAGCCTGTCTGGCATCGTTGGCTTGACGAGTCCGGCTACCAGTAAGCTAAATCAAACATGTTAGCAACTGTGGCTCCGCAACGTGAGGTCTTGGTGGATGTCGCGTACCTGGAAGGTCTGCTCCTGGCCCATGAGAACATTATCAACACCTTGCTCCAACTCCTCCGGGGTCGCATCGGGGTTGGCGATTTCATATCGGCGGCGAACCTGCTCCCTCAAACGCTTCTGGAAATCCGACTGGGCCCGCTGGTACTGCTCGATTTCGCGGCGCAGGTTGCGGCTGGTCACATCGACCTGGGTCTGTACACGGCTGTCTCCAGAGCCGGGAGTCTGCTTGATCTTCTTTAGGAGGTCACGGAGATAGCGGAAACCGTTGTTGATTTCGTCCTCGACGTAATCCAGGGCCTGGCGAGAAACTTGGTCTTCCTTTCCGGTGCTCGAGTCCAGCAAAGCATTCTGTGCGGCAGCGAGCTGTCCCTCGCGCTTGGCGCGAATGTCGGCGATACCGTCGTTGATTTCACGGCACTTGTTGAGCAAGCTGGTCGGGTCGGCAGGCTGGGTATCATAGCCACCACCCACCTGGTTCATCTCTGCCAAGAGATTGATTAGATGACATTCCATTGCTTTGCGGTCCACCATGCGCGCTTACCATAGCTACCATTACCCTCCTCTATGCTGCTCGCCTGCTGGTAGCCTCCCTGGCCACCATAGGGGTTGTATGAGCCGTAGCCGCCCTAAATCAGTTATTCAATTAGTGGTCCATCGAAGCACCGCGCGGTTAAGGGGAGGGGCAGCGTGGAGACGAAGGGGGTCGTTATCGGAAGAACGTACACTCATTGTGATGGGATTTTGCGATCGAAAGGTTATTTAGTAGTCAAAGTAATAGATTCCTCCGCGGTAAGGTCTCGTTTCTTGGTTGTTTGTCGACCAGCCTAAGGCAACCGAATCTGGTTGTGATAATGGGAGGGTCGGGTCGTACGGGAACTGGGGGGGGAAGAGGGTGGGTGGATCGATTTGCGACAGGACGAAGCTCCGGTGCCGGCAAGAATGGGGAAACAAAGGAGAAGCGTAATTCAATCAAAGAGGGTAAGGAAAGGTAGGCAGAAGCTGTCCGGTGCAAGCGAAGGGAAGGGGAAAAAAAAAATGTTCAGTAAGGTTATGAGGTAGATGGTAAATCAGCGAAAAAGAAGCGACGGAGTGAGACACGCGGCTGACTGAGCACCTGAATGGATGATCGATGAATGAGCGGATGGATGCCTGAGGCGGTCCGGGAATTAAAGGCGACTCTTTTTTTGTTTACTGGCCCGCAGACGGCAAAAAAGTCGTGACGATTGGTCCCTTTTGTCCTATACAAAACCCCGAGAGGATTGGTCGAGAGGAAAAGAAGAGGAAAAAGAGAAAGCTCCTCCTTATTTTTCCTTTGCCCTTTCTTTCCCGCACTAAAATTTTGAATCAGGGGGCCGTGAAAATTATGACTCGATTAGGGTGTTTTCATTAATATTAGTTAGGGGCTTGGGGCTGAAGCACAGACCGGTCAGAACGACGATCCCCTCATCTCCCCTTTTCTCAATGGCTTAACACGGGGCGGTCGAGATGAATTAGTACCGACAGTTGGTGATAGTTTCAACCTTGTCCAATTATCTGAACAACGGCGATAACTCTACCCCGTCCAGTGGATAGCCTCTCTCACTACGCCGGTATCTTCTCCATAGCCTTCACCAATGGCTCAAGGAGCAGCAATATGTATTATCAAGGTTCGCAGCCAGACCGGTATGCTCTCCAGACTTACAGAGTATCTTAATTTATTATAATTTTCTCTGATCCATTTTCGTTAACAATACTCCGTACAAACATCTCTTGCCTGATGATAAACCTTCCCTATTCCGGAAGGCCAACGTCAACCCTAAATAAAACTTAGGGTCGAGACGTTCGAGACGTTTGAGAGCTCCGGTACGTCCAATAAGATGGAATCTGTCACATTATCAGGGTCCAGCCACCTTTGAGCTCTGAAGAGCTCTGCACGTCATCCCACATCAACCTGTAGGAGATTTCATGGTATCTCAGGCATGCATAAGTTAAAGTAAGGGACATATGACCCTACCTTGGTAGTCCACCTTTCTAAGTTTCTCGATGCGCATTGACAGTCTCACCCCATACCATAACCAAACGTGCCACCCGACCCATTTGTGGTGAGATTGCTTCAATTTCCTCAGCTGCGGTATTCCCCACCGAACCATCCACTCTGAGATGTCTCGTTTCACCCCCCTCACAGCACCTTAAGTATTTTTGATGACCACCATATCTTGTCAGTGCCTTTTTCCTGTAAAGTCTCTTGCCTTTGCAGTAGTCCATATAAACAGTTGTAGGAAATTCAGAAACCCTTGCATAATTTATTTAGAGAATCTTGCAAAGAACAAAAATAGGAACCCCACCGAGGACCCGTAACGGTTTTCCCTCCCATCTTACTGGTCCAACGTATCCATCCAAACAAATTATATTTAGCAACAATCCCCATCCTTCAACTGCCGGTTCGTCTACCTTCTTGCAATGCCTATGACATACTCACGTTCGCCTCCGCGATTCGTCTGCCATTGCTCCGGTGAATAGGCAAACAGGTAAATAAACCAAGAAAACAAAAAGGTAATCCCGACGATGATATCATTATCGTTGATCAGCCGGCAAATCCATGAAACTCTATTTTTTCTGACAAAAGTATCTTGTATCTTGAATAAATAGATATGAAGCACTGTACCTCCTAAAGTGCCATGACAATATTGATATACTTCTGAATGATGCATGTTTCGACATCATCCTTAATATACGAGACACGCTATTCGCCCCTTTGATATACGACATATAGTATATATATAATTAAAAACATATCTAGAAAATCACCATCATACAAGTTTAAACTAAAGTCGGGGTCTACGTATTTCTCAAATGCAACTATGTTTTTCCAATAGCAAGATGAGTCACCCATACTTTCTAGAGCTTTCTGACCATCCCTGAGGATCTGTACATATTATGACCATGATTTAGGATTACCGGGATAGACAGCAGGCAGCAAAATTCATAGGGAATCATACCTTATCCTCCCATAGATATAGACAATAAGGAAGTGTCACTATTGGTGGACGTGCTGGAATTCCCACAATATGACAAAGCTTGATTACAGTCGTCCAATCCCCTTGCATATATTAGGGCACACCACCTGCGACCCATACTTAAGCAAGACCATCACGAGACTCGGGAGCCTCCAACCCGAAACTGTATCTTACTACCTTTATGCTGTTGAGGTGTTCTTATTTGAGGCTGGGAGAATTTGTCTTATGAGTTCTGTGCATAACGTCGGAGATTTCTAGACTTGTGAAAATTATGTATGGGCGAGTGTCAAGACTCCGGTCTAGTTTTCCTATCTGCGGACAGGTTGTATTATAGGGGTACGGGAGAGCAAGAAAGGTATCAAGACCGGAAGGTGTATTCTTGTGGAAGTCCTTGGAGAAGGGTATACGGGTTGGCGAAGAATTTCAATCAGACTAACTATTATGTTTAGTCCTTGATCGCTCGACCACCCTACATAGACCGGTATATTCTGCCGCGAGAGGTCAGTACTACGTGAATTTACGTATTAGAAGTTACGTTATCCTAATAAAATCATCTTTAGGAAGAAGGCTCAGCAGCAAAATTGGGTTTCTATCAGTGTGTACATATATTGTCTTGCTCTTGACTACCAGAAACCGAACTCTTCCACATTAAACCTGCCTTTAGACATTCAAACCAATCATTAAGCTCGACGTATTCACAAATCATAAAAGCCCTTCATTACACTCATTACTCTAACGGCCATAATCCATTATGAAGATGGATAGGGTTGTCATAATCCCATCAAGCGCTGCAGTTGACAATACCGTGGTCCAGGTTGACAGGAGTAGCGGAAGCCGGGTTTCCGTCTAAATCGGCAAAGGTATGCTGAGCATCGAGATTTGCGATGACAGCACCGTTGTTCTTGATAACGCAGTGGATTGTCTGAGGGAACGCTGCCAGCTGGGCAGAAGAAGCGAGAACGGAGCCGCTCGCTCCCACGGAGGTGCCGCCGTAGAGGGCTTTGATGCTCTTGTCGGTTCCATCGGCAGGGAAGGTAACACCCGCATAGGCACCGCTCTGGTCGTTCGAGAGGGCCAGAGTGACTTGGTTGGACTGACGGGCCTCAAGCGGAACGGCAGAGACAGAGGCCGCGAGGATGGAGATGATGACGGCGAATGTGGTCTTCATTTTGATTGGGAGTTGATGGGCAATGGATGGTTCAAAGTAGCCAGATGAGGGAATTATGATAGTTTGAAAGCTGGGTTTGGGATGGGATTCTTGTGATTGATGTGATGATGAGGGATATGACAACGGCGGACAACAGGTTGAATTTATACCTTTCCCTTCACCGTGTATCAGGATATTGCTGGATCATGATCAGTGTATACGGCTCTTGCAGCTTCCGGCTATACCATTCTTAGGCCCTCCATGATGAAGGCCTATTCCTGAGTCTCTACTCAGCTTTAGCAGCCCTCGTAATGGAAATATGTTTGATTGGCTTTGTCTCTGAGGCTGAGACAACCTCTCTCTGTGAAGTTGGCGTGTTCCAATTGGAAGACACCGGAACTGGAGTTTAGGTTCTAGTGTCTGTATAGGAGCCGAAAAAATTCATCACTAGGACCTGCAGTCAAGCATGTTTTGTAAAGCGAAATAGTAGTATGACGTATCTCAGAAGCCGCTAAATGCAATAGCTCTTCGAGATCTCGACCTGGAAAAGGTTACCGACGGAGTTCGTATCGGTAGGGCTATGTTTCTGGTTCGGCGAATATACTATAGTAAAACCATGTTCTTAGGCGTTCCATATACGAACCATCTAGATGGAAGATGAGTGGTGAACAGGTGGGTCTCTCTATCTTTTCAGTGACTGATTTGCCGATATACTAAGGTGTTGCTGTCTTACATTAGAATGATGTGGGGCGCAGTACATCACCTGATCCGGGGTAAGCCTGTCAAGTTGATGGCTAAGCCCTAGTTTAGTTTTAATGAATGTTGAAGACCGGCTCGGCATGAGATTAAGACTGATCTCGATAGAGTAGTCACGGTGCTATCGTTGCATTATGACACTGATAATCCTAAATTCGACAGCGATAGACCTTGAGAACGGAAACGAGTAATCTTGAATCTGGTTGAAAAGACTAGCTTCTCCAAGGGAGGACATACAAATGGAACTGTGACGTTGAACCACTTGAACCAATGTATACAGAGTTCACCTCGAGCAGTGATGGATACAGATTCCGATGACACATCGAACGGCCACCACGCCACAACCAGCCCAGTCCTCGTATCCCCCGCAATGTCTCACTTGCTGTACTTTTTGATTAACGATGAATTGTCTTCAAATATAATCATCATCGGACTGCATAGTTTATCCAAAATGATCACCTGATTGCTGGGATCGCGTGTATTGTACCTCACCCTCGCTTCCTTATGGACAGTTGGATACCTAGCTAACAGGCTCCCTAAACACCTAAACCGGCACCAGCACTGCAATATTCCCCTTCAAACCTTCGCCCACGATTCGAGAAATAAGAAATACCATCATAGTCATATCCTATTCAGGCCTGGCTGCCTGTTGTCTAAAAATGGAAGCACAAAACGAGAAAGGAAACAAGAGACAGGCGGGCCCCAGAGAGAGGACGGCCATGGCCTCCACCATCTTTGCATACACCACAAGTCTCAGGGCATTTTCTCACCTCGACTTGCACAGCATCCGCCACCTGTCGTGTCTCTTCATCAGTAATAGGAACGCCTTCAGCCCGTATCCAGTTCTTGGCAACCAACCAACCTATACTTTAGCATAGTTTTCGTCTACTATCTTGACATCCCCTATATCACTCAATGACTTGAGCCCTTCCAATCTTCACCGCTACTTGCTTTAGTAGGCCAATTGATTTTGCGAGATTTCTGGACGACTCTTACGTATCCAGAGCACAGGTAAGCATTGATCTGGTCTGGTCGGCATATCTAGAAGAGACCATACCGAGTGGAACTATCTTATTATCTAAGCTTCGTTCTATAACTACCTCGTGTTTATTATCTCAGGCATGATCCATTCAAGCTAGTTATTCTCTAATGGTAGGCATTTGGGTTGGTGTTATACGAACAGCCACCACCAACATCTATCCCTAAATAGAACCATTACAGATCTTCCTGCAAAAGAACTTGATGTAAGCAAACCCATGTTCTCTCTGTAACTTACTAAGTATACACAGCCGATTGTGTAACATACTCAAAAACCTTCCCACGCCAGCCTTTTTATAGAAAAGTCACGTAAGGTTTAGGGCTGGATTGTCCAAGGCTTTCTCGCTAAGCGATTCTAAACTCGGGCAAAACTCAAATACATATTGGTTGTATTAGCAGGGATTGTTCAGGTTGGGGGGGCGTGTCTACCAAGAAAAGAGTATGTGCGCTCACAAAGCAATTTTCATAGGCATGATTCGCTCCATGTCTCCAACAGTTGTTATCTGACATTCTATATAAAGATTACTAAAGCAGCCTTTGCTTGTCTCTTCACTATGTCCGATGTTACTCAATGAGCCGTGGTACTTGGTGACTATAATTTAAAAAAAGGAAAAACTCAACACGATGGCTGGGTGATATTGTACATCTCTAAATATCTCACAGCTCTTATGGTCCGGGCAGGATATCCACCATGCTGATTAAGAACAATGGTCCTCTTACAGATGAGAAGCTTAGTGTTCTCAAAGGCACTGTGTATTTACAGTATTGGTAGAGCGATCTGCCATCGATACCTCACGCCTTCTCATCCCTTGTATCGGATTGTAGACATAAACGATATCAGGGGAACCTCTTTTTACCTCACCCTGTTTTTTTTTTTAATATTCTATTTCAGAATCTGAAGGTATAGTATAGTATTGACATAAGAGGCTACGTAATTCCTGGTAGGTGGTTGACAGTATAAAATTCCAATTCAAAGACCAACCCGGCTTGAATCGACGTTAAACAGATTCTATTGTCTCCGCGCCCAAAATAATGCCATAGTAGCGCTGGATTACACTTCTAAACCTATCTTAATCATACAACTATACAATCATAAAAAGAAAAGGGAAAAGAAAAAAGACTGATTTCGGTCATCGACAATATACCCGACCCTAACCCCGGACTTAAATCTGAACTAACAGCATTATATCCGTAATCCAGCAGACCGACCGGACATTACATCACACTCGTCCAACAACCAAACTATAAATAAGCAATATAGGTCTCCAAAATGTACATTAAGCACAAGCAATAGAGAACTCCAATTTCCCTACCCAACCATGTCCAAACTCGTCATCTTCGGAGCAACAGGCCGACAAGGCCGCTCGATCCTAGAAACAGTCCGCCACGATCCAACCCTATCACGACAATACTCCATCCGCGCAATTACACGAGATGTAGCCAGCACGGCAGCAAAAGAGATCGCCAACCAAGGCATTGAAACAGTCCAAGCCGACATAGATGACCCAGCCTCTCTCCCCCGAGCCCTAGCACAAGCGCACACCGTGATCCTAATCACCAACACCATCTACGACGCGGGGCTCAAAAGCCGCGAGTACAGACAGACCAAGAATGTCGGCGACGCAGCTGTGGCGGCAGGTGCCAGGCATATCATTTTTAGCACGGCAGTGCACGCATCAAAGTTCTGGAATGGTCGCACCATGGACGTCTTCGACTCTAAGGCCGAGGCCGAGGGGTATCTGCGTACGCTACCGATTAAAGTATCTTTGTTTGCGCCGGGAATGTTCATGCAGAATTTGACTACTATGATGGCGCCGCGGTTGGGTCCGGACGGGACGTACAGTGTTGCGGGTGTGCTGGACCCGGATACGAAGGTCCCGCTTATTGATACGGTGAATGACTCTGGAACGTATGTTGCTGCTCTGTTGAGGGATGGGGAGAGTGGGAGGGGCATTACGCTTTATGCTGCAACGGAGCTGTATAGCTTTTCTGAAATCGTGGAGATCATCTCAGCGGCATCGGGGAAGGTGGTTCGGTATGTGCGGGTTCCGGACGATGTGTATGCTGGGTTTATGAAGAGCGCTCGGGGGGATAGAACTGTGGCTATGATGAGGTTCTTTGAGGAAGTTGGGTATTTTGGGCCTGGGACTGCGGAGTTGGTTGAGAAGACGAGGAGCATGGTCAAGGGGCAGTTGACTACGTTTGAGGAGTTTGCGGAGAAATATATAAAGGATTTAGGGGTATGCACTTGATTAGTTCCGTATAATTAATTTAGTACACACACGCATTATTACACGGCACATGAGGTGCGAGGTATAGGACTAGAATAATAATATACCAAGGAAGTTGCCACTTTTCCATCAAGAGTGAAGGATAATGTGTCCTGAATTTACCGATCTATGTATTGCAAATCCTCCAACAAGCAGACCTATATACATTAAATTGCCATCCTTTGTCCCAAAGTAGGAACAATCATATCTAAAGCCCAAGACCAGAATGCAAGTCTCGGCGTCTAGCGGCACGAGACTCCTTAGCAGGAGTGATAAGGTTGGTGGCATTTCCAATCATCTGCGTCACTCCCATAATGTCCATCAGACCAACAACCTCCTCTCGCCGGGACCATCCCAGCTCAGTCGGAAGACGTTCATTTTCTAAGATTAATATTAGAGAGGTGATAGACGATAGTAGTAGAATGAACTTACCGAAGAAATATTCTACCAGAGTTCTGTTGACCTTTCCGTTCTGAATATCACCGAACGCGATAATGGGAGCAGCAACCTCGCCGAGACTGAATTGTTCCATCGAAGACGTGAATGTATAGGTGGGATTATATGCTTTAGAGCTGATCTGGCGAGCCAACTTGCTGTTGGCTAACATATTGGCATCCAGGGTGGGTTCGGTCCAGTACTTCTTTGTTTCTTCGAAGATTGTCTTGTTGAAGACATGGTTGTTGCCGAAGTAGGCGTCGGTCCGACTTTAAAGGGATTAGCTCTTGGTATTTTGGTGCAATGAGTTGGAAAGGTTTGATAGAACAAATCTAGAAGGATATGCGAACTGACCTCAAACTTGCGTCATGTTCTAACAGATTGTGTTTGTTGAGTTGATCACTGTTTATGTGTCAGGATTAGCCTGTTTCGGCAAACTGATGGGGGCTATTGGGTGTCGTACAGAGTAAAGAACGTAGCGTTGGGCTCTGGGTTAACAACGATAGCCATGTCAAACATCAGGCTCGCGAGTGAAGCGTTGAAATTGAGGGCCGCTGATAGTCCTTTAATGATAGTGTTTCGTGTGATGTTTCTACCGTCGTGGGGAAGGAAGCCATGGTTTGCTAGAGTGTTCATCATGGGACAAGGACCTCGAACTGACACATATCAGCAACTATGTAAACAAGAGTTCAGGCACCTTCCATCGTACAGTCGTTTGCCCCAGCGGGCTTCCATTGCCCATAGTGAGGGTTGGCAGAGGCCAGAGCCAATGTCAGTGCAGTAGAGAGGATGGAGAATTTCATATTCGAGTTTTCGTTTGCGTAGGTATAAGAAGGCTAGTATAAGTTTAATCGGCTTAGAGAATACAATTGTATGTCAATTTATCGGACGGCAGAAAGATATTTATAAAGTCCGGTGAAAGCACAGACAGCATTTTGCATGGCACAGGCAAGTTATGCTCCTTATGTGAAACTTGGACTGTCAGGTAAGCTAAGACCTGGTATCACTAGCTGATGACATTCTTTATCATACGCAATTGTGGATCTCTTCACAATTCGTACTCGTACCTAAAGCCTATCTTTGAGTCTGCGAACTCAATGACAGGTACGGGAATAGGCATCCTCAATATCAACACTGCCCCCAGATTTTCCTCTGTTGCTGCGCGCCGGGCCCTCTTTTCATGATTAGAGCCTTGTAGCGTTTGCGATCGTCATAGTCCACTGGATTAAGGAGCAGAATCTGCGCCAATGATAGTTGTTGTATTGCATATGCCGTGGCGTATGTTCTTGTCGTTGCAGAGCAGGGGAAAGTTCCAAGTAACTCAATTAACCAATAGAGTTGATTCAATATCGAAGCGAGATCCACACTGTCGATCAAACCCGCGTACTCGTACCAAGCACCATATTAGGGTGTCTACTGCAGAACTCCGCGACAGAATTGATAGTCGAGGCCGTTGACTGCCTAAAAAAACCGAACCCGAACCCGAACCCAGAAATAATATCCAATATTCCGTACTTAAGATGGAAATCGACAGCGCCCAAGTTGCCTACCACAATCTGTTGACGTATTGATCACCAACAGGTTCCATAATTAGTCAAAGTGGCCGGAATGGACTAATCTTAATGCATCATCCTTTCATACACCATGACTCTGACGGCTTCAAGGCCACATTATCTCAAAGTATTTGATCTCTGGCTTAGGAATTAGGCAGTGATCACCGACCACCCTGCATATCCTCCATGTCTCGCACCACCGAATCTGGTAAGAAACAAGAAACTAGTTCTGCTGAAATCCACGTTTCTAGCCATTTCAACCAGTTCGTTTTCTGATTGCTTTTCTTTCTGCTCTTTCAGGAAGTTGAGGACGTCATCAGGAAGCTCGACGCCTGCTACTTGTGCGGCGCGATATACTTCGACCCTATATCTATCAATAGCATCTGTAAGGGTGCTTCCAAGTCGATGCATAGCGGTGTCTTAATCGTGGACCATACTTCCCCGCTCATCGGCTATGAAGGATTGTTGGCCAAGAATCTTGAAATATACTCCCGGAAAGAACAATAATACAATTGCACGGAACGTGTTGTAGCCTCCAAATTGTTTAAAGTACGGATCTTGATGATAGTCTTGATCGCCATAGTCAGCACGTACTATTCCCTCATTATTGTGCCTAGGACATATGTCCTCGACGGGAATCGTGATTTCTGGTGTAAATGACGACGGTGCGCCCCTGTGCATGATGGAGCGACAGTAAAGATACCGGTGGGTGATGTTTACCAGAGGCTCCCATTTCATGGTAAGCCGGTGATACACTCTCTCTATAGATAACGCGTCGCCATTTGACTTCTCTGGCTGCAGGGGTTTACTTTGCTTTTGCTGCTGCGAAGATTTCCCGGAAATGGGAGCCGGTAAAGCCTCGCCTGCGAAGGGTATGGCCTCCACGTCTCGGGTCTCATAAGGAATATCCAAAGCTCCAGATGAGCGTTTCTTACCAAGTCTAATCCAGGAAGGTGCTTGTGCTAGAACTTGTGCTGAAGAAGCTTCAAGAATGCCTATAATGACCATTTAGTCTTGGCTAACATATCCGATGGTGATATATACCTTAGGGGAAGAGCAAAGGTCCAGAGGGAGAGAGTAACGTGGATCTAGACCATCATCGATACGGATATCTTGATCAGGGGTTCCCGTCTTCCATGGGTGCCCCAGATCTTTTGGCTTCAGAGAATGCGATGGCTCTAACGATTGTTTTAACAGCAATGTCAGATTCTTGATCTGGTCGCGCAGCGACTCGAGTCCTTCTGTCTGTCGAACACCCATCCCCCTGGTTTCAGATTAGCCCGGGCTCTGTGGAAAACCATACTGAACATGGATTGATTCAAAAAGAAAAGAAAAGAAAAGAAAAGAAAAGAGACACGCTCCCAATATACAAAGGACAAAGGTAAAACCACCTACAATTGAAGGCCCTGTATCGAGCAATCCAGCTGGCGATTTAGATGTTCAACTCGATGTTTGATCTTCATCGTCCAAACCGCAGCCTTGAGATTGGAGACAATGCGCGGTTTCCATTTCCTTTTGTTGAGTCCACCATGCGCAACAGCTGTTCGAGGATTTTACGGCAGGCGATGGTCTCTTCATTGTAGCTTTGGGTAGGAGAAAGAGCTTCTAGATCAGCAATGTGCTATAAGAGTACTTGGGCGTGTTTTTCCTGTTCAGAAATCTCCTCAAGCGTTCCATTTGCGGATCGGCATAAGGCGAAGAAGCGGCTGAAGAATTCCAGCCCAATCTGCGTGAACTGAACGATGGTACCGACCAGACTAACTGCTTCCATTCCTGCTAGTCGTGTTGATGATTTAGCTTGACTATTAGTTATATTGATTCATATCCTTCTATGAACCCCAGCGTCCTGTCTGGATTGTCTTTAGCTGAACTCTTTGCTTGGTTTTGAAAGAGCGGTAAAACAAGCCTGACTGCACAGTCTCGTCTTCAGCCTTGTCCTGTCCCTACTTTATGCGGCCATGATCACGGTGAGACCATTGTATTTATCGCTTGAGCATTCATACTTCGCTCAGCTCTACTTAGTATTCACCCGATATTAGAGATAGACAATCTTCACCTACTACAATTTCTCTTCTACAAAGAGAATGACAAATATAGTATGTATGTATGCCACCAAGATATGCAAGTAAAAGAGCAATGGATGCCGGTAGATTTTGCTAGCGCCATAGAATTCTATACTGTTCTTGCTTTTCGGCAAAAAGAGCCATGCTAAGTCAGTATATTCAATCATAGGAGTTATTGTTGATTAAAGAGGGTATAGCTTATACCTAGATTTGAGGCCTGATAAGGAAACGAAGTAAGCAGGTAGGATTCATCATGCTTCAAGTAATTTATAGAAGTATTTTGCTTCATGATAGAGTGCGTAGAAACCTTCCAATCTAACAAACTAGCTCACTAGAATCCATGGCAGTAGTATTCTGTATGAGAGTCACCATATATCTCAACCCGTTCAGCGATCTGGGGCGTTCCTCTCAGCTCCCGTTCATTTATGATCATGTCACGGCCGTGGTTAAGCCCTGAAGGTACCCGGACCTTAACTTGGCTCTTTTATCGGGGCTTAGTTTTCGCCTTCTAACGGTTCCCATTGACCAGGATAAAAGATGAATAAAAAACTGACCCTGACAGCGTGGCTTGGAGATAGTCGTTAATCCGACCCTAATTCCGTCTTAAATCCACCCTAAATCATTTATATGATAAAATCACTGCTTTGGCGGACATAAAGGTTGGGAATGTAAAATATCAAAACCTCCTCCTGAGAGTAATAGATACCAATTATCCCTATGGACATGACCTCCACGAAATCCCTCCCTCACACCGGCTTCGGCCTGCTAGGAATGACCTGGCGCCCCTCGAAGACCCCTAATGAACAAGCCTTTGCAGCCATGAAGGCCGCTATTGCTGGGGGCGCAACTCTTTGGTCTAGCTCCTCTATCTATGGAATGCCCCCTGAGCCTCCTACCGCCGGTCTATGGCTGCTGCGACGCTACTTCGAGAAGTATCCGGAGGATGCACCCAAAGTGACCCTCTTCGTGCGTGCCTGCTTCGACGCCGCCACGCTGACCCCGCGGAACACGAGGGAAGGGGTGCGGTCGAGCTTCATCGAGTGCAATGAGATCCTAGGGGGAGTAAAAAAGATAGACATCTTCGGCCCCGCCCGTATGGACCGGAACGTCCCTCTGGAGGAGACGGTGGGGGCCCTGAGTGAACTGGTGGACGAGGGCCAAATTGGGGGAGTGGGTTTATCGGAGGTCGGGGCCACCACCATCCGCCGAGCAGCAGCGATGTGTCCTATTACTGCTGTGGAGATCGAGTTCTCTTTGTGGAGTACAGAGATGCTCACTAACGGGGTGGCAGAGGCCTGCAAGGAGCATGGTGTGACGATTCTTGCTTATGCTCCTCTGGGGTATGGATTCTTGACGGGACATGTCACGAAGCTGGAGGATATTCCTCAGGGAGACATTCGGCACCTGTTTGGCAGGTTTCAGCCAGAGGTATTTCTCACCTCGCCTCTTCTATCCCCTTCTCAGCCTCTCTCCTCTTTTTTCCCCCATAGATGCTGACAGTTGTGATAGAACTTCCACAAAAACCTGGAACTGGTTGAAAAGGTCGACACCTTTGCTAAGCAGCGAGGTGTCACCTCAGCTCAACTGGCTCTAGCATGGATTCGGGCTCATTCCAATACAGATAATTGTGGCACGATAATCCCCATCCCTGGGGCCACAGCGCAGTCTCGTGTCGAAGAAAATTGCCAGGTGGTCGAGATATCTGCTGAGGAGAAGAATAGGCTAGATGAGATTATCAAGTCGATTGAAGTTGTCGGAGAGCGGCAGATTGTGGGAATGAGTGACGAGCACCTCTGGACATAAGGGCCTGTTTAGTCAAGTAGCACCTTGAGTGTCCAGATACTTTAGGCAGTCAAATGGAGGTGTTATCTCTTAACAAGTAGTTTAAGGTGATCCCTATCATAGATACCAAGATTAATAGCACCGCGTAGGTCTACATTGATGTGCTAGAGACTAGATACACCTGTCCCATAATTCTCAAGCACGTAGTCAACGTCTTTGTCGCCGCGCCCCGAAAGATTGACCAGGATTCTTTCGGACGAAGGGCGCTGCGACGCCAATCGAATCGCGAACGCTACCGCATGCGCACTTTCCAATGCAGGGATGATTCCCTCAAGTTTTGCCATGCGGAAAAAGGTACTGATGACTTCCTCATCGGAAATTGCTGCGACGGAAAGCCGACCGATTTGATGCAGCATCGCAATCTCCGGGCCGATGCCGGGGTAGACCAGCCCAGATGCCACGGACGAGACACTCGCAGGCGCACCATCATCTTGCTGCAACACAATCGATCGGGCACCATGCAACGTTCCCGGTCTGCCATAGGATAAGGTCGCCGCGTGTTGGCCGAGTTCATCGGATTTGCCCAGCGGTTCCACGGCGTGCAGAACGACCCCCGAATCCTCAAGGAAACCTGAATACATACCCATCGCATTCGAGCCCCCTGCAACGCAAGCAACAACATGCTCGGGCAAGCTACCATTCGTGATCGAAAGGAATTGCTCGCGGGCCTCTTGGCCAACTACACCTTGGAAGTCTCGAACAATCATGGGGAAGGGATGTGGCCCGATAGCCGATCCGATCGCATATAGCGCGTGGGCATGCTGCTCTACATATGCATTAAATGCGGAGTCGCTCGCTTCCTTCAAGGCAGATTGGCCAGTGGTTGCTGGCACTACGCGTGCGCCGAGCAGCTGCATGCGACCGACATTCGACCTCTGTTTACTGATATCGATCTCGCCCATGTGAACTTCACATTCAAGGCCAAAATACGCCGCTGCAGTGGCGAGCGCGACGCCATGTTGACCGGCCCCGGTCTCGGCAATCAGCTTCGTCTTCCCCAATTTCTTCGCAAGAAGTGCGAAGCCAACACAGTGGTTGATTTTGTGCGCGCCCGTGTGATTCAAATCCTCCCGTTTGACGAAGATCTGAGCGCCCCCGACCTCCTTCGAAATAGTTTCGAGATAATGTATCGGTGTCGGCCGCCCTTGCAGTCCGATTCGCACCTTGTTGAGCTCGCGCTGGAATTCTGGTGATTGACGCAGCTCCTGATAAGTGTTGGCCAATTCTTCCAGCGCCGGTCGAACCCCAGGCGGATAATGATTGCCGCCAAACTGACCGAAATACCCTTCGGCGTCGGGGTAGCTCTGGGAATAAGAACGTTCAATGTTTGCCATCATGACCAACCCTCTCTGAGACCAAGGGCGGCGATGGTTTATTCTTACGGTCGGTGGCTATTGAGATATACCGATTGGCGAGCTGGAATGCCAACTAAACCTGATCGAAACAACGGACGCTGGTAACGAAGAAACATTCCAACAGATACAAAAAGTCATGGAAACAAGGAGCATGAGTCCGTACCGAGCTTAGTCCTCTCCAGCCTGGGCGAAGGCTACATGCATGATGGAATAGCGGGGTTGTCTAGCACGATCTCCACGGTTTCATTATTTTATGTCTCTAGGTTAATTCGAGTCTAGAATCTGAATCTGAATCTGGAACTCTACAAGATTCTTAGAAGAGTTTTATAATTTTATACTACTTACTTACTTATTACTCTCAGTTACTACGGAATATGATATTTGACAGCCTCTTCACTAAATATCATCTGATCTACGGGCTTCCCCGCAAAACTAACATTGTTATCAGAATTCTGCCTGCTTCCTTCTCTTCATATTTAATATTATTGTATAAGGCTACCTAGTTAAATACTCTAGTAATTATAGAGCTGGGTTATTACAGAATATAAAATATCCTTTATTTTAAGTCCTTGCTCTGATATAAAAGGCCGTAGGAATCATAGAATATTCTAATTCCAGCTGTGTTATATATTGTTACTAAAGGATAAACTACAAGCCACTGAACAAAGCAAGGGATTTCAGCTTGTCTCTCATATGGCAATCAAAATATGATATATCAAATATATCTGAGTATACTCACATATATCCATCTCATACAGAGTAGACTCATACGACCTCAGCAACTTGGATAAGCAAGAAAACCTCGTATATATGTACCTAATCCATTAGCAAAATCCATAAATGATACCATTACCCTGCCCTAAACGCCCCTTCAATAAAAACCCACTACATACCATACCAGATCGCGGACGAAAAATTAAAAATTCAGATGGCTGGTAAAGGGCTTGAGGAAAGGAACCCGGAGTTCCGCTTGCTCTCCGAAAAGATGACAAACATAAACATCTGATTGCCGGAGTTCGGTCCTCCGACTTCCCATTGGCTACTGGCATTGTCTCCTCCACATTGCACAATTTAAGCTTAGCTTGGCCCTAGCATTAGTCCGCATTAGGGAGGTTCGGGCGGTGGAGATGGAAGGCGTTGGTGGGTGGGGATTTGTGTCGGGCTTTGTTTCTCTTCCTTTTCGTTCTGTCGGGGTGGTTCGGTGGGCCGTTCCTGGTTCCTGGGTTTAGTCTAGGGCTAGAGGGTTGGATTAGTGATCTGGGTTTGGGGGTTCTTTTATTGGTCGCGTGTGGTTATGGGGTTGAGGTTGATAGGTAGGTTCTGGACTGTGTACGGAGTACGGTAGCGAAAAGAGTGTCTTGTGTGATAGGTTAATGGGAGATGAATGTAAGTAGATATAATATGAAAGATGACGAGTGATCTGTATGAATATTTTCTATAGTATGAGTCCCAGAAGCTGTAAATTAATATTTACTTTGGTGGGAAGCCCACTAGGTTAATTAAAATAGTTCTACTAGCGAAGGATATTGGCCATTTTCAGCTACACGCCTGTCAAGCTTTGGTTGTAGGCAGAAGACGAGATTAGATATCACAGGTCAATTTGGATAGAAGCGCATTGTGAAGAATGCAGCGAGAATAACTAAAAGCGGTAAAGCGTGCCTGTTCATCCGCTGTCCATTGCTGTGTAAATTTTGTTATCTGTGGCCATTTTAAAGCAGCAACGCCAGAACGGAGATGCGACGAAAATGTACCTTCAAAAAACAGGCCACAACATTTTGTGGCCTTCCCGGCGTCACCCCGGAGTTAATTCGTACTTTAAGTTTAATGGATGTCTCATGTGTATTAGACTCTAATACTGAGATAGCAAGGTAGCTTTGAGGATTTGTGATGGAATCTTGTCATCAAAAACGTGGTGGTCCCACCGAGGTTAATCTGGGTCTGTTTAATTTTTGATCCTGTGTGGGTCCACATGGTAAGACACGCTCCATCGGTCCAGCTCCGGGATCCAAGTCTTTGGTTTGGTACAGAAAATTCATGTGGTTCTGGTTCTACTCTGAGTCATTGGGATGCAAGAAGAGGCAAATTCGTGGAATGAGTCAAGTGTTCATTGATTCAACGTGATCGAACGTGATTCGTATATACATTATCTCGTTATACTCGTCTCATCTGCTCTGCAGGTGCTATGACGCGTGCCCGCGCAAGATCAAGTATGTCCGACCACGGGTCAGGAACGAGAGATTAGTATTTATGTGAAAATAAACGAGAAAGGAAAATATTATAGTACAAAACAAAATTAGTAGTTCTCCTCCTTCTTCTTCTCGCCCTCCGGCTGCTGAGCCGCAGCTACGACATCATCATCGGCATCGAGAGCGTTCATCTGGTCTTCCGTGTAGTTCAGATGGCGGTACACGATGAAGAAGATGATACCCGCGAGGAACGAAGCAACCGCAAGGCCGACGAACATCCACATGATGGCGGGATCATAAGCGGCAGGAGTCAGGGCCTCAGCAATGGCGGCACCGAAGGCGTTGGTGAGGAGGTACATGGACTGCACAAACGACTTCATGGTTGGGGGTGCCTTGGTGTACGCGTACTCAAGACCGGACACCGATGCGAAAATCTCAGAAAGACCGATGAACACGTAGGCAGGGGTCTGGATGGCAATGTGCACGTGGTTGCCAGTGGTCTGTCCGTTGACGATGGACGCGTCACAGCCAGGGCTCTCGTAGCAGGGTCCGGCAGAGTAGATGAGATGCTGAACAATAGCGGCGTACATCATGGCCAAAGAGGCGACGATGAAACCCAGAGCGATACGGGTAATAGGGCGGAACTGGATGTGGAACCGACGGAGCACGGGGTAGACTGTAAGTTCCAGAACCGGGATGAAGACGATAATGGAGATGGGGTCGAAGTTCTGCATCAAGTCGTTGGGAACACCATGACCCTCCATCTGATCGGCCTGAGTGACGAAGTTACTCGAGAACTGACCGTAGACGACCCAGTAGATGGGGTAGAAGGCGAAGACTTTGCAGGCAACCAGGGCACGCTTGAGCTCATCGATGAAGTGGTCGTCCCAAGGTAGGTTGGTCCTTGGGTTGCTGCCACCATGCTCGGCCTGCCAGGTGGGCTTGGGTGCGTCCATATTACGATTGACGACCATAATCCACAGCGCCTTGAAGGCGTTGGTGATGATAGAACCCTGGGGAGGGCGGACGACGTAGTACTTGCGTCCGATGATAAGCACGCAGGAACCGCAGGCGAACATGCACAGACAAAGCAGATAACCAGACCAGTAGCCGATATCTCTCTCCATGTAAGGAGTAGCCAGCAACGAGAGAGAACCAACGTTGATACAGCCGTAGAAAATCATGTAGATACGTTGAATAGTCAGGGCAGGATCAATGACTACCCGCTCGCCAGTCTTAGCGATGGTTGTGATAGCCATCTTCTTCCGCTTGTATTGGTCGGCAATCTTCATGGATGTCAGCATGAGTCGGCATCCAAAGATCGTAGGTGATTACATACCAGAGGGGCCACGTTACTCTTGATACCACCAGTTCCCAGACCAACGATCAGGATGGCGACGATGAAGCCTCCCAAACCAGCACCATGTTCAAGAGACGAGGGAATCGAAGTGCACACCAGGATGAGCAAACCAATCATATAGATAATGGAGAAGACAACGATGGTCTTGTATTTTCCAAGATACTGATCGGCAACAATAGCACCAACAATGGGAGTGACGTAACACCAGAACTGGTTGAAGGTGGTAAGACCAGTTGCACCCTGATGACCGAGGCCTAGAGCACCACGTCCTTGGCTACCATCCAGAGGAAGGTTCGCGTAGTTCTGGAACAAACCGCTCATACCGTAGTATGTGAAACGTTCGCAAAGTTCGACAATGGCGACCAGCCAGGCAGAGACGGGCAAGTTCTCGGCAATATGACGCAGGTTCTTGATTTCATCTTGTGTGGGCTCTTCGCCATCCGGGGTAGGCCCCAAAGCCTTTTCGTTCGCCTCGAGGCCGTCCTTTTCATCGATTACATGTGTGGCATTGTATTGGGCCTGTTGTCTGCATGGAGGTTAGTCGTGAATGGAGGAATAAGATGAGTAGTGGCGAACACGAGTGCAGCAAGGACTGAGGAAGACGGAAGAAGACACTTACTGAGTCACCTCAACATCACGATCTGAAGACATTGTGAAGGAGACCAGGCGAAAAAAAACCCCTAGAAGCAAGAGGGGATAGTTTTGCGGGACAGGAATTCGTCTCAACGGTTGCGCACGAGGTCAAGAACTCAGGAAGGAAATGAGAGCCACCTTATATTCCCCGTTCCTAGTGGGAAAGCCTGGTCTGGGATCCGATGCGGGACCGTCTTATCATTCGAAGCGACCTATGCGATCAATGAAAAGCTGGGAGGCTCCATCGCCGGCAAAATTACGGCGAGAAACCGATGGAGGGCACGATGGGGAAGGGTTAGCGTGCCCTCGGATGTAACCCCAAACGAGAGATGCGAAGATATGACAAGAGATGACAAGAACGGTTAAGCATCCGTCGAGGATGCCGGAAATCCTTGTGATTGGCTCCTTGGCGCATTCTCGAAGCCCGGCACAAGATCACTGACCAGTCGGAGTTTGCCGCCCAGGCGAAAAAAATTCCGTTTCAAAGAAAGTAAGAGTAAAAAAAAAAAAAAAAGTAAAAAAGTAAATGAAAAAAAAATTAAAAAAAAAGCCTGTCATGTTCTCGATTCAGCAGAAGAAATGTTTTTAAATTTTTTTGTCTTTTTGCCCCCTTTCGTGATCGCACACACAATGCATGATGCAGGGATTTTTTTCCTTATCAGCACCCACACTGGGGGCGAACACTGTCGCCATTCTTCGGTCAGCAAAATGTCTTTGATCAGCTCCTCCCTCGGGTGCGGCACGCGCCCCCTAGTCTAGTTTGATGAAGCGTCTTCAATTAACAACCGTCGAGCGCCACCGGTATACCCGCATTCGGAAATTTTGTTAGGTAACATAAACCCATTCTGAGGAGTTAACAAGAGTCGATTTGCCGTGCATGTTGGCAGATAAGCACAGTACATATTATTCGTAAACACGACAGACCAGGTGTTCGGACTTATCAGCGACTCCCAATCATCCCATTGTCGGCGGTTCACCCCGCGTGATGTCCGGTGGTGGACCCATTTGAATGTCGTCGAAGTACCCAGACGGGAAGTGATAACCACTGTCGATGCAACACATGGACGCTGAGATACTGTGCGGTAAATAATTTTCCCCAGTTCACGAAGTTTATTGCTCATGTCGTAGTCGGACTCCGTAGCAATGCGATGCTACCCCAGAAAGGCGGAGGGATGGGGGGAACCCAATCCTTGATCGATCGACCCATCAGCCATGTAAGTTGCGCATGGCACTTGACCAATCATCCCAACTATTGTTGAGTAATATCCTGATTCTAAGTCGGGGTTGAATCCGTATTCCATGCCCTTATGCTGGCTGGGGTAGCTAGCCGTCGACTAGTAGTAGGCATCTAGGGAGGTGGTCACGATACTGGAAGGACGATAGGCGGAGTTCCATCGGGAGTCCGGCCGGGTCAAACCGCCAGGGCGAGCTCATTTCGCTTGGTGTTGGTTTGGCATCGTCTGAGGGTCAAAGACAATGGTCGGTGTTTAGTAAGTAGTGGAAAGCATATCTGTGTCATGAAAACCAGTCAGAGTACAATCAAAACACCATTATTAATATCAATAATATCTCCCTCCATTAAGGAAGATAATAAAAGAAAATAAGGGAAAAAAATTAAATCGGAAAAGGTCAGCAGTGACAACCAAGTCAGCCTCCAACCTAGATCGGAGGATAGCGGCCGATGAGATTAAGTACTTGAGCCTTGACGCCTTATCGCCCAGGCCGCGCCTTCCGACTTCGCTCTCCCATTTCTCCAAATCAATCCCACCCAATTCGTCACCGGGGCTAACATCTTGGAGTTTAGTGGCCTTACCTGCACAACAACCATTCAGGGACCTCGCTGCTTTGTCCAGGCTCGTCTCCGGCTGAGGGCGTATCCGTTTCCATGCATCCCTATAGTCATCCTGGCTCCGTCGACTGGCAAGAGCGGCGATCTCCTTTAGCCGGAATATTCCCGTGTCTTGTTTGATACAGTCTGACGCGATCGGTCGCAACGCTGGAAGTGTATTTCCTGGATTGAGGGGGTGATCCTCCTTTTTATCTTTTCCTGCCGTTAGGTTCAACCAAGAGCTCGCTTCCCCTCATGGGGAATTGAGCGGCGCAATAGCAAGCCTGTGATGCCGTTAGCCCTATCTGGGCGTTCTTGACTTTCTTGGCTGGAGATAATGACTGGGCGGTAGGAACTTGGCGTTGAATGACGAGCTTGGTAACCTATCCAGACGTTGAAACGAACTGAGTTTTGACCGTGCGGTTAACGCCAAAAGATGCTGGCCCTGATATAGGTCTCGTGTCCAGTATGGCTGGTCCCATGGTGGCTTTTGTCTTCGGATCAACTGTGACTATACTCCTCTGGGTGGTACAATTTGAGGAACCCCTAGGGTCAAATAATCCTAGCAGACTATAACTACACTGGCTTGATTGGGTTGTCGGCATTGGTATACTCTATCTAGGCTTGAGAAACCTGCATATACTCCGTGGATATACGGAATAATCGTGCCTTGAATGGCTTTCCCATTCCGATGATTACCCATTAGGTTAGCAAAGCACTCACTTAAAGCGATATGGCTTTATCGAGCTTCCAGGAATTCGACGCCTATCTCGAAACTATCCAGTTACAGACAGCCTTTATTAACTCCATTGAGTCATGCTGGGTCCACCACTCCACGAATCGGGGTAGGACAGCAGTCTCTTTGACCAGTAGATCAATTAGGTTTAGTAAATGCCGTCCCGGAGTTCTGCTGCATGTCCGGTTGTTCTCATATTTGGGAGATAATGGAATGCGAGAGCTAAAAATTGCACCATTTAATCCCAATCTACTGTCACATTCGCGGGCCCGTATGGATTTGGAGTAATACTCTCTTGTTGGGTTCCCCAATTTTGTTTCAAGTCTGTTGGAGTAGTCTTGTTTACCAACCGGGAGATATGAGTATATATCGGCCGAATAAGATTTCTACCAGCATACTAATATGCCAACATGCGCCTACTCTTCCAGAAAGCGATATTTAATGGGCGACCTATGCATGGATTAAGACATATATCGGCCAACATAATATAGATAACTCTACTCAATAAATTCTATAGGAATTCTTCAAGCCCAATGATCTATATAACACCCTAATGCCCCTAAGCAGGCCCCCTAGCATCCAAAAACCACTCCCTAAACTTCACCAATGCCTTAAACCGATGCGAAAGTCCATTCTATACCGTCAGCACCCGTCCTCACACTATACCATAAATACCATCGGAAACAAGAAAACCTACCTTCTTGCCAACCTCCATCTCCGCCAACGTTATCCCCTCCCCCTCGACCTCAAAAATCGGCTCCCAGCCTACCAACATCAAGATTAACATTAACAAGCCACTCAATCGAGAAGTAATCCTTACCAAAAGATGAAACGCCCCTGGCCGGAACGATTCGTCCCTTAATTAGTCGAATTTAGATGCCGAACACTAGTAATTACACATGACGTTGAATAAAAGTAACATACCTGCAACCGACCCTGGAATAGAAGAGGCTCATGTCCTGGTCCCGGGGAATACCCGAACGTACATACTGCTTCGGCGGTTTTATTGTCGAAGGCTGAGAGGATTTTGTTAAGGCCTTCGTTGCCTATTGTTTCCACGAATGCTTTGCTTTATTATATACATGGTTTGGTTAGTTCCTTGTTCTCTCTCCTTACAGACACACGCATACAGAAAGCAAAATATCTACAGCCCAAAGTACAGAGGCGAGCAGAGACAAGTGGGAAAAAAAGATACATACACATAAGCCCCAGGCAAGCCACCCAATGCGCGCATCTCAAGCGCCGAATCCTCAACCAACACCGGCCCTCCTATCTACATTCCACGGACACCAATTAACGCCATCATTCAAGATACTCACTCGGTCCCTTTCCAACCTGAGCCGAGTGGTTAAACATTCAGCAAAACAGTTGATCCATTATCTTACAGTTTCAGCTGCCACACGACATTTCTCCCGTGTAATTTCTTCCACACTGCCCTGGATCTCGGGGAGATTAATATCGAGGACTTCGAGCGTGACCGTGGGCCCCAAAATGGCTTTTACTTCTAGGACTTTGTTTCTGTTCCCTGTCACGAAGATCAGGGGGGTGTTGGATTCGGTCATTTTGGCTGTGAGGTTGGGTATTGATTTGAAGGTTCTGTGAGTGGATCACACAATTCCCATCTAATCTAGATTGATTGATGGTGGATTTTGGTCATGTGATTATGTTCATTGGTTATTATGCCTTTGGGAGACGAGAAGAGCTGAGGTTTAGATGGTGATTACTTTGAATTACGCTAGACTACTGGGATTGTCTCTAGGAACTTGAAGTTATTTTGGTCGATTAAATGAGGCAGGTCGAGGAGACGTGGTTGTAGTGACAAGGTGCGTGGATCGCTGAAAATAAGGTGTTTTCGACAATGCCGAGTCAATACCGAACACGGTAATTCCAGTCCGTATTCCGGTTGAGGCCGTGACTCACAGCAGGGTTCTTTGCATCGCGAGATCGGAGTGACAGGCGGATGCCTTAGGCCATCATCGAGAGTTGGTCAAGTTGACACTGGAAAAGGTGAAACACGCATGACTTATACTTTTGCATTCTGAATGTTTAGGTCGAAAAGGATCAAAATCCAACGTGGTCAACTTTCCCATGAGATTAAGAAGCCGGTACTAACTAACCCGTCAAGGAGCGCAGAAAAAAGGGATGTCCGGTGTTCTGATACTGCCTGATATATGTACCGAGCAAGCATTGACAGAAGAAGGCAAGGTGTAAAGGATATGGCTGACCATGATTTCAATTAGTTTTACTCATTATCTGTATCCTTGGCCGTCCCCTCATAACAAAGCAATCCCACTTTTGTGCAAAGCAATACCCTAAAAGAGAAACCTCTTCCAACATCCAACTTATACACAACACTAGTATTCACGAACGTACGCCTCTCGCACGCGATCGCCTTTATGACACCAGACTTTCCACTCCCCGATCTCAAATTGGACAGAGGCTTTATCCTTCCGACCTGCAGGACCCTCCAGAATAACATTCATTGGTCGGTAGGTTGTGTCAGCTTTCATCCGCTCAATTGCAGAGACGTGGATCTGCGCATATTTCGGAACGTCTCTGCTCCTTCCCCGATGTAGTGGCCACCGAGTGGGTTTCCACGAGCCATCGACCTGGAGCACCATACGCCGGAACGGTATATGCTCCATCAGACGCCAAAAGCCCGTTCCTTCACCCGTTTCAAGACTATCATGCAGTACGCCTTTTGTGCTCGAAAGGTGAAGGGACGTGTCAAGATCCGCGGAGCTGTCCCGAGCCAGCTTTTCGCTGATTTTGCCCACAGTATCAATTTTATGTTGCTTCTCGATACCCACGAGCATATCGAGCTTTTCTTTGTCGAAACGAAGCCCAGCGCGCTGCGCTTCATGCACCATCCAAACAAGTGGCCCATGGGACAGCCTCCAAGCTTCACCTTCAGAAAAGTCCCAACCTCCACCCACGTCTGCATGGCAACCGGGGAACCACACTTCCTGAATATCTTGCTTACCTGAATCACCACCTCCCTGGCCACAGGTTGTTGAGCCTCTATAACCCCATGGCCATAGGCGTCGATGAATCCTGAAATGGTACTCCTTCTTGGGTTCTATGAGGACCGGGTAAAACTTGACCCTGCGTTCGTCGATACTCAATGCATGTCTAATGATCTCAGAATCCGGCTTCACTTCAGCGTTGACCTGAAACTCGGCGGTGCTGTTGACAGTATCAAATAAACCAAGGAAGTGAACCCGATCTACTTCGCGACAAACCGTTTCTCTGCAGGCCGTCAAGAATTTCGATGTTTTTTGACTTTCCTCCCGTTCTAGTTGGTTTTTGGCCCCAACCGTCAATTTGTAGGACGAAAACGCCTCCCAAATGAAGGGGATCATCTCTTCGTTATCGGCGGACAGCAGCCCGGCGTGGTCCAGCATCTCGTTCAAAAAGCGAGCCGTGTATGCTCCTCGAGAAAATCCGAAGATATAGATCTGGGAGCCGGTGCGATAATGTCGCATGAGGAATCTATACCCCCCAAGGACATGCTGGTCGAAGGATACAGCCAAGGCCGAGTCGACAAGCTTGCTGCTGAAGAGCTTACTGCGACGTCGCAGAGGGTTGCTGCTGAGAGAGGTCGGAGAGATCTCGGTTCCAACACCAGCTATTCCGCAGTTAGTACATATTTTACAAGGGCAGCAGAATGGGCTGTGGTACGCTGATAGTAGCAGTCTGCACTCAATGTTAGTACACCCGTACGTCTGCACAGGAGGGGGTGGGGAACATTCATAAGTTGTCATCGTCACGCTTGAGCATGCGGAAAATCTTTAAGATATTACTTTCGGTGCCATCTGCCTGGAAGGTATTGGACGTGCCATCGAAACATAGGACGATGACACGCTCCGCACGTTTTCTATGCTCGGGCAAGGACATGGTCAACGCGTAATAGATTAAAGAGTTTTAGACGAATTATATCTTTAGTAACAAAATGGGCTTCTTGGAGGTTATCCAAGAACACAGTTGGAGTGAGATGGGTCTGTCCCTTATAAGGTTTTCAGGTTCGCTTTCGTGGGCTAATTGACCTCTCTTCCTGGCTCGCGTCAAAGCTCGCGTTCTCCGCCCCTTTCTAGGTGTGATAATGTCGATCAATATTGAGCTGAGGGTTCGATCGACGCCCCACAGTTCGTAGGCTAGCTGAATATCTGCCCAACCAGCGCTTGAAAACTGCTGAGTATGAAGGGACACGAGGGATCTTCCATCTCCACCATGCACATCCCTCCTTTTTTTTTCCAAGCCAAGGAGTCCTCATTAGACTTTTCGTATTACTTGATCATACATTGTGGTTTGCCAAAGACCAAGCGCCAGATCTGGTTGGTCTGATGAATCCTCGAGAGGTTCGAAGAAAGTTGTGACAGCGACGTGCATAGCATAGTATAAAACTTTGTTTTGGTGCAGTGACATCACGAGCTCTCAAAACATCCAACTTCCACATGGATCATACCTTTGAAAATTACGCCGTAATATCCGTTCCCATTTATGTTTCGATTGCCGTCAATTACGTATTAAAACAGGCGTTATTTTAGAAATCAAAAGAGTCAAGGCCGTATAGTGTCATTGTTCCTGGAGAGATTATCATGGTAATAGTAGTGCATGATTGAAAATTGTATACTCCGTATGGTCCATGCATTTGAAACCCACCCACCAGCTGTGTGGCTTTTCTTCCACGGATCTACCCGTCTATTGTTATTTTACATCCTCCGTACCGATTTGTCATCCTACTGAAGGATACGCTCCATGCGTCAAAGTTGTTCTTGAACAGCTATTGGTCTCTGAGGAATAATTCGAAACAGATTCAAACCCATGGTTGAGCTCTCACTGGGTTGTCCGGCCATTAACATACCTACCATCACCGTCGAGTCATAAACCAAAGGGGGTATAAAAGCCGTCATCGATGCTCTTATAAGACTGACAATCTTAGCAGTTTCCATTAAGTCCAAGTCACTCTCCATTGACGGATCATAGATCTTCGCATCCCCTAGAATCTACCTGACAATATCCAGCTTCTGAGTCTAATAAATCATCCAAAATATCATGTTACGTCCCATTCTATCTTTGATTCGATAACCAGTCCCATTCTAGTTCATTATCCTCCATACTATGATGAACCGCTGCAAAATGCAAAGCAGTACAATTTCTTAACGAAGAAGATGTCGATATATCCGCACCATTCTCAACCAGGGACCTCGCCATAGAAACCCGATTCTTCGATGCAGCTAATGTCAACGGGGTCCAGCCGTAACTGTTCATATCATTGATACCAAGGCCACTGTTGCTCAAAGTCTACTTTACTTTGTCGACCTTTGCTGCTTCAGCTGCGCGGTGCAAAACCGAAGTACCTGTATTACTTCTGGTTTTGATTTCTGTACCTTCACCTACAAGAGTGTTTGCCCCCGGTAGGTCAGTCCCACGCGAGTTTATGCAAGAGCATTCCATCGCGTTCATCTCGCTGATGCACATTGGACCCATCTCTCAGCAACGATAAAAGGCTCCGGCCATTGTTGTTGTCCGCTGTGTACCAAATCGGCAGCTCTCCTGCCCAAGTGGCCGAATTCACTCCAGCTCCTTTCTTAATAAGATATTTCACCACAGACTCGGCGTTTGAATTTCGAGTCCTCGCCGCATAACGTACAGAGATGATCCAGTAAAGTCCTGAGGCGTTCACACTCAGACCCTCTGAAATCAGCAGCTTCACGTTATCCAACTGCCCTCCCTCGGAACTATAATGAAGCGTGGTCTTCTCTTCAAAGTTAGATCTAAGTCCTGCTCTTGGGGCTTCCATTGAGTGAGAATGTAGTAGAGGGCTCGTGAGTTGTTGTATCTAGCTGCGACATGGAGCTCTCCCTCGATAAATTTTCTCAGTCAGGAGGTAACATCATCACATACCATGGTTTGGCAATGAACCCCCCAATTCCAAACGTCCACGCAAAAAGCGACCTCTTCATTCCAGCACAACTCTTCATAAACACTCCCTTCTACCAGACTACTCCGCTTCAGAAGCCAAACACAAGACCAAGAATCCACCAACTACCAACCCCCCAATCCTTCAAATCGAACAACAAATCGCCCATAAGCCAACAATTACCCAACGCAGCCCACCCCTTCATCAAGTGCTTGTTTCCTTCGTGAATAATTTGATCAAATCCTTTTTGCTGCGATAAACTTCGAATGGCAAACGATATGTCAAGGGAGGTATGGCCGAGTCCTGGGAGATATACATACTTCAAGAACACACATATGGGATATGAGATTGAAATAAAGGATGAAGTTACTCATCTTCTCCTTGTATTGCTCGATGTCGTTGCTCGCGTGCAATAATGCAGAGAGAAAGCTACATGAATCCGTTCAGTCCTTAGCGGCTCTTGAAGGTACGTTAGATGAAAATCGTCGTCGCTGTTTTTATTCAAGGTGATGTGGGAGATCAATCAATACGGGATATGTGAGGGTCAGGATTTATGGAGATCTTGCTATTTTCATAGGTAGTTCTTAGAAGCCCTTTCTCCCTGCTCTAGATAATCCGGTCTTCCTAGGCGTTAATATCGTTTGTACTATGGTTAATGTCTTGGTACTTTAAAACTCTCCATTTCCAGCGATCATGGTCGATATACAGTTGGAACAGTTGCTAACGTGATGATTTCGTTTAGTACATTATGCGCTGAAACTTCAATAGTTCTGTAGGGGCAGTGATTTCTCATTATACGGTCACCAGCTTAGATTGCTCAGATGTACGAGAAGCTCATGTGCTCACGTATTTCCGATATGCTCTTAAGCTGCTAGTTTGTACCCAAAGTTTACAGGAAAGAGACGATTGAAAGCATCCAGATTTGCATTAGTATAATTACATTGCCTTGCACCCACTTCGCCATCTTTCTCAACCCCAGAATCAACTAGGCAAAATATAAAGACACAAGTATGTTCTATCATTTCCAACCCGCAACAAGCAACTAGCGCACTGAATATAGCCGACATGGTGGAGCCATATCAGGTAACCATCGTTAGTGTAAGTGAAACCATTAGATGGTGGAAGGGAATCTCACTGACCAGATTCTCTTCAAAACAAGGATGTCCCAGGCCCGACCCAACCACCCAACCACCGGGACCCGGGAAGGCTAGATGGTTAGTGCTGCGTGGTTAGTACTCCAGGCCCGCCCAACCTACCCAGCCACCGGAACCCGGGAAAGCTAAATGTTAGAGACGGTGAGAGAGCGAGGAAAGGGGGTCTATCAAGCGTGGTCAGTGAGAATAGATTTGGGGAAGAGGAGCATTACTTACCACTTGTACATCGCAGAATCCCAACGGCCAGCGGCTCCGGAGCGAATTCGTACAATGCAAAGCTACACATGCAGAGATGAGGGAGGTGCAGGCGTAGTGGAGTGTAGAGAGCGAGGAAAAGGGGGGGTGGCTAATAAACACAGTCAGCAAGACCAGTGCGGAGAAGGAAGAGGAGTGTCACCTACAGCTTCTTGCGCCAGCAGAGGAATTCCAATAGTCTGCAGCCTGGAGGAATCCATGCCAACGGAAGCCTTCTATGGTGCAGAGGAGGGGAGAGGAAATGATCGTGTTGAGGAGTGTAGAGAGCGAGGAAAGGGGCCTAGCAGACACAGTCAGTGAGAACAACGCTGAGAAGAGAGGGGTATGACTTACAGATCGTACGCGCAGAATCCGAACGGCCTGAGGTCCTGGAGCGAATTCATACGACATGCGTCTGGAGGGGGCAGAGAAGGGGAGGAGAAGTAGGAACAACCATGCAGTAACGTCCAGATCCTACACAAAGTCGGGCCCGACACCTAGCCGGATGGCTGATCATCGCACTTCCAGTTCAGCGCACTGAGTAAAGTGGACGGATGTGTCGTTGATCGGCCATCCAGTCAGTTGTAATGATCTGGTCGACGCTGTTGAGGCTGTGAAAGGAGAAAAGGAAGAAGGTGAGGGGGGGGTCGTGTTGAGGCTAAGATGGAAGAAGGAAGGTAAAAAAGATTGAAAGAGAAGAAAAGAGGAAACAGAAGGGAGGCGGTGGGTAGCAGGCAGCCTTCATTCACAGTGGTGACGGCCTGTTGACGCGATGTGTCGTGGAAGAGCTTGAGGGCAACAGTGAATAGTATCCCGGTTGCCCTTTGTGGAAAATTCCCTTCAGGTCATTATGCAGGGACGGCACATCCCAGAAAACGAAACAGCCGAGTAACGCAAGGGCAGGTCACAAGGAAAGCGAGTGAAAGAAGTTTTTTAAGTCAAAAGGTATATTTTCCATTGCTAATGCACGGTATCTATAGAGAAGACTCGCATCAAGACGGACTAAGGCACAAAACAGCATAATCAAGAGAGCAGGCACAGAGCATGAAGAAGCAGTTTGAAACACTTTTTTTTCTGTTTTCCTATCAGAGATTCCCCTTGTCCAGCCATAAGAAAATGAAGAAGACAGTAGTCGAATAGCAAATGGTATAAACCTCGTCATACGTACGGAGCAGATACATGCCGTCGACGTCTACGATCATCATCACTGTAGAGTCCTAAGCGAGAGCGGGGCCCCAGCCAGTATCCTTTCCTTCATGATAACCCGTCGTTATTGGCCATGATCATAGATTCTTCCATCGTCTCGTAACAAGAGAAGCGGCATTCATGTGGGATAGATCGTAAATAAGAAGCGCCCGATGTCGGAAACGCTTCAAACAGTGTACTTGGCCTTCGCCCTCGTGCTACCACTGTGTGCACTGTCTGTGTGTCCAGAGAACTCCACAACGTCTGCCTCGTTCAGACGCAGGACTTCCTTAAACCGGCGGCCGATGGATTCGAGAACATCCTTGCCCTGGGCAGGTGTGCGGGCATTCTTGTCTCCCGGAATACTCTTGCCCACAGTCCGTGTCCACAAACCGACACGGTAGAAACCTTTACGCACATTCACAACGACTCCCATAACCTCGCTATCCCCATCGTTCTCGAGAGTCTCACCAATGGCTGCCAGTTGGGCGTGCAGCCACAGGTCATCGATCGGTACGGAACGCTTGTCTTTGAACGAATACGACCACTTGCCGCCGTGCTTGTTCTGAGGATCTTCCCACTCAGGCCGGATACCCTTCTTGAAAAGGTGGTAGTCTGCTTTGAGGCCCAACTCAGAGGTCGGTGTGATGTTGTTCTGATGATAGTAACATGGGTCAGCCATCGCCGAGTTGAGAGATAACAGGAATGGAGCATACGTAAATTCCCCAGAATTCCTCAACCGAGTTGAATGTGACAACTTCCTTCAAAAGGTCGTTCCAGTTATCGCCCTGTGAATGGGGGGGGAAAAAAACCGTTAGTGTTGGTGGTCTTCAGGCCACTGGCGAGTCAGACTGCGTACCTTGCCGCTAGGAGGCTTGGTGAACCACAGGGTCCACTCGTGCATAAGAGGGTGCTTCACGTTGAAGTTCTCAGGGTCATGGAACACTGTGATGTTGTCGCCATTTGTCTTCTCGGTCTCCTCTTTCTGCTCGGGGGCGGCAACGCCGGGCGCGGTGTTCTCGTCGTTCACCGGTACGGGACCGTTTTCAGCGACAGCGGCCATGGTGGATGTGAAATAATCGAGATTAGAGAGAAAATAAAGCCAAGCGAAATTATAGGAGTGACGTTGCGGTGATCAGAATGCCGAGAACGTTGTCGGAGGGGTGAGGAAAAAGTCTCGGTGGGTGAAGGCAAATTTTGTGTTTAAGGTGGGAAAAGCCGACAGGAAAGAGCAACCCGGATAAACTGGGGCAGTATCGAAGCGACTCGTGCGCGGCGGTCTTATAACTTTAATCGTCTGCTCCGGGCAGAACCACGGTGTCTATCGTCTTTTAATAGGGGCGTAGGTGAGCCTGTGGAAGGGACGATATGAAGTTTTGAAGCGTTTGGAGATGCGGCAGCTGGACGACAGTGCCACTTTACCCGTTTGGGCCACGGTACCTTTCTAGGCCTCTTATAGGCTGATGCGGCACTCCCCCAAACCCCAGCCCTAATAATCGATCTGATCAATAAGTCAATGCGGACTGAAGACAAACCGATCCATTGAATCTGACAGGAACAAGAAAAGAAGTTTCTAATTATAAATCTATGTACCCGCAAAGAATAGCAACAATAATGGTCACTAATCCGCTTTGATCCAAGACGTCTACTTTGTACCCGAAATGTTCTAGATGTTGCGCCCCAAATTTTGAAACAAAGAAAAACAAGTCCTAAGAGATACAGAGAAATGAAGAAAGACCTCTATGACCCCGGAACAATTCCAAGAAAGTCTTCGGTGTATCAGCTATACAATCAAGGGGTATCTCTAAACGTAAGGTCTCCAAACAATTGGAAAAAAAGGGATATACTTATTGATCGCCGCTATTGATCATGCTCAGGAGGCAATTCCAACCTAAAAGTAATAGTGTTAGTGCTATACAAAACCTTTCCCTGAAGATAAGTGACACATACCCAAGCTGACCAGGTTTACAACAAGCACACGATATTCCAATGGCACGATAGCAAAGTTGACGCCCTGAACCAGAGGCCAGATGGTCAAATTGGCCTTGTAGCTGGGGAGGAAGCTGTTACGCCACTTCTCAATAGGGTCCGAGCCTTCCATGATGGCCATGGAGGTCAAGAAGCAGGTGAGGTGGGTAGGAGTGAATAAGCACTGGTCTGCCGCAACCCGGGCAACGATGGTGGCCTTGCTATTCTTCAGGACCACGTTGCGTTGGAGAAAGCCGTACCAGGTCGTAGCAGCGGGACCAAAGATAGCTGTTACGATCAGTAAAACAGACCACTTACCAAGTGGTAAATGACCTACCTCCTCCGTACAGAGCCATGCGACCGGTTCTGGCAAAGTCATGCTTCTCAAAACCCTTGCGATCAACTACCTGCTGAGCGAGCACATCACCGCTACCAAAAAGCACCTGTCGCAAGTCAGAAACAAGACGGATCATGAAAAACGGAAACACAATCATACAGCGCTGGTCACACTGGCTGTGAGAATGGGCTGCTTAGCCAACTTTGCCTGATACCTGGATTGAGAGATAAAGTTTTAGCGTCAGGAACCGGACGGGATGTGGTTGGGGGAGATATACCAACGAAGCATGCTGCCAACGAGGGGGACTAAAAAGTCAATTGGACTTGATAAAGCTCAATTGAGTGCGGTGATGGCTCTCACAGGGAGAAAAATGTTGACGACGGAATGGGGGATGGGGGATTGAGGAAAAGTCTGGACAGGACAACAAAGAATTAATAGCTTGATAATAAACACATGACCCCCCAGACCGCCGATAAGAGTAGCAGGATCACGACAATCAGCGCCACCGCCCGCAGACTATTGGAGTAAAAATCTCCCAATGGGGGAAGTCAAAGTCACATGATACGAGTGTCAGCGGGTTGCCCAAACGGGTTCACCGCCTAGGGTATAGGGTTTCCGTGGGCTCGGTTAGCGCACGAAATTTCCGTGAGCCAAACAGTTGTGTGTGGATAGTGAGAGACGAAAGTCAACCTCGACGTCGACAACCCCTCAACGACACCCTCCCGTCCGTTACCTCTCCCCGTACGGTTCATTTTCAATCGCCATATATATCCAACATGGCTGACGCTGCTCCTCGTGGACGTGGAGGATTCGGTTCCCGCGGTGACCGTGGTGGTGACCGTGGCCGTGGCCGTGGTCGTCGTGGTCGTCGCGGCGGCAAGCAGGAGGAGAAGGAATGGCAGCCCGTCACCAAGCTCGGTCGTCTCGTCAAGGCCGGCAAGATCACCAGCATGGAGCAGATCTACCTCCACTCTCTGCCCATCAAGGAGTACCAGATTGTGGACTTCTTCCTCCCCAAGCTCAAGGATGAGGTCATGAAGGTACGGAACGAACTTTTTATCCGAAGGAAGATTGGACCAGTGGAATTCGTGTGGAAGCGCAGATCTTTCTTTTATGGTGGAGGAAGCGCAATTGGAATTTGATACACGATGGATGCGATTTGGGCGGATATTAGGGAAATTGCAAGTGGCAGCCGCTGACGGTTCTTTTTTTTCCCTCTACAGATCAAGCCCGTCCAGAAGCAGACCCGTGCCGGTCAGCGTACCCGTTTCAAGGCCGTCGTCATCATTGGTGACTCTGAGGGCCACATCGGTCTCGGTATCAAGACCTCCAAGGAAGTCGCTACCGCCATCCGTGCCGCTATCACCATTGCCAAGCTCGCCGTCCTCCCCGTCCGTCGCGGTTACTGGGGTAGCAACCTTGGTGAGCCTCACTCTCTGCCCGTTAAGCAGAGCGCCAAGTGTGGTTCCGTCTCCGTCAGAGTATGTCACGAAATGCGCGATTTCCGGAAATGAAGGTAGCATGCTAACCTACGATAGCTTATCCCCGCTCCCCGTGGTACCGGCCTTGTTGCCTCCCCCGCCGTTAAGCGTCTGCTCCAGCTTGCCGGTGTCCAGGATGCCTACACCTCCTCTTCCGGTTCCACCAAGACCCTCGAGAACACCCTCAAGGCCACCTTCCTTGCCGTCGTCAACACCTACGGCTTCCTTACTCCTAACCTCTGGAAGGAGACTAAGCTCATCCGCAGCCCTCTTGAGGAGTTCGGTGATGTCCTGCGCCAGGGCAAGAAGTACTAGATTATTAGTGCCGTGACGGGGAAATAAATTTGCATGATCGTTTTTTTTCTTGAACCATTTTCCTACGGGAATTCTACTTTTTTTTGGCTGTAGGATCGGAAAAGCTGGAATGAACTTTTTATCTCACGCTCTACTACGCTACTCACGGCCATGGATGTAATTACGGGAGGGACGACTTGAAAACGAAATAGCGTGAAGTGAATGAAAGCTTCCTTTTCGCCAGTCATGATATCCTGCGTAAAGGAGCAGGAAGGAGTTCATTCCGTAAATGTTCTACCCCGCAAATAGATAATTAAGATGCGGCACTCGAATAATCCTTATCCAGGGACTGATAAGTAAACCTTTGACGAAATATGTCATATATCAAATTTCTACTCAGTGGAGCCATAGCACTGGTCTATTGATTTGTGGTCAAGTGGGAACCACTGATCTTCAAAGGCATGGGATATCATCTCTCTTATAAAATGTTTATATGAGCATAGATGCTCAAGCAGAATACGTAGTAATATATTAAATTGGTTGGGTCAGTGACGACATTTGTTATGCACTGGTGTGGCGTAACTTATATGAAGGGTAACCGCAATAGATTTATATATATCCACATTATCCACATATCCGTGCCAGTGCATAAAGAAAGAAAACGAAAAGAAAGCACAGGAAGACAAACAAGAAAAATGAGTTAGTCTATTGTTTTCTTTTGTGTACTCACTCCGTTTGTATTAGAATAATACGCTGTCTAATAAATATCCATATTCAAAACCTTCGCGTCCTTAACGAGATATAATACCAAGCACGTCTAACCTGGCAACTATCCGCGATATTACAAGACCGCCACACCTTAAGCCAAACATGGCTTGATAAAATAACAAAAGTACAAGAAATTTCACCGAGGGGATGACAATGGCTTGAGGTATCCTACAGAAAGCTTCCTTTGACGTACAACTCTCATGATGTGACTGGTGATGCCGACAGCTCGTGGCGCAATAATGGTTGCGATGACCCTGGCCACCAATACTACTAGTAGGTACGGAGTATGTACGGAGTACATAACTTGAAATACTACGTTACATACCAGACTCTCTCGTAGTCACGAGCTTAGGCAAGCATTCGAAGAATTCCCCGGAGTCTGTTCGGCTTCACTGCTACAGAAGCACCTCCAGGCATCATGAGACGCGATGCGATGGTTGAAACCTATAGGAGAACGCGTATTGTAGCTTAGATTATATTTCTGCCCTGCACTTGGTAAAAAAAAAAAATAATAAATAAAAAATTGGTGTTGGTTGGTATTGTATGGGTCGTTCAAGCCAGACCCGAAACGGGAATGTCACCGACATAGCCTTGCCAAACTTCAATCTCACAACTTACTACTATATGATACTGGGGCTTATGATGGTAGAATAGTTAAGGGCAAGTCTAGCGCGGACAGCGATTTCATTACCCACGACAGAATCTTATGGTGTCTCTTGTCTGTTCGGTCCCGATGTCGCACTTTATCGTGTCCAATTTTGTTCACTCCATCTGAGCGGTCCCTTTCAGATTGACTATTACAAAGTAGTCAAGAGTGAATCGTCTCATACATTCAAGTTGGACACTAACGAAAATTCTGTTCGTGTCTGTGTTTTTCTAACAACGACTGGAGCTGCCCGGGCGCTCTCTGATTGGCGCACTGGCGAGCTACCACCGTGGGTTCAATTTATCAGATCATCAGATAAGGATTGATTTTGTCCCCCATGGCCCACTTGTATGGATCCCATTCATTTAGCCCAACCAGCCAAAATTGTCCGCAGTCCCTAAATTCTCCGTTTATACGCTTTTAATGCAAGCGAGGGTTGCGAGGAAATGCGGCACTTCAGAACCTGCCAATTACAGCCTTGCTTGGCAGACCCTCTGGCAGGAATCCTGCTTCACGATACCATTGCTCCTTACGAGTGGTGTATCCTCAGCAATGCTAAAGACTAGACCGAGAACTAGATCGGGAATTTGCTGCTTAGCGCTCTAGTCAAACGATGTTGGACGGAAATTCCCGACAGGATGGTGGCCTTCGATATGGGCTTCGGGCGGCATTCTCTCGGGGGAATTTGCTATTTAGCAGTAGATCATTCCCCCTTTGACGGCTGAATTCTTGCGCAGAGTTTTATTCCATTCCTTTCGCTCCGCCTGACAGCTTTTTTTCCCTGTCAAATCTTAGGGAGAAGTCTACCATGAAGTTCAGACTGCCCATTAAGCCGGATGAGATACCGGTGGACGAGAAGCGGCACCCTGATGATGATGATGAAGCCAACGTTACTCCACAGTCTGCATCCAAGGAAACGGCTACCTCCACCGTTGACCAAGCGGATGATGGCAAGAGTGATCTGGTTAATCCGGAGTTCCAGCATGGTGTGCAGAGCGCACAGGCCATGACTCAAGTCTGGTCCAAACAGCATTTGATTCTGGCCTACGTGATGTAAGTATCACGGAGCTGCATTCGGTGATTCGCCAACATTCAAAGCTGACGATGACATTGTCATTAGGATCTGGGTTATCTACTTTATTAAGAACTTCGCGTTCGGTATCATCGGTACATTGACTCCATATGTTACCAGCTCCTTCAAGGAACACTCGTTAACTGGCACTACCACCATTCTTTCTACTCTTATTGGCGGCCTATTCAAACTTCCTTATGCTAAGCTGATTGATATTTGGGGTCGTCCTCAGGGGTTTGCCTTAATGATCGCCTGCATGACCGTTGGACTCATCATGATGGCTGGGTGTAATAATGTTCAGACGTATTGTGCGGCTCAAGTGTTCTACTCGGTGGGATCCGCTGGTGTGGATTTCACCTTGACCATCTTCATCGCCGATACGTCGGCGCTGAAAAACCGGGCGTTCTGGCTCGGCTTCGTCGGTTCTCCGTACATTGCCACGGTTTGGGCATACGGCCCGGCGACGGAAGATATCTTAAAATCCATGGGATGGCGATGGGGTTTCGGTATCTGGGCTATTGTAACGCCCGTGATGCTGACGCCTCTATTCTTCCTGTTTTACTATAATCAGCGCAAAGCGCAGAAGGCCGGTCTGGTTCCTGAACGTCACAGCCAGCGCACTGTAATACAATCGATCGCTCACTACGGCAAGGAGTTCGATGTTATCGGTCTGCTCCTCCTGACTACTGGACTTGCCTTGTTCCTGTTGGCTTTCAATCTGTACTCCAAGCAGCCAGATGAGTGGAGATCTCCGCTGATCATCTGCTTCATTGTCATCGGCGGCCTTCTCCTCATCGCTTTTCCCGTCTACGAGAGATACATCGCTCCTGTCACATTCATCCCCTGGTCGCTGTTGCTCAACCGAACCGTCTTCTTCACCTACACCATGGCCGCCAGTATTTACCTAGCCTGGTATCTCTGGGACACGTACTTCTACTCGATGCTAGTTGTTGTCTTCAATCAAAGCGTCAGCCAAGCGACCTATATCACCAATATCTACAGCGTAGGCTCCTGCTTCTGGGCCGTACTCATGGGCATCCTGATCCGCTATAACGGCCGCCTCAAATGGCAAGCGCTCTACTTCGGGGTTCCTATCACCATCCTCGGCGTGGGATTGATGATCAAATTCCGTGAACCGGGCGTCCACATCGGGTATATCGTCATGTGCCAGATCTTCATCGCGTTCGGCGGCGGCACCTTGGTGATCTGCGAGCAGATGACGGTCATGGCCGTGTCATCGCAGCAACATATTCCCGCCGTGCTGGCGATGGAAAGCATGTTCATTAATATCGGCAGTGCGGTGGGCACTACCATCGCCACTGCGCTGTGGACGGGTATCTTTCCCCATAAACTGGCCGAGTATCTTCCCGCGGACGCGCAGTCTAATCTGGCGAATATTTATGGTGATATGACGGTTCAGGCGTCGTATCCTATTGGTAGTGCAGCGCGTGATGCGATTAACCGGTCATATTCGGAGACACAGCGGTTGATGTTGATTGCGGCGACGTGCCTGTATACGGTGACGCTGGCATCGGTGATGATGTGGAAGGATGTCAATGTGAAGAAGATCCAGCAGGTGAAGGGGCGGATTCTGTAGGTTGGATATGTGGAATGGTAACAAGACAGAGAAGAGGATGTCCGGTGTAGACGTGGGATCGCTGATATCCCGTCTAGAGTAGTAATGTTTGAAACAAAAGGGATCTAGGATTGAGGTTTGGACCGACGTTGATCGATCAAATGATCATCCAGAGAAAGAGAGGTGCCGATCCTATTTCTTCTGCATTCCGCATTCCTATATAGGCGTCGAAATCAAGTTTACGCCAACCGACAACCTGGATCAGATCACAATCCGCTATAAATAACCTCGCTGCATAGACCCCCTGGCCGAGTGGCTCTGTCTCTGCCAAGGCATGGGAACATGATCCAGAATGCCAGATCGACCGACATGCTGACCGTACTTAGTAGTAGAAGGAAACAAGGACGGTTGCAGTCGTGGCAAACAAATCAAACGGTTGCATCCTTTGTCCGACGTGACTTTTCCAGTCCGCGATTGGCTGCTTTGGATGCCGCACGTCGATGACGACAGAATCGAGGTCAGCATGACGAACGTCTCTCGTAAGTATTTTCTTTTTCCCTTTCATTCTTATATTTAGTTCTTCTTTATAACCCTTGAGTCCAGCTTTCATATCTATTGACACTTATCTCTTTTCACCCGTCAAGATCTTGATTTTAGTCCCAACATTGCGGGTGCTGTCACTTTAACTAAGCTTATCGGATACTAAACCTTGAATATACTTCAAGATGATCGATCCACCCGCCGAGATGATCGACTTCTTCGATACCTTCAAGACGAAGCCGCTGCCCGTGCCCACGACTACCCCGACGTCGGTTGCTCCTGTGCCCACCGTCCTCCCTGGCCATGATGCTATTTTCCAAGAATTGTCCAAGACCAGCCAACGGACGCTATGGTACACATCCCCCCTCTTGGTTTCTACTCGTCTAGAAACTAATCTTACAATCATAGGGTGGTCGTCGTGCTCATGGCCATATCCGCTATCGTCTTCTACATCCTCGCCTCCCGAGCACCCCTGGTAAGCCCAGCTAAGTACATGCACTTGATATCAAACTAAGAAGTACAGACCAAGCGAGTCATCCACAACCTAATCGCCATCTCCACGACAATCTCCTTCATCACTTACCTCGCCCTCGCAACTGGCGAAGGCATAACCTACAAACATGACATCTTGACAATCCACAATAAGCACGTCCCCAACACGCATCACGATGTCTATCGTCAGGTCCTCTGGCTGCGGTACCTCAATTGGTTCCTGACAAACCCCCTGGCCCTCATCAACCTTGCTCTCCTGTCCGGTCTTCCCGGTGCCCATCTCCTCGTCGCCATCGTCGCCGACTGGGTGATGCTTGGCACCGGCCTCTTGGGCACCTATGCCGGCCACACCCCCCGCAGATGGGTCTGGTTCACCATCAGCGCCATCGGCTACCTCACGACTGTGTATCACATTGGTGTGAACGGGGGCCGCTCGGCGGTGAACAAGGACGCCCAAACGAAGAGGTTCTTCGGTACTGTTTCGGGTGTGTCGCTTGTGATTAAGGCTTTGTTCCCTGTGTATGTTGTCTCTCTCATTCACCTTCTTCCTGCTGCGGGGATATATGAAGCATGCTGATGATCTATATAGCGCCATCGCAGCCGGCGCTCTAGCCCTCAAAATCAACATCGACGCCGAGACCATCATTTTCGCTATCCATGATATCTTCCTACAGGGTATTATCGGCTACTGGCTGATTTTCGCACATGATGCGGCACCCGGAATGTAAGTCTATTGAGTACTACTCTAATTTTTTTTCACCAAAGCTAACGAAACAGTACCCTCTCGGTTGACGGTTTCTGGTCCCATGGATACGGCAACGAGGGTGCCATTCGCATCACAGAAGAGGAGGGCGCGTAAAGCGATAACTTCATGCCTCCTGGTACAAGGACAATCCGATTCGCGCTTGAACTGGGGGAGATCGTGTTTCGTGAGAATGGCTGGAGGACGGAAGCGATATGACGTCATACTGATGTTGCACTACATGAGAATGAACGAATGATGGAAAAGTGGATTAGTTGACGACACTCGTTACGATGCTGTTATTTCGGGTTGATTTATTGTACAGAATCTGGGTCTGGTTTCTGTTTCTACTGAGTTGGCGCGGCTGATCTTCGTGTGAATGTGATGGAATAGGCTATAATAATATTAATAAATGAACGGGTATTCTGGTATTCATTTTACCTAGAAGCTCTTCAGATCAAAAGATCTAGTGTCCACATTAGATTTCAGTACAGAGTAGAACAGTTTAAACTGTCCCACAAGTTCCATATTCCCATATTCCCCATACCCCAGATCCACAACCCTACCTCGCCACCAACATATCCACACCCTTCACTATCCACATCATACTAAAACAAAATCAAACCAAGAGGATCTTCAAAGAACCCTAATCATCCGAATCTCCCCCCTCTCAACTACCCTCCCAACGACCCCCTTCCCAACCTCCCCTCCACTCTCCCCCGGCCAAACAACAGTAACACCCGCCATATCATCTCCCAACCAAAACCCAGCATCCACACACCCATCCCCAAACCGCACACACTTCAATCGCCCGCAATCAAACCACTGCAGGAACGGATCTGCATCGACCACGAACCCACTCAACATTAGCGTGCGGATCGATAGCCGGGTGCGTGTTCTCCCCATACCCATGCCGGCTACTTTGGCTTTTTCGATGACTATTTTGTCGAGGTATTCGCCCAGCCCGAGGGTTGGGTGGAGGGTACCTGTTCCTGTTCCACTTGGGTTTTCCGTTAGGACCTGGGTCTTCGGATTATAGGGTTGTAGATCATTCCAATGTCTGTGGTCCTGGGGTAAGGGTATATGTGGGATATATATGGAATAGACAAATGAACATACTAATAAACCGGTTCGCCGAGTCTCTCCTTGCTAAGTGTCCATCCGCCACGGATACAGGGCCATTTTGTCACATAATTCCGTCGTAGACGTGGGGCGAGGGCCATGCCGAGCTCCAGTTCTTCCAGGTGCGGGTTTAGCCAAGCTGCTTGCCAGATGTATTTCTGGTAGGAAGTCATCATGCCGGTTAATTTTAGGGTGCGCAGATGGCGGAAGTGCAGGAGGGGAGTTAGGGATATTAAAGGGAAGATTTCTCGTTCGTGTTCATGTTCATCGTCATCGGGGTCTTTTTCTTTAGGTACTTGGCTTGGTTCTTGGAGTTGTTGTTCTGTATTGATTGGGGTGGCTTCGGTGGGATGTTGATCAGAGTCTGGAGTTGAGAAATCAATGGGCCAGAACAAGTCTAGTCCTAGACTCTTCCTATCCCTCGCGAGAAGATCCCAGGTGTCGCCGCCTCGGAACTCGAGGATGGGATTTGCGGGGGTGGCCTGGTCGTTTGGGAGTAGGTCGGGTCGTTTTCGGGTGTTGCTTAGCCCGCGGAGGAGAGTTAGTGGGAGATGGAGGATAGATCGGGACCGAGAGCTCGAGCGTGGTCTGGCTTGGATTGGTTCCTGTGAGGATGTGGTTTGGTCTGAGGCGTCGGAGCGGATGGTTGAGCGTGCGCGTCGTCGACTTAGGTGAGTGCTGTGGAAAGGGTTGAGGAGGAGGGTGTCGCTCATACTGAAGCGGCGGCGGTGGTGCACTTCCGTGTCGTTTGGGTCGGGCATGGGGTTGTCTGGTGTTGTCGGTGTCGGTGTCTGTAGTTGGGTGTTTGGTTGCTCTTGGCCGAGGGTGAAGGGGAAGCGTTTATGGAGAGGTTTTTTCCCTTCTGTGGGAGGTTAGTATACCGTTTTTTCTGGGGATGTAGAGAGGGCACAAGAGTACCGGCTTCAATAGAGTCGTGGATGGGTTTGTTGTAGGCTTCTGCGTCGCGCCAGAAGGCGTAGCCTAGGAGCGTTGCGTGCCAGTGAGAGGGGTGGGTGTCCATTCTTTTGTGTTGGATTGTTTGTAGACGTATGGGAAGTGAGACGACTGTCTTGCGGAAGAAGAGGCAGCAGGGTTATATGTGGCAGTGTTGGGGAGAAGAGGATATTCTGCTGGCGCAAGAATCAGGTTGAAGAAGACTTACTGCGGAGGACTGGCATTCGGATCGAAGAGAGTGACGGACAAGCTGTGCAGTTCAAACACAGAGATGAGAGCCATGATGTTCTGTCTCGGTGTTGCTGCTCCTCTTCAAATTGTATCCTATTGCCCAGGGATTTAACCACATCGTGTCAAACTTGTCACTTGTACCCGGGTATTAGTATCTAGCAGCTATATCGGGATATTCTCCCCATATTCTCGGAACGGAGGCTACGTAGTAGGGTTGGGTGTCTCTCCACATATGACCAGCGTCAGGCTGATTGTCAGGAGTCACTCAATAACTGCGCAATTGGGTTCTTTGGCTACAAAGGATCTTGATAAGGTCCCTGGCTTCATTGTTCGTTGATCCAAAGAGACAAGTGTCCTGGATCCGGACAGAAGGTGCTAGGGCCTTTGTGCTGCACTGAAGGTCTAATGATCATAGTTAGTATAAGATATTGTTACACTCAACATTAACGAACAGGACTAATAGATGAATCGAAGTTGTATTTCTATGATACGCTAGATAGCCTTGAAGGATTTTCTTTTGTTTTTCTTTTGCTTTCCTCCAGGGGTCAAGGCGAAATATTATTAAAGTTGTAAAATAAAAAAAAAAAAAAAGGGTGAAGGATTGGACTGAACCAATCCAGCAAAGACATAATCTAATAGATCACACAGTGCAAGCAAAATTCTATAATGGTGTATCACACGAGGATAAGAAATATAGAGCAAAGTACGGTTGACAATATCCTCCTGGAGACAGGGTATCAACCAAGAATCAAGAAGCAAGGCAGAAACAAGAGCCTGCGAGGTATGTACTTAAAAAGAAAAGAAAATATATGCTGTATATTGTAAAATGTTTTAGCTCACTTCTTCTTAGCGAATCGTTCCTACAAGCCGCTGAGGTTCCACTTCTTAACGCGGAACGTGTAGTAGAGCATAGTCGCTAGGAAGATATTGAACACGATATACACCCACATGAGGCCGAAGTTGCGCCAGCGCTCACTCCAGTAGATGTTGACGCTCGACAGGAAATCGTCTGCTACAGAGACCGAGCAGTAGTTGCAGTTCGATGTGGCGTTCGGGTTCGACAACTGTCCGCCGGCCATGCTCATGAATGAAGACATGTATTCGCCGCAGGTCTGCCCCGATGGAGGATCGAAGATGGACATCTCTGATGGAGAGCACTTGACTACGCGATCGTGGAGCTGGGTGGAGGCCATGGCGGAGACCCAGTAGGTGAAGGGGGAAACACGGTACATGAAGATCCAGAATCCCGGCAGCGCGGTTGGGGTTTGCATGACACCGCAGAATGTGAGGGACATGGCGAATAGGAGAACAACCACAGCACTAGCTGTTTCGGTGTCGGGCATGGCGGCAATGGCCATGTGAGCGAAAGTGCTGGCATAGATGAAGAATTGAATACATAACAGGAGGACGAGGCCCTGTCTTTCGGAGTCCTGGACACCGACCACTGCGTAATAGTAAGAGGCGTATGTTAAGATGCCCATCATGATTTGGTACGGGACTTCGACGATGATGTTGGCGATCAAGAAGGCTTTCCATGAGTATGTTTTGCTAGGTCTTTCGCGGACTTCATACAATGATCGTTGGGTCACAAATAATGGCATGACCTGTAAGGGTTAGTTTCAGCTTATACAAACACGGAAGCTCTTGCCACTTGACATACCTGTTGAACCAGAGAAGAGAAGATGGTGCACAGCATGAACAACGAGTAGATGATAGTCTGCATTCCCTGGAGGGAAGACTTCGCTTGGAAGAACGAGAAACCAATGAAGAGACCGGAAACAATTCCTAGCACCCATTTCGATGCGATGTATTCTGGCATACGCCAATACTGCTGGAACACACGATAGGTAACCTGGTATAACTGGAACCAGAATGGCATGGCAAATTCTGACTTGCTCCAAGCTTCGTTGTCGTCACTGGCCTGTGTCTTGGATTGCTGTTCTCTGTGGATCCGATCGATCTCGGTCTGTACGTTTTGACTCTCGCTGCTTTGTTTCCAGACGTCAAACCAGTTCTCACCCTGGGAGTTCTTGCCATTGTTCACAATCTCCAGCATCCACTCAGCCGGGTTTTCGTCATCAGCACATTTGCGGGCCCCATTGGATTCGAAGTAGTTAATGAGGGTATTAGAGTTCTGTCCAATTGGACCAAAGTAGACTGTCTTTCCACCACGTGCAAGGAATAGGAGCTGATCGAACTGCTGGAAGAGAATTGCACTAGGCTGATGAATGGTACAGAGAACCGCTTGTCCGCTGTCGGCAAGCCTCCGGAGAAACGCGCAAATAGCCCAGGAACTCTGGGAATCAAGACCGCTATAACCAAGTCAGTAAAATAGCTAATGGTTGCAAGTGAAGGAGTATTTACCTAGTGGGTTCGTCCAAGAAGAGCAATAGTTTAGGCTTTGCAGCCAGTTCCACGCCGATCGTCAACAATTTGCGTTGTTCAACGTTCAAACCTTGGCCGGGCACACCGACGACTGCTTCGGCGAAATCTTCCATCTTCAACATGCGGATCACGTCCTCCACATAGTCATACTTTTCTTGAGTAGAGACATTAGGTGGTTGACGAAGGAGTGCGCTGAATCGGAGCGACTCGCGGACCGTAGCAGTTTCAAGATGGAGATCCTGCTGCTGAACATAGCCGGTGCTTCTCTGGAAGCTTTGGTCTAGGCCTCGGCCATTCACAAACATATCACCTGTAATAACACCCATAGAAGTTCGATGCGCCAATACATCCAGCAACGTGGTTTTACCTGCACCACTGACACCCATGAGAGCAGTAAGCGTGCCTGGCTTGACCCATCCAGAAACATGATCCAATAGCCGTCGGGGTTCACCCTTGATCTCGATATCATAACAAACGTCTCTCCAAGTAAAAATATCCTTCTGTGGCGGTATGATGGACAGATCCCCTTCACCTGACTCCGTGGTTGGCTTCATTGCACTGAGCTCCACTGCACTCTCAGCATCAGGTTTCTTTGAGTCGGTGCGCAAATATGCCGGCTCATGTCCACGACGGAAGACCAAAACTTCGGCAGTGCTGCTGGTAGACGAATTCAACTCAGTGGCAATGAAGTAAATCACCATGAACGCGACAAGGAAGGCAATCAAGATGCCGAAGTTGCGCCACACGTGCCCGTAGCTATACTGGTAGTTCACCTGCATATAATCATCACCGCTGATAGCACGCTGTCCAGCTTTGGCGCCAGGAGACGAACAGACAAACGAGTTACCACTCAGGCTAGGGTAGGCCGGGATAAATTGTGAGCATATAAAATCACGTCCGTGGAATTCGTTGGCAATTAGCATCTCGAATGCGTAATAAATAGGGTCTGATTCGAGGTTAGTGAGGCACACAGAAGGTTTGGGACTCCCATCCACTTACTGAGATAATGAATCCATTCGAACCAAGGATGCATGGAAGGAACAGGCAGCACAAATCCCGTGTAGACAACCAGAGCCAAGATCAATATACCTGCCAGCCCCATTGCTTGCGAGACTGTTTGGGTAATAGCCGCCATCGTACGGAAGACTGCACTCATCACGAACATTACGATGAATGTGACCAGCAGATAGAGGAAGAATTGACCCGCTTCTCTACGAAGTCCCGCCATGAAGTAGAGGATAAGGTTAAACACGACTGCAATGACAAACTTGACCGGTATATCACTGACCACGCCGGCAATGGCCTCGGTGGCTGGGTGATAGAAGGCATAAGAGTTATGTTTTTCCACAATTGGACGTTGCGAGTAGAGACTGTTGATTTCCGACATTGCAATAAGAGCGTTGAGCAAGACCGCGAAGAACAAGGTGGCGCCTTTGGCAGTGAAGCCTGCAGTTGCATCCGGGGTACCATAGAACACAGATCCGATAATCAGAGCCATGATGATTTGACTAATAATAGTTGACACAGTAGAAGAGATATCGTTCCACACACGTTGATATGCTCGCTTCGTATTGAGCTTGATCTGCATGGGCACACTAAGCAAGTATGGTGACTGTGGGCGGGTATGTTTGGCCTGAATCTCGCGCTTCTTCTGCTGAAATGTTGCGATAGCGGCACCATCTTCTTCCAGTGGGTGTTGCTGCTCGTACTGGGAAATCCCGGCCATGAGCTTCTGGTATTCCGGAGATTTGCGCCAATATGCTTCAAAGTCTTCAGCAGTGCGTGGAACCTGGTTCTCCATGCCCGGACGTGCTTTACGTTCACTGGGATTGGTCACCGAAGTTAGGAAGTCACCCGTGGTCTGTCGCTGAGGGCATTCCCATCCTTGTCGTTCGAAGTAAGACTTGGCAGCCTTCCCAGGGCCATAGTAAATCTGACGTCCTTCATAAAGGACAACCACTTTGTCGAAAATGTCGTAGATACTCTGACTAGCCTGGTAGATCGCTACCGCGTGTGCAGATCCAGTGAGATCGGCAAATAGCCGTAGTGCCTCCACAAACTTCAACGCCGTTGCGGAATCCAGGCCTCGGGTGGAGTTATCCCATGCAGCTAAGGGGGCGTGAGCCAAAGCCATCTCCGCGATACTGACACGTTTCCGTTCACCACCCGATACTCCGCGGACGAAGTCATTTCCGACCTTGGTATTGTAGGTGTGGCTCAGACC